CTACAATATCTACTTTTAATTAAACTCACCAATATAATGTATGAACCCAAGGGCATCTGGTCTGGGGGAAGGTACTGTGAGCAAGTTATGGTAATAAAATTCCCATAGGAGCATTGATTTCCATGTCAAGTCCAAATCACAAGATCAGCTGAGAAAATTGTCACTGGAAAAAAATGTTGCTAGTACTTGATATGGGATCAATGTACTTTTTTGCTATGAATTCACATTTTTATGTATTAAATTTCCCCTCCCCTTCTGAGTCCTCTGCCACATTTCTTATCAGATGACCAGAGTTCACCTACAAGGGATGAACTCTCTGTCTCAGTCAAGCTTCTCTGCATTAACAGCTTTATCAGCTCCTGTTGACTCAGTGTAACCTTTAGTATTCAGCAGCAGTACTAAGAAGAAATGCATTAGATCCATCCTATCAGATTAGAGATTCTGCTAACTATTAAGATTGGAGTAGAACTGAAAAATCCCTTTGAAATCATATGCAGCTTTTTTTTTTTTTTGTATTTTTTAAAAAGCTTTTTAACACTGGAGCAGGGGCTACCTTCATAGACATTTTTTAACAGCATAAGACATACATTCAGTCATGTATAAACCACCAACATCCTGTGAGAGTGGAACAGAATGCACTCTTCCCATTTTGAACAACATAACCAATGCTCACTACTGCTCATGCTTTCCTATCTCCATTTTAATTCCTGCAGTCGAATACTGTTCTGTGCTGTAAAAACAGTTCTGAACATGATGTGATTAACCTTAGGGTCCCCCCATCCCCTCATCTCAAAGCCCCCTCGTACATGGCCTGCGCTTTCTATTCATGTTCAACCATCTGATTTCCATATCATCTATTAGCATAACAGAGCTCTAGTGTGACATTGATTGAAGCCAGTGCTTGCTGAATGCAGTATCAAAGCATAATTTGACAAAAATCAAATCTAATTTACTGTGTACTATTTAAATTTCCCAAAAAAAAGAAAAAAAAAGAAGAAAAGAAGTTCCAATAGAAGTATATTGGGTCTGTAATCTTAAATTATTTTTTCCCCCATATTTCTGGCTAGTCTGGTGCAATCCAAGCAATATATTTCATTTTAGAGCCGCTGTCTTTGACTTTCAGATGTCAGTTAAGCAAGAGGCTTTCCACTCTGCTTCTTCCAATCCAGTTTATGTTACATCTGAAATAGTAAAAAGTAATAGTCTGGTAGGCACAACACAGTTTGCTGCTTCATAAGGTTTTTCAACAGATCCTTCAAATGATTTTAATGTTTAGCTTGAATTAAGCATTAAAGTACCCCATAACTTTAACAGCTGAAGCATATCAAGCCTGCTGTTACTTCTCTAACTGCACATTTTCAGAATGTTTTAGAAATTCACCTACTTTGAGAGCAGCAATAATGGCTTGAATAAATTTTGCCCAATGTTCCACTGAAGCCACGCTTTGAGCAAGTCATGATCTCACTTAACCCTTCTGCAGAATGGAAGTAATAATATTTGTCTGTCTTTATAAACAGCATCCATATGTGAACATAATGAGCTCTCTTTTTTAAGAAAATTGAAGAACCTAAGTGCTTGTTCTGTCAAAGAAGCCTTGCTGTCTCTGAGCAGGGTCATGCTGCAGTCTCTGGGGATAATGACAGTCACAGTGTTTGGGTAGTTGCATTTGACCAAGAATTACTCCTGCAATTATTAACTGTTACTTTCAGTTTTCAAGTTCAACTAGAAATTGACAGATAAAACTGATATGGTGAAAACATTAAGTGCTGTAAACAATGGTATTTTTATCAGAGGCTGTCTGTAAACAGAGCTATAGCTGAATATGACAACAAACTATGGCAAAATGAAGATTTCCTTCATTATATAACTCCATATTTGAATAACTTTTAAAAAGTGCATGCAAGGTTTTATTTTTCAAAAATTATAGTTTTCATGCCCTTTCAAATTACAATGCTAAGTAGTTTGGCTGAAGAAACTGGTTTTGTGATCAATTTAATGTGAGTAAAAGCTCTGATTCATTTATTTTTATAGCTAATTTCTAGTAATTAAGGCTGCAGAGCAAAGCTAGAAAAGATATTGTTGCATAACTAATACAGGATTGTTTGCTGGAGTCTTTAGAAAGCCTGACCTAGTAACTGGGAGGCCAAATACCTGCTCATGTAGTCTGGTCAGATGATGGAGAGGACTTGGAGAGGACTCCCCTTGGCAGGGAGATAGAATAGAGAATAGGGTCAGTCCAGGTCAGAGCTACAGATTTCTTTTTCCTGTCTCATTGGGGAAGGAAAGAAAAAAAAAAAAAAAAAGAAAAAAAGAACATTTTTCTGCTCTTAGGAGAGTGAGAGATGTTGAAAATTAGGAACAGGTCAAGAAACAGCATGTGTATTTCTCATTGTTCCTTGACTGCCAAATTACCTTAATTTGATCCTTGAAAGATCTGCTACAGCAACACATCCAGTTGTGTTATATCTGTTTGGAGCTCTGAATTATTGATTTACAATAGAGAGCTGTGTGTGTGAGAGTGTTTCAGATGAACCTTTTGACTTGCCTTCCTTGCATATTTACTCAGTTACATGATTTGAAGGACAGGCTCATGGAAATGCCATGCTCTTCTAGCTACTGTTGAGCTGTCTGTGCACCCCCAGGGCAGCAAGCAAGTCTAAGGAGAATTTGGCCATCCATCCTGCTTAGGGTAGGTCTATGGGATGGTCTCCTGACACCAGGCTTTAGGCACCATGGAAAGATTGTGGTCTTGAGGACACCCACAACTTTGCATAGACACGAGTCAGGTGTGCACAGCTCCTGTCAAAAGCAGGTATAGCACCTGAAGAGATTAGGGGGTTTCTTCTCTCTGCTGAGCCCAAGGTCACTGTTGATTCTATATTTATACCCTGGGCAATAAACTTCTATAGCTGAGCAGCAAACACTGGGCTAATTCAGTGACCTTTATTAAGCAGGTGGTCAGAGCAGCAGAGATGCCTTAGTGTAAAGTGTGTCTATAGAAAGGGAGGTTTCTGCTTCACAGCTTACAGGTCTTTCCCCCTTCCTGTAGGGCTGAACAGTCACACGCACTGATTAGCACACTGCAGTTTTCTGGCACCTGTGGGGGTTGCACGTGGATGTGCTGGGTGAAACAAGGTGAGGGAAACCCAAGAAGCTGGCTGCAGCTCAGCACTTGAGGAGTGCTATAGCATGAGTTCAGTTCCTAGAGCATGTTTAGCAACACCTTCTAGAAACCACAAAACCTCACATGGCTGTAAACAGGCAGCAAGAGGGCACCTCACCCTTAGTCCTGCCTGCTCATAAGATTAACACCTCCTAAGGTGGAGGAAGAGGTGGACACTTCTCTCAAGAGAGGCCCAAACCTCTCTTAAGGAGCATGAGGCAGAAGAAAATACCCTCTGCCTTCTAAACTGATTTTGATTTGTGGTTAAGTGCTTTACAATTCTTATTTAAAGAGTGCCAGCTCTACTCATTGATGCTCTTGAGGCTCTTGCTGATCTGTAAAGCCTTGGGAAATACCTCATGAGATATGTGCAAAGTGTGTTTCAAGAGAATCAGGTCTGCTCAGGTTTCTATGCAGTTAGCAGGTTTGTGTCTGTGCTGTCAGCAGGTGTAATCGGAAGCTGGGTCTTGATTGCTCTTCGTGCCTAATTAAATAGTTCGTAATTATAATGCTGAAAATACGGTTTTCTAAAACACTTAAATTCTGTTTACCTGCACACCCACAAAACCAATAGTGGAATAGAAGAAAACAAGGGTGGGGTGAGGGGGTTGAGTTTCTTTTTTTACTTTTTTTCCCTTCTTCAGCCTGCCCCAAAAGTTAGCTAGTCCTTTGATATGCTGTTTACATTTTTAAAATACACAAAGGAGTTCAAATCCGCTTTCAGTGAATTTCAGTGATGAACCAAGAGTGGAGAGTTTTCATGTCCCGTATAGAAAAACCATTTACTTTACTTCTACGTCATGCTTAACATATTTACTGATTTCAAGTTATTTATCTCAAGTCCTCTAACACTTCTTCCCCACCCTCTTTCTACTCATTAGCACCTTTTTTCTAACTTCACATTCCTAGGCTTTGTCTCTCTGTTCTCCACCATTATCCTCCAGAAAAATACACTCCTCTCTTAGAAATTGTTCACTTCTGACTGCGCTTTCTGGTCCCCTCTGACTGAACACCATTACTGCCAGATACTTGAAAACACAACCAGTCCTGCTTCTTCTTTCTTGTTTCAACTCCAGTCCCCTTTTTTTCTTTTCCTTCTGTCTTCCTTGCTTCCTGAAATACTTCTTCCTTCTTACTCACCACTCACCTCTCCCCATCAACTCTTCAATTTTCACTTCTCTCTCTACTAGCTGAAACCTGGATTTACCGAGTTTGTGTTCTTTTAGCAAAGACTCTTTTTACAGCAAGTCCTCCCCACACAATTCTTGACTAAGCTGCTTCCAAGAGGAGTGCAGGAGCTCTTGAACTTGGGTTCTTTTGCTGTCATCCAGACCTTTCTCTCCTTTCTCAATCATTTTTAAAAGTCCAGTGGGGCAGATTGAGAAAGGCAGTCTGTTTATCCTAATTCATACCTTGCAATGCACAATAGCTCCAGCAAGCTCTGTGAAGTGTGAGAGGATCTGAGGGTGCTGATACCTTTCCAGAACAAAGGTAGAATACATCCAGTCAGCAATATAAGCATCTGACTTCTGCTCTTTAGCATTTAATGTCATCAGAATTGACTCTAGCATGAATGGCTGTAATGTTTCTTTCCTTTTTTAATTTTTTTTTTTTTTTTTTAATAATGGGGATGTCACATACATATATTGCTGCTCTCTTTGTCGCTGTTGTTGTTTCTGTTTATATATTAATTCTGTCTATACTAATGAATGTTTCTGGTGTCATGTCCTCCTGACATAAAACAAATCTCCATAATGTTGTCTTTTTCCTTCAATATTCCCTTTCTCTCCCTTGCAAAATATCCTAAACTTATACCATGGTTTTTCTTACCTTTTAGCTCCCCCACAGTTTGTGGTGAGACCACGAGACCAGATTGTAGCCCAGGGTCGAACTGTGACTTTTCCTTGTGAAACTAAAGGAAATCCTCAGCCAGCTGTTTTCTGGCAAAAAGAAGGAAGTCAGGTAAGTTGCAAGCACTCTGTAAGTCTTTTAAGTCTTTCTAAATAGTTATATTGTTAAATTTCAAAGAGAATTATTTACATTATCTTTCACAGTTCTTTTCATCTTTCATAGAAATTTGTCTTTTTAAACTATCACTATTCCCTACTGAAATTTGTGTCCCTTTTTTTAATATTTTGAAGAACACAAAGGCCATTTAAGTTGCTGAAAACTGTGCTAGGCACTGTCTAAATGAGTAGAAAGGAACAGTATGTATGTTAAAGGCTTTGTGTTCTGAAGCCCCTAACAAACAGGTGGGTGAGACAAGCACAGTAGATAAAAAAAGGTATGACTCAATTTTGAACTAATCAGAGCCAGTAATTACAGTTCACAACCTGTCTAGACATGATCAAGCAGAATGTATCCAGCAAGCTGATTTGCATTGGCATTTTCTCATAGAGCATACAGATACAGGTTTTGAGCACACAGATGCTTGCTTCAGTAAAATTGTCTCAAGAAATTTCCAGATCTGCTTTTGGAAATATTTTTCTGATCATCTTTGAAGGCAAAATTTGTGAGGCAGCAATTGGCGCTGCCATCAGCCCACAGTAAATTCTATAGATTAGTATTTGTATGTGAGGCCACGACATTTCTTTACTGGAGGCTTTGTGTATACCAGCTCAGGTAAAATGTGAAATAAGAGCTGAACCACAGATCTCCTGCTCTGCCACACTTGCTTCTGCTTCACCTTCTCAGGAGATCAGAAAACTGGTCCAGAATGACAGGACCAGGCTGACAGCATTTTGTGCTCTGCTGTCTTGGTGGCTTACAAAAACACAACACAATTACTTTATGGGTGTGATTATTTTATTGTCTGAGTGCAAGCTTACCCTTCAGTATGCATTAACCTTCATTGTAATATTTAGAGAAATTTAGATGTGGCCTCCAAGGATCACATCCTGGAAAAACACAGTGCTGTGAGTCTCGCTAAGGTGACAGTTTTTCCAAGGGGAAGGTAGAATAGCATATCGAAATTAAAGTAGGAAGTACTGATGTGCTAGCAAACATTTCAAACCCCTTCCTTGTAGAGCATTTTAATAACATGGTAATGTTTATGTAAAGTGAGCTTATAGTGTCACACTTGAATCTAATAAAGTGGACATCCATCATGCTGTAATAAAGAGAAGAGCTTCTAATTAAAGTAGGACATCATTTTCAGGATTAAAGTCATTTAGCGTAATTGAAAAGTGTTAATACTCTATTTTATCCTCTTCCATTGGTATCACTTCAAGGGTAAAAACATTTTAAGGTGAAAATGCATCTTGTGTCTTTAATTGAATGTTATTACCTACTGATTGTACTATGTTGAAGCTGCTTAATTGCAAACCTGGAAAATTAATTACCATATTGAGAACCAGATCCCTAAGGGTTAGAATAGTCTTTTTTGGCAAATAAATACAACATAAAAATTGATACTTGCATGGTTTATAATCAAACCTTGAAACATGGCTCAATGTGGTTTACAACATTCTCATGTTGTCTTAATTGATCATCAGTGAAGTAACACAGGTTGGGATTGCCATCTCAGTGTATAAGTTGCCAGATTTTGCAGTGAGATGCCACAGAGTGTGTTAGTTTCCACACAGTGTATATCATCATAGCAATGGAGAGTGGAATTTTGCCAAATTACAGGACTTTTCACCTTTGCCTCTCAGCTATAAATTGTTGCTTGTCCCTACAATGCTCTTTCTGTTTTTAGGGGAACTGTTTGCAGCGCCACTTTCAGTGTTCAAGGCAATGTTATATAGTCATGTTATCCCACCCCAGTAATTGTAGGGCATTTTTGGTTCTGAGTCCATTTCTCAATGCTGCATTTTAGAGCACAACCAGCTGGAAGGGAGGGGAGCTGTTCCCTCCTGAGTAATTTTTTGTGCCAGCTTGTGTATAAACAGCTGGTCCTTTGTGCTTAGTAGCCTTTTCCCTGGAGCCCAACAGCCGCTCGCCGATGACATGCGAGGGCAGGGCGTGTGTAACCTTCAGCCTCCGTGGATTAAATTCTTCCTTCAGATAAATTCAGTGGTACTATATCAGGGATTGGGCTGGTCCCTCTGTTTGCAGCCCAGCATGCCACCATTGTGCCCAGATAAGCAACTCGACAGCAAATTAAAACCAGTGAAATGCTGAAAAGCATTAAAAGGGGGTTGTACTGTAATTTAGGACAAGTTATAGTTCACAGTTATCTGGTCTTTGAAGGGAGGAGTTATGAGATTGGTGAACTCCTCCTGACATGTGAAATATTCACTGGGACACAATACCTTTCCAGAATAGAGAAGCTTATACTGAAGACAAAAACAAGGATTGATTCCCCTTTCTAGTGAAGTGATAAACAGGGTTCTGGACTGTCTTTCTCTTAAAAATTAGGAGCTTAATCCTTGCACTGTCTTTTATATTCAGCTTCTTTTTATACTTTACATAATGAATAAGTCAGACACATCAAATTCCTCGTCTTTCTCATATTTACTGAAATTTTCATAATATCCTTATCCAGTAGGTATCTTGTCCCAGGCAAATATAATTCTGGAAGTTTCAAGGCAGTTCAGAAAACAGGGCCTCAAATTGTTTCAGAATTTTAACATTTTTTTTCCTATTATCTGGCATGTTTATTGGGTGAATATTGATTTTTGAGAAAAAAAGTTGCTATTATAAATTTCTTAAATATTGCTATTGAAAGGCAGTGAAAGAAAAACCTAGTGTGATGAGTAATCCAGTAAGTTAATACAATTAAAAAGATACTTGGAACATGGGATATTATTTAAAGCATATCTCTTTCCTTTTGCTTTCAAAACCATAGAGATAAAGGCATGAGTTTCACTTAAAAATAGAATTTGTTTCCTATTTAAATTCTTAGTTGTTTCTTAAGCAGTTTGTTGCTTATCAGTTCCAAATAATTTCTGTAAACCATCAAGGGCTGCTTCAGAAGAAACAGATCTGCAGAAAATTCATTTGATACTGTACTCTGCACTTCTAGATTTCATTTTTAGTCAATACAGATGAGCTGAAAAGTTAGTAGGAATCATCTAAGAAAGCACAGCAGAGCTAAAGAGAGCTGCAGTAATGACTGAAAACTTTTCATGCCATGGTAACAGTGTTTTGGAGTATTCCTGATGCAAACAACTGTATTTTTCATAGAGCCTTGTTGAGTTGACATAAAATCCAGACCCTATTTTACTGCAATTACTGTTGTTTAATTATTGTTTAAGCTGTTCTCCTTCCTGTCTTATTATGCAATGCTACTGACCTTTCTCTTCACATTGCCTTCCTTCTCCTGTTCTTATTTATTCACAAGAGCTGGGCCAGAGGGTATAACTTTTTCCTTGAAAACACAGCTCTCACTACTAAAACCTTTTCTGGTCTGTAGTATTGATTCATTCAGTCCTTCATCATATGCAATGACTACTAGAGCCATTCCAGTTATTATTATTGACGTCTCTCTTTTCTCCAATCCAGCCCAAAGGCAAAAACTAATCTCCCTGTTTTGTGCTAACTGATATCTTATCCTACATGAAATAATTTTTTTCTCTCTGATGATTTCCACATCAGATTAATACCCTTTCTCTTCACCCTCCAGGCTCTATGCTGAATTTCTCCTTTAGTGTATCACAGTTTTGATTTCCTTTTACTTCTCCTTTAAACTCTCATGATCTGCCAGCTTCTCCTACTTTATGTCATGCTCCCGTCTTTCTTCCAGACTTTACTTTTGTGCCATGCTCTTACTTTCTCCTTTCCTCTGAACATTTGTGCTCTGCTCCCTCAAGTCTCCAGGATTCAATGCTTGCTGCTATTTTCCTAGTGTTTGCTGTAGTGCTATGTCCTTGTGGTTTGATAGCTGAGTATATTATTACAATTGCATTCAGAATGAAGACGAATGTGTCACAAATATAAATCACTCAAGTGTGATTGTTGGAAAATGTCTCCTCGCCTAAACCCCAGTCAGAACACAGTACTGTGAGCTGTCAAAAGGCTGTTTCTAATTTAAACTGTGAGTTGCCCAAGGCAGGGAAAGCAGCTCTCTGTGTTCATAAAGTCAGAACCACACTTGCTTTTTCTCCCTGATTATTTATAGTACTTTTAAGGGAAAACCATTGTCTCGGTGGCTGAAGGAAAAGCGGTGCTTTTGTGTTTTGAATTGATGTGAGATGAATTGTCTTTGCAGAACCTACTCTTCCCCAACCAGCCTCTGCAGCCCAACAGCAGATATTCCGTGTCACCGACCGGGGACCTCACCATTACCAACATCCAGAGGTCTGATGCAGGCTACTACATTTGTCAAGCACTGACGGTTGCTGGAAGCATTTTAGCAAAGGCTCAGCTGGAGGTTACTGATGGTGAGCTGTTAGAAATTCCTATTGTTTTTTTTTTCCTGTCAAAAGTGCTCTAAAGGCAGTGTAAATAAAGGCGTATGAGATCACATAAATCATACAAGTAAATGGAAAATTTTCTATAGGAAATAAAGTGAGAAAAGACCTCTGTATTTGTCTATGGAGTAAAAAAGTCATCAAAGACTAGTTTGCCTGTTGCTTGCTTTCTGGAGGTTTGTTAATAATGGAAAAAGAGGAAAAACAGCTTAGAATAGGTTTGGTGAGAAATGAAGCTGCTTGGTTTGCTAGAGCTAAGGTAGGACTGCAAAAAAGAAAAATACAGAGAATGAATAGGTTTGTGATTAAAGCGGTGAACTGGGGTGCAAAAAAAGTATCTCCATTCCCACCAGTCTTCAGTCCTATCTTAGACAAGTAGGGGATGTGTCCTTAGCTCAGTTAAATCAACACCATTGCTCTGAAGTTGGTGGAGTACTGTAGCTTTTAGAATGCCTACAACATGAAGCCCTTTAGTGGGCTTTATGTGTTCTAGGAATGCCTCAGTAGGGGTAGGTGTGAAAAAAGTCATGAAAATCCATAGGTGGAGAAGAGTTTTCAGGACAGGAAAAGAATTACATGGCCTGTCTTGATGCTTTTCATTTCAAATTTTTGGGTTTGAGATTCATCCTACCTTGAGGTTTCCCATCTACAAAGATGAATCCTTTTCATATGTCAGGAATCCTGTTGATATCCCTCTTCAGCCTATTGTAGAGAGAAGGAAGTTTGCATCCTTTAATGTTAGTGAAGAAAACAAGAGAATCCCTCTAAGAGACAGTGGCATTCCCCAGCATCATTATTCCTTATCTTAACTGACACATTAAATATCTCCTGACAGACTTTGATGAATTTTTGCCATTAAAACTGTTGTTATATGCAGAGGTCTACTTTTACTGTTCCCTTAGAGACCTGCCTGCACCATGAAAGTTTGAAAAGATGTCTAATTTTGAATAATCTGCCTTTTCACAAGAGCATATTCATCACAAGTGACAGGTAGAGAGGTTCAGGCTCGTGTTATAGAGGTTTGAGCATTAATTTGATGCCTTTTCTTTGTTTTCCAAAAGCTGCCTATATTTTTATGACAAGGGGAAATAGTTTCTGCCTTATTCTTGCATCTCTTATAGCACATTGCTTTTCTGTAGTTTCTGGAGATTAAAGACTTGGCTTTGCTCTGCAATCTCTTTGAGTCCTTTCTCTCACGGTCTATGACAAAATGATGCATTTTCATTCAATTCAAATTTAAATGTAGATTAAAAGGTCATTTAAAAGGAATGGAAAGGCAATATTTTTCAATATCTGTCCATAGTGCTGCCTGATTCAGGGCCATGGCTGTGATTGGAATAAATAGAACACACAAACATTGGCTGGAAGGACATTGAGCCTTGTTTAATGGTCACACCTGCTGATGCTGCACAGATTTACAGCAACAGGCACTGAGTGGATCAAATCAGGTTCAAGGATGCTAGTGATGAGAAATTCCTCCTTTTGACAGCCAAGGGCTTTGGTCCACCTTTATCTATTTCTTGTGTAGGGAAAAAAATAAATCCTAATTGATCTCTTCAGAATTTTCATTAGTTTGTTTAGCAAGCTGAGGGGAAGTGTCCCTGCTGAAATGCAAGCTCATCTCCGGTTAATTCTGATTAAAGGCAGTGTGCATTCCACATAGCTTGAGAGAGCATTAGCTGGTGGCTCTGCTGCTCAAGGAGTGCAGGGCTTGCCTTCCTCAAATGCTTTCCAGAACCCACTGTCAGCATGATCATTATGAAATAATACAAGATTGCTTTATAGAAATAGCATTTCATCCCGGAGTCAAAGGGCGGGTGAGGTCAGAAGAAAAGTGCCAAAACAACATTGTGGAGCTGAGATTACATGAATAAATCTACCATTAGATCACAGATATTTTTTTAATTGCTTTTAGTTAGGAAGTTAACCATAAATGTCGAAATAATCTGTTTTGGTTGATGCTGAGCAGAAGTTATGGGAGCTAATGACTTTTATCAGTAGGGAAATCTAATTTAATAGTTTTAAGGATATAATAAAAGACAAACACTGTGCATGCTAGCTATATGCTTAAGCATTAGTGCTCTAGTTTTTGGCTGGTGATTTCAGTTTTACTTCCTAGCCCAGAATTTTTCTGTTTGGTTAATGATTTAATAACAGTGGCGAGCCATCTTGTTCATTTTGAACACATTTTTGTTTGATCCAGAGTAATTTAGATCCAATTGAAGTTCCAATACAGAATGAAAACATGTCATGTGCAGAAAAACAAGTGCTTAATTATACCATATATAGCAGTGTTTCAGTTGTTACATTTTTGCACTTACAAGTCTTTACTGGAAATATTTTTAACTCAAGTGTTCACATGAGAAGAGATTACTAGCTGTGATGAAATGTGCTGAGCTGAGTGATAATTTTGCTGATTATGGACTGTGCTAAGAGCCTTCAGCATATTTGAAATTCAAATCTTGTATTTTCTTGAAAGGCTATCATGTAATTCACTGTCTAACGCACATCTGGAAAAGCAAAATCACTTTAAAAATTGAAGAATCTTAGCAATCCTTTCAAACCCAAGAAATGAATATGCAGCTCACAATCTTAAAATGACAGAACATGCAAAAAAACCAAGTGCTTCCATCTCTTTCTATGCTCAACATAAAAGGAATAGTTTCCAATTAGTACTGTTAGTATTTGTCAATCATGCACAGAATAATTTGGAGAAGATCTTAATTTCACCTCAATAATAATTAAAATTTATTAATAAATGTTTCACAGTTTACTTGTTTACAAATCTGACCACCACGACTCTTAGCCCTCAGCCAAAGTATATTACATGTTTTATAGCAAGAGTTTTATTTCAAGGAGGAGAAACTCAGAACAACTTCACAGCTTCCTGTGAAGCTCTTCTGCAAAAAAATAAAAGACAGATAAGGGATTGCTCTCTGCTTTTCCACCTTTCAGAGAGAACCCTCCTCATCATGTTAATTTCCTTACTTTTTTGTCTGATTCTACCCATTATTTGTCCAGGATTTTTTTTATTTTTTTTTTTAAATTTTGATTTTGGATGTGTCAAGTAAACACTTCATTTTGTCTTTCTCTTTTTTTAATTTCCATTGTAATTTGACCACATATCACCCAAATTTAAAAATGGCTTCAGTTGATCCAAACTGCATTTTTAGTGAATAAACTGTTCATGAACAAATACAATTTGTTGTTTTCCTATAATCTATTCAAAAATTATGATGCATTTTAACACGAAAGGAATCTGTTATTTTTTCAGTTACCAGAATATGCAGATGTATGGATATTGGCAGATAGTTTCAAAACCATTTTTAAAATTAATTTTGAAATCAACTTCTGTTTTGCCATGCAAATATGTTTTTGCCGTGCAAATATGTTTGCCAAAAATGTTTTTGTGGAAAAGATACAGAAGTTTTCAGCTAGGAGAAAACTATGAAAATAAACAAAGTAATTAAAATGTTTTAAAAACAACTAACAATCTCCACACCATTTTGTGGCTATTTTTCACTGTGTTCTTCATAATACTTCTTATATATATAAGTAATTTTAAACTGTAACCAAGTTTTGGATCCTTACTCATGAGGACCTGAGTAGTAGGAATGCAAGCACACACATGTTTTAGAGAAGATTTACAAGTCATAGTTGTGAAGACAATACAGCCGTTCACAGATCAGTGGAAACTCTAAGTGTTCATTTAACCTTTAGCCTTAGTGTCATGGAAACCTGTAGTGGTCTTTCACCCATAACACCCTTGAAAATGAAGATTCCTTCTGGCCAGGAGGCTTTCAATTACACTATTGATCAGGGCTATTTAAAGGATTATGAGCTCCTCATTTGGGCTGTAAAAAAAATCTAATTACATGCCAAAGAACAATATCTGTAATGCAGTAGGTTTTGAAAATACCTACATTGCTACACATATGAAAGATATTTCGATGAAGCAAATAACTGCAACGGAATAGCTTGCAACTTAAATAGATATTCTTCCTTAATTTTTAGCTACTTAGGATACCAAGATTTGCTGGTTTACATTTAATCTAAAGGATAACTTGCACAGCTAAGTTTTAATTTGAATATACTCATGGTGCAGCTGCCCTGATAGTACATGTGAGCTGAGATCAATTTTTATTTCATCAAATGGCTGAATTATGTAGTCATAAGGAACCTTAATGAGATCAAACATTTTGTATCAAAGTAAAAATGCATTACATTTTTCTTGTTATGTAGTGTTTCCTGTCCCATCTCTTAAGTTCAGTGGGTGATATTTCAGAATTTCCAAAACAGCTTTCACATTCTGGTGTTAAGAAATAATCTGCATTGGCTTTATATTTTCAGTTCAAAATATGTATTGGCTTTCTATTTTCAGTTTCAATTTCAATGAATGTGATGAGCTCACACTCCAAGGTGTGATTCTGACAATAGTAATTATTCTGATCTTTATGAATCTTGTTAACCAAAGAAGGTATTTTTGCAACATTAAAATTTCAAAAACAATTATTTTAGGCATAAAATATACCAATAACATATCCCTGACATGTTTTATTTAGGAAATAGCATGATGACAGCACTTTGGATCTGTTGAAGGTTCCAGAAGTTTGCATCTCAAACAGCTCAAATGCAACAGAAGACATATTGCTTCAAAATAATTTGTTTTTACTTCATTGAATCAGGTGTTGTGTATGGACTAAAATAAACAGATTCTCAGATAGGATAAATGATTCAAACTCGAATGGCATCACCAGAGGCAGGCTAATTTGCACCAGTTTAGAAGTTAATCCTCCCTGCTACAATATTTAATACCAGTCACACAATTGTTCAGTTGTTCAAAATTTAAAACAGCAGCAGTATGGCTGGTAAATACATAAAAGTACATTAAAAGGAAAAAGAATTCTCAGTTCTTATACTCATTTTTGCAGCAGTCCTAACCTTATGTATATTCAAGTATTTCACATTCAGTTTGTATAAAGACATTATTTAGAAACAAAGGTTATATTTTGTAGCTTAACAGATGGCTCAGAGAAAATGTTCAACAACATAATTATTTGGTATAAAATAATCTTTCAAGAAAAATGAACATGAGCATTTTATCTCATCTTCAAGGTATCCTACTGGTCATGAAATGAGGCTCATGGGCAACCATGCACTCTCTTCACTCATTGCAGGGTCCTTTATTCAATACAGCAAGCATGCAGATGTAAATTATCAGGGAAAAAAAATAGGAGTTCATGGCTTTAATAGGTGATGAAATTATTTGATAAGTAAGCTGTTAAATGGTGTGATTGAGTTTGAGCTTTTCTCTGCTGGAAAGAGAGGCACCGTCATTTAGATCACTCAGATTATGAAAATGTTTTGTGTAACTATTAGATATTCTTTCAATTCTTCTCTGAATCAAGGTCTTAGTTTTCATCCTGTGTTAACCAAATGAGCCTGACGAGCTTTGCTAACAGATATTTTTCTATCTACCTGTTATCTTTCAGTGGTGAAGTAAAATGCTTACTGAAACACTTTTCAAATACGCCAGCTAATTGATAACCTCTATCTATGGCTCCTCCAAAAATAATGTTTTTAGCTTCTTAGAGGCTGACTTCAAGCAGCTTCTTAAAACTTGTCCTGCATGGTGGAACAGGGCTTACAGCAGCAGCAGAGGATGGTTAAAGGTGTGGATGCCAACGCCTGTGCCACTGTTTTAGTCTTGACAGATCGGCCTCCGCCCATCATCCTCCAGGGCCCCGTCAACCAGACCCTGGCAGTGGATGGCACAGCTCTGCTCAAGTGCAAGGCCACTGGCGACCCCCTCCCTGTCATCAGCTGGCTGAAGGAAGGGTTCACCTTCCTGGGCCGGGACCCTCGGACATCCATACAGGACCAGGGGACGCTGCAGATCAAAGCTCTGCGGGTGAGTAGTGGCAGCACAACGAGCGTGGTGGGTTCTGCGTGGCCAGCTTGGAACTCTTGGTGGGTGCCTCAGGCAGCTCTGTCACCTTCCTGTTCTCTTCAAAATTAACTTGTCTTTTTTGCTATGCAGTTCTCACCAAGGCATTATCCATGCTTTGACATTGTGTAGGACGGAAAAGCAAAACTGACTTCAGATACTTCTATGAGAATTCCCTGAAAACAGAACTGGTGTTTATAATATTATGTATGTTGCAATAGGACACATGAGTTAGGGGTAGATAGAAATATAAATGAACAGTCCTTCATTATCTTTTCAGTTGGTCTTACCCTGAAGCCATTGGCCTCTCTGTCAAAACTTAGAGCAGTTCCTTGGCGACACCTGACCGTAATTTTCCAAGTACTTGTGCTAGCACGTGATCTGGAGCTCATCAGGGTTTGACCATGCGCTTTCTCCATCAACAACTCGTCAGTCCTGAGCTGGCTGATTTATTCCAGTGTTATGCTTCCTGGAAATGTTCCACCAGGCTGCAAATGGGAAAAGACAACTAATACTGTAGCATACATGCAGTCAGAGCAGAGGGATTTCTATTAAAATTAAATACCTACTGTAATATTTACATTTTTTCACGAGATAATACAGTATTCTATAATACTTCAAATAGGATAATGTCCTATGTTTTTGATAAATATTGCATCACTAATCTCTTTTTTGGCTTTTAATTTTTCCCTGTTCAAAGATAAATGTGTATTTGTGTGCATTTGGACAAGTATGCACATGGAAAAATAGTAAGTTAAATGTACTTATTTGTCAAGAACTTGAAGATCATTTCAGAAACCATTTAATTTAGTCAGCAGAAATGTCTGCACTTAATTTTGCCATCCAAAAAGATGTCAGTAAACATAGTACTAATGAGAAGAAACAAAGAGCAGTTTTATTTTCTGATACCATCTCATCCGTGATCGTAGATGAATTGTGAACTTCCTTGGAACAAAATAGAATTTATTAAAAAATTTATGCTAGCTTGCCTTGAGTAAACAATTTGTCGTTCCTCCCTGGGCTGAAGGCAGGTTTAGGCCATGAAGGTTAATGCATTTTTCCTGTAGAGCTGGATTAAAGAGTGCGCTTGAATAGTCAAGATTCCCCAGTAGTGTTAGAAAGCAGCAATTAAAGGTGGAAGCTTAGTGATTTCAAACAAACTTTCAGGCACTGATGATGGGCTTCTGTGGAGTGTCCACGAGGCAGAAGCTCTTGGGATACCTGTCTGCATGCTGCTATGCAAACAATGAAATTGGTTCTGAATCGTGCCAGCACATTAATCTCCCTGTTAGAGGCTGTGTCTGTAAACGAAAGGAAAATGAAATTACTTGCAGGAGGAGAAGAAAACAGTATTAGTAGTGAGTGTGGTTCTGAAAGACATGAGGCTTTTATTGATCCTTAAGTGGCTCATTCACTAGTAACCAATTTAAAGGCTCAGAAAGGTATTTTTTAGGAACGCCTCCATAGCAGTAATGTGCACTGTTTGTTTGACTCAGATTTAAGAAAAAAAAACTATACAGAACCATAAACACAGTTTTTCTCCTGTACCTTGCAAATTTTATGAATTAAACACAGGAAATTAAAATTAGAAAATTAACTTTTCTCTCAGGTCTGCCTAAACAAGGACTAGCATGACTTCTAAAGAAAAAAAAAGGGCCAGAAAAATGTCCAAGTATGTTTACATCCCCAAGTTCAAAATAAATTAATACCTGCCACTCACATGTCCTCAGCCTTCTGACTGAGAATAGATTTAGATTCAATATCAGGAAGAAAACTTCTCTGTGAAGGTGGTGAGGTGCTGGAACAGGCTTCCCAGAGAATTTGTGGATTCCCCATCCCAGTTCAAGGCCAGTTTGGATGGGACTTTGAGAAACCTGGTTTGGGTGCAGGAAGTTTAGGAACTCTGAGCAACCATGGCAGGGGGGTTGGAATGAGAGGATCCTTAAGGTCCCTTCCAACACAAAACATTCTCTGATCTTTTTCTGCTATTTCTGGTACAGCACAATCAAATGATTCATGAGCCTTCAACAGTCACATGGGCCACAGTTGTAACATAAACATAGAGATTTTTCTGTTAAGCCAATCTCTTGGTTGCCCTGAGGAAGACAACTAAAATCTCACATATGTCACTCATTCAATACTCCTTCAGACAGGTCAACACTGATGGAAAACTCCCTTCTGCTGCATAAATGTGCCACACCAGGATTAGACACCTGCATTAACTAAGGAGCAAAACCTTTTTTTTATTGAATAGTAAAGATTTTTCTATTCACCTCCCCTGTTTTTTGGTATTTCTTTTCCATAGCACAAAAAAAAAGTATAAATAATTGAATTATCAACACTCTAAATCTGTATCTAATCCATCCACAACCTGAAAGTTAGATAATTTGCCATAGCTTGCAAGAAGCAGTGTACTTCCAGCTTGCTTTGTGTGTTATGTGCCTTCTGCAAGTTACTCTGTTGTGTACACCATGTACCTCATTGAGTATGCCGTGTACCATCTGTCACAGTAGTACACAAATGAAGTTGAGAACCATAGCCTTGAGAAATATTCCCCATTATCACATAATGAAGAATTATATATTTAATAAAATCTCAAAGGAAGCAAAATAAAACACTGTTTCAGAATGCTATAAGGCTCTCTCCTCTGGAAAATCTCTTCTTTCAAGAGTCTCTCATTTCAGTAGCAGCACTGCTATATTTTGAGTCTTTGAGCCGTTGTCAGAGGGGTTTTCATTATTGCTTGTTTTTCACACAAATAACCATCTCCTGAAATGCAAGTTATGCTCATTCAGAAAATTGAGTTGGCATTAATGAGTTGCTTCCTCCCCTAAGAATGGTACACTGCAGTCTCAGTGTATCTGAAGGAAAATAGCAACACAATTCGTACATGACAAAGCTAAAAACCAATTAAAGTACATATCTACAAGTAATCTAAGGAACATCTTGCTTTTTTGCCTTGACATTCTTCTTGAAGAGTGACATATAAGGACATATGCTGCAGTGCCAATCTGCATTTAACAGAAAACCCATTACAATTCCTTAAAGTCCAATAAAACTTCTTGGATGCTGTTCTCTTTCCATCAGGTCATGTGATGGTGAATAAAATTCTTCTTAATCGCTAGAGTCAGCACTTTTCCTTTTCTGCTTCCACCTCCAGATTACCATGCTTTAATCACTGTGGAAGGAGAGCTCTGTTTTGTGCTTTGTAAAGTTACCATTTTCCATCCATCCCTCTAGTCTTCACTTCTTCCTGAATCAGAAATCTTTATTTTAAATTTAAGTAGAAAATAGGAAAACCCTTGGCAAATTTGCTCATTTGGCAGTTTATACGGAGATGAGATTAATATTGGCAATCTAATTCAAAGCAGTTTCCCCAAATAAATTTAAAATATTTGAACTGACAAGGGAATCACAATAATTTTATACAAATGCATTTTTTTTTGCTACCAAAGGGCCTTGCAAGCCTGAAATAAAATCCCACGTGAAATGGAAGGGAGATAAGCATGGTGTAGGATCTAATTTAATGCTTCTGTTTGAAAATTGCGTGAAGGACTGTCTGTATAGAGAGAACCACTGTTAAGTTTCAGCAGCATTTGTATGTGGGGTATATAGAAATGACTTCATCACTTCATAAGACTCTAAGGTGATATAACATCCTTCCTGGCACTGGAAACGGGACCTCTGAGTCCTCATGGGATAAAGAATGCTGTGATTTTACCCTCTAAGAGATTAATTATTGTTATCTTGTTACCTGATTTCACCTGCATTTGTTTTAACCAATGCGAATATGGACTCTGTCAAAAGCATCCATTCTGGAGCATTTATAGTACTGGTTCCATTAACAATATGAAAATTAGAATTAGTAAAGTATTATAAGCAAATAATCTTATTAAAGTTCTCTAAAGGGAAGCCACCATTAAATGATTGATTGAAAATATTTGCTGCCTTGTACTCTGGTGTAAAATGTAGGCTAAGTCCTTCTTAGCAAGGAACATTTAGAAAAAGAAAATAAGAGTAAACTCAGCTGATTCTAAAAGGTTATTAAAGCTACCCTTATGCCCCTTTTATGTCCAGCTGTCTGATACAGGGACGTACACTTGCGTTGCTACGAGTTCCAGTGGGGAGACTTCCTGGAGTGCTGTGCTGGAGGTGACAGGTAAGCAATGCCAAGGATGTGGGCACATGAGGAAGGTGTAACCCACAGGACAGCACTCTGAGTCAAATTATCTGTTCTACAACTTCTGGGCTTGACAGGGAAAACTTTTGAGTGAGAAGTCTGTGTTCTTTCACACAGCTAGAATTTAATTGCTATTGTCTTATAATTCCCAATTATAATTTATATATATATATATAATTATAATCGCAACAATTTTCATGTGTGTGTCCAGTGACTGCAGTATGCTTTAATTCTTCTAACAGTAATATTAATAAAATGTAGATTTATCCAGCAATTGACTCTAGGCAAAAAAAGTCCAAGGTGCTCTCTGTGAGTACTGCAGTCAATTTGGATACAGGAACTTTCTCAGCAATGGAATTTTTAGCATTTTATGTACATTTCAGCAAGCTGGGCTTTTTGTTATTCTTTCTTTAATATATTTATATACACCCCTTTGAGTTTTGCATTTTTTTTTCTTTCATGATATACTTAAAGAAGCTCTTCATCCAAAAACACATGGTAGTAATGCAGTTGTTGACTTCTTTATAGATTAAGAACATCCGCTGTGCTGATTTTGCAGATGTTTGCCATGTTTTTCATTTTAATCTTCTGCTTTGATCAAATTATATAACAAAGGATAAAAAGTAATCGTTTTGTATTTGCCCTTCACAGAATCTGGTGGAGCAACAGTCAGTAAAAATTATGATATAAATGACCTCCCTGGGCCACCATCCAAACCTCAGGTCACTGATGTTACTAAGAACAGTGTCACCCTGTCCTGGCAGCCAGGGACCCCTGGAAGCCTACCAGCTAGTGCATATATCATTGAGGCTTTTAGGTATGTGAATTATACCACTTTTAAGCTCCTTTCTCTCTAATTTTGCTTAAACCCTGGTACCAGGGTTTTGTGGTGTTCTTTTGGATTCTGCACGTATTATTAGAAGCTCATTAAATGACTCATCTCCATAGAAGGAATTGATTCATATTCTTTACATTGATTTTTTGTAATTTATCACTTTTTTCTAAGTGATTAATTGGAGGACATCTAACTATTTCTTCAGGTCAACAGGAATATAACAGAACAATGAGGTAATTATTTGTCACTTTTCCCTTAACATTGATGATCAGTGAGAGTCTACTGTGGGAATGCTGCAGGTTCTTGGCTATCATAGTACATATAATTTGGAAATAAATTGGTAATCCTGAAAACCTCTGTGCAAAATTTAATTCTTGCTCTTGTTAAAGAAGTATCAATTAAGGAGTCAAAGTGCTTAAAATTTCTATTTTTTAATGTTTTAGATAGGTGAAAACTTCTAACTGAAAAGACTAGTATTGATAATTTAGGATTCTGTCCTTCAGCCTGAGGCTGCAAAGAATCCAGGTGCCCTCCTCCACACAGCAGCAGTTCTGTGTGGTACAAAAGAACTCCTGGGCTCCAATTCAGCAAGTTTGTTTGAGCATGCACCGTGCTCTGATGTGTATCTCTACATTTCAGCTTAAAAGTCTGCACCTTCTTAAATGTGTTCCTTGATCCAGATATTAAAAAAATTACAAATACTCTAAGTTCATCTCTAAGTTATAATTCATGCAAGAATTTTTCGTAATCATATGCATGCAAATTTTAGCTCAAATGTTACGTATGTAAAGAACAGTACAGTATTTGCAGTTTGTTGGTTTTGTTCTGGAACTTACTCTGTATGCATTGTGTGAATGAAGTGATTCAAACAGCATAAACATTGTAGCTTTCCATTTACTTTTTGCTTTTGATATATTTAAAGTTTTGGGGTTTTTTTTATGAATGCTGTACAACAAAGCATAGTAAAATAAAATTTTCTCTTTAAACTTTTCTGATGTTTCAACCTAGCTAAGCTTTAATGGCATCCCATCAATAACTTTTTAAAAAGCCATTTTCATTAAAAGCTGTTTTAGCAATCATATTTGAAATCTCTTCGTATGGTGGATTGCAATCTAATTATAATAATGTTGAATTGAAAATGTAGTGACAGAAAAAATATTCATATACTTTCCTCCATTTCAAAGCATGTTTTCAAAATTTATTTTTTAAACTTTGTGTGTGAATTTAGTTCAAGGAGAATGCTTTTCTTCCAATGAAAGTTTATTGACATAGTTTACTTAGCAGTATAGAAAATTATTCTTTCAAGAGAACTTTCCTTTCTAAGACTTTTGTTCAAGAGTAGCCTGTTTATCATTCAAATTTACTTTACAGCTTTCTCCACTTTCCTTTTGCAGGTATTTTAGAGAAATAGCAAAAATTTTTACTTTTATTGGAAAGAGAAATACTTTTGACAGCTGCATTATGATTTTTTAGCCTGTCTCAATGAACTAACGGAAACAAATATTTTTAATTTCATCCTGCTTTTAATACTTTTTGATGCCCTTAGAGTCGATCCAGGGTTACGAAATAGGTCCTTTCACATCTTTTTTTTTCTCTTGTCTTAGTTTATAATCTTCCACTCTGTTCTGGTTGCAGTCAGTCTGTGAGCAACAGCTGGCAGACGGTGGCCAACCACGTGAAGAGCACCCTGTACACTGTGAGAGGCCTGCGCCCCAACACCATCTACCTGTTCATGGTCAGAGCCATCAACTCCCAGGGCCTGAGCGACCCCAGCCCCATGTCAGACCCTGTCCGAACACAAGGTAAGGGGCGGTTTCCAGGCTGCTGGGCTTGAGCTAAAACAGAGAGAAGGAACTGTGGGCTGACCGATAGGCCAGTCCGGCCGCTTGGCTTTAGCACACTCGCTGAAGGAATCACGTCTTGAGCTTAACCAATGAGGCTGAAAGTAGCCCAGGTTTGCTGCATCAGTCTGGAGCTTAGGAGAGAAAGGTTAAGTCCTTAATCCTTTGTACAGTGTCGACCTTTTGGTTTGCAGTTCACTTAGACTCGATTTGCCCCTAGCTTCTATTGAAAGCAATGTGAGTTACCCAAGCACTCTGAACACCCTCCTCTCTGTATCCTTCCTCTCTGTGTCTTCTTCCTCTCCATTAGCAGGGATACTGTGATAGCAAGTGTTTATAACAGGCAAGACACTGTGTTTAGAATTAGTTTTAATCAAAAGAAATGCACAGCACGTGTTGATTAATCTGAGCCAACATTTAGGCAGAAAATTAAGGCATCTGCATGCTAAGAATATATAGAAGTTTTTCTGAGAAAGGTATGGGTATTCTATTTATATAACTTAATTTCTGATTTCTTTGTATTAATCCATTGCATAAACCAAGAGAGAAGGCTGAAGTGTTATCCCTCATTTGTAGGGTGGTGATAGGATTGGTAGCTGTGATCCTACTTCTCTACTGAATCAGCTACTGAAGTCTGTTCACTTCACATCGAGTTCTAACTGAATATAAGTGCTACAAATTTCCCTTCACATCAGGATTTTGGTTTTTTTTTGTTTTGACCAGACATTGCTTGAGTACTTTATTCAAGAGTGTAGTTCTATGTTAAACATGTAATACAGAAATTTATAATTCTTTGGAATCATGATTTTTCAAATCCAAAGTAATAGCTCCTGTCACAGTTAATCTATAATTAAGTCCTCTGTCTCTGTTTATTGTTATTCAGAGACTTCTATCTATGAAGATCTGAAGGTGCCCATGGAGAGCACATCCCAAATCAGTCTCCAGCATGTGCGTTTTAAGTTGTTTGGGTCCTTTGCTGGATGGGAAGAGATAGACAAGAGTAGGGTGGTATTTCTTTATCACACAACCATCCAGCTTCCCTCATCCCAGCCTAGTCCTGAATAAATCTGTCTGAATACTTATACCCTCAAAATAGTAATTATGTCTGGAAGAGGAAAACCAGAGCTGCCTTCTCAAAACCTGGAGGAGTGAGTTGTGCAGGGATTTCAAGGCCTGACTATCCATGGAGTATCACAAGTTTCCTTCTTTCTTATTTTCCCATTATTATAGGGTGACTCATGATTTCCTTGAAACAGCCTTTTAGTCTGCATAACTTATCACCTAGCTAAAAAAAAAAAAACAACTTTGTTTGGCATTTGAGTGTCAAGTATAGTCTTTTTATCTGACATACTGACAAGCAATTTGATTTCAGTAAAAACATGTCCTTTAATTAGCTACAGCATGTGTTGCAGCTTCCATTTCCAGAAGCTGTTTAGCAGTCAAGCACACTGAGACACGTACAGGATTTATAGCTTCTTTGCAAGCCTGCAGTTTAATAGAATTAAATCATAAAATCAATTGAAAATTAACATAATGTTTTGATGTGATTTCTAATTATGCCTGAATTCAATTCAGGCTCACAGAAGAAGCTGACACACAGTGGAAAGCCTATTCACAGTGGCCATGGAGAAATAACAAAGCAGCTATAGCAGTGCTATATTATAATAATTTGCAACAGGTGTCTGTGCTAGCTTTAATAGCTGAACATTTAATGTCCTAGTATTCAGTATAGCAAATACAAATAATAAGATTTCATGTAAATTTTCACCAGTGAACTTCAAGTAGATTAATTAGGTACTTTCAAAAGGTTTATCTTATACGACTTATGTGAAATTAGGACAGAGAAATCAGTAACTACTCCAATGAAGGAGTTGATTTCTTTCTGGATTATTAGTAGATGAAACCATATACTAAAAAAACTCTTCCAAAAAATTATATATATTCCTACCCCTGAAATCTAAATAATAACAAATGATAGTATATTCACTGAAAGCTGATAAAAGAGGTGTTAGAGAAAATATCTAACCAATTTAATTGTGATCAGGATTTAGCTTCTTGCAGCAGTTTTGCTTGAGTCATGATTCTATTATTCCAATACTTAATCATACCCTTAGAGATAGAGCAGCTGCTTTTCCACCAGGAGCCTCCCAGACATGTGTAAGTGACATTTCACTGGGAGCATCACACATGTTTTCAAGTGTACATACCAAAAAACTGAATTCCACGTGTACATCTTGGCATTCACTTTTTACTGTTATCAGTCCATGTTATGCTGTTACTTCTGGACATATGTGCCATTAAAATGATGGAATGCTGTTCATACAAACTACTTTGTGGAAATGTCTTTTCCTCAGAGGGAATACACAGGTACTTTGTTGGCTGGATACCACAGCATAAGTTAACCTAAAATGTAGTTATGGATAACTCTAGGTTTATTTTTTGTACCAAGAATCATAGCTTTTTGTGGATAGATGGATAAATGATCATCCTCTAGACCAGTCTGAGTCGCAGTTTTATTTTACAATATCTCTGTTTCTTGACTGCTTTGAATAAATGTAATTTGCAAGATGACCACCTTCACTGACACTCATGTTTGGATTATATTCCCTTTGGAAACCCATGGAACCATTTCATTTTGGATATCAATAGAGGCCTGTGGCAATATTGTTTATTGGTGACTCAACCATAACAATATGGAATTATGAATGTGAATTATTGAACATTAAAAACTTCCAATATCTGGAGATATATGATTAATGTTATATTTGAAGGTTTCATTCTTAAGAAAACTATTATTTCTTTTAAATAGCATTTAGAAGATAAAAAGAAATCATATGATTCCTATTCCCATATCTAAGTCCATCAGAAAGGGAAGAAACTCTTATGTATATATATTTTTCACAAGGACATGATGTTGATCCTAAAAATGAGGAACTGTCTTTGACTATTGAATCCTAAGGGAAGATCAAGCAGAATTCAGAGATGCCTAGACAGGCATGACCATAATTTATCAGTCCTGTTTTGAATATCTCTATAATCAGATTTTGACTAGAAGAAACAATTCCCTCACACACTTTGAAGGGCACATAATCTTGAAAAGAAAATTTTTGTGGTAGATTGTTTTTGTTGGCCTTTTACTAGATGAGAATTAGTTTGGCTTCCTAAATTAAATCTTTTTATTTTCATGTTTGCACTAGATTTCATTAGCTATGTCTGTTAAGGGAAAATGTGCTTTGCAGGGGAAAATGCTATTTTTAGTATTTGGTTTCTTGTGTGCATGGCATGTGGGCAGAGGAAGCTTAGTGGAAGTTTGGAAACATATAATGACTTAATGTCATGTGTGCTCTAGCAAAATAAAAAAAACACTGTTCATTTTCTTCAATTATGCTAACCAATTTGGTTCCAGACATCTGTGCAGCATTATTATTATCTGAATACTTTGGAACTAGTGAGCATTGCATCTCTCTCATTCTTTACCAGAGCTGAGAAAACTTTGCTATTTTGTCAGATTACTCCTTTAAACATATTAATATTTCATGATTTCTTAAGTGGCTAGAGGTGGATGGTTTGTTTGCATTATTTGATATTTGTTTGTGTTTCAACCTTAGTGTTGTATGCTTTTTTTAAACAGTGCTATAAAAGATGTTCAAGTCAGGCCATTAGGCTACTCAGCAAATTTTATTGATGCCATATATAGCTCTACTCATTAATGTGATGCTTTCATATGTGTGCCTGGCAGATATCAGCCCCCCAGCACAAGGTGTGGATCACAGGCAAGTCCAGAAAGAGCTGGGAGATGTCATTGTACGGCTGCATAATCCTGTTGTGCTGACACCCACGACAGTGCAAGTCACCTGGACGGTAAAGCTTCTGCTGTTGTTACCCTAACAGTACTTTCAGTCTGCTTATTTTGCCTATTTATTATCTAGAAAAGATTCCAAAGAAATGTGAGTGCTCTGACAATCTAACATACAGCAGTGTGTGTGTGTATGTATATGGTCATTTTCTTTTCAGGTCAGGCAGGTTCAATATCTTCAGTCTTCTGCTTGAAGCAAGTTAGCTGTCTGACTAGGAAAAAGTTATAAAAATGTGTATGCTCAAAGGATAATTGATCTGTGGATTCATTATGCTGCATGTCAAAAAATAATCAAAGTGAAATATCAACAAGAAATTGCTGTATGAAAAAGTACTTTCTGCTTCAAGTCTTAGTGACCTCTGACAATACCCTATTATTTAGTGACCCAGAAATCAAAAATATCTCTCCTACAGAGCACTTGCAGTGAAGTCAGAAGCATGTGGTGCTAGTGCCTGACACACTGTGTATCATCTGGTTTTGCAGCACAAGCCTTACCCACAATGAGTGGCTATCCTTTCATTAGAGAACACCAGAGTTTTTTGGGCAGTGCTTAACATTTCTATTTGAGGGGTCAAACTACTGGGTAGAATTTCTAATATAGTGTTTGGCTTTCAAATTGCTCTGTTTCCCTTCCTGAGCCTTGATGGAAAGGATTTGTAAGAGTAGGAGAGAATTCCCAGGGCTCTGCACACCAGAAAAGAGTGCTGTGCTCTTGGGACATCTGCCCAGAGGAAGAAGAACCACGAGTGGAAGAGAGAGAAAAACTGCCCTGCACAACATCAAAACAGTTGTATTCTATAGGATGAATTCTGCTAAGAGGGCATTCACAATACTCAGGGATTTTCTTCTACATGTCGTATTGCAAAGAGCTTAATGTGTGCAGGGGATTATACAAGAGGAGATAAGAAGTGTGATGATAGATTGTGTATTATAAGGATTACTGTTGTTTCTGCACAACTCAGCCATTATTACGGAGGCTTATGCACCATCCTTGTTCTGACAGATTTCAGTGGTCAGGGTACAGATTAGAATAAATAGAGAAACCCACAAATTTGTCTTTCATGGAAGATTATTTAGAGCATATGTCACTGCATTTTGCCATCAATGATGTCAACATGCAGCTGGGCTTTCTTAAAATGCTGAACGTTTCAGCAACAATTCCTCCAGAACAAGCTGACTAACCTTTGTGGCTAACCCTTTTGCCCAAGCAGATGGATCAATAGTAGAAACTTGGGATGTTAGCAGAGAGTAATTGTAAACCTGGATCACATCCATGTGGTGCTCCTTCAAGTCCTCTTTTGGGTGTGACATCTATCAGAAACACAGATTCATAGGCTGGGCCTTGCTTTAGCATGTAGTACAAAAGGAAGCTCCAATATAAACAGAATTCAGTTTTATAGCGTGTAACCAATGTAATTATATTTTAAGTATTTATATTATATTATATAATATTATATATATATTAATTTTATATATATGTGTGTGTATGTATATGCATTTGTGCATGCATGTGTGTGTGCTATATATATTCCTCTAAAAGAATTTCCTGGTGCCCCTACTGAACAATGAGTGAAGAAATGGTACTGTAAAGACAAATTGTTGAAAAAGCTATGGATACCAGCTCACTGGGAAGATCCCTCTAAGCAGTGACCCTGTGCCACCTGACAAGCACAGAGACCTCTGTAGAGGCATTTTGGAATTGCCCAGGGGAAGAAAGACACAAAGAAGGATCTCTGAAGCAGCTAATTGGAAACTATCCAGCAACCAGAACAAAACCAATTAATTAACCATAGTCTCTAGGAAAAAAACCCACTCTATCCAGAGAATAAAGTCCACACTATTAACATAAAATGGATAGATAGTGTAGCTATCATACAAAAGGACAGAAGTGCCATGAGAGTCATAAGTCCCTTTGTGTTGGCTTTATGCAGTTCAAAGGGTGAATGCCAAGGAATGTCCTTGGTTACTGACATTCTGGCATCCTGACTCACAGCAAATTAACACCACTTTTCTTCTACCCTTTATGAGATTGTTTTGGTTTTGCTTTCTCTTTATTTTTTTTCTAATTTGAGTTTAAATTTTTGGAAATCTTTTCCTGTGGCTGTGTTGCAATTTTAAAATATGCACATACATAGACACACATACTTTAAAAAGAAGGTCAGGTTTACAATGTCAGTGTTAAAAAATAAGAAGAGGAATGTCAAAAGTTTGGTTTTTATTGCCACTTAAATTTATTCCTCTTGTGTATAGATATTAAAATATAGCTGTAATTATCTGGTCACATAGAGGATCTCTTCTTCATGGAGCTATTAAACATTTCTTTTTATCTTCTTTATTCTCTGTGTGGTGCCAGGTCTTATTAAATTCATACCATTGAAACCTTGCATTGAATAAAAAATTATTATTTTGTCTCACATGCTTGCTTATCTGTCATGCTCTCAACTGTAACATTTGTGTGCTTCTCAAATAATACTGAATTTAACATCACAATGATAAAAATGTGTCATTATCCTAACTTTACACATAGAGAGGTGAGGTGCAGAGATAGTTATTGCTGATGAGACTTGTGGAGACAGATATGCCCACTGTTATCAAATGGCTAATTTTAAGCCCTGGACATGATTTATTTTTACTTTCATTAAAACATTTCATATTGCAAGAGCATATTCTGTTCTCCAAGAGCTTTTTTAGCTGACCTCAACTCTGGGTCAGCACTTCTAGCCTCAGTGGGCATTAAACTGAAAGTTTCATTAGTGACCAAATATGAAATGTTCCCCGGCACTATAAAGAAGCCCTGTGGCACAAGCAGGAATAAAAAAATCAATTCTTCAACATGCCAAAATTATTGCTGCTTGGAAGGAAATCCTGACTGCCTTCTAGGAAGCTACCAGGCAGAAGGGTCATTTATTTACCTCTGGTTTTTAATTTGATGTAGATTTTAAATGAATGTACTTCACTGGAAGCTTCAGGAGTCAAGTCCTTCAGACAGTCTTCCAGATTATCATCCCCATTTGCCTTGTTCCTGTAGGATACAGAAATGCTAGTGTAGTTTGAATTTCCAGAGACTCCTGTGAGCCCATGCTAGGGAGCTCAGCACAGCATGCAAGCTACTCTGCCCAGCTGGAGAATTGCAGTGAGAGCAGAGGATTTCTTAGGATATTTTTGGATAGAAATTTGCATGCTACAGAGCATATTGCAAAATGTATTTAGGGTGAAGATTAGCAGGTTTGTCTGAAAGGAGCTTATATCTGCAGCATAAGCTGCATTATGAGTTTCTTGCCATCGTTTTAACAACCTAATAGCCATTGAACCAGTCTTGTATTCAGCTGTGGCATGTGCAGGGAAAATGAGCTTCCTCTTCTGCAGAAATGGCTTTGTAGGTGCCTCCTGCACCTTGGACTCATCGTGAGAGGGGGTGAGAAGGAGCACACAGGACCAAATCTGCTTGTAGATCTCATTAGGCCAGTGCTGATCACCACCTACCCAGGAACTGCTCTCTCCTGCCTTTTAGAGAAGCATCTGCATGTTCTGCCATGTCCTTTGAGAGAGCAAATGTGTGGGGCTTTTTTTGCATCTGTTGCAGATCTTTTGAGTTGATATCACGGACTAGAAATATTCTCTTATCCCAGAGAATATATAACAGAGAATTCCTGCAATTGCTGAAATAATGCTGTGTAATTTGTGTAAGGAAGTAGCAACCATTTACATTCTTTATCCTTTCATCAAGCCAGAGTGCATGTTTCTGCAGCTCTGCCTATGTGTGAATGGGTGCCAAACTTGGAGCTGCATAGCTGAATAAATGTCTTTAATGCTAAGCAAATAAGGATATTTTTAGTAATCTGCTCATGGCTTGACACATCATTACCCCAGAAATGGAGAAAATTGTGAAGTCACAGTCACTTTGTATTATATTTGGGCAACTGTAGATAGACATACACACGTGTGCACATGTGCATGTGTGTATATGTGAAATACACCTGTCCTACCCCTCACAAATATTTTCTGTTAATCCATGTAATTATCCAAGGGTAATCTTTTTATTAGTTTGAAAACTCTGAACAAAGCAAAAAAATCCACCTTTCTCTGTAGGTGTCCTCTGAGTAGTTTCCCAAAATTCTGACCTTACAGAAAGCCCTGTTCATTCAAACTAGCTTTAATTGGGTATGAGGGACAGCTTCATATCCTCTCCTTGATACTCAGTGTGACTGAATGTTTATAGAAAACATTAAAAATGCTCTTGATATTTTCTTTTGTCAGTACCCTCCCAGATTCTGAATGATGAAATCCCTGTCAATAATCTGATATTTGGGCACATCATTCTGCCCTGCTGTAATCAAGCTACTAATTGAAAGCTGTGTGAAACTCAAGTGAGCCCCAAATCAAGCTAGTTTATAGCACCTGTAAATGTGACAGCCTTGTGGTACTATTGCATTCTGCTTTCATATTCTTTCTATTGTTTAGTCTTTCAAGTGAAGATCTTAGAGGTCTTGGAAGAAAATTTGTATGGAAGCAGATACAAAATTTGAGGGACTGAAAATTTGGATTTTTTTATATTGTCTTGAGGTCCCACTCTTCACAGTGATTTGGGGGCTAGGTTTGTGTTTGTACCGTTCAGTACAAAACTGTGTTGTAACAACACAATGCTGCTGTTCAATCAAGTCAATTCTGAATTTTCAGTTTTCTCCACTAGGCAGCAGTCAGTAGAGCTTAAAAATAGAGCAAAGACAAAATGGAAAGTTCTAACAAAGTTATGCCATCTTTCAGTGTGGCTTCTAACTCAGAAGTAAAACAAGAATCAAAATCAGTGTTTGATTATTAAATATCATAAGCTTGTATTGTAATTTAGGTTTACAATCTGTGTTACAAAGTGGATGAAAGCATTATTTTTGCTGAATTTTGTAGTAAACGTGAGGTTCATAAAGTCTTTATATCCATAAAACATTTAGTTAATCAAAGTCAAACATGGATAAAAACAGTTTACTCTGATTTACAGACTCCCTTCATCTGGAAACAGCTGCTTAATGTTCTTCTTAAAAACACAGCTTGATTCTTTCGGTATTAACAAGCTATTATTGTGAGTTATATCCCTCTTTCAGTGCATAAATTCAGTTAAAGTGAATGCAGAGAAGTTTATAAAATGCAGGCTTAATGTTGTTGTAACATATGTTGCAAGGTTTTTAACAGTGACAGTTTTGATGAAAGACATTTCTGCCTTGCTTTCATAAATAAAGCTTTCTTCTTGCTTGCCTTGCTTTTTAATGTCTAAGAATCTGTGTCCTTTCTGAATGCCTCAATAAGAGTAACAAGATTATAGGAGGAGCATAATGGACCATGGTTTGTGTTTGCAGCCTTTAATTCATTTATTCTTAAGAGAAGTCAAACAAATGTTTCTCTAATTCTGGAATATCTTTGAGCAGGCAAATTGACAAGAACATAAGAAATATTCTACTTGTTGAGTCTTAGTTATAACACAGAATTACCAAACAGCCAGCTGTATAGTCTTGTTATTTGTGCTACACTTTCCTTGCTCCTGATTTAGCAGCTACAGAAGCAGCTGGGTTTGGTTTACTTTTAGCAATTAGATCAGTTTTGGTTTTTTGGGTTGTTGTTTTTTTTTTTTTCCCCAAGAAAAATTTGTACAAGAATCATAATGACTTGTTTTTCAGGTATTTTTTTTGAAGATAAATAGATGCACGCAACCTCTCCTAGATAAAATACATATAAAGGTTTTCTTCAAATAAAAATACTATTTATAGGATAAAATTGTTAAACTTCCATGGTGCAATCTTGAATTCTGCTTGCCTAGCAACAAATAAAACATAAACCAAAACCAACATTCCATCTCCATCTGATGGCCTGAGAGCATCACAGCCCCAGGATGCAAAGGGGCTGCTCAGGCTGTGAACAGAAGAAACAGCATATGTCTTTGGAAATTGTTTTTTCTGCATCTGTCTTATGTTTATTTTAATTTGCTGTGCATTTCATGAGCTGTGAGCCAAGTAATGGACTAATTGTAAGCATGCAGGCTATCTTCAAAGACTTGACCTTTTCTGAAAAGAATTTGTTTTTCTTTTCTTCTCCTGTTTCGGCACATCAGTAGCCAAGATGTGCTTAGTAAGTTTACATGCAGCAAGCCTTATGCCAAAGTTTGCTTTTCATGATTTATTGCAGGGGTGGGGGCCTTGTTTTATGATTTAAGGTGGTATTTGTCATGATACATAGAGCTGAAGGAAGCAAAACAGAAAGAAATATTCTGCAACCAGTAATGTGAGACAAATGCTCCTTCTAGACAATTAATCAACAGTGATTTACAAGAAGGTAGTTAGATTATTAAATTCAGCATCATAACTGTGAATTTTCTCTTTTTGATGAGAGCAAAATTTTTCTAGGCAACTGTTTTGTTTTCTTTTTACACAATGGGGTTTTTTTTGTTGCTTTTTTTTGTTTATTTGAATATGTTTACTGATGTATTGTTTATTGTCATTTCTAGGTGGACCGGCAGTCCCAGTTTATCCAGGGCTACCGGGTCCTGTATCGCCAAACCTCCGGCCTGCCTGCTCCAGCTGTGTGGCAGAACCTGGAGGTCAAAGTCCCCACCGAGCGCAGCGCCGTCCTCGTCAGCCTGAAAAAGGGGGTCACTTACGAGATTAAGGTCCGCCCTTACTTCAATGAGTTCCAAGGGATGGACAGTGAATCCAAGTCTGCTCGTACCACAGAGGAAGGTTGGTAAAAGGGGCAGGAAAGCAAAGAGATTTCATAGCTGACTCTGGAGGTTATTCTGTGTGTGCATGTGTTCATCTCTTTCTTCCACGTGATTTCTGTTTGTTACACACCAAGGTGACATTAAAATTTGATATGATATTCAGCTTTGTGCTGTAAATATCCCCTGAGAAAGCACTGTACTGGTCTTATATTCTTCTAGCTGATACATCCTTCTAAGGTACAGGTGGCTTTTGGTCTTCCAAAAAGTGTGCACTGCAGCCCTTCTTTTGTAACCACTGCTGCTGCAATAAAAGACTTTGGTCTGCACTTTGAAAATAAAATAAATGCAAGCTCTCACAAATGAGTGTTTGATACTAAGCACATCTTTCTGAATGGGTAATAATGTAGATGAGCAGTTGGCTGGGAAACGAGGAGTAGTGAAGGACATATATTTAACTAGTCTGGAGAAACTCCAGTCTCAAGGGCACACCACTTCACAGTTTCTGTTAGCTCAGTGTTCATAAAACTGCCCTGTTCCGTGCTGCAGAGGATTCCCCTGAGCACCTTTCAAGCCTCACTGAAACAGTCAGGATTCAGAGTGAACAGTTTATACTTCTGAAATGCTCGAGCTTTTATATCCATAGCATATAGCCTCGTATATAGCTGTGCTAAAGCATGTGCACTCCAGGGCTGCTGGGTTTTTTTGTTGAAAAGTAAAGACACTGGGGTGAGATGTCAGTAATTTTAATCACTTGCTTTTAGAAAACCACCTTTTTTTTACCTATCTAATGCAGTCTTTGCATGGAGAATCTCTCCTGTAAAAGTAGGATGGTCCTAACAGTAAAGGTTCATCTCCTCTCTGTGTCACTGATTTTTTTTAATTTTATTTTTTTTTAAGCAAGAAAAAGAAATATTGGTGAAGTTTTAAAATGTTCATATGGTTTCAATGGGTTTTGAGTGCACTCTTTCTTTCCTACTGAAAGTGCATCTTAATCATTTACAGTAGTCTCCTGAGGTTTAATTTAGTGCTGATTGCCAAGTACTCTTTAATTCTAGAACAGACTTGCTTATTACTCACTTTCCTCTTTGATTTGTTATGATTATTACCCAACATGTAAGTAAAACTGAAGATAACTCAGTTGCACTTTGCATTTCATGGAGGAGGAAATTCAGTGTCCTGCAACATGTAGAAGAGTGTGCAGGAAGGCAGTTTTCAAGTGGAATTTGGAATTTGGGATTTTATGGTCCCCAGATTTTTGTTCAAACTATAAAACCTAAATGAGTCGGTGAAGAATATGTTTGCAGCACTCTGAACAAAGTTTTTTTTTTTTTTTTTTTAATAAAAAAGAAAATTTTAAAAAGATTTCTACAGGTGAATTTTCTTCTCTGGGATTAAAATGTGGGATTTTGTCCTCTCACTAGCATATTTTCCTCTAGTCAAATTTCAGCTGTTTTTTGGTGTTTATTTAGTTAATCTAACTGCCTCTTCCTAAAGGTAAAATAAGAACTAGAGAAAAAAAAGGTCTTATACCTCCTGTCTATTTCTATTAAATACTTGAGGAATGACATTCTCGTTTATAAGCCTTAGCTCCCAGCAGAGCCTGTCAGGTAATTTCCTACCTTAAAGGACACTTTGTTCATGTGGAATAGCTTTCCACATAGTGAAGATTTAAAAAAATATTCCTGCCTGCAGATATGTATAAGTCACAGCCTAGGATCTGCTTTGTAGATTAATATAACCTTAAAAGAGTCTGTTTACAAGTATCTCCTCTCAAAAAAAATATTGTAATATTATCACCAGAAAAATGTCAGCTCCTGTAAAAAATTCTTCCTCTTCCTTGGGTGATAAAATTAGGTACTTCCATGAGAAAATTAAGACATTCAGTAGATGCAGTTCTACAGATATTTCCTTTAATTCCTCCTATTATCTTTGTAGTTATATTGGTGTTCATGTATTTCAAAAATAGTATCAACTAAGTGTCTAATGACGGTGGTTTGCTCCTCTTCCACTGAAGGGAGATGACAGTCTATTTAAGTCTGTGTTGACTGTGATTCCATTTCGAAAATGAGCTTTTTTTAGCCTTGACTTTTAAAAAATGTCAGCAATACTAATTTTAGAAAATAATTTGCAAAAGTGATACGAGTGTTGGAAGTTTTTTTTGCAACATCAAAGCAAATATCCCTGGTAAAGGCAAAGTACAACTAAAAGGTAGTGGCAACTTTCTGCTGGATTGGATTTTACATGCAATGTTACTTCTGAGGCCTACCTTTAAAAATCAATTTTGCTGCAGTTAGACTTTTCCTCTAGATCAGACATTTGTCACAGTTCAGTATCCATCCATCTCCTGCCTCTTTGGCCTTGTGAAAGTAACAAATGGAATTCTGTTTGGCTGCGTCTGGAAAAGATGAGCAGCGATTTGGGTTCTTTCATATCTGTAAGAAGAAGCTGAGCACTGGAATAATTGACCTGTCAAGAAGCAGGCAAGGTGTTCTCCACAAGCCAGCAGCAAGGGAAATGAGAAAAGGGTTTTAAAAATGTTATTTTTCAATGTGATCTATTTAATAACTGCAGTAGTGTCAGACAAGTGGCTTAATTTATATCACAGTGCCAGCTTACAGAGTGATATTATCAGAGAGAGGAAGCTGAACTGCTACATAGAAACATGTGTACATGCCTACAGTGGGAGCTAAATCAAAGATTTTATTTTATAATTTTCACTATTTCTTTCATACTTTCTCTAGAGACAGATGATTTTTATTTTATTTTATTTTATTTTATTTTTAGTTGCATCCACTGTTAAATCTCCTTTGGAATAACATTGTGGAGTAGTACTTGACCTGCATCTTGTTTGTCACCACAAAAATATGACAGGAAGGGAGGTCTCCTTAGCTTTTATCAGCTGCTTTTGTCAGTTTCTCCTCACCTTAGAGCAGTGCCTAAAATGATATTTCCACAGCTGCATTCATTATCTGCAATTTTAATTTTGCTTCAAATTCATCCTATGTCCTCAAAAAACCTCAAAGAACACTAACACACATTGGTAGAATATTAACTAGAATGTTCATGCAGTTTAAATGAAAAAAACAAATGAATACAGTATGGTTTTAAAAAAAAATTTAGAGTATGGTATTTATTTTACATTTCTTTTGCATTCACACTTCCTTCTCCCCCCCAGGTATGTGCATATAAGACATATTTCTGAATGCCTTTTTTGTTTCAGTAATGAAAGTAAATATATTTGAGCAAGTTGTTCCATTGTACTTAAAACCAAAAATGAGTTGTGCAGTGTTAAGCTTTGCCATTTTTATGATTATTATTTTCACATAAAATATTCTAATTAATATCACACACGTACGTTTATTCACAGTTCTGTTGTTACTGAATAACTTGAAGACTTTTAAAATGCTAATTTTTTTAACTGTGTGGCAAATTATTTCACTTGCCATAAAATATACAATACATCTATTTATTTCACCAATTTTAAGCTTTGCACGATTGCAAGGAGTAGCCCAAGGCCATTTTCCCATGCTTCATTCAAGCTGGCTAAGAGTCAAATTTCCCACAATACAGCTCCATTTCTCCCCTCCAGTTCACTGTTTCTCTGCATCAAGCAAGGTCACAAGGACTCTACTAAGCACTATTAGCTCTGCAGCTGAACCTGCATCTGAAAATGCAGTTGTCGAAATGTGAAGCCTCCCAGGACTGTAATATGTGTTTCATTTTTCATCTAAAATATTTTTTTTTTTCCTGCTGTAGTCTTGTATGGTTCCTTGTCCTCACCTCTGATACCCGAGTTTGAAGTTGTGTGATCCTTGCAGCAGAGCACTCCAAGTTTTCAGGGTTATCAGGATAAAGATTTGAGCTCTTCTCCATGAGGCTGTGCCAGGTCAAGTGCTGAGGAGCTTCTGACGTGGGAGCACAGCCAGCCTCAAAGAGGCTGTGGAGAACAATAGGAATGTCTGAATTGACTCAGGAGACTCAAACACTCCTGATATCTGTAGCTGTGTTTATTTGTGTTAAACCTGCCAGACCTCAATACAAAGATGCCAGGGGCTCTTGGCTTTTCTGGGAAGCATGGTCCAAGGATAGGCATGGGCTCAGGGGTATCTGTAAAGGATAAGATTAGAGTTATATTGCCATAAAGTTTAGCAGTGAAGAAGTCACTCTGACCAGGGGTCTGGAGTCAGGGAGCCTTGACATATTATTGAAATGCCCCAGAGCACATTGTCATCGAGGCTTGAATTTGGGGCAGGAGAGTGATAAATATTTTAGGTTCTGATATGATGTCTATTATAAGTTTTCAAAATCAGCTTTCATATTTCATATGAAATGTTTTAAGATCAGATTAAAAGCAATGAAAAATATGTGGAAGACAAATTCCAGAAGTATTTATTAAACACAAAGACACCTCTCTAGAACAGAAGGTGTCCAAGCAATAGAACAGGCTCCTGTGAACTGGAAAATTGTCCTGGAGAGGTATCACTCTATGCTTGCTGTATTAGTTCACACTTTTCCGGCCTCTTTCTATTAGTTTTGTTCAAGACTGGCTAGATGGACTGGGAGAGATGGAATAAATAAATTCTAGGACCAGTTCCAAGCAGCTGCTATCCATCAGCTTTTCCCCCCAGGGACTATACCTTAATATAATACAGTCGACCTCGGTGGCCTAGCTCACCACCGTGGTGGAGTTTCAGCACTTGCCTGGCAGCAAGGGAAGGATGAGGGGGGGCTGCAAGAAGTTTCAGGTGGCTGAGCAGGGCCATATTGACATTCCTTTGCCATGGCAGCCACAGCCATGCTGAGAGAGCCCTGTATGGATGCAGCAGATGCTCACAGAGGAGACTTTTCCATAGCAGAGCTCCTGCACCACTTCCCAGGCAGCGTGTCCTGAGCCAACAGAAGCACGCTGCTGCTGGTGAAGCTGCAAGAGGGGCTTTGCCAGCAGAGCTCTGGTCACTAATAACTATGATTTTCTTTCATTTTTCCACGCTTCTAGACAACATGCAGGGCTGGCAAGCAGTTGTCTTGTAGAATTGGCCTTAGTGTGCAGTGACCAGCCAAACAGCTGTGAATGGTTGAACTGAGCAGGACTCTGAAGAGAATGCAATTTACCTAGGGGCAGAAAAGGACATAAGTATATATGTGACCTAACTGAGCACCTGCTCTATTCACTGGTATTTGATGTAAAGCCATGAACATTTTAACCCTTTTCCAGTTCAGAGTTGCAAGTTCTATGTTTAAACCCGGTATTGTCTTCCTGGAGAGCAAACAAAAAGGGACATTAAATGCTGGCTGCTCACATCATTATTAGATCATGTAAAAATAGAAGAACCAAAACAGTTTTCAGGCCAGGTGAAGCAGCCACACATGTGACTTATTTGATATATCCATAGTTATTCATGCATATTATGGAAAACAAGGGCAAACACGAGAACAATACCAGTGCAAGCTTAAGAATTGCCAAATATAAATAAATGAGGAGTGATTTGTATTGATTCTCCACTGCCACAAATTCCACATTGTCATTCAGCCCTATGCTTCTCTTCAGAGGGGCATTTTTCAACATTGTCAGTGTCTGACAAGTGCACATCCCTAGGCCTGCAGAAGAGTGAGAGTTTTCTATACTTTCTGCTTGCTCTTGCACTGCTTCAGCAAAATCCGTGCCCTAGCAAACGAATTAATGCCTTGCTTCTGTTTGCTCCCTCTCCTTGGTGTAGCCCCAAGTGCTCCTCCTCAGTCTGTCACTGTCCTGACAGTTGGAAATCACAACAGCACGAGCATCAGCATCTCCTGGGATCCTCCCCCTCCAGGGAAACAGCCTGCTTGAATTACAGAACAGTACCACTGTTTATGGATTTACATTCTCACAGCATTTACAGTTGCCCATATAATTATATGGAGAAAGAGGACTGACTGCTTATGGATTTCTTTATTACTATTATTATTATTATTATTATTATTATTATTATTACTACTATTACTATTATTACTATTATTATTACTATTATTATTACTATTGTCACTACTATACTGTTACATTAAGAAGCAAAAACACCATGAGATTGATATGAAAGGAGCTGTAATTTCTAGCCAGTTTGCAGTTCTTATCTTTCTAGCTTTTCCCTGCTGTGGAACAAGAGGAGTGGGTATTTTTGGAAAGGGGCTTCTGTACTCTAAGGACAGGCAGTGAAGTCCCTCTCTTGGAATGCCTTCAATCTGGCAGCAAAGCTGGCAGGAAAGTTTCTTCTCATTTCCTCTGCAAAAATGCTAATCCTAACACTTCCAGGTCAAAGTCAAGGACTGTGACTTTGGGATAATTCAAGACTTTTTCCAAGTACTATCACTGTCAAGTTTCACAATTTAAAGTGCCAGGTTGCTTGCTCTGAGAAACAGGTTGAACACAAGCAGTATATCCAAAGTTTGCTGCATGAGAATTGCTTGCGTTGGTTGTATTTTCTTCCTTTATGTTACTATGATGGCTCAAAATATCCACTCCTTATACATTAAATGTTGTTGTAGCCTGTAATTTCATACTAAGATCACTTTTGCACAAGGATATTTTCCCAACATTTAGAAAAAATGCACTCTGTTATGCAGGTGGAGAAAATAATTGGGTGAGGTTCAGCCTTGTCACAGCATGGAGCTCAGTTTGGTAAATTAACCTTACTGTGGCTTGCTTATATACACCAAGTGTGAAATGTTTAATTGAAATGGATCAGGGCAGCTTTCTTGACAGTCCCACAAAGGGTGGAAGTGGTGACTGCAGCTTATTTCACATAAAAAGATTTTTTTTTCCCCCTTTTGTGTCATGAGGGAACACAGCATGAAGAAGGGAGAAAGTGCTTGGCTTCTAAATCAGATAGTGGTTCAACCTATTCCAGCTTTTCACTTGGTCAGGGGGATGCAGTAAATGCTCACAATGTTTATGTTTAGCATAGCAATTCTTTTGTTTTCCTTTTAGTCAATATCAAGATTTATTAATCCCAGTATTTTATTGATCTATTTTTCATATGAATTAATAATTATCCTTTGGCTTAATTAATCTTGATCCTGACTCAAGTACAAGTCAATATAAACCATCCAGGGCTTATAGGGAAATGAGTAAAGCACACTCCTAAACCACTAAACATGTAGATATGAAGCAAGTGGGCTGATGGCTCATGAAAGCCATGTTCCAGGTGAGTGCTCAGCCTTTGGGCTGTGTATAAAACCAGCTGGAGTCACTACCTATTACAGCCCTCCTGTGTTAGGTTAGGTGGCTGCCTCAGTAGTGAACTGGCTACAGTGAATGGTGCAGAGAGTCTAATATTTACCTGAGTATAAAATAATTGTTGAAATTCCACAGTGCATTTTCTAGCAAATTGGAAATAGATCTGTTGATTCCAATTCAAGCATCGGAATGCCTGTAAATTCATTCATGAATTAAATGCTTTTAAGTAGGGACATCTCACAGCTGTTGTAACCTAAGACCAGGACAGACAAGGAGTGAAGGAATGAATGCAATTGTTACTCACCTTAATGCATTCTGGCTGGCAAATAGGATCACTTTAGGTTTAGGAAAACAAGAGAATTTTTTTCCTTTTCAAATCTTTCTCAGCACTTCACAGAAGAAAGAGCTAAAGTGTGGTAAAACACTGAACAGGGTCAAAAGTAAGTGCAAAGATATTATTGCTGTTGTTTAGATGCATTAGTTTCTCCCTGATAGTGGTTCCACCAATAGTGTTTTCTTCTGCTGTTATTTTTATGTTCGTGTACATGTGATATATTTATGCATTGATTTTCCTGTGTGGTGGTAAAAGCTTTCTTTAGTAATACAGGAGCAAGATTTGCAGATAGCCTTAACTGAAGAAACATGCCTAGAAGTTAGTTCTGAAACCTCTTTGGAGAATCCTATAAAAAAATGCAAGAGGGAGACATGACATTCTGAACTCATAGACTGTTCTCATCACAAAATGCCAGTTGTGATTTTAGGGTGGATTTTCTGTTTAAGTAGGTAATATTTAAGCGGGAAACTGATGTCTGGATTCCTAAACAATGTAAATAATCACAGAGGCAGCAGTAAATGTGAGCCTGTGTTTATTCAGAAATTCCAAATATGCCTCTTGCGCATGAAAGGAAGTTGAAATGAATTTTGAAAATTGTTTGTTCTTTAGTGCTTTAAGAAGTGTTCCAACGTGTGGTCATATATTTGGTATCCTTTTGCTGTTCAGCAGGAAATTTAGAAGGAAAAATTGTTGGTTTTTTTAACAAATAGTTTGATAAATAAGATTCTGATTAATGAATAACACCTCTTTTCTATTTGGATGATCTGATCTGTGCTTCTAAGAAGTATAAGCACAGAATTTTCACTCCATGGAGAGCCAGAGTCCAGAAAGGTATTTGCAAGCAGTCTTTGCAGCAGGCTTGGTCCTGTGCTAGTCTGGGATACCTTGCTGAGCTAAATCATCCCAATTTCAGCTATCCTGGACAGTAAGACTGTCAAGAAGTCCCAAATAAGTGACTGCCATGAAATACCTTGATATGTCATATCTATGTGCGATTGTGTGAGTGTGAAGAATTTTATCTATTTTAACACATCAACTTTTGTCCCAGATCTGGTGCCTAGGTAATGAGACTCGATTTCATATCAACAAAACAGTAGATGCAGCCATTCGGTCTGTAGTAATAGGTGGCCTATATCCAGGTATCCAGTACCGTGTGGAAGTTGCTGCAAGCACCAGTGCAGGTGTGGGAGTAAAAAGTGACCCACAACCCATAATAATTGGTAAGTTATTGTCTGTTCTGTTGTTCTGCTTTGCCTGTTTGTTGTTGTTTGTTTTTTTTTTTCTCTCAGAAATGCTTTCATACATCACATCTAGAAGCATAAAAATTTGTGGAGCAAAAGACAAGATTTGACTAGAGCTGGTTAGTTAGCTTTTTCATCCCCCTGCCTGATGATGGCTTGCTCTTCTCTTCCTGCAAAGTTCTTGCAAACAAAGGGAAGCATGTTCCCAAGACATATGAGAAAATGCAGATTGCCTAATGAAACTGATTTAATGTTTTTGTTTGGTTTTTTTTAAATGCATTTACCACTTCTGCAGGTTGGTAGATGTGTGGAACAAGCAGCCCAAGCTCCCTTTTCCCTCTGTTAAGATGGCTGGAATATTGCCTTACTCATTCCACTGGTGCCTAAGGCAGTATTTAACATTGTTTTCTGAATGTCTAAAGTCAGTGTTTCTCACGTAATCCAAGGACACAAGCCTCCTCTGTCAAAGAAATAGTGATCTCTAGACCAATTAGAGAGCAAAGGTAGCATTATCATCCCAGCCTTTGAAATAGTTGTTTCTTGATAGTAGTCTCCATGTAGAACTAATTTCCTGACCTGAGGGAAACACAAGTTTTGTTTCTTTTGAAATTTTCCCCTGAGTATAAATATAAAGGTAGTAACAATATGGAAGATTAGAAGAAATTATGTTTAACAAACTTGAAATGAGCTGTGCAAAGCAGCACCTCAGGAATTTTGTTGCCTTTTTTCTATGTGATCTAACTTGGTTATTACTTAAAGGGACTTTTGTTTGTTTGTTTATTTGGGGAACTTCTGTTGTTACTAAGTATTTTCTTTCTAGAAAATGTTGTCAGTACACTGTCCCAAACATGGACTAGTCTATTATGTGCAGACCCGTAGAAAAGACTGTCCCATAAGCATTGCTTAAATGTTTATTAATATTCAAGTTCCTCATTCATCAAAACAGAAGCTAGGATACTTCAGCTGTGAAGTCTCACAGGAGACAGAAATACAAGAGTGGCAGTGAAGATAGCACTTGGTTTAGATAAGGGAGCCACAGAAACACTAAAGATGGAAAAAAGATATGTAGAAGTGAAAACAAAAAATTGATATTTGAAAATGCAAGAAACCCAGGACTTTTTTTTTTTTTTTAATTTCATTAAGGGGTCCATCTAACTAGGCATGAAATATACTGCACTTATTCCAGCAAAGGACAATAAGTGCGTTGCATTTTAAGTACCTGGGTAACCTTGTGCCGCTTATTGTGCTGTGAGTTCTACTTGCACCAAAAGTCTTTTCTGGATGATTCCCAGAGTTTTTAGTGGCACTTATTTGTTCCTTAAATGATCCCACAATTTCTGCTTCAACAAGTTTGTCTGGTGACATCTTTGCACATTTGAGAGTCATTTGCATGGAAAGTAATGGAAAGTAGTTTCTGTTTTGGTTATGTTTCTGTTTTCATTTCTGTTTCTCTTTTGGGAGCCTGAAGCTGGATGTGTTTATTACATATATGGTTTGTATCTCCCTTTTCTTTAGGCCCAATTTTGCTATTGATTATGAATTGCTAGCAGTTATTTCTCAGACTATAAGTTTGCTTGATAAATGTAAGACTGTTCAAGTGATACCATTTCTGAAAAACTTGAGTTGGCACCATTCAACATTTGAATGGGAATCAGAATCATAAAATATGAAAATTATTTTTGAAGTAAATTTAAAGAAACCTAGTTACATGGATTTAAAATTAGCTAGTGAGCAAACCTCAAAACATCATAATGAATGGGAAAGCATTATTGGGTTATTATAATACAGTTCTATATTGTCTGGTGCTTATCTATACCATTTAACAACTGGCAAACAGAATGAACAGCTCTAGAAATGCTGAATTATGGTAAGAACAGGTCAATGGTGCAGGAGAGCTAAGCTGTGTTTCTAAGCAGTAAAAATTTTAATAGTCATGAGATACAGTGTGCAGAAAGAGATGTTATTTTTAAATACAGGATTCATTCTTCCAAAAGATGTTTCAGGGTGTTTTTTTCTGAAAATAACTAGTTTTCATGGTGGATAATCAACTACTGGCCTCCCAGAGTAATTTTAGATAACAGACCTGTGACAATCCAGAAAGCAAAAACAGGAGAATAGGAACTAGTAGGAAGTATATTATTCCTTTAGTAAGAAATTGTCTTACTGTTACAGGAATCTTGAAGCAGGAGGTTGAAAAATTTTATGGAAAACTCAAAGAGAATCAAGTATAAAACTTTTATGATCATTAATGATATGCTAAAAAACACTCACTTGGAAAACCAGAAGTAAAATTTGAGATAAGGGCAGCGCTGGTTAATGCTGTAGCTATTCTTTCTCTTCATCAGTTGGCCTGGTCCCTCTTACATTCCATCATTGGCATAATAATATGAGGAACAGCTGCAAACTTTCACAGTAATAGGTACAATCGAATCTGATGTGTCTAATTAATTTTTGGTCCGACAAATTAGTTTTGTTCTTCATTACTCTCCAATGGGAGGAAGACATTATATTTCATTATGTTTTTGTCTTCAGGAACAATGGAGCGTTACAGGTCGCACACTTCCCTTGTCTGTGTTCTAATTAGTTGAACTGACAGCATTGTTACAGAACCACCTGCAGTGTATGAAATAATACACTGGTACCTTGGATGACATATTTATTTCTTCTGCTTAAATATTATATAAAGAAGTACAAGACTAATGCTGTTTGTTTCCCCAACCCCCAACAATTATATTAATTTTATCAAAAGTCAGTGGGTAACATTCATCTGTCTCCATTTATTTTTCCATCATCTAATTCACAAAGCATATGTTATTTTGACATTTAAATGAATTATTACTTTTGCAGTTGTAATTGCTAGGCACAGAAGGGTGAGAACAAACAGCCAGACTGCAAACTTTAGAAGGTAATTTGGAGACAGATACTATGTTCCCCTAGAAGACAGGCAGAGCATACAGTCACTGAAATACAGAGCATACAGGCTCGTGACAATTTGCTCTCACATCCTCCATTCTCAAAAGACTGTTTTCTGGTCTTAGAGAAGACAGGATTCTCAGATGTTTTTGGGGGCTTTAGTGAAAAGAACTCATTCTTGAATCCAGGAGCATCCACTCCCAAAGCTTGTGTCTCCAAAACACTTCCCTGCCTGCTCTTCTCCTTGGTTGCACAACTGTGTGTCTGAAGCAGTGCCAAAACTACCTGTTTCCTCACTGTCCCACTGCTTTGGCCTCTCCTCCAAAGGGCACAGAAATTAACTGCAAGTTAATGGTGATTAGAGCAACTCCAACTCCCATGCTGATTTCTACTAGAAAATTGATTTTGTGTCTGGAAGAGCATGCCATAGAGAGTCCCTCTCTATTTGTTTTACTCTCAACCCTTCCTCTTTCAGCACTGGGGTGCACCTATGGATTGGTTCCATGGGCAGAAAAAAACATGGAAAATCAGATAGAGCAGCTTCTGCTGCCTGATTTCTTCCCTTGCTGCTCACTCAGTTTCATTCTCAGATACTGAATCAGGCTTGGAAGCCATTGGGCCTTTGGCAGTGGCAAGACAAAAATGCAATGAGGCAAAGGACAGCTGCAGCTCCCGGATGCTGATGCTAGTAAAGCTCCCCAGCATGGCCAGTATGGACTGGTGCATGACACCAGTACTGGGACACTTTTTGTACATCTGGCAGCATCTTTCTGTGGGACCCATTCTGCTTGCAGGGAGCCTGTTTTGTTCCTTGCCCAGAAAGACTGAAAGCAAGCCAAGCTCTAGCACAGCTTCCACAGCCTGATTGCAAAAGCAGACAGTCATCAGTACTAAATATTGACGTGGTGCTGAAAGAGAGGAAGCTAAATAAACTCACCAGGGTCATCAGCAGTGTGATAGCAATGGCACACAGGGCACTGCACTTCTTCCCAATTAACCCAGCCCAGCTCTGAACAAGCTGCCTCTTGGCAGGGGCAGTGCTGGGCAGAGGCAGTCCCAGAGGGACCTTCTCAAAGCATCCCCTTTTATAAAACATGGCTGTGTGACCTCCAGCTCACCTGCAAAGAGGTGTCTGTGGAAAAGGGACTGGAAGTGTCAGACTTCTCAGTTCTGCTTCTGCCAGAGACCCTGAGTGCTGGCTTTAGGCTGAAGCCAGCAAGTGCTCTGTTGGAAGACATAAATCTAACCATTGCTGAATTATGGAAAAGGAATATGTACATTTTCACAGCATGGCATAATGATACAATACTTCTAATAATTTCCTCTGAGTGACCATTTCAGTGTTTTACTGCAGTGTTCAACTACCTTTATGTGTGTGATAGACTCTCATAATTGAGAATCATATTGTTTGCATCTTCTTTGTCTCAATAGAGTAGCTGCTCTTGCAGCTTTTCAGAGTGCATACAGGCATCTGGTAATATTGCATAAACATTTCAAGGACTGAGCTACATAAATGCTTCTACTGGAAATTTTGGATAATCTTTCATGAATTTCAAAACTGCAGATGTGGACAGTTTATATAAAATATACATAGAATAAAATTTCAGGGTTTTTTTTTAGAAAAATATGTTCTGCATTTCCTAATTTTAAAACTAACTATTTTTGACAATTTGAAAGTGCTGGCCCTAGAATTACATGCTTTAGCATTTCCTGGATTTTCATGCTGATTTTTATGAGCATTTGTTCTCAAGCCAAATGCCAAGATTTTTCTTTTAGAAAAGTTCCCTTTTAGAGAAAGATGGGTAAAAAACCAGTGGGAGCATCTACTGGAATTTACAGTTTTCTACTGTAATATACAATTTAAGATCCTATATAGCAATTTTTTAATTCATGTCACTTTAATTAGTATTCCAGGTAATAATTATTCCTTACAGGTTGATGTTAAGAATTTGTATGCATATTATAGGTGAAAAAAATACCATCTGTTGCTGTGATTGTTTAGTGCTTACAGTTAACTGTGCGATTTTCAGCTTTGTGTCAAAGATGGTACACACAATTTGTGTGAATTGTTTTCCCCTTGAAATAATTGCTGCATCTTTGCCCTAGTGGAAAGTGCATTCATTTTATTGTCTGTTTCAAATTTGGAAGCTAGCATTCAGGGAAAATAAATGAGTTGAGTAAGAATTTTTGGTTTTCTTCTGATGTTGTAGCATATTTTGTATTTGGATTACTCATTTGGAAAAAGCTATTTATTGATTGCTTGATTTATTTTTTTTTATTAGTTTCCTGTGATCCATTTTCTCATTGTTGTCTTCTGTCTACAACTGTGGAAAAATAAACTAACAAATATATATACTGTTTAAAAAAAGCTCTGGATTGATATCTGTTAGATTACTTGGGAGCATGCTATAGGTCTGCCTCTGCAAATATATCTGCAAATGGCTGTGAATTTACTCTAGAAACACTAAGATTGTGAGAAGAACTCCTTAAAGTTCTTCTACTATTGATAATTCTTTTGAGATCCACTATTAGTTTTTAAAAACTTTCAGTTTGTAGAACACTGGTTCCCCTGTGTGTTACAGAGTCCAGAACAACCACATTCTGTTCAATTTCTCTTGTGCAGGAGGTCGTAACGAAGTTGTCATCACTGAAAATAACAACAGCATAACTGAGCAAATCACTGATGTGGTCAAGCAGCCTGCCTTTATAGCTGGCATTGGTGGTGCATGTTGGGTCATTCTCATGGGCTTCAGCATCTGGCTGTACTGGAGAAGAAAGAAGAGGAAGGGGCTCAGCAATTATGCTGGTAAGAGCAGTGACTTTACTGCCATCTCTGCAGGTGCTATCATAAAAAGAACCGGGGCTACTAAACCTACCTAAAAACCACATTGAACTTACAGCCAAAGCATCCTGGGTGACTTCTGTGTGCTTGTTTTAAATGTATGCTCTGGAATTGCTGGTGTATGAGAAGCTTTAAATGCATTGCTCGGTACCACATTTCATCATTATCATAAGGCAGTGTTTTTACATCTCCAGCCCATCTAGCATTAAAAAAGTACAAAGAGGATTAACTGCTCCTCTTGCCCCTCGCTCAGAAGGCACTCTATTGGCAGTGCAACATCATTTATATGTTCAAATAGGAGTTAGACTTGACCCTTACAAGGAAAGAGTTTTTTCCATCTTCTACTTCTTCATTCCTGTGCATTTCCATGTCTCTGAAGCCATGTGTATGGCAAATAAATGATTAATCAGTGACTTCATACCTGTAGCTGGAATGGTGTATTAGACAGAGAAGTGTGGTCAAAATTTACCCAAGGCAGAAGCCATAAACAGTTTTGTCTTGAAGGCAGAACATCTTGGAATGTTCTCTTTCATTAAATGTTTACTTCAGTTTTAAATTAGTTTTTGAAAACTACATTTGGAAAATTAAATACGCTTGCCAAATGAAAATATTTCCATCTATCCTCAACCTTTGGTTTGTGTGTTATTCTGTTTTCAGGATTCTTATGAATTTTTGGGAAGTCATGTGAACTGTCATAAAATGGGTTACTCTGAGGACTAATTTAACACACAAAAAAAACCCAATTCTTCAAATACTGCAGTAGGCTCTCTTGTAGTTTTTATTAATACTTAAAAAGAGAATAACATTTGCCCAGCTGAGGACTGAACATATTTAGTGTTGACATTATATCACACTAAAGTTATACAAGTGCCCTTCTATTTACAAGTTATCAAATCCAAAACCAAGGACTCAGGTTCCCTAAATGGTGAGCAACAACTTGTCAAAACCCCACAGTCACAGGCAAACTGTTCCCAGTTCAACTCAGCCATAGTCAGACTCCTCAGTGTCCTGACAGGGCTCCCTAAACCAGCAGGAAACTGTTCTGTGCTGGTTTTCAATCCTTCCTGCTGTGTTTGTTTTCTACTGGCTTAGTGAAAGAACAAGATATCAGATGAGCAGTGGAAAGAGAGGAAGGGGAGGGATCAGTGGCTTTTGGACCTCCTTGGTTTTCGTGGAACCTCACTTTGTGTCACCACATGATCTCTGTCGTTCATGGGTTGTGCTTTGTCCTACGGTGGTTTTTTTCTTTCCTTTAATAGCAGTAACTTTTATTCTCTGAGAGGTGGGGTGGTTCTAACTGAGAAACTTATATATATATATTATATATATATATATCACACACTTATTCATGTGCTGACATAAAATATCATCCTAGATCCCCAAAATTTTTCCATACTAGAGACTACTGTGCTGTTATTTCTCTTAGGAAGTAGTCCGACCTAAAGCTTTGGACCCAAGCTGAGACTAGATTTTTCATAAAAAGTGAGATTATTTGTCCTGTATGTGAGCTGGCATATTGGGGTGAGGGAGAATTGAGAGCAGTCTAAATTGAAGAGCATAGCTGTAAATAATTATAAACAACGTGTCTCATGCAACTCATTCCTTCTCATGGCATTTGCTGCACCTAAGTGTGATGTGAGCATTGATTGCATCATGAAATTGTGTGTGCTTTCAGCAAGGAAAGTGGATAACAGGTCATGCCTCAAAGTTCATCCTAATGTTTACAACTTGGAGAACAGCATGTCTGCACTGAGAGTCCTCAAATGTGACTGTCCAAATTCACTGCTCATCTTTCCAACCATCATTTCTCATTGGCTGCTGGCTGGTTGGTGCTTTAAGCTCAGCTGTTGTGTCCTGCTTATGATATTCAACCCCAACCGAGTAATTTCCAGAGGAAACTCGTGCCCTGCAATGAGCTCTCTGTCAGGGTGTGTAACTCACAATGTGTTTGCTTTCTTGTTTTGCAGTTCAGTCCTTCACCTTCACCCCTGCAGGTACTGTCCATTAGTCTGTCTCTTACCAACACATCATTTCACGCGTTAGCTATCGAATTTGTTTATGAGCATGTGAGACATGAAGAATCAAAACTACATACAAGGAGAAATACTCTGGCTGCCTATCTGTGATAAAAATGTAGCATTCATTCCTCTCCTGATTCCAGAGAAAAGTAAAATCTACCACCATTAATGTCTCTGTCGCTATAAATCTGCATACTTAACTCGTATAACTCTCTGAAATGCAGTTTTGAAAGTAATTTTCAGGACCAGATGCTTGAACTAACTTAACATAAATAAGCATTATTCATATATAACTGAATTTTGATTTTAAAGCTCAAACAATTTAGCAGACCCAAGTGGAGAACTGGAACTTTCTTCTGCTTTAGCTCTCAGTTAAGTATACCTTTGCCTTACTGTGAGGTATTCAGCAGTCTAGTCACTGATGCATACATTGACTTTACAGGGTTTTTGAAATTAAAACATTGGGTTTTTTTCTCACTACCCAGCAATTCATAGTAATAATTAATACAAACAATTAGCTTCTGCTCTCATACTTAGTCTTGAGATTTAGAAACTCAAAATTAACTGTACCTCATCATTACAGTGTTAAAGGCTGATAAATCTCATCATTCTCCAGAAGTCTGTCAAGTTTTTTGGTTGCCTTTACCAGAGCTGTCTCCTCATGCTCAGTAGCTGCTTTCTCACTTTTCCTTGTGTTCAGCCACAGCTTGTGTTCAGATTAGCAGGAAAGAGGAGATGACCAAAGGTGGGGATGTGTGCCCCAGGAGCCCATGACATTCTGAGGGAGAAATGTCCTTGTGGAAAATCTCTGGGGGCTCAGGATAGCTCCCCTAGCTTCCAGGCAGGTTTGGCCAGGTTACTGTAATCTATGGTGCAATGTATCACACCTTAAACACTTTACTGCCTTTTCTTTGAGACACAACATAGGGGCTTTTTTCCAAAATTAAATAATGCATCTTTGCATTTGGTTCCTCTGACCATGCCACTGTCAGCTGTCTTGAACTGTGGTGCATTTTCACCACAGTGTTTGTAGCACACGTTGGCATGACACAGGGTTGTGCTGGAGCCACTGGGTCTGAGCATGATTTCATGCTGTTGGTCCACATGTGCTGGGCAACTGGGATATGTCAGAGGTACTGCCAAAAATTTTCCTTTTTAAAAGCAGTTTCAACATCTTGTGGACTTTTTAGAGCTATTCTATTTCCTGGCTTTTAATAACTTTTGGAGGAATTGAGAACCAAAGTCCTCCAGTAGTCAAGTCCAAAAAGTGTTTTTTAATTTAAAAAAGTATTTTTCTTATGAGGGAACATAGTGTATGTTTCATATCTTTAGACCCAGAGTTCCATAACAAACTTTGTTAATTCTCTAATATTTTGATTTGCCCATGATAATATCATTTAGAAAGACATACCTATACTTGTGGAGGTTTGACACTCATAACTGTATGTTGTTCCCTTCAAAGTTATGATTCATAAACAGTTTGGGTTTAGATACAATTATTTAGACAGTGCTATGCAGCTTTCAGAATCTCCTCAGAGACAGCTGTCAGTGAGTTTTTACTAAAGATGAATTTATCCTAATATACTCAGATTTTAGAAGGTACACACGTTTTGTTCTGACATCTGCTTTAAATTCTTCCTTCAGAGAGTTTCAGAACATACAGATTTAACTGTGTGGTAGAGAATTGAATCTATTAGTGTAACAATCACATGCTTACTTTATTTCACACTCGGAGAAAATCCCGTTATTTCTGATGTGAATATTTTTTGTTTTCTTTTTCTTCATCTGTATTTGCCTGTGTATAGAACAGAGAAAACTAAAAATACTTGTTTAAAAGACCAAATCCATGCTGTTTTATAATTACTTGCTAAAAATGTTCTTTTGGGTCATTTGCAGATTATGGGTCATTCACTAGGACCACTTGTTATTTGTATTCCATTAGGCTCCCAAGATGTACAGTTTCTGCTTTGTGACTAAACCACTGTAACGTGGGGGAGAAAACAGCAAATGTCAGGCAGTTTGTAATGATTTGTGTCAGGGAAGAGTAACTGACTGAGTTAAATACTTTTAGCTTTCTGTCTTTGTGAACATTTTCATAAGGCCTGATCAATGGCTCAGATGGTCACAAATAAAGTGACATTGATAATCACAGCTAAATCTATTCAGTTATTATCAGTTGAACTGACTCCAGCAGATGCTGAGCCACAATTCTGTATGTCATTGCTCTTCCACTTCCCTTTCCACCATGACTCACCAGGCCTTGAGTCTCAGTAATATCATATATATTAATAAGATATATAATAAGATATAATTATATATAAATACAAACCATAAAATTTAGCTAATATGTTTGTTAGATTACAGTTGGTAAGTAGTAGTGTCATCATCTGCAGCTGTACAAGGACTATGCATTTTTGTGACCATGACATACTCTCAGCAAAACCAAATCTGGCACAGGGACACTAAACACAGCTGTTGTCCCTTTTCAACCATCTCTCCTCTAATATACAGGATGGATTGGTCTCACTTTTGTGAGTTTGTGTGGAAGCTGAAGTACTGCTGCACTGTTTGATTGGAGGACTTTTTGATTGTTTTGGTTGGTTGGTTTGGGGTTTTTTTGTATTTTTGATTTTTGGTTTGGTTTGGCTTGGGTTTTTTTGGCTTGGTGATGGGGTTTTTTTTGTACTCTTGGGCTTACCCTTTACTGAGATTGTCTGGATATAAACATGCACCATAGGCTTCATACAAAGATAGAGGGCACAGAAGAGATATCTGACCACTTATTGTATAGCAGATAGATTATTTCAATATTGAATTGCAGTAACAGAACAGAATCAATTTATTTTATACTGAAAGTTGCAATTATTTTTTCAGATTTCTGTGAAAAGGCATGGAAACCATTTGTAGGGAAAGAAAAGTTTATCTGTTTATCTTTCCTGTGGCCTCAAACTTGTTGTGCCAGTACCCACTTGCCAGAATATTCAGGTGTTTTCAAGTGTCTACACCATCAGTCATGCAAAAAAAGTAAATATGTATTTTAACTTATGAGTAGGTTAAGCTTATTTAGTGACTAGTGCTCCTTGGGATTATAAAGATTTTATGAAACCCAGTAAACAGAAAACAAATTAAAAATAGATAGAGAATAATGGAACATTACACATTTTATGTTCAACTTCTGAAACTGTTAAATGAGGATAAACTATGTGACAGAATCATCCAAAGGTAGACAGAAGATTTGATGGAATTTTTATGTGCTGATTATCTGTTCTGAGTTAATGCTTATTAAAAGAGGATTAATCTACATTCATATTTGAGGAACAGCTTATCAGTAAAAGGAATGAGACTTGGCTGGCAACATTAAAGTTTTCATTTGCAGTAGGAAAATGTGGCCTACTAGAGATAGGCATACAGAAATCTTTCTAAAGCTTTCTAAAGCTTCCTTGCCTCAGAATGTCGACTTACTATACATTCATATTTTTCCAGTTCTAGCAGGCATGAAGATTAAGTTTAACCTTGTCAGATAATATTAGTAAATGGTTTTGGTACCTCCTTATATATTTAATAAAAAGCATGTGAAAAGCTCCTTAAAATATGCTGGTTTTCATACAAATATACACAATATAATTTCCTGAAATATTTATGCATTTAAAATGCACTTTGGATTATATTTCTGCATTTTTGCAGTCCTTGAAGTATAAGCTGGTGGGGATTCCTTCAAAATCTCTCTATGCAGAGGTTATTTTTTCATCTTCTTTTGAAAACCAATCTCATCCCTGCAGGTCTTCAGCCTTTCTAAGAACATGTATCAGATGCAAAGACTGCTGAAAGAGCTTTTTTGCTTCCTTGGTGATAAAAAGCAAGGAAGATGGGTGGGTCAGTGATACGGACATCCTTCCCTTCCTCCTCTTATATTGCCCCTTGAAATTGCTCTGCTGCTTTTTGAAGTGGAGACAGGATGAATAAAGCCAGCTGTCTGTGTGTTTTATTTTTACAGTGACATCTACAAGCTTGGATTGCATTAAGTATGCTCCCATTCAGGCGTTTAGACTTGTTTTGTAATTGCAGAAATCAAACTGCAGGGAAAAACGCTGACAAAATGTATGGCAGGAATGATAAACATAGTGCTTTTTTTGGCAGCCTGACCATATCTTCTGTTGTTAACTGTCTTGCCTTTCACAACATTAAAGCTGAAAGAAAGGCACCTTCTCTCTCCAGCCTCAGGTAGCCAATTTGTGGATGGCATCAGGAATATGGGGAGTTTTTGCAGCATCCCAGTGACATGGCCACACTTCAAGAGGAATTTTGGCGAGCTCAGTTGATATTCCAAAGCCTTTTACACAAACACATTAAATAAATAAAATGCTTTCTGGTTTATTTTCTCATTGAGACTATAACCATGCATACTTTTGTGTACAGGGTGAAGGGTAAACAAAAAAAACCTGTTTTCCTTCCTAGCTCCATGAAAATCACATAAACTAGACTCAGTCTTCCCTAGGAAAAACAATGTCACTGTAAGCTGAACCTTTCTTCTTAAGGTGATGTGTATATTGGGAGGGTGTAAGATGATTTAACACAGGAAATAAAATAAACCAAAACAGGAAACAGTTCCTACCATGAAGAAACATGGAAGAAAAAGGAGCAAATTCTGTGATCCTTGTTTTTTTTTACTATCTCCTATGCCTCAGCCAACCTGCAGCAATTATGGCTCTAGTAAAGAGGTTTCTTCTTGATGGAGTTCTCATGGCATGCCTGGGACTTTTTCCATACCTGCCTACACAGAAAATAAAATGTGTCATAAAATGTGAAATCTCCTGCTAGCTACTTGATTTTATAAAGCAAATAAGGGATATAAATATTTTGTAGACCACAAATATTGTTGGGTTGTTTGTTTTTTTTTTCCCTTTGTGTGACATGAACATTTAAAAGCTCACACACCTGTACATGCTATACAAATGGCAACAAAATTACCTCAAAATAATTTCTAGTAGATGACAATCTAAACAAGAGCATTAATCCAAGCAGTTTTCAGAAAATGTTTTACTGCAATTTCCTTAGATCTGTAAACCTTATTTATAAAGGTTCTTATCAAACAAGCCTTTGTTTCTCGTTTTCTTTATTTCTTGTCACTTTGACAAATGCAGAAAGTTGAAGAAATCAAGTACTAAATTTGGAGGAGATGAGGAGAAAGGAAACAGCATCTAATGTTCCAAGATACTTGGAAACAAAACCAGGCAGTACCCACAGTTTTGTGTAATCACGTATGATATGCACAGCACTTCTGATAATTCACTTTTAAGCAGCGAGTGGTAGTCATTTGACAGCCTGTTAGATACCACGTGAATGAAAGTAGCATTTCCTCTAAAATTAATTATCCACAATGTTTTACCATGTCTTGTTTTTCAAAGGAGACCTTTATTTAGTACTTTCCATACTTGCATTTTGATTTTCTTTTCATTAATTGGTTTGATTACACCCTTTCAAAATTCAGCTATTAACCATTTTGATGTGACATATGACTGCAGTGATTTTCTGATATTGGTATTAGTCTGCTGTGCAGTGAAGGGTAATTAATCACCCTACTATTCTTCCAGCAGAGCTTCCAGAGGGGCCAGCTTTGTCCCCTTTGCTGAATCTACACTGTGAAATTAATAGGAGTTAATAAAGTAACAAGGATTCTATAAGGTATCAGAAGAGTTGTACCAGTGGCTTTATGTCATTGATTATTTTTTTTAATGAATACAGAATTTCTATTGGCTGTAGTGATTTTGTCTGATTAGAATAGTGTATAATAGAACATCTAATCCTGACTTAGTGTAGTTTGGACTAATACTTGGAAAATCTTGCAAATACTCTGGGAGCTATAATTTAATGATAGGAGCTGCCTTATCTATGCCTGACAATAAATAATGGGATATTGCCGCTGAGAACCAGAGTGGTCTGTTGGCCTTGATTCAAAATATTTTTTCAGTGTTTCTGAAAAGATCATCAAATGTTGTCAATTAGCATCTCACCAGTAATGTGGTTTTACCTATATTGCCCTGAAATGTAATCCTGTTAATGAGATGGATAAGGGAGAAGCTGATTTTTGTCAAACACCCATGAATGGAGACATAAAAACAATTGTCTCCCTCTGATTATGTCCATGGATGTATCCATCCATCCCCCATGGATGGAAGACTGGAAACACTTTTTCTTCTGGGTGACACTGGCATGTATGCATTTATGTATGCATAATAGTTCTTAAACTGTACATCTAATGGAAGAGGTGCAGCTGGATGTTTTTTCCATCCCTTCAGCTGTAATAGAGCTGCCACCTCTTTGTGTTTGTCCTGGGAAATGACATATCTGTGTGGTGACATTATATTACTGCATTACGACATGATGTCACTAACTCACTGGTGCAATGTCATTATGTACTGAAGCGGAAGCATGCCAAGAAAACAATTTCATCACATGGCTCAGACTTGCAATGCAAAGTCATATGAAGGGGCCTGTGGTGAATTCAGGCCTTTTGCCCAGGTGGCTGCTTTGCCTTGCAAGGTGCAGAGCAATCAGTAACGTGGTGTCAATCAGTAATGTGCAGTGAAATCCTAAATGAACTGTATCCCCGATGTGTTTGAGCCTCTTCTTGTCATTTCTCTACTTTATTATGGGGTGATGCCAAGAGACCTCCAACCTCAGACACCGAGCACTTTGAATTGTTACTTTTAATTATTACTAATTGATTTTTTCCTGTCTTATATGTGTGTGCCTGTGTGTGTACGTTTGTTTGTTTTGTTCTTTCCAACCAAAACACAGTCACCTTCCAAAGAGGAGATGGAGGACTAATGAGCAATGGAAGGTATGTTTCTTTGTATAAAGGTCTCTCCACTGTTTTTATTTTTAAAATAAGGGATCTGAAAAAATTCTATAGGTGATGCACTCGGGTTATGTCCCATCATTGGGAAGACTGATAGCGCTAGGAGGAGTTAAGTAGCTTACCACAAGGTTTAATGACCTATCTGTTGTGCACTTTGGAAGAATCAAGCCCAGATGTTTCATATCTCCCAGATGTCCTGGAAGAAATGAGTAGTAAATATCACAAAGAATGTGTTCATTTGTTACTGGGATGTTTATTGCATTAATTAGACATTAGCAAATGAAGTTGCTGTTGTTTAAGACTCCTTATTGGCTCTCCCTAAATTGCTGTGAGTGAACAATTACACTTAATCGATCACAAAATAAATGATTCATGGATGATGAATAGGCTGTAGATTGATAGGACTGGATTCCACAACTTTGGCTACTCAATTGAAATTGATAAAAGCTGATAACGGGCCCATATATCCTCATCTATTTTCCCTTTGCCAATATGGAGATTGTAATTAGGCCCTGGTAATAACTTCCAATCTCCTGTTTAATCAATATTTTAGCAAAAAGAGATTAGGCCTAATGAGAGCGAGTAGATGTGGCAAGAATGCGGCTGGGTCGTCTTATTGCCGTTTCCATAGAAACCGATGTTTCTCTTAGGGATTGTTCCAGGCAGGGGTCTATAATGTTCAATGATCGGAGATGTTGCTCCAACTTCACGAGTGCTTTAATAAGCCAGGAAAACTGCAGAACTGCGGATGGCTTTTTGTTTTCGCTGGGGAGAAAAGGGTGTCTGCAACAAATGATTTGTTTCCTCTGCTGAACACAAATACAAACAATCCACCTGCCTTACTAAATTTCTGTTTATCCTGGGGTGAGAGGGACGTGGTGCCTTATGGCCCGAGTGTGCCTTCTCTTTCACCATGCTCCCTGTTTAAGACTGCTCTCACAGCTGGGAATTACAGGGATATAAAAGCCATGCAGTAGTGGCACACAGCGATAGCTGTGGACTTTCCATTAATCCTCCTCAAACCTGTTTGCCTCTAAACCATCCAAGAGTGCTCAAAGAAAGAGTTACCAGCCTGTAGATGACAGGCATGCATTTGGGATGCAAGGGAAGGAAGAAATAGTAGCCCAAAGTCCTGGAAATGGCTGATAGGGAGCAATCAGTTTGAGTGATGGCTCCCTTGAGGTGGTAATTTATCATTCAGCCCTGGCGTAGGATCCCGTGATGGTGCTGCCTAACTCCTGTTTCACACAGACAACGGAGTTCATTTGGATTCTGGCAGAGTCACCATGGATGCCTAGTCCCACTTCTACTGACAAAGTTGATTTCTATATAACCTTAATTAACTGTTCAAGGTCTTTAAATCATCGAAGGCTCTACAATTGTAATTTGAAAGAAATTAAAGGCTCCTAAACTGTTAGCTACCTATGGTGTTAGAAGAACAGTAATATGCCCTCTTCCCTCACTACTTATATATATATATATATATTTGTGTGTATATCTCTTTCTCTTATTCTGCTTCAGTCGACCAGGTCTGTTGAATGCCAGTGACCCCAGTTATCCTTGGCTTGCAGACTCTTGGCCTGCCACAAGTCTGCCAGTGAATAACAGCACTAGTGGACCCAATGATCTTGGGAATTTTGGTCGTGGAGGTAGGTTTCCTTTTATTAAGCCACCCAATATTATAAACTAGGCTTCCATTAGTTAACATCTATGATGAATACTGTATTATATTTTTATGATTATAGTTCCTTCTATGTGTTTCTTTCTTTCTAGATTGGATTGAAAATTGACTTCAAAATGTTCCTTTGCTTTATCTCTTCTTCTTTAAAATGTGGGTCTAGTTTGTAATTTGCCCTGCAGTGGTGAGACAGGGTCTGCTTATGATATCAAGAGAAATGTATTTGTGTCTCAACCTCATTCCCTTTTGTGTGGAGATGAGCAATGTGCCATGCAGGGCAGTATAGCCAGGGATGGAGGATGTCCATAAGAGCAGAGAGCTCTGCAGATGCAGGAAAGATGTTCCTTCAGCAGAAGACCACAGGAACTTTGTTGCTGTCATTTTACCCCTCCTCTTCCTGCTGAGGGCCTGCTCTCAATCTCAGCCATAATCTGTAAAGAAAGCCTCAAAGGTCTTAAGAAATTTTCTTTTTCATTGGAGGAAACAATACATAAAAGGGAATTATTTAGATCTTTCAGGGGTTTGTTTACATTTTGATTTGAGAGAGCACCTTTGAGGGAATGAGGTAAAGATGTATTGTTACAATGATGAATCTTTAGAGGGGTTATTTCCTTCCAAACATTTAATTCAAATGGGAATTTTAAGATGTAGGACTGAGATTTTTAAATAGTAATAGTCACATAACCCTGTTACTTCCTTGGTACACAGGTAATTCTGCATGCTGGTCAGGAGAAGACTTCCTCACATAAATGAGTATATAAATGTTTTTAAGACATAAACAGATAAACAAAAATGAAGACAACCTATACATCAAAAATGCATTAAAATGCAAGAAAAATCTATAAAACCATCAAACTGATAAATACAAAAAGAATTCAGTGTTGGACTGTACCAGAATCTGCTTCTGAAGACCATCCCTCATACTGGTTGTACATTCCCATGAAAAGCCTCTTGCCTGTGGTTTGACTACTGTGACTTAAAATTACAACAAAACACACTAGATTTATATCCTGTATAAAAATGTTATAAAGTTCTTGTCAAAAATATTTAAAAGTAAGCAAAACTTTTGATAATATTTACAAGGCAACTGAATTTCTGCCAGCTTCTTTGTTATGAATATATTGCAAATAAAACCCTTCAGTACATTTCCATCTTTTCTTAAGCCCACATAATACAGAAAAATTACCATTTTCTGTTAGCATATGGCTCTACACGACTAGAACTGGAAGCATTTTTCAAAAATTTTTGGCCTCAATATGCATGAGGCATAGGTCCAAATTCATGCAAAAGAGAGAGAAAAGTTACATTTTGAAATTCAGCAGCTTAATTCCCCTCATGATCTTTACAGTTGAGCTAAAACTTTTATGCTGGGTGGTTTTGGATCACTTATCCCAATCTTTTTCAGAAGCTGAGATCAGATGATTCTGCATTAAAGATGGATTAGAAGTATTTTAACATGTAGACATGGAATATTAACTATAAACACAGAACTTGGGCCTCTTTCACTGGTTAAAAGGTCTGTGATAATATAAAAGTTCTGTAAGAATTTTAAAAGGAATGGGGTGGCATCAGCCACCCTGGAAACTCAGAAGCTGAGGCAGGCAGTCCTAAAATTTCCATTGAGAGTGAGATCCACTGTCCTAGATAGGCATTTGAGAGCAAAGCTGTGAGTGGGAAGCAGAGGTCAAGCTTGGAGTCATGTAAGGCCACAAAATAGTATTGCTTCTCCAAGGCAGCAAGAAAGAGCTTCCCTGCTGAAGTATTTCAGCACTATTTCATTTATCTCAAGAGTTACAAACAAAAGTTGGATTTTGGAGAGTTTTGGGGAAAGTTTCCAGTAGGAAATGCATCTTCATCTTTGGTCTGAAATGTACAATGTGGTGGTTTTGCTATGACAACTTGCTGGGAAAATCACACTTGACTTCTACTGCATGACTATGGCACTTTGTAAAATCTCCACTTAATAGCTCTTTGAGTGCTTAAATATATGCATCTCACTGAGGTCAAAAAAGTAATCTGTGCTTGTACTGAAAATTCCCAGAATGTCTGGAGAACCTCAGCTTATCAGTAAGAATGACTGAAAGTGCTTTGCTTGGCTGGTGGGCAGCTATGCAACTTCCCTTTCAAGTGTGTGCACATGAATAGTTCTCCATTTTAATCTGACTGTATGGAGATGATACCTCTTCAGTTGCCAGAAATATGTTCTAAAAGACAGATGTATGTCTGAGTGCTTCAGAGATGAGCATTTTGCTAGTTTTTACTTCCTTGAGTCTTCAAATCCAACACAGACAGGTTGAGCTGGATTTGCTTCACTTTATACATCAACAACAGAATTTATTTACTAAACTCCAAGCCATTATACTTCGACGGAACGGATTGTGGGAAGGAGAAATGTTCGTATTGTGGATGAAATGCAAGAAAGATAGGGCTGCACTTGTCTCTCACATCTCATGCTGTATTTGCACATAGATGCATTTTTGTTTGTGTACTGCCCCTGGAAAGTACATTGCATATGTGCAGATAGTAACAACATGATTTTGAAATATGGGCTGTAGTTTGCATTAACTGTAATTTTTTTGCACTTGCAATTTATCTGCAGATTTGAGTTAATACAATTAAGATCTTTTAAATACTTGATTGTGCCCGTTTCCCTGTTGTATGCAAAACCAGATCATGCTGATAGACCCAAATTTAATCTCTCTTTCTGCAGTGTCTCTGCTGAGCATTTGCTATTGCTATATTTATTGTTAATATTATGTTGCTGCCCTGAGACTGAAGATGTTATTAGGGCCCATGTTGAAATGCTCACCGTAGCACACCTGACTGCAAAAGAAAATAGTTCTGTGATCTAAATGTTCATCCCAGGGAAAAAAAAAACAAAAACCACAAAACTAAACCACATAAAAACCAACAAAAGCAAACAAAAAATACTAAAGCAGTGTGAGGAGACCATGGTGTTACATCTCATTGCTGGATAAGTCTTTGAGACAGTGAGAGAAAAAAATATATTCCCTGAGGTTGTACAAAAACCCACATCTGAGTTTGGAACTGAACTTAAACCCTTGACTAGGTGCAAGAATCATCTTTTCTTTCTGGGGTTTAAGGTACATAAAAATGGCTGTGATCCCTAGAATGGCATCTGAATGTCCTCACTATAGGAGCATGCATTATCTCAAGTATTATCTAACAGTTGGAACCTGTATCTGCCATCTGGCTGTAGAAAGAAAATGGCATATAAATTAGGGATTTTTCTGAAGAAGTGCATTCTGGAATTGATTCAACTTTTCAGAGTCTAAATAAATTGTAAAAATAGTACCATTTGATATATTGACCTCTGAGAGAGCAGGAAGGAGAGTTATCTGCTGAGCTGCCGTTCTCCTTGAGACATCATGTCAGTCATCATTAGTTTCTTCACACTTCACTAGTCTCAGTTTCTAGATCTAGTATTCCACCACCAAAGGTCGCTTCAGTGTTTAGTAAGGAGAGAGACTGCCAATCTAACTGATTAAAGATACAAATTGCAGTGTGGGATAAGAGTCAAAATATGGAGAAAATTCAGCAGATATTTAGTTAAATATGCTGTAATGATTTTCAGGTAAATGTACTAGAGGTTTTGAACAAGTTGTTCTGCATTATCAACATCGCTTCACCATTTTGAGGGACTGATCACCTAAATCCCTTCAGAATATTGGATTTTCTTTCACGTATCAGGAACAACTTTTTTTTTTTCAGGTTTCTCTTTTGTTGAAAAGAAGAAATGTACTGGGTAATGTCAAAAGGAAAATTAGATAAGCTGATGCAAAAAGCTTTAAGGAAATCAGGGTGATACCCTTAAAAAATTATTTTGAGAGTTTTTCTACATACTTGTTGGTCAGGTTCCCTCTGTGATTTATAAATTCCCTCCTTTCATCATTTCCGTGAAGCCCAGACAGTTTCATTGGTTCTGACACAGAGTGAACAATTGAAAACATTCTTCAGTCGAGAAATATTCCAAACTTCACTTTCACAGTTGAAGGTACGAGTAAAAAAAAAAAAAAGAAAAGATGGTTTTAGGCAGTGAGACGTGAAGGACAAGCGGTAGGCCTGTCACAGCTGCTGATAGCTTGGTGATGGTTGTACATCATCTTCCCTTCGTTGGCTCATGGACCTGTCTCCGCCGAAATGCAAACGTGCGAAATGACACGTTTATTTCTCAGCTTAAACCTTGGTACTTCCAGGCTTCCTGTGCATCAATGATTTGTTTCATTCCACAGATGTGCTGCCACCGGTGCCAGGGCAAGGAGATAAAACTGCTACCATGCTTTCTGATGGGGCCATTTACAGCAGCATCGACTTCACCACCAAAACCAGCTACAACAGCTCCAGCCAAATAACGCAGGCTACGCCATATGCCACCACCCAGATCCTGCATTCCAACAGCATCCACGAGCTGGCTGTCGATTTACCAGATCCGCAGTGGAAAAGCTCAATTCAGCAAAAAAATGACCTCATGGGATTTGGTTACTCTCTCCCAGACCAAGGCAAAGGCAACAATGGTAATTACAGCTCTTATTTTCCAGAGCCCTTGGCTTTGTGTACTGTATCATCTGTGCATGAATTAGAAAATTCGTTTTAGCTCTGTGAGACACTGTTCATGTTGACCTGAACTAATGCTTGTGCACTATGCATGCATGCTGAGCCTCACCTGATCACAAAATACATTGCACTGTGCTTTTAATCCTCTTTGTCCTGTGCTAATCACCAAGCCACCTGCCTTCCATTAGGCTAGGGTAGGTGTACACCATTTTAAAGGCGTACCTTTAAAAATTACCAAGTTAAAACCTGCCACCCCATCTGCCCCTGACTTGCTAACTGCATGTGTCGCCTGTGCTTGTGCTGTCGACTAATCCCACGATGCCACTGTGACCTCTGCCGTTTAACCCTTAGCCTTGCTTTACATCCCTGACTACCGGGTGGCTGAGGGACTGGCTAATAGATTGCCACACAACCAGTCACAGGATTTCAGCACCACCAGCTCCCACAACAGCTCCGAAAGGAGTGGCAGCCTCTCAGGTTGGTTCCATCGCCGTGCGCAGGGGAGCGAGGGACGGAGGGGTGTTAGCGAGCAGCTCGCCAGGGAGGCAGAAGAGCTCCCAGGCACCAGTTGAGGATAACCATGAGAGCTCCTGCCCATCAGCAAACAATGCCACATGGGACTCTACTGAAACAAAAAAGCCTTTGGCAGCACCTGCTTGGAGATAACTAGAGAGTCCTTCCAAGTGGCGCTTGTCGGCTCAGCTGCCAGCCTCGCCTTGTCACATCCTTTCCCTGACACCATCTATGGAGCAAATTTATTTCTGTATCCATCCTCAGTTTATAGGTCTCCCCACACTGATCTTCATGAGGAGATTATTATTTTGTTAGTTGTTAACAGGTCCCCCACTCCCACGAGCTGTTTCTAAATGCTGTTCCTCAGTGAAGCAGCTTGCAAACAGTTGTAGGGCCCTGAAAGGTGACTGGGGTTTCAACAAATTGTGCCAAGCCTGCATAAAAACAGGATGTAAATTTTATGTGTGTGCTGCATGTTCTATTGGAAACATGATGCATTTTCATCAGATGAAAATGATCATAGTACATGTGGTTGTGTATTATATCTGAACACACCTTTTTTCTTGATTTCTTTAATTTTGCTTACTTGTTGCTTATGTCATGTATAGCTGTCTATTTTTTTTTCTTGTCAAGACAAAAACTGAAAAGGCAGGAATTAAGATGAAAATCTGCGATTTCACCTAGCTAAAGTATGAGAGCAGTGAAAGGACTTACTTTTGATATTCAGAATATAGCCACAGCCTTTTGAATTTCCACTTTAAGATGGAGCTGCCCTACCAGTAACAGACCAAACCTAGAAATGGCTTCTTTATGTCAATTTAAATGACTATTCAAACTGAATCCTGAGATAAGAAGCCTATAATCATTGGCCCATGATTCAAATAGCCAAATGTGTTTGCAAGTCTTGTGTTCTCAAGGGGGAGCATTAGCTGATTTGACTGAGACCCATAGGCTTATGGCATTGTCAGAGAGGTATCTGGAAGCTGAGTTCATGAAGTACTTCAAGAAAGCCTCTTGCTCCTTGCATGTGAGATATATTGACAAGTAGCTTAGGAAATCAGCTTGCTCCCCAGGCTGCAAGAAAATGCAAAAATTGATGTGCTGAGGTACATATATGTCAGGTATCAGAGGGCTGTATCACACTTTAGATATGTTGACAGCTAAGGCTGCCTAAGAATTTTCTCAGAAAATAAAAAGTGTCACTAGAAAATGCCCATTGATCGAAGGCTGGACTTGGATCAAATGTTTCAAATGCAGCATATTCTGTGTAGTGTTTCTCAGTCAGAATCTTCTGATGACACTAGGAAACTTTGGGTCTTTCTATGGCCAGGGCACTCTTGTGACCAAGGCAGCTCACAACTGGATGCCCCTGTGCTCAGATGAGTGTCAGATTATTGGACAGGAGAGTCAGTATTTTGCTCTCCCTTGCCCACTAATTATGCCTTTGATACAGGATAATTATGTCTGTAATACATGAGAAACTGGGGGAGACCTTCAAATAGTCTGATAATTAGAGCATCACTGGAGTCAGAGACCAGCTTTGATTATGGAGTCCCCATCAGGGTGAGCAGGGATTTGTTCTCTCACTTCCTTGGTTAGTACTTTAAGTACTACTTATTATTCTGACTAAGTTTCTGTCTCTCTTACATGAATATCATGAGAATTCCTATCCCACTGTGGAATGGAAAATAGCTAAAACCTCAACTGCTTTATGAGGCAGAGAAATTTTGTAGCTATAGTTTGCACAGATTATGTCTGTACTAGGATCAGCAGCCCAATTGGCAAATTCTTCAGCACCCTATTCACCTAGAGATTTAAACAATATAATTGAATTTCAGTGTGAGGAGACATTGAAGCATCAAGCATGGTTGCCATGGGGAAACAAGGCTTTGGTGCATCAGTTTCCAAACACTAATCAGGCTTTATGTGTTCAGTGTCTGTCCCACCAGTCTGACAGTGGAGTACCTGCCCAAGGTACAGAAATCTCCTGCCCAGCTGTGCAGTGTAGGCTGCTCTCCCTACCAGCAATGACCTTGGAGTTCTCTTTTTTCATTTCCTCATTTAACAAGTCCCTTTTCTCTCTGCTTCACTCCTTCTAATATCTCCATTATCTCTAATTTCTCTCCTTGAAACTTGAAACTCCCAAAATTCAAGTGACTCCCATACTAGCACTCCACACATCCAACCTACATTTTACCAGTCTACTAAGATTACCAAGATGCTACACTTCCAAACTCTTCCTCTCCAACTAATCTGTAAGATGAAGTTCTTTGCATTTCCCTTCTCTGTGTATCCCTTGTTTAAATCCTCCTGCAACATGAATACACATGCATGTGCTTTTCTCCTAAAGTAGCCCCTCCTGCTTTAGCTCTTGTTGGCTCCTACTGCTGACTTAAAAAATTTCCTCATGTCCCACAATTAAAATTAACCTATTTCCTTTGCACTGTTCAGTGACCCTATTTTTAACTCCACTTTTTTTGCCTTAGCTGTGCTTTGAGAGTTTCATTTTTCCTCCAGAAGGTTCATGGATTTGCTCCCCTATCTCCACTGTCACTGAAGTTTCTTTTCACTGGTCAAAATGTTCTTTCACTTTTCAAGAAAGCTGCCCTCTCTGCGAGGCTACAAATGGAAGGAAGAGCCTGTTTTCCATCCTAATAGAAGTAATACCAGCTCAGTTCACACATAGTGAATGACAGGATCTTGGCTGGACTTACTGTAAATGCTCCAAAACCAGGAAGGAAGAGCCCTGGTCTGGAACTGAGTAGTGGAAAGCAAAGTCTCACTTGCAGTGTGCTGCCCGCCAGGTCGATTAGAGACATTGCTGGGCTTGTTGCCTGTCTCTAGCAGGCACATCAGGAGGTGAAAAGAGAAGTCTTGGCTACCTCTGAGTTACAGAATCAGCTTTTTCTTCCCTCTCTATTTGTTCCTGCCTTCATCTAGCTGACGTTTGGAGGTAACAGAAGAAAGCCACCATCTCACAGACCGAAAGTCCCATGATAGGGGCTTGTCTCTATTGCTAGAATTGCATCTCCTTCTGTGCTTCTTTGTGCCTAAAGTTAGAGCCATGACAAAGAGGGTGGTGCCTGCCAGTGCACATGATGCCACCCTCCTTGACCAGTCAGTTGTGGCTTTCTTTATCCACTGATTCATCTTTACATGAGGGTTTTTTGGCTGATTCTTATAAATCATCAAGAGATATCAGTGGGTGAGATGGATTAGACTGTGCTTTCTGCAGCAGGCCAGGGATGGGTGAGAGCAGCTGGGTACCCCACTGAAAAGGCACCTGACAAACAAACCATTCCTCCCCCCAACAAAGAGTTTGAAAGCCACAACGAAACCTCAAAAAATAGATGGGTCCCCAAGCAGTCAAGGGATGCAAAATGTTCCATTCTTCCTCTTAATGAACTTCGGACAAGAAAAAGAAGTTAGGGCAAAATAAAAGAAGCAAAGCAAGTGAGATGAGAGCTTTCTCTGTAAGATCACTTTCCCACTGATGGAAGTGTCTCATCTGGAGAAGTAGATGCAAGGACAATAAGAGAAGAGCAGAGGGTTTAACCAAAGTGCATTTCTCACTTCATTTCTACTTCATCCATTAGAGCTGTACGTCAGAAATAGAACCTCTTCTCTATAGTGGCTCAAGATATTTGAATCCTGTGAAACAGTCAGTCCTAAAATGTTCCACATGGCATCCCACCCTTTTAAAAAAACAGAAATTAGGCAATTCCTATCAACAAACTCCTGTTTCTTTTGTTTTGACAATTTATTCTTGTCTTGAATGTTCCTGACTCCAATGACAACTTTTTGGGATGGTGTCCTTAACCTCTGTAGTTTTCTACAGAAAGTGATTATGCAAAACTGCTATAATCACACTGGATTCTGACATTTGAAATAATTTGCTATGTTGTGTTATAATTTTATCTAAGAGTGAATTCAAGAGGATATAAACTGCACATGAATAAATCAGGAAATATATCTCTTATACAGGAAAACCTGTCTTTCTTTGTTTCTGCACTACTGTGGTGCAAGTGTACAGAGGTTTAAAATGAAGTGATTTTCAGTAAATATTTGGAATATTTTCCCATTCCATTCTATTATTACTTGTGACAGCATTAGCAATTTGATGCTGATTCTGCTGAGATATAAATACGTCTTCTTTTTCGGGGCATGTGTTCTGGAATCAGAATTCTGTCAAAGAAATGTAAATAGCTGGCTTTTTTTCCCACTTTATAGCTCTAACATTTTCTTTTTCTTTTTTGAATTTGCAGGTGGCAAAGGAGGGAAAAAGAAGAAAAACAAAAATACTGCCAAGCCCCAGAAAAATAATGGTTCAGCCTGGGCCAGTGTTCCCCTCCCACCCCCTCCTGTGCAGCCACTTCCAGGCACGGAGCTGGAGCACTATGGGGTGGACCAGCAAGAAGCAGGGTAAATTTTTTTTTTTTTCTTTTCCTTTTGAAGAAAAACCTGTGATTTGCAGAAATGAGTCCTTTTCTATATATTTTTTTTTTATTATTTTGCTAAATGACAATATTATTCTGTTTTGTCTAAAAAAAAAAAAAAAAAAAGAGAGAGAACACCTTATCCTGTAGACTTATTCAAGGCTGTGAAGGAGGAATGTTTGAATAGCTCCCCTGGATAGTGACTGAAGATGGAAACAAAAGTGACCTTGCTTCATCATCACGTAGGGCTTCAGTGCTTTCTCATGCTGAGAAGTACCTCACTTCACAGGTAGCTTAATTGAATTCTGGGATTGCATGCAGCTGATGGGACTCAGAGTGAGTAAGGATGACATAATCTGGCTCTCTGTATTTTTTCACTGCTGTGATGTTTAAAAAATATTAGAGCCAACAGAACAAAAAAAAAAACAAAACAAACAACAAAACACCAAATTGGATTAATTTTTGAAGATCAACCAATGGATAATAATCTTCTCGTCGGCTTTTAGAAGAAATTTCACAGCTGAGGAAGGCATGCTAATTATAGGCTTTTTTTTTATTATTATTATTATTATTATTCAAACAACTTTCAAGTTTCTGAAAGCTTCCACATAATTTTGCATAGCTCAAACTTGTTTTCAAGGACACAAAATCACACAAGAAGTGCTAAGTGAGATGAAAGAGACATTTCTTATGCAGACAACAATTATGAAATGCTTTTTATAAAGTGTAATTGTGTGATATACCAGGTTATCAAACTGGAGGTAAATCAGAGTATATAAAAACATAGTTTACTGTGGGTAGCTCTATTGGAGCCTTTGAGAATAATTGTTCTGTCAGAGACAAATTTCTGTCTGTTTCAATACATGGATTAATCAATATTTCCTACAGATGAAACATTTTTAAGAATACATTGTAATAGCTTTACCGAATAAAAATATTTCAAGTGTTATCTCAATTGTAAGTGTGAATTGATCATTACTACTTTCATAATTAAAGTTAGAAAAATCCCATATTGTTTTGGTTTATAACAACTCCTTTAACTCTTAAAATGAGCAATAAATGACTGTTAGTCAGTGAAGTTCTTTTTTAAAATTAAGGCCCATTCAGGCTGTATATAGACTTAGAATTTCAAAGTAATGGAAAATGAATAACCTTACTGATTGTGAGTGCTGTTTAAATCTCAAGGCAAAAATTTCATATAATCATTGTCTTCTGTATTCTGTTATAAGAGGCTAAAATAAATTTTACATTGTTTCACCGTATAATAATTTTGTCTTTATCGGTTTATATCCTTAAAGCACATGTGCAGCCATTTCACTAAAACAATTATGCAGTAGAAGTCAAACCACTTGGATTTTCTTCAGAGCAAGGAAATAGCATTAAAGATAAATGGAAATACCTTATAGAGAAATCCTTTGTGACACAGGGCTTGACTTCTCAGTTGCATAAAGCATCTGTAATTTAGCTGGAAGGAATGATGTTGGTCACCGAGACAGCATTGGTTATTTAAGGAGAAGGTAATCACCAGCCTCCAGGTTCACAACCATTCAGACTTAGTTTTTCCTCTGATTATGTTTTGAATTATTCGTCTCTGTTTTTTATAATGTCTCAATAATGGTGGTAGCAAGACCTTGTAACAGGCATTTTGCCAAACACAGAAAAAATCTGAAGGCTGGACTTAGAGTCTTAGTCTGGAGCTACAGTAATTTGCAACCACTTTTGATGAAGACTGAATCTGCAATGCCCATACTTCCTCAGGAGGCTTCAGTACTAATGGTCCTTTTGTATTTAGGAGTTGATCTTGTTTCTGTGGTTTTCAACATGCTAAAAGGGAAAGAATCATAGACTGCATTCCTTATGTTGCCTTTAACATGGACATACTGGGTTAAAAAACCCCATATTTTTTAAACTCTTTTTTTTCTTCTTGGTTTTTTTTGATTTACTTTATCTATGACAAGTTCAAAGTGTTTTTATTTTAGAATTAGTTTCACGCAGATGTAATTATATTTTGAATTACAACTGAAAAATGAACTTCCAGAAAAACCAAGCACTTTAATGAAATTCTCACAATGTGATACAAAATATGAATATTTAGAGCAATAAAACAAGGAGGGTGGCATCTAAACAGAAACTTGTTTTTCTGTGTGTCTCCCTATAACAATTAAATTCAAATGTGAGTTTCATTGGCATGATTATCACCAAAAAACTCCAAAAATTTGATACCTAGTTTTGCTTACTAGAGATGAACACTAGTGGCCTTATATGCTCTAGTGGATTCCTAAATTGCAAAAGATAATCTACAATAGCAAGTGATATAAAACAAAGCAGACACCTAATTTAACCAATCACAGAAAAAATACACTTAGTTTTCTGTACCATTAAGTTTCTCTTTTCCTATAGTAGTTCCCAAAATGACATGCTCCCTTTCCCACCCTTTTCAGAGATGATTTTGCTTGATATTACGTAAACTTGACAGTAAAGAAATGCTCGTTTCTTACTTATTATCTTTTACTTTGGTTTTTCACCAATAATATGCATGATCTTGAGCCAACCCATTAAAGGCAGGCAGCATATTGTTATGTGGTTATTTCTATTTCTTGCTATTCATTACACCTCAAAATGGAATATTAGCTGCTGAATGTCAATAATGAATTGTCTGTACTTACTGTCTGTTTTTAGGAAAAGTTAAGGACTTTTGCTTTAGTACCTTTTGCTTTAAAGTCTTTTCTGCTGAGTTCCAGGGAGTGGAGCTTCGTTTGTTGCAACAATATTTGTAATGAAACACAGTTTTTACAGAATGTGGCCTATATCTATCACCTTTATTTTATATTTTGAAGGAACAAATCTATTAGTATAATGAATTGGGCTTTTTAATAGTGAAAGATTACTATAGAAGTGCTGACAATATAATAAAACTTACTAGAAAAATATAGACTCATGTTTGTTAACCATAACTTAGTAGGGTCTTAATTATAATGAAATTACAATCAGAGGTTGCTAATGGAGTTAAGCCACTTAGATTTCAATAGTGTACTTGGAAAGAGTTGCAATTTCATCACATTGGATCTATTCAGAAGATGAAAAAGAACATGGATGTGGCAAATAATCACTATGGTTGTACCAAATGTTTCTATAACTGGATCACTTATGTGACATGTAGTTACTATGTAATCTGTTAGGGGTTTTTGGGGGGTTTTTGGGTTTTTTTTTGGTGGGGGATAGCTTGTTTTATTTTGTTTTTCTCTAAAATGAAGGTTAGGTCTTATGGCTTTTCAGACACTTTACATTAAGAAGACAAAGGCTCTTGTATCTGAAATCTTGAATTTCAATGTCCTGAACTTCAGGCTTAGGCTGCTTTCCATTTCAAACTAAATTTGGCTAAAGATAGGGTACTTGTGCAGAAACTTTTCACTAAGAAACCTCTGTACTAAAAACCTTTGCCATCAAGCTGAACATTTGGGGATTTGAAGCGAGTAAGGTCAGAAGGCGAGCACATCCAAAGCTCGTTTATTCACCACTGGAAAGTCACCAGGGAGTGTCTTTTTCCCCATCCCTTTTAAAGAAGAAGCCATTATAGCAAAGCATGAGGTTGAGAGAGCAAAAGTGAAAGAACTGTTGCACTGCACATTTTTAGCACCATGATTTAGGATGGTAACTTCAGCCTTGGTTGCAAATGTCCTCTGTAAATATTGTTTGGAAAGACAATTTACAGCTGATCATATCTTAATTGTTTGCTAAGGATAAATGTGTATCATGTAATATTTTCTTAAATCCATGTGTTATGAAAATGGTAATGATCAATCACTCAACCTCTCCTAGAGGCCAGATGTTAAAAAGCAGCCTTTATCTTCACTTTTGTGCTCATATGTGTTTGTGTATCTATTTATGGTTATATTTATGTATATAGAGATTTAAATTTATATAAGTGTGAATTACCAAATGTATCTTCCATAGACTTTTGGTCAGGTTACTTTTGCTGTCCTGAATCTGTGCATTCAAATAGACTACAGACTTCTGAATAAGGAAAAAGTAGTTTAAGAAAGATTTCATTTAAGAAATCTTTGGGGTTTGCTAAAAGTAAATGTTCTGTTCATAATACAGGTTTTGCAACTTCTCCATCTCAGTGTTCCCAGCCTTTTTATAACCTGGCTTCACACTTGAGAAAATTGACAGTAATTCATTTTTCTCTGGGAAATTGGTAAATCCTTCCTTCCAAATCATAAGCTTTAAAGGAGTATTTTTAAGCTGGTTTGAGAAATTAACTGTAGAGTGAAATGCATTGCCTGCCTGCTTTGCAGGAAAAAAGGACCTTGTCAGCAGTTCTTGAAGGTGGAAAGAAGATAAAGTGACTTAGATGATGCTTGGGAAATGGCCTATAGAGTGTGTGATGGTTTGACAGCGAGGGAGCTGTGAGAGCTTGTGGTTGTCTGGTTGCTTGTTGGGAAAGAAAAAAATAAAGCAAAAAAAAAAAACAATAAAAAAGAGCAACTGTATATCCTGAGTTATTTTGGAATGCACCAGGAGTTAAGAAGAAAAGTGTGCTGATGCTCAAGGGACTGATGCCTGACTGGATGTTTTGAAGATGGGAAAAGTAGACAGTTGAGATTTGAGATTTGAGTGGTGTGATTGTCAGCAAAGCTGTGTACAACTGAAGTTGTGTTCAGATTAGGGAATTACTCTGGGGAGGTAATGCACAGGGAATGACCACAGTCACTTAGGCCTATCCACCTGGAATGATGCCAGAGTCTCTAAGGGACAGCATCCCTGGATGATGCTCTAATACCACACTGAGTTGAAAGATCCTCTGATGAGTACAGAGACTGAAAAGAATTGACTTGCTGGCAAAACTTGCATAAGAAGTGGTAATAAAATATAAAGCTTTTGTTTCTGGCCCTGATCAGATACAGCACCCCCCCTTACGCCTTTTGTATAAGGCAACAAAAACCACAGACTCCAATAGGATGCTCTTTATGTCTGAAGAGAGAAGAATTTGGTATTCAAGAATACTCCTAGTGGTTAATTTTTCTTTGTGCAGGGGTGCTGAAAGTGTTCAGAAATGTAGCACTGTCTAGGTAAGTCCCAGTACAGATTGGCTAGGAGGTGGGGTGCTGGCAGAGCTGTCAGCATGTGTGCTAATGTACCTTATCAGCTGGTGCTGTGACACAGCATATGCCTGGGGTCAGTGCTGCTGTGACATGGATGTATTGCACATCATAGCAGATACCCATCTGCAGGGTGGGAAGACCAGAATATATGAGGAAAGTGTAGCTTTTTATTTAAACTCCAAGCAGAAACAAATGGTAAATTTATAGACAGATAAAAAGGAGGATGGAAGTAAATGGATAATGCTCTTGGGCTCATGGTGTGACTCTTGGGGGTGGTGCTGTGCAGGGCCAGGAGTTGGACTTGGTGATCTTTGTGGGTCCCTTTCAACTCAGCTTTTTCTGGGATTCTGTGAGATAAGTGCATGAATGCTACTACATAAAGCTTGCTCTGCCTTTTAAGAATGCTGCTCTTTTCATGCCCAGGTCAATATTCATTCTCCTACGTTAATGATCCTGGAAGTGAGTTAGTTCATTTTTGTTGTTGATTGTGGTGTAACATTATCTAATCACCATTAACAAATGTGATAATGGGGCAGTAATTTTTCTGTTGCATATCTTGCTCAAGTTGCTTAGCTGTTATGGGAAAAATTAAACTGACTCAGTAAGGACAATCTAAGCAATTATGACCCTATTTTCATGAAATTTTAGAACGCACACTGTGTGCAAGGTTTCCAGCTGTAGCAAGAATCCTGCATACCCTCTACACCCTCTACTGTGCGGCAGAGATGAGTTTTGATATGCCCTAAGTTTATTTGGTTTTTATTTTAGATATGACAGTGATGGTTGGTGTCCGCCTTTGCCAGTTCAGACCTACCTGCATCAGGGCATGGAGGATGAGCTTGAAGAAGATGATGATCGTGTCCCCACACCTCCTGTCCGGGGAGTAGCTTCATCTCCTGCCATCTCCTTTGGGCAACAGTCGACTGCAACCCTCACGCCTTCCCCACGAGAGGAGATGCAGCCAATGCTTCAAGCTCACCTTGATGAGTTAACAAGGGCTTACCAGTTTGATATAGCAAAGCAGACATGGTAAATGTTTGAAGGGGTCACCTGTGATCAGGGGAAATGAAATAATAATAATAATAATAATAATAATAATAATAATAATAATAATAACACATTCCTTTTTGACATAAATAATGACTCTGTTCAACAGAGTTTTGATTACGTTTCCAAAGAAATAAAATGGAAGAAGATAGAGCCAAATTCTACCCATTGTTGGAAGGCTTTACATGTCTTTATGTGTTTTTTAAATCATAATACTTGGTAATATGCTAAATTTTGTCTAAAATGTGTAAAAACCATATTCCTCCAAAATTTTGCACATGCTCAGCTAAGCAGTAATGCCTACCTCCTAACATCTTTTATAAAGTTGAGAGTACTCTCTTTTCAGGCTAGCAAAAGACAGAAATTTTTTTAGAATTTTCAAGAACTTAAAGATTCTAAATTCCTGATTAAAAATAATGATAGTCTCTTGAAATAGCATTGTGGCAGCTTTTACACTGTGTCACATGAGAATGAAGTATTTGCATCTCTGTACTTTGAACTACCATGAGAATTTCTGATTCATAGGAAAAACCCAGAAACAGCAGAAAGCAAGTTTGTAGTATTCACAGGATGCATCTAGTGTTTCAGAGTGCTTTATGCCTGTTTAAAGGAAGAGCAAGCAAATACCACAGTAACATTTCCCCTACAAAACAAGCAGAAGCAATCTCTTCAGGGACTGAAAAAGAACTTGTCAACTGCACCAGGCTGGGAATATGGTGAAGGTCATTTGCTTCCTGGATGCTCCCTGAGCAGCAGTTGTCCTTTTACAACTCTTCCACCCAGACAAAGCCCGTGACTCTCGGTGGAGCGGAGCAGAGCTAGTTACTGAATGGCGCTCTGCCAGCAGAGGAGCAGCCTTTCTTCCCTGGTAAATAAAGGCACCACGTTATTCAGCTTGAGCTCCCATAAATACATCAGGCAGGTAGGCAGGCGGTGCCAAACCAAAGCCAGCTGTTTTCCCTGGACACCGTGGAAGCCTCGGGGCTTGTCTGCAATCTGCACTCAATCAACAGGGTACCTCGGTCCTGCTGCAGCGCTGTGCTGCCAAGCACCGAGCCCAGCCTGCCGGTGGGACAGACCCAAATCCCAGGCAGCAGCTAGACCTGGCCTGTTGAAGGTACTGGCTTCTGAGCCAGCACACAGATGCACACCCTGCCAGCACAGGCAGGCGCTGCTGCATTGTGCAGCTGTTCCCCTTCCTACGCCCTCCAAACCTCCAAACCACTTCAGGCATGGAGAATGGAGCAGGACGCTGCACCAAAGCCTCGTGCAGCTGGCAGGAAAGGTCTTGCTCCCTTTTTGGAGAGATGAAAATTCATTGGGAAGTTTTGTAGTGTGCTTAGGATTATACAGATTTTAATGTTACTCTTGTGTAAAGTCACAGTAATTGAGCCTGAAACTCCAAAATCAAAAAAATAAAAATTAACAAGAACATAACCTTTTTTTCATACCTTTTGGGTATTGGGCCGAGTGCTGAAAGTGATTTTTATGACATAGATCTTTTGGGTTTGTTTTTTTGTTTTTGTTTTTGTTTGTTTGTTTGTTTGTTTTTGTTTGGCTGGATATGTATCATGCTAGTCAAAGTTAGTAGAAAGTTCTCCATTGTTTTGACTGGGAAGGAATATTTTTTAGTCTTCTTTTCACAAAGTTAACCTGTCCATTGTAGAGGCAGGGAAAACTAAACAGCAAAATGAGACCTGTCAGATAGGTTACTGTGGGAGAAGCAACTGAGAAATACAGAGATCAGCCAGCTAGGAATTTAAGAAAGAGCCTATTAGAGATTACTGGAAAAGTACATAATCATTATGGCCTTGATCCAGCAAATCACTTAAGTGTATGCTTAACTATGAGTACATGAGAAATTGACTTCAATTGTTCTATCACAAGCTTAACATTAAACATATACTTAAGCATTTTGCTTGATTAGGAGCTAATCACACTGTTTATTGAGGGTTAGTTAGATGGTAGTGCCCTTCAGTGCCCCAGTGTTTTGAACACTGTGTAGAACACTAAAAACCTGGTGTCCAGGCAGAAAAGTGTTCAATAACTGTTAATCAGAAGGGGATTGTATGTCAGAAAGGAAGCACTTGTTCTGGAAATTAGATTCAGAATAAGCAATAAGTTAAAACCTACACTGAGGTGGAGAAAGTTACCAGTACTACACAACATTTACCATGCCATTCTCATATCTGATAGATTTACATTACGGAAAGAAAAAAAAGGCTCATTGGATAACGAGAATTCATTCATGTAGGCAATAATTCAGCACAAAGTTTCCACTGAAAATGTGTTATAGCTAGGAGCCAAACAGGTGACAATTGTAATTTCTTCAGTTTTACTGATGTCCAAGCAAGAGACCAGCAGAATCCTGGATCCCATCCAGAGTGCTGCCGATTCAAATCAGGTCATGGCACCTCATGCAGAGCCACCCAAGGATTCCCACGTGCCTAAGTTAGCAATTTCAAGCGTGGTACATGCTTTTGTGCCAAGGCCAGTCATGCCTGGCTCCCCTGGCACAGCTTTGCTGTGTACCTGTTGTGCTGTGGGGAATGCTGGTCTGAAGGCTGATGGTGTTCTTTTCTCTCAGACTCTGAATCCCATGCTTGCCTTTGGCCATTTAGCTATCCTGTGGGTGCTCTTTTTGTCTTCTTTTTTTCTTTTTTTTTTTGTTTTATGTGATTGCTGAATGCAGTAATTTCACACATGCATGCCCTAATACTGCTGCAATTAAATCAATTAAACTTCCTGGAATAAAGCAAAATGAAAAGGCCTCACTGATGATGCGTTCATTGGACTTGAAAATTTCTTCTGTCCTGCTGGCCATTTCCTCCTCTTTAGGGTGACTTTTGCTTCAGGCACTGCATCTGTTTAAGCGTAAGGAGTGAGATTTAACTTTGGTTCAATGTGTGATTTGCAAGGGGAAATATTGGGTGAGACACTTATGTGCTAGGCTGGGATTCAGAATTGTGCTTTTCCATGGATTTCCTACCTGATTTTTGTAGCCTCTGTGTCTATCGCTCTTCATTGTGGGAAGACAATCCTGACCTTCCCCATCATAAAGGATTTAATCTTTATTCTTTTTATTTAAGACTGGAAAGTGTGCAGGCACTCTGGTATTAGAAGCTGTGGTGAATAACTGAACTGACTTTTCTTGAGTTTGGCCTAACCAAGCACATTTTGTAAATCTATTTCAGGACTTGTTGAAAGGCTTGTGTTTTATTGACTATGGGCTGCAAAGCCTCACCCATTCTGATAACTTTTCCTGTTTGTTTGTGTAGGCACATCCAAAGCAATACACAACCTCCTCAGGCTCCAGTCCCTCCCCTAGGATACGTATCTGGAAACCTTATTTCAGATTTGGAAACAGATGTTCCAGATGATGATGATGATGAGGACGATATTGAAGAAGAAACTGTAGAAATCAGTAGGCCACTAAGAGGTCTAGAGCATACTCCAGGCTCCAGTATGGACAATCTAGACAGCTCTGTGACAGGTAACCAAATACAGTGACACCAGCTTGTTACTACCAGTAAAATGCATCACCATTTGGACTCTTTCTAAGTGAAAATTTATTCCACTTGATTTCTGTAACATTTAAAATGTTAATACTAAAGAAGGATTTTTAAATACTTTGCTTTGCTGCAAAATGATAAGAAAATTCATGAATTTTAAAAAAGCTTTAAAGACTTGAAAGAAAATTCAGTTATATCCTAGCTTTCATGAAAGGTTCATTCTACTAGAGAAGCAAGGCAGTTACATAAAAAGGAGGGGGAAGACCTCAGCTTAGCAATATATATTTCATAAATCAGGAGCACCATAAAAATGTTATCTTAAAGCACTTTTAGATATTCTGCTGGGCAAATGCTTTCCCAGTTGAACACAAGGAAGTTAAAGACTTCAGACTAAGTGTAGCTAGATCAGCACAATATTTATTTCTAGAGTAAATACAACATTTTTATAGGAAAGTGTGGATTTTGAACATAGTTAGTATTGTTGAATTCAGTAATTATTCCATTTTAGAAAATCTGTTTAATAATTCTGACTCTCCTTCCTTCACTTCTTTCTGTCCTTTGCATGCCTTGGAAAGCTACATCATCATCAAAGGGGACCTAGAAAGGTCTGCTACAATAAACTAATGCATGGAATCTGAATTAATGAAATTGCTGTTGGTGGTGCTGTAGGCAATGAAAGACACTGTTTTTCAAAAACACAGATTTTATATGGACTTCATGTACTTTTTGTAAGCAGCAGTGCAGTTCTCTTCAGGTTGAACTAGGGCCTCTATGTAACGTACTGTGTCCATAATGTGAAGGTGTGCTGGAGACCCAAATATCCCCAGTGGCACAGCGTTAGTGGGTGCTGCTTCAGTTTGTGATCTCAGCAGCTCTGATTGTTGGCTTTCCATTAAGGGAGACTTGTTCAGAACAACTTCCTAACACAGCAGCACTGAATTCCATCTTTGTCTGGACCTCTGAAATTCCAAGGCTTTTGCACTCGTACTTAAAGATTGATTTCTGAAAACACTGCAGGAAGATGACAGTGATGGAGCATCAATAATTTTCTTCCTTTGCCTTGTTGAGTGAAATAGTGTGTACCTTAAAAACCTTCCAGGTTTTCCTTCACCCTAGAGCCAGACTGCTTGCCAATCTAATTAAGATTTAAGAATTGTATCTGTGCTGCTGCGATTTGAAATCCAGATGCAACTGAAGGCCATAGAGTTAAAGTTAAAATCCCTGAATTGAGAAGGTTAACTTTTTAGTGCTTGAGTATGTTAACTCACTTTGCTTGAACTTTTAGTGTAATCTCCCTCAGGCTATAATTCTGCATAGTTTTTCATCTCTCACTAGTGGCTTAGAAGCCTTTCTGTTAGCAATTCACTAAGAATTTTGCACTGGTAGAACAGCAATAAATAAATAAATAAAGGTTGGTATACATTTTCCATTTGGTATATATTACTATGGCAATGCTTATGTATCTGTAAATCAGAAAATGAATGTTTCCATCCACATTTCTATCTTCACCTAATAGTTTGGGCCACCCTCCCAAGAGTAAATAAGGAAGAGTTGTATTCCTGCTCCAGTCTGAAACTTTAGTGCTTATTAAAATCTATCATTTTACAGATAACCTTCAAACTTGTTATAATATTTTAAAACCTTGTTTAATTTTTGAAGTGTTAAATGTCTAATCACTGGACTGTTAAAGACTTCTTGGTATTTTGGGAGAAATTGGGCAGAATTTGATAATGTAGACTGCGAGTATACTTAAGGTGATCTAAATACACTTCTAGTCATCACCATCACTAACTTCATGTGGCCTCATCCAGCTGAAAATTAAGGTTTTGCTTTTGCTTTTTCTTTTACTTGTTTAATTACTAGCTGGATCTGTTCCTTGCTCTGGTTCACTGCATGGCAAGGTGTGTGCTGGCACTGCAGGAAGGGAAGCAAAATTATAGACTGCCCCTAAAGCACTTAGGCAACATTTAGACTGACTCAATTAAAGAATGATAGCCTTACAGAAGTACACCCAGAGTGTTAGCATAAAGGGTCTGTAAGATGGCAAAATATCCATATAACAAAATTACTTCTGTTTTCCTCAATTACTATATTTTAGAATTTTATATTTTAGAAGAGTTTGTATTGGATTTGTTTTATTCCAATGGTGGAAAGATATTACCTATTATAGTTGAGCAAATTTTGTTTTTCAAAAGACGATTTTAATTTTTGTTTATCTGTTTCTGTTAACTCTTCTAGGCTGTGTTTGATGGTGTTAAGGAGTGTATAGAAAATTGCTTCAGTTGCTCCCAAGCTGTTTCTCATTCTTCAATTTGATTGCTTTTAAAATACTGTAGAACAACTAAATTGTTCCTTCTTGTGCTGAGAATACCTAAGCTGCTTCTTCTCAGAGCCCTTGGTGACTTCAGCCAGCATTTTTCTAAGAATTTATAGATCATGTTTTCTCTTCTCTAAATGTATTTGAAAATGGAGGCAAATGAGAACAGCTGACCCAGATGAAGCAGTATTTCTGTTCATTCTGAAGTGCCCTAGGAGTTCAGTGTTTGTGAGAAATCTAAATTGACATCCCTTGGCCCAGACTTCCTCCAGAGTTGCTGTGGAGGGAGCGGGGTGAGGTTCCTCAGCCTGCAGTGTTAGCAAGCCTCAGCAATGCCTCAAAGATACCCACTCTTGGGCTGGAATGGGGCTTTGTTCTTCATGGCTGAGCTGAGAACAAGGATTTCCCGCAGCACCAAATGTGGGATTCTCCGAGGGGAAGCACTGGCACTGCGTGAGCCAAAGCACAAACTACTGAATCCCTCTGACACCACAGTGCTGCTCCTTTAAACTGTTTAAAAGTCGAGTTGTCTTCCAGGCCCTTGAGTTTTAGTCACAGCTAACTGAAGATTCAGACAAGGGTTTAATCTGCACTATTAAGCTTTTCTCTTTGCAGGTGGCAGAGACATAATGTTGACATGTATAATAAAGTGAAAAGAAAGGAGGAGTGCACAGGAACTGTATCTTAACATTCTCCAGATATCACAAAGAGAACTCAAGGAGGGAGGTTTAGATTTGCACGTTTGTGAGATGCAATATGAAATTGAAGCCAAGGTTTTGCTCCATTCCCAGTGTAGTTTGTTAGGATTTTGAGTCACTGAATCTGCTTAAAAAGAAAATACAAAGAACCAAAAAACACTGGTAAAATTTCTGCTCCCTTGACTTTTAATTCATAATTATTTAGAATTATTTTTTGCTTTCAGAGACACAATGAAATAGGTTTTTTTTCCCTCTTGCTTAATGTTTGTCTTTATAATGAATTGCTGTGCAGAGTTATGGCACAAATGGCCACAAAAAGTCTGTTGCCCTATTCCACTTTAATAGACTTAATTAATTGCATATGATGACTGTAGAAGAAATAAATTTGCTTCTCACTGAAATCACTAAGAGAAAGCCTAGGTTTTTTTTAGGTCAAAGTGTTATGGTTTGGGGGGTTTCTTTGCCCTCTCCTTATCTCCTCTTCCTCCTGCAGCACCAGTGAAGCTGGTAGTGAGAGCTGCTGTATCTTCAGTCCTGGTGTGTTTTGACTGAGGGAAGAGTTTGACTCATTAACTAGAATGGAAATTATTGCAGGACCTCTTATATCTAACTGATACAAACTGATATAGACAGAGAGACATTCTTTTAAACAGTGCCTCAAAAAATAGGTAACAATTTTTTTTTTTTCAATAGAATTATATAGATCTAAATTATGAAAATCTCTGTAGATTGTGTAGCTCAGCAAGGAAGAATATCCCTTATTTGACATGTTTTGGTCTTGATTAAAAGACTCATTGATCACTGTCTGTATGGAAAAAGTTGTTCATACACTGTGAGCACAAAAGGAATAATTCTCGAAAACTGCACAATATCATTTTCATGAGCCATATTTTACCATGGCAGAGCTCAATATTTGTATTGATTTGCTTAGGGATACCTATTGCAAAAGATTCTATTTTATAAGCAGTTAGACAGATTGCATTTAATAGGAAGAATGTGCTTCATGGATTAAATATGTGCTCAGAAAATAGGAAACTGATACTTTTTGTATCTCATAAAAATGGTAATGCAACAATTAGCAGGGTCATATTATAAAGCACAGACTTTACTCCAGCTTAATGGATCTAGGGATATGCATTCATCAGCAACGATAGATTTAGCATAAAATGACATGTAAATGAATTGATGACTGATCATAAATTAATTTTAGTGCTGAAGAAGTAATAGAGACACAGCAAGTTGCCACTTTATCATAGTATTTTACTGCTCAGCAACATTTGAGCAACTACTTAATGTTCTGTGTGCATTTCTTTTCTAACAGCTTGAATAAATTTGAGATTTTTTTGTGCCTTTCAGCAATATGGAAACCAAAAAATCTAGAAGGATGGAATGCAAACAGAAATAAATTTGGCTAAGTGACATAAATTCATTTTTCATTAGATGTTTATGAAGGTCATTAATTATCGTTTGACCTGTGAAGTGCTGAATATCTATGAATTTATATTATAAATTATATATATTTAATGTTTGTATATATAAATAATATATATTTATGGGCTTTTTTAGTTTTTTCTGCCCAAAAATAAAACATTTAAAACTTAGAGGTTTATTCAGGTGTATACATTTAAATAGATGGGCATTTATGTTGGAGGAAAGTAAAAAACAAAGTCTACTTTTTGGAAGTGTGTTCATATTTAGATTCTGAATTCAAACACTTCTATTATTCTTCCTTACTCTGATGGTACACTGCCTATGTCCCCTTCTATTCCCTCACTTCCACCAAAATCAGGGCATTCTTGCTGTGTAATCATGACAGTGGTCAGACATATCCAAGAGAGGATGATACCTTCCTCCTTTACAAAGGCTAAAAGAATTCTGGAACTGATTTCAGCTGAAATAGCATCAGTACCCAGGGATGTCACCCACACTTCAGAAACATGAGCAGTCTATCCCTGTTCCATTTAAAAGCTGCAGAGGAACAGGGGCTTAAAATTAATATGTGCTGGATGTTCTTGTAAAGGAGAACACATGAAGTAAGCACATGGAGGTTGGTAGATGCAGAAAAGTATCTAATGGAACTCTCAGAAGTGCCAGATTAGTTGTGAGCAGCTTTTATTTCACAGGTGCATTAGACTTTTTTATTATTATTTTTTAAGTAAAGCAACAGTACACTTTACAAAGAAAAATAGCATTTTTATTGCCAGCAAATACCACTAAAAGCAGTAGCATGCAGTCTACTGGAAGCTGGCACCTCTGTTTCCCTCACCTTTCCCTGAGAGCAAAGAAGCTTTCTATTTGCATTAGCACCAAGAGATATTTTATGGAGCAAGAAAACAGAGTTCAACTTTTCACAGAGCTGATTTTGTTCTGCATAAAGCATTTACTGCTGCTGTCAGCAAGAGTAAAATTTACAGTTGCCAGAAAGCGTAAAAACTCAAATGTGCTCTTGGAAAACACACAGTGAGCTGCATGTAAAGGAGACACTAAAAGCCTGTTTCATCCCATTTCAAAATGCACAGTTGATCTGAAAGGAACGTCAGCATCTCTTATTCTGCCTTTATTCAGAGAAAAAACAAATGTGCATCTGATTTGGAAAGCAAGAGGCCAGTGGATGCCTTTAAACAAGCAGTCACCACGTGTGCTGTGTTAACACAGCTGTGTGGTGGCCTGAGGTGCCCGGGCTGGGCTCCAGCACTGCCTTCTGGGCAATGTCTGCACCTCTGCAGGTCAGAGCAAAACGGGATTTACTGCTGCAGGTTTTGCTGGGTGGGGAAAAGAAATGGTTTATGCAGGAAAACTGAATAGCTCAGGAAGCAGTAGAAATAATACAGAGATTTAGCCTTTAGCTCCCTGGTGACACAGAGCTGTGGGTGCTGTGCATTTCTCAGGATGTTTTGCTGACTTCAGCAGTTAGAAAAAGTCTCTATATAAAAAGTTGCTTCTGGCAACAAGAAGGAACGTAGAATGGTTTGGACTAGGATGGACTTTTAAAGGTCATCTTGTTCCAATCCCCCTACCATGGACAGGGACACTTTCTACTAGCCCAGATTGCTCAGAGTCCCATCCAGTTTGACTTTGAACACTTCCAGGACTGGAACATCCACAGCTTCTCTGGGAAGCCTGTTCCAGTGCCTTACTGTCCTGATGGTAAAGAATTTCTTCCTTGTATGTAATCTAAACCTTCTCTCAGTTTGAAAATTTTGCTTCTTGTCCTGTCACTACAGGCCTTATCAGAAAGCCTCTTTCTGTCATTGGAATGACCCCACTTTATGTATTCAAATGCTGCAGGAAGATCTGCCCAGAGCCCTCTCTTCTCCAGGCTGAGCAACCCCAGTTGTTCCAGCCTGCCTTCACAGAAGAGGGGTTCCAACACTCTAATCACTGTTGTGGCTCCTCTCTGGACACACTTGAGCACAGGTCCATGTCTGTCTCATGCCAGGGACCCCAGAAATGGATGCAGAAATCCAGGTGGGGTCATGACATCTCAGTAAAACTCATGTCCCTGCAAGAACATGCTTCCAGCATGACAGGTCCCTCCTAGAACAGCTGCTGGAGGAGAGGGAAAGGGGGAGTGATCTATAATCCCAGCCTTGCTCATACTCGCTGTCCATGGGAATGTGGAGGAGTTGAGGATCAGAGCTTTTTTATAGGGTTAGGCTAGAAAACTGGCAATCCAATAATAAAAATGTAGATAATTTTAGAAAAACTGCCATGTCTATGAGTGTGTAGAACATTAGCTGTATTCACACACTATGCCCCTTTGCAGATTTTCAGTATATTTCATACCTAAAATGAGATTATTTTGTTTTACTGATTAACAAAGCAAACAAAAAACAGCTACTACACACAGCTTGAAAGTGTCACATCCAAATTACCATGTGCATTGTGTGTTTTTAACAGCTGTGGTTAGCAAATGGACAAAGCAATGTGAAAAATAGAAATTAAAAGTTCTCTTAAAACATCCATAGTCTCACGGACCATAACACTGAAAACAAAAAGTGCTCTTTATATGTTATATATGTCTCTACATAGACAATAGAATATATGACACAAAACCCTTGGTCCCTGAAATTAATGGCACACATGTTAAATTTTTAGCATCTAAGTATCATCCATCCTTTGATATGTGCAGCTCTAGTTACGTTTTTATGTTTCAGCTTGTTCTCACGTATTTTGTGGAAAGTGTCTATAAGCGATTGTTTGAAAATGTCCTCAGTTATAGAATTTCATTTTCTTACATCTTCATTAAGTGTTTTATCTGTAGTATCTCTTTTCATACATCACCAATAACTGTTGCTGATCATCTTTGCTCTCCATTCTCTATGATGTCCTATCGCACTTTGCTCGTTCAGAAAATGCCTTCTCAGAGGAAATTCAGTTCTAGCCTTCCCTTGCTGTTATCTGGGCTCCCTCACATCTGTCTGCATCAGGTCGAGTCTGTTTGGAAAATAACAATTTTATGTGTGCTTTTGGCAAGCAGAATCAAACTCTGTCACTCTCTGTTGCACTTAACACACTTTCTGCCTGTCAGACCTCCGCAGACCTCTTTGGTTTCTTTTCTTGTATCTGAGGAGTGCAAGGGTTTTTGTTATTATAGCCTGCCACTTCTCTGACATTAAAAGGTTTGGTAACTGCAGCATCACAAAATAATCCATTGTTCTTGGGCTTTGTGGTGCAGCATGCTGCTGAATTCCAGGATTCATTCATTGTACTCATGACCTGTTTTTGCAGGACATTTTTAATATTTGACACCACCATTAGTTAATTAGCCTATCAATTAACCAATAAGCAGGTCATTATTGATTTACTACTTATCAATTTTAAACACAGAAATGTTTTCTTGGACACAGATTTTTAAAAGGCTACTGTACTGCTACACATTTCATGTGCATTTACAGAAATTCAGCTCTGCTGAGTAAAGTCAGGGCCATGAAGCATCCCTCCACACGTGTCTTCATGTCTTTGAAAATCAGTTCTCTGCAGATTCTCACAAGTTCACTGGGCTTGTTTTTTTTTTTTTTCTTTTGTTCCCAACATATAGCTTTTACTAAAAAGCACATTTCAGGTATTTTGAGATGGGGGTGGTGCCTGTACTATCTCAGAACAACACACTGTGTCCACACAGCACCATGCAATGCCATGCAGCAGCCCAGGTCCCAAAAGCTCTCTGGTAGCTCTGCACCTCACCCAGGTTTGGTGCTCATTTAACAATGCCCTGTTCCTGGAGCAAAGTATCTGCTGCTGGCTCTTCCCTTTGCCTCCTGCTTCACTGCATGGTGCAGAATGACCCTGGGACATGTTAGAAGTATTCTAGAACACCACCATCTCCATCTGAAACCCTGAAAGAAACAGAATTACAGTACGCAGAAAAAAAATAAATATTAAGCTTTTGAAAGTGATGGGCTTTGATTGATGCTTGATTCATGCTTCAGAAAAAATAAAACATAAGCGAAGAGCAAATAAGATCAACCCTTTCTTATCTATTTTGCTCTTTATATTTCAGTTATGTCAAGATTTCTGTGTTTCTTCCATGTGGTTTTTCTGGTATCTGGTTTTCTGACTGCATTTTTATGGTGTTGTTATCACCTTCCTCTCCTGCAGTGGTGGTAACTTCCATAGTTAGAAGGTACCATGGGGCCAACACTGGTCTAGCAACTGACTCGGTGCTAAATCTAAGCATATATTTGCTCTGCTCCTGAATCTTCATTATTTCCAACCTTTTTAAAAAGGTACTTTAATCCACTAGAGTGAACTATTTTTGATCAGCTATTTTCAGGCCATTAAAACTGCTCATTTATTTTAAGGTTATGATTGACAAAATCACATGGTGCCAGTCTTGTCCAGAACTGCTCTTGAAGCTCTTGAAGGTCTGACTTTAGCCATGTCTACTGAGACTTACATATATGTAGTCCAAAAGTAAGACTTGGTTTGGCAAACATCAAACTAGATATTGATTTGTAGCAAGACAAGTAAAACAAAAATAACAAAACCAGCCATGCTCAATTTGATCACAGGAAAAAAGAATGCATTAATTTTCAAAAGAATTTACTGTGGATCTTTTGCATTTGTGGAGAATATGTATTGTTCTGTTTACTGGAGCAAAGCTACATGGAGCAATCTATGGATGAGATTCCACCAAGCTCTGATAGTGCTCTGTTGTACCAAACTCTGTCAGATAATCTTTGGGGTTTGTATTGTGAAAGGACACAGTAAGTGGGTCTTTAAGATTTAGATGAATATTGCTCTTCTGTACCAAGCTCTATCAAGTGAATTTTGGGTTTCCTGTTGAGAAAGGACGGATTAAGTGGGTCTTTAAGCTTTAGATGAACGAAGAATATCAAATGTGCACCACTCACTGGCGCCCTACATTTGTTTTTAGGTTCAATGGTAAATGGCTGGGGTTCTGCGTCTGATGAGGACCGTAACTTTTCTAGTCATAGATCTAGTGTAGGTAGCTCCTCAGATGACTCCATCTTTACCAGCGGCACTTTTGCACAAGCACTGGTTGCAGCAGCAGATAAAGCTGGGTTTAGGCTGGATGGAACCAGCCTGACAAGAACAGGTTTGTAGACTCAAAGTTGATGCTTTTTGCATGAAGGGTGTCTCTGCCTATCCTTCTCTCAGTGAAACCGAGTCTCACACTTGTCTAACATGCATGGGATAAGGTGGATGGAGATACTTTTATCGGTATATTTTCAGTGAAACCTTGCGTTATGTTTCACTTTTAGTGATTTGAAGTAGTGAATAACACAAGCTTTTAATCTGCACCTTTGGTCTGCTGCAGTTCCCCTCAGTGCTGACTCTGCTCTACATTTATTGACATATGCTCATTTAATATTTCGGTGAAGAGGTTACTAATTCTGCCTTGCAGCCTTTGATAATTTCACTTTCTGAAAAATCTCCTCACAATCATTCACATTTCCAGTGATGAACATCGCATTTAAACTGTTATCTCCATCCCTGCTCTTCTCTTGCATTTCATCTTGCAAAAGTGTGTTTTTCTGTGAAGTTTTTCTGAGCATGGGGTGAATTGATGTGCTCTGATTGTTAACAATACAAACTGTTTAAAGCTTAATTAATAGCTGATTTTAAAAATCCTTAATTAAATAAGTTAATATATTTTGATAACATTTAATTTTGGTTATGTCAACTGAATCAGCCAAGTAAAATGTAACACAGGTAAAGTGGATATTACATTTGAAAACAGCCAATCTTCTGAAACTAATTAATGAAAACTAAATTTATTATAGTTCCTTTTTTTAAAGCTCCATATGTTTCATTTCTGTTTAAAAATATAAAGAAATATTATCTTTATTCTGGTAATAAAAGAATACATTTGCATTTTCTTAGTCTTGTCAAAATAGCAACAATAACTAATTATTTAAATCCACAAATCTAATAGCAGAGTGTGAACTTGTGTCATATTTTTTGTTATGCTTCCTCAGCTAATTCTGGATGACAGATCCCATAGTATTCCTATCATTTAAACTTTTTAGACTATTTCTCCATGAGGTCTATGAAGTTTGTCCTTCAGTAAAATGTGACCATTTAAGGGAAAATCTCACATGTTGGGGCTGAAAACTGTAGGCTTTCTGCGTGCAATAACTTCATGGCAAGGACTGCCTTTTAGGAACATTAGGAACAAAGGAAAGAGTTGGTGGCAAAGCCTTAAGCCCAGCTTTTTTCAAATCACTGGGACTTTTACCACTGGCTTTGGTCAGACATAGTCATCCTTAAAAGATTATTTCACCATAGCTGAAGCCCTCAGTTGTTTCCTTCTATTAATGGAAAATTGAGCAAATCTGACATATGACTTAAAAAAACAAAAAAACAAAACCACAGACAAAAAAAAAACAAAACAAGAAAACTCATGTAGACCTTAACTTACCTAGTATGGACACATCTGGCCAAACTATAACTTAAAATATACTGTTTTCCTTGAGGAGTCTCCCAGATTCTGAATGAAAAGAGCAAATCTTTTCCAACCTTTTTTTTTTTTGGTAGTGTTTGCTGTAATAAAAGAATGCAAAGATTCACCAAAATTACTGTCACTTGTATTGAACCTCTGAGAAGTGCAGTTTCCACCACAAACACGCTCGTAACACAAGTAAATGGACACACAAACACAGACACTTTAGAATAAATGTTTTTTTTTTATTGTTGTTATGTGAATGTAAACTAGAAGGAAAGGATGAGAGCCCCCTTGTCAGCTGCATTTTTCTAGCTTGATTAGGTCACACATGCACTTAGAGTGAGTGTGTGTGTAATTCCTCAGACAGATCATTAGAACGTAGGGGTACAAAAAAGGATCCAGTGGCTGTGGTACTCGATGATTATTACTCTCTTAATGATCCAGCAGGCAAAATGGAAATAAAATAAAAACCCACATGTGAACAAAAAGCCTGCTTTTCCTCTTTTTCCTTTTGCTCAGGAAATGGAAGTGCTCCCCCTGCTCACTGCGGTGTCATTCGGATGTGTCACCTGGCAGGGCAGGGTGGCTGGGTCAGACACCCCAGAGTGCTGCACGGTGTCTGGCAGTGCAGAAGCAGCAGTGTTATCCTGCTTAATGCTCTGGAGGGAGCCTGAAGGTCCTGACTCTTTATTCCTCTGCAGTCTGGACAGTTACTTCCACCCATTTAGAACAGCTGTGAAATACTCTCAGAGAAAGATAGTAAAGGAGATGTCCACCTTGATAGCCTCACGTGGGAATGTTTGATTGCCGAGCATGGAGGCACTGGTGAATCCAGATGCAATGTGTCTCTCCTGCCAGACACTTTGATTCCAGTTTCCAGAAGCCATCATGTGATTTGCCATGAAGTTCAAACAGCTTTCCTTTTTAACACCCTTGGGAAATTAAATCAAGAATTAGTGGATTCATCCTTGTCTCCACTTAAACACACTAAATCTGCTGCAGAAAGTCTGACACTGGCTCAGCAGTCCTTACTGGAAGGGCTGCATACAAATATAAGATGCTGTAACCAGTTATTAAGTGCACTGAAAAATGTGATAGGGGCACATCATTTGTGTTTGCCCCATGTATGATTTAGGTGCTATTTACTTTGCCTCATTTTTGTGAAGGGATAAAGGAGAATGTGTCTATTTATTTTTAAAACCAACATTCTGAATGAACAATCACATCTCTTTAGTTAAAAGAATAAGTGTGAAGAATCTGTGTCCTGCACTCACTAGTTACACTTGCATGTTGTGAGTTTATTTTTGCAAAACATCTGTGCAGCATGCTGTGAGTTGGGATGAAATTTCAGGCTCACATCTGAATTTCTTTGCATTAGGAGTCTTTTTTTATTTTTATTTTTAAATGAAATTTTAATATTTTGTCTGTGTTCATCTGCTGTGTTATCCTTATCCATGGAACAAGGGCTTGATCACTTGTCTTTGTCTGGCTGCAGCTGTGCCAGCTATAGAGAGGTTAATGTTCCCAAATGCTTATTCCTTGCTTTCTCCCAGCTCCAGAATTAGCTGCTCATGTGGGTGTTCTGTAACCCAATTTTGGTTAAAATGAGCTAGGTTAGCAAAGGCATTGTTTTCAGACTGTATAAATTCAATTGGGCTTTTTTTTTTTAGCTTTTTTTTTTGCTTTTTTTTTTTTTTATGTAGAAGAGGTTTAGAGAACATCCAAATGAGGGTTCAAACGTGGTAACCTCCAATTGCTGGCAGAGGTGTGCAGCTGGGGACAAACCTGTCTGAGAGCAGTGCCCTCCTCAGGCTGCACAACAGTCAGGAGGTAGACAGCCAAGCTATGAAATCTCTGAAGTCCAACAGTGAAATATTGTCCTAACATGTGTGCTTTAATGTGAAACAACATGTTAGAGAGAATATGGCTACTTTTTCACTTTGCCTTCTTGGTGCTGAGAGCATTTCAAATCAGATGCTGAGCTGCATATTACTCCCTGTTAGGCTTTCCTAGATCAGATTGTATGTGACAGCATGTTGGAAGTAAGCACATCTGCTGGAAGGTTTTACTAGAAAATGTAGCCCACTGCGAGGTAAACCATGGTCTAAGTTAACCAGAGGATAAAAAGTCCTCCTTTTTACCATGGGCCCAGTTGACCAGAAAAAAAACCAATCACCCATTTTGCCCATTTCTGTCATCTCTTACACCATTTGGGGCCTAAAGCAGCATTGAAAGAGCAGAAGTTCAGACTGGCTTAAGCATTTTCCACTGCAGATAGCATTAAAATATGTAATTACCAATTCTAAATGAATTGAGATGTTAACATCTCCAAAATTTTGCAGGAATAACATACACATGAACAAAAGAAAGTCAAAAATGGTGATTTTTAGTTTTCATCCATTATCATTAAATATTAAGTCTAAATATTAAGTCTAATCTAAATGTTAAGTCTAGTTAACAGAATAAAAATATCAGAATAAGAGGAAGTTAATGTAGTAAATGAGCTGTGCTCTTTAAATTCCGAAGCTTTTAATCATCTGCTCCATAGAACAGCATCAAAGATATTTCTTTAACAGAAACCATATAGCTTTAATAGTGTGTGTATATATACAGAACAGATATAAAAAGATATATATATAAATCTGAGGTCACAGTATATATTTTTAACAAATAGAACTACTAAAAATTAACTGGAAAATTTTATCTTTTAAATATACCCCCATTTTTATTTCTTGAGAAAAAAGACCCCTTAAGTATACAGTGCTGCAATGCTACATAGCTTGCAAAATCAGATATGTTTATCTTGCTGGAGTTACTCCAGATATACAGTGCATATGGGAGCCCCTAAAATGAGAATCTGGCTCAGAAAACATGAAAGTTGGAAGGCAGGAGGAGATAAATTTGATATGATTGCAGAACTGTTTTCCCTCCCTGCTCAAGGCTGAGGAGTTGTTATGACACATCTGTTCAGCACACAGAGCAGGTAGGAGTTATGTGGCATACAGTAGTTTTATCGCAACAGATGGAATAATTTTAATTATAAAAGTTAAAGACAAAAGAATGCCAAGTTCCTCTACTTCACTTGTTGTGGTGTGTCTTAAAGCAGTTGTTATCAGTGGGAACCTTGAGGGGACACTTGCCTGCCTCTGAGAATTAGACCTGATTTAATGTTTTGGAGCAGACATTAATAGAACAGCCCATTTCAAGGCAATAACATTTTTTCATCTGGTTCCTCTCTTCTTTTTTTTTTTTTTTTTTTTTTTTTTCCCTTCTTTAGGCAAAGCATATTCTTCCTCTCAGAGACCTCGGCCAGGCAGTCCTTTTTCTACTGACAGCAACACCAGTGCAGCTGTCAATCAGGGTCAGAGGCCAAGACCCACGAAAAAACACAAGGGCGGACGTTTGGAGCAGCCCTCTTTGCCTCATCGCCGGGAGGGAATCACGGACGGTGAGTGCTGGGGGAGGAAAACCTGCAACAGGCAGCTGTGCATGGCAGGGGAAGGCAGAGCCATCTCTTCAGGAATGTAGGTTACAGTCAATTACTGCTTTGCTGGAGCTGGTCCCCAGGTTGCCACCTGAGCAGTGTTGTAGCTCCAGCAGTGTGGGGCTTGGGTGAGTGTTCAGGGAGCCTTTCCCCATTTCTGCTCTGAATATGTCCTCATCTCCTAGGATTTCTCAGATCTTGATAAAAATCTTACCGCAAAATGACTGCATTGCACGAGTTGACATTGAAAAATGGCCTGTGGATAATTGTAGATTTTATGAAAGTAGCCACCAATGGCAGTAGCTGAATGAATTCCTAAGGAGAAGCAGAGAGCTGCTCCCACAGGACTTGTTCGGTTTGTGCTGGTTTTGACAGACACCCAACAGCTACAGAAATATGTGCCATGTTTTCCCATGATTCTGCCTCACCTCTTGTCTGTGCTGCTTCAGTCCTGACATCCACTGACCTCAGTGACTGTGTCTCCCTCTTTTACATCTCCACTTTCTCTTACGACTACTTCCCATCTGGAAATTTCAGGCGTGTCTGTTCTGCTCTTCTAAAAGATAAGATCAGCTGTCTTTCATTTTCTTTGTCTACCCTTCTTGAGTCTGGCAAAAGACACAGTTAGTGCCTGTTAGTTTTTGAGGAAGACTGGATAGGAAGGTGGCCAGCTGGCTACCTTCCCCTCATTTCTTCTGATCCCTGGCCTTGCACCTGTAGGTGTTGAAATGATCAGTGTTCACCAAAGGTGTTATTGTTACATCTCCTGCTCTATGGCTCATTCTCACTGTGATATTATTTGTGGAAAGGCTTAAAGTGGCTTAGATTCTGCTCCTATGGATCCAAGTTCCTTTAAACACTAATTCCCTGCCCAGTAACTGGAAAATGATGGATGTCACTTCTATGCTGGCCATACTCTTTCTGTACATGTTTTGTTAACCCTTCTGAGTGCCATATCCTGTCACCCTGAACTGTGAGCATCATAGGGGACAAATTCTGTGTACATGTGAGTTTGTAGTGCACTAATCCTTCTGCTTCTGAATGCTATTGCTACAGAAGTGACTTACAGTCGTGTGGGTACCAGAAAATTAATGAGGATCCAGTTCAGGTCATGAGGCAGATGGAAGTGGGGCTCCTCAGGGAGTGACTCCATCATATAATTTCACATTGTTTTAAATTAGTGAAAGAGATCCAATTTTAAGATTTGTTTTAAAAGAGGAAACTCGTATTGCCTTTTCTTTATCCTATATAAAATACTAATCTTACTGGAGTTTCTTTCATACATTTCAATCAGAATATCAATGATATACTATCTCCTTCAACCTCTCAGGCATGGGCAGTAACCATAAAAGCTTTCGGATGCCATTAGATTAATATTTGTCTTTTATAAACCTAGTTAAAGTCCTTGCTATATGTTGCAAAAATTTATAGTGTCCTGGAGCAATAGAAAAACAGTTCCCTTCCTGTATTAACACAGGAACAAACAAACAAACACAAATGGTACAGTTTTCCGCTTCAACTCCTACTGAATATGAGTCATTAAAGCGTAATGTCAAATCTGAGTCATAGTTAAATTTGAAAAAGATCATTTGTCAATTAAGGAAGCTAAAAGTTGCTGCTCCCACCTGCATGTATGTAAACAATTGAATTTGGGAATCTCTGGTCTGTAAAATTAAAAATGGTAACTGGGTGATTTCTGTGGAATATTGCAATGAACTTTGCAAAGACAGACAATGCCACTGGGCTTAAGCTGTAGCTAGAAGGAGCAAGTAAGAGAGCCTCAGATAGGTCCAGCAATTCCAAGCCCTAATCCAAGCCAGTCCATTCAGCCCTGGGCCATCCTGATTTCTGTGAAAAGCATCACTATACATTTTCTCTGTTTTTTCAGATGTCTCAAATCCATTCTCTTATAGCTGCTTCCTCTTGGATTTGTCTTGTGAGAATATACTTGGTTTGCCAGTTGTTTTCAAATTCCCCAGTTGGATGAGTCCTGGTATCCTGTATTTAAGTCTCATCACATACCGGATGTCTGTCATTTTCAATTCTCATTGACCAAGAAAGCTCCAGCTTTCTCTGCCCATTCCCATACACGTCCTAAGTGCTTCCTCCTTGTTAACTGTAACCATGTGGGACAGTGGAAAAGACCTAAGAAACTGTAATATTTAACACATAGCACACACATCACAGACCATGTAAGCATTTGAGGGTTCAACTTCATGCTTAGTTTTGACAGCAATCCACACAAATCCCCTAAAATCCTGCTTCCTCATTTCCTTCAGCTGCAGATCAGAATCCTCTAGAGACTGACTCTAGATGGAGTCTTCATATTTCTCTTGCTGTACAACTTGTTTTTTCACTTCCACATCCTGGAAGACTATGGAGACAACAGCAAATCTACTGAGGAATAATATGTTATGAATCCCTCAGATGATCAAAACCTTCATTCTAAGCTCACAGTCCACCATAAAAAACAGAACAAACAAACAAACAAAAAAATACAAGAAATGTTTTAGTGTTAATGCTCAAGGAATAATTTGTTTTCCAAGAAACACGTAGTCATTAATTGTAAAACAGTGGAATCTGTCATACAGTTTGCAGCATCATAACTGTCTGACTGAAGTTGAAAGCCTTTCCTTAACTGAGCACAATATGCAAAAAAAATCAAAGAGGAGGCAGAAGGGAAATATGCTTAGAGTTTGAAAAGGCAAACTGGAACATAAGACTTATATTACCATGCCTTGCTACTACCTTCCTACTGCGTATTAAAAATAACTTTTAATGTCAAGAAAATACTTACCTTCTGATGCTAGAAAGTGTTTCAGAGGCTTATTAAATGTCACAGTAATTATCACTCCTAGGAGAAGAAATCACTGACACAGATAGAAAGGTGTGTCCTTATAGTTGTAGGTTCTTGCTGCTTTTTCTAGTTAATGATGAGAGGCTGTGCCAAACCTTGACTGGTGCCTGAATCATTTAGCCAATGCTCTGCCTTCCAAAGGAGGGCTCAAGTAATCCCAGACTGAATATCCCTCTCCCCCTTACCAGGTACTCTGATGTCCTACAGCTCCTCAATCACAATCCCTCCATTACTAAATCAATAAGACCATCATCTCCTCACCAATGCACTTAAGAATTGCCTTACAGGTTTGATAATCCAGCCATTAGAGGCTTCAAAATGAAAGTCTGGATGACTTCCTACTGACCTAGAAAGCTACTAGCTCAGTGCAGGCTTTCATGTATTTTCCTTACCACCCGAATGATAAATGGGATTCGGATGGAAGTAGGGTGAATCAGTGTTACCACTCTGGGTATCCTCACTGAAAATCCCACTGAAGTCCCTACATTTCTAAATTCAGAACTTCTCTGAAGGGGTTGACATGATGGAATGATTGATATGATTGCCTTCATGTGGTAATAAGTCTTCCTGTAAGGATGTGAGACTTCTAACTCAGCTGACATTTGTTACCCCTTTAACCGGGGTAGGAAAGCCAAGGCAGGGCAAGACTATTCTCAGTGGTGTTGGAGGAAGACATTCATAATTCCAGATGCATGGGATCTTCCTATCAACCCAGGCAAGAGAGCAGGAAATACTTAGTTATTTACTAAGGCACAGGATTTACAGTATAGAGCAAATTAAAAGCAACATTTTCAAATGAAGCTCTCTTCCAGCTTCTTTTATTAAAAAGGACAGGTAGGTGTTACTGCAGCTGCCAACCTGAGTAAGGAGGTGAAGAAACAGTAAGTTTGTATTCAGGCCAGAGTCAGTTTATGTTAATTCCAAAGTACCTGTGGCTCTTCTAGAATTCTGTGAAGCTTCGTTACAAGATAAATTTTATTTTCTTCTTCACATCTTCCATAGGTTTTGAGCACCCAAGGAAATTTACAAACATGGTGTTTCATTTCACTTCTATGCATAAGTCAGTCTTTATGATTATTTTGTGGATGGATAAAAGCAATAATCAGGTTAACAGAAGATCAGCACTATAACTCTACAGTAATTCCAGGAGTTGCAGCCAGCTCTAGAGAATGCAGTATAGTTTAAGCACGGGCCTTCTTTCCTTTTAAGTATCTAATTAATAACAACTATTAGACACCAATTTCTGAAGTAGGATAGTCTGTTTAAAGTTTAATACTACTTGAAAATTTTGCTTATATCGAACAGTAAATATTTTATCCGGGAAAATTGTATAGTTGCATGTCATGTTATGGCTGTGTTTATTGGATTCAATGCATCTCCACAAAGTGCTTATAAATCACAACTTCAGTAATCTCTATTTCAGGTTGCATAAGCAGATGCCAGTGTTGTGGTTCTGTACATTAACTGGTTATGATGGCAATAAAATCAATTATAAGAAATGCCATTTTGGAAGCCAGCACTATAAAGCAATTTTAACATTGGCAAGCTCCCATACCCTCCTGCTTCCACCTACAGTAACTCAAGTGTAGTCATTGTCATGAAAGGTCGCATCTGTATTCATAACGAAAAATTTCTCAAATAAATTAGTGCTGAACATAAAGCATGCACCAAGCTCACTGACAGATTATTAAAAGGCTGCTCTCGCCAGAGGGTGCTTATCTTAATCTGGGACACAGCACTTCAGCTGTGAGCAAGGGGCAGGAGCATCACTGGATACAACTTTTTTCTCTTGCAAACACAAATAACCTGCACATGCTCATTTCTCTGCAAGAGACAGTGTTGGCTGGAATGACATCTCAGCAACTGTGGAAGCATTTCTGCTCCATGTGTGAGGTATAAGTATCACCTCTAACAGTAAAGACATGAAAAAAAATTCTGTGTAGCATTATATAAAGCAATATATAAAGCTGGATTAGAGACTTTGAAATAAACTCCCTCCAAAGGCCTCCTGACCAATTTATAAAATGAATTTCAGTTACAAACATCAGACTTCCCTGCAGGCAAAACAGAGGTTTACTTTTCCATGCCTGTTACTGAGCCAAGTTCAATTCCTTGATAAACCTTCACAATACAATAAGATAGAAAGGACTAGAAAACAGATCAGACACAAATTTACTCTAAGGTAACACAGGTTTTTGTTAAGTTGGCTGCAGAGATTTATTTGGGCTATCCATTGCCCTGAAACAGAATTATCAAAAAGTGTTCCTTGTATAAAATGTGTATATGATATAGAAGAATTTTCATTATGATACCAAAGGTGCTTCCATTTTCTGATTTTTTTTTTCTTTTAAATAATCTAGGCTATTGTGAGTCTATCATAGAGTTTACATGAAAAAGTTGCATTTAGAATTAGAATTATACTGAGTCTATAATTACCTTGGGTCGTGGACTAATAAAAAAGTTCACTTTTGCCCCCACAAATGTGTTTGGAATGTTGACCTTCAATTCTACAAGCATCTTAATAGTCCAAGTCACAAACTTGAAAAGGACAGAAGTTGTTAGAGACCAGGCAGGTGCCTTTCTGTCAGCTGAAATTGTATTTTTATGCTTTTTCAATGGCAGTAGGTTTCACAATTATTTTTTCCCAATATTTGTGGCATTTTATTAATTTTGATGAAGTTCTGTATTAGATTTTGGGTTTACACCTTGAGCTGAAAGTGTAGCCCAAAAACAGGATGGAGCAAGCCCCAGTATGGTGGAGGGAAATTGTCAGGTGGCACAGGTCAGTCTTCCACAGCCTTTCTTAATTCCTTGCTGTTACTGTGCTAAACAGCTGGAGTACACCCCACAGAAAATAAATCCCATGCTTGGAAGTGTAAGTCAGGGCTCAGATTTATATGGAAGTTAGAAAGAGGTAGAAACACAGCAACCAGAATAAAGAGCTAGCAGAAGTCAAAATCCTTTTCAGATTAAAATGAAATTTCCTCCTTTTAAAACCAACCAACTTAGCGGCTCGTACCTTTTGCAAGGCACTTTCCTTTTCAGCATCGAAAACAGACCTTCTGTTTCAATTAAAAAAAATCAGTTCATCTGAATCTTATTCACATTTTTTAGATCTTCCACCACCACCCGACCCGCCCCCCGGTCAGGGTTTAAGGCAGCCCATAGTGCCGGGCCAGCGCGGAGGCTCAGCCGAGAGGAAGGGGAGCTCTCTGGAGAGGCAGCACGCAGCAGCCAACGTAGATGACACAAAGAGCTCCCTGGACCGGCCCGCTAGGACATCACTAGAGTGGCAGCGACAAGCCCAGGAGTGGATAAGCCCTACAGACCGCCAAGAGGATTTCAGGAAAGCCCAACACAAACAAGCCTTCGGATCAGGTGTGTGCGCGCTGCACCGGCCGAGGCGAGGCAGGCGGCTGCTCCCCACCTCTGCCGAGGGGTTCTGGGCCTGGCAGGGCTCCAGGATCACCTCACACCTCTCTGGGAGAGCGCTGGCCAGGGTCAGGCTGGAAAATAAGGAAAGGCAAAGTGAAACGAGAGCTTGTGATCCAACTACCTTCCCTCCTGCAACAATGAAATTCCATGAGCACCTGACTTGGTGCGCTCTTCGCAGTGTTTTGGATATTAGTAATGTTCTCAAGCGTAGGGATGGAGAAAACAGCTTCAGGTCAGCAAGAAAGGAGAGAGATTTTTAGAGTATCTTTCATTAGATGTATTTATTTCTACATATAGGGCCATATTTTCCAGTTCTTTCAACCTGCTTCCAGGTTGGCAGCAGTTTTTACATGTCTGCAAGAAGGCTGATCCTTCTGAGCTGCTGACATTCCTGTATTAAAAACCCTCACTTCTCTTTATTCAAGGATATGACAAAGTAGCACTCATCTCTTAAGCCCAGCAAGATGACAGCACAGGTTTTCACCTTCATACAGGACCTGCACCTTGCCCCAAGCTGACTTCAGCACCTAAATGGATTTCAAGTCTGCACAAATGTGCACAGGAGGTGATGCTGGGCTGGAGTTGTATTTCTACAATATTCACAGTTTCCCTCTCTCAGCCTGACCTGAAGTAAAAGCTGCTGTTTCATCCTAGGGTGTTTTCTTTAACCCATTAATCACCTCATCCCAATGCAGTGCTGATTAGAGGGATACAAGAAGACAGATAAGATTTAAATAAAGAAATTATACTGTGTGTGGAGGTTTTTGTAGGGTTACACTGTTTCTCCACTTATGCATGTAGCTCCCACAGTCATACTAGTGGTACTCTTACCATCCATACTTTTCTTGATTTGATTCACTCTTAAAGCTCCTTGTTAATCTAACATATTAATAACATTGACATACTAAAAAAAGAATAGTAGTGTGCAGACAAATCTGTTATGGGGACAGGAACTACTGGATAAAGTCCTCCTAGGGAAAATACTGCTACCTGTATTTTAAATGTAAACATTTTAAATACAATCCATATTTTAATATATAACAATAATGATACTCTTAAAACCCCCTAATATGTTGGCTGCATAAAGAAATGAGTGGCTGTTCATGTTCTGAAATCATGATGTGAAGTCACAGTTTAAAAATAGCATGTGAAATTCATACTGCTTGGTGAAATGGCAATTTTAATTGCAATTTAGAAGATGTACATACACATAGAAAATAGCCCAAATATATGCCTTGCACTTCTCATTTCCTTGGAAATCATTAAGGATGCTTCTCTGACCTGCTCAGAAGAAAGGCCCTTCTTTTTCCTCTGCCTCATAAGTGTACAAATAGAATTTGTCATTTTTTCTGTGATGCAGAGCTTATACAGTAGTAAAATTCCCATCCTGCAGGGCACGCATTTTTCTGTCCATAAATAAAGAGAACTTGATCTTGACACTTCCAGTGCCCTGCACTGAAGTGGTTATAGGTACTCTGTTCTTGTCAAATTCAGAATGCCAAGAGCAAGTGAATATCCTTTATGCATAAAGAAGGATGCCTCTAGGAGATGTTACGAGTTTATCCTGGTGTGAGGAGTTCATAAAGTTTGTGCACAAGATGGGCCAGGGCTTCATATCTCTCTGTCTGCATTCTCATTCCAGCCCCTTGCACTACATTCTTGTCTCTGGTAGATTTTAAAAAGACTACTCCTGTGCACGATGCTGGTTTAGATCACTAAATGTGGGTGTTTTAATAATATTAATTGCGCTTCTTCCCTTTTCCGTTATTAATGGAACAGTTCTTTGGAAATCCATTCTGTCACAGTTTTCAGTACATTTCCAAAAAAGACTTATTATTAGTTATCTGTTTCCAGAAAATAGATAACTTGCAACTTAGGGGGTTTCATTCAGATGTTAGCAAGCTGTGGTCCAAACTTTGAAAGCAAGACCTTTAGTTTGAAGTTGAATAGAATAAAAATACCTTGGTCTGGGATATGTTTCCACTGGTTGCTTTCAGTATAAACAAGATCACTAAGTTCCTGGCAGTGGCTTCATTGTAGAACTGGAGTTAAAGCACATCAAATATGACATTCTCAGCTCTGATGAAAGTGGTGCTAGATCAGGTTACAATTCTTTTGATAAGAGGAAAAGCCTTTTGGTTATTTTCTGAGGTATAGAAGCATTGTTACGCACACATATCCTGATTTCACAGGGGCTAGAATTATATCTTCAAATTAATGGCTCAGCCTTTCAAAGAGAAAGGCACCAGCAAAGCCTCCCCATATTCTTTGCAGGCCTGGACTCTGTTTGGAGAATTTAACAAATGTGAGCCCATTCTCAGAACTGGAGACAACTACTTCTCGTGTGCTAGAATGTTGTGTAAAACCTAGCCTTAGTTTATGTCACAATTCCTTATTTTATGGATTATGTTTATTTCTGAGGCCACAACAGATAATTGAACATACCATATGCTGTATAATGATAATGCACTTTATATTTATTCATGGTTGTTTTTCCTCAATATTTCATTGAACCCGAAGGAGGCCTTATCCTGAGTCCACAAGCTAGAAAAACAAATCAATTGACTATATATGTCATCTTCCAACTCTTTTGCAATGCTAGTGACTTTTGTTTTCGTCCTTTAAAAATGTATCCAGCTTTCTGCTAAACTGAGTTATGCTGCTTGCTTTATTTCTGCTTTAATGCAAACTGCTCTATATTTTACCCAGCTTTTGGAAACCAGATTTGCATCTGACTCTCTTGTTAGGTCTTGATATATAAAAAAAACAAAACAAATAACATAATTTAGGAGAGACTGTGGCTGTTAAATGCCATTTTACAGTGTCTTTCAAGCATTTCTTTTTATTTTAGCAAGGATAGCACACGGTCATAGCACAAAACACTGATAATGCCCTGAAGTCCTGCAGCACAAATACTCTGGTCCCTTGGGCAGGACCAGAGTGAGATACTCTGGCAGGGAAAGAAGTCAGCTGCCTGCCCTCTTCTGCAACAAATTTACCTTAAAAACAGGCTCAGTTCAACAGCAGCTCATGTGGGGAATCCCCACATCCTACTCTTTTGTGGCAAATAATGAAATCCTGAGTTTCTCCCACAAATTTGTTCTCATTTAGCACTTCTCCAAGTTAATTATGTCTCTGCTGAAGTCTTTGAAAGGGCTTCAAGCTTGTGAATAAAAGCGTTTTTATCTCCTCTTTCTTTCCAACCATCCCCACCTACTTTTCCTTCTGTGTTCCTTGCCCTCTGTCAAAGAAAGTCCATTTCTCCTCAAAAGGTTGTTTAAGAGTGAAGACAATTGGAAAACCAAAATAAAGAAAACCCTTTTGGCCTAAATTCACTTTGAAAAAGGGCAAGATTCAAGCAGTAGAAATCCCACTGATTTCAGAAGGGACAAAGCTGTGTTTGAGGTTAGGCATATATATACTCATATTCTTTCTTCAATCAAACTATATTTAGCAAGATCTCTTTCTCCAGCTTCTGAGATGGCAAAAGTGGATCAGACGCAGCAAAGAAATAAAATAGTGCTTCCATTTCAATGTTAAATCAGTGCTGCTGTTTTGCTTCTTAGATTTGGACTATTCCAACAGTATCTCCAGGAAATGCTAATCAGAAGTTATGTCTTGTTTTACTTGATGCTATGTGAAGACATAAAGTCTTATGCCTTATTGCCATTAATCCTGCTCTTGAAAGCAGTTCATTATTACAGGTCTTCACGAAAAAAGAATCCAAGTGAGCAAAAGTAGGTCTTTTGCTCCTAATGGAACATGAAACAGGCTGCAGGATTATTTATCCACTCCAACTGCAATGTATAATATAATATTTTCCAATGTAATTCAACACCAGTTAAAACAAAAATGTTGGTGTACTTTGCATCATTATAAATTACTGAGTACCTTGTAGATAATTAAATTAGCTGATATTGTAGTTCTTTGTCTAAACTGATTGAGTTAATGTTGCCATAATTAAAGCATGTTTATGTAGGCTGGAAGCAAAAGCCCAATCATAGCTTCATTGTGTTGGAAATTGCATGTTCACCTATTTTTATTAAAGTATCTATGATTCATGATCTCTTATTCATAATGAATGTAGACTTTTTTATAATTAATACAAACTGACTTAGGAGTTCATAGGGAAGCAAGATTTAAATTCATACTGGCTTCCCTGTCCTTGGGATACAAACAACTCTTAGTTGTGTATTTTCTTAAGTAAAATTGTTATGCCATAAAGCAAGACAGATATGAATGAATATGATGTGCATAAATGAATAGCTTGTTTATTCCTACTTCTAGGATTATTTATTGGTATTTACTTTGCTTTGTCTTGCTTTTCTAGAAGAGGCACTCGTACCATATAGTAAACCCAATTTCCCATCCCCTGGTGGCCACAGCTCTTCAGGAACATCTTCTTCTAAAGGATCAACTGGACCTAGAAAAGGTGAAGTCTTGCGAGGAGGTCACCAACGCAATGCCAGTGACCTTCTCGATATAGGCTATGTGGGATCAAACAGTCAAGGACAGTTTACTGGTGAATTATGTAAGTTTACCTCTAGCTCCAGTTAAAACTATCAAATAGATAAAAGAAAAAAATTATAAATCTGTTGTGAAGGGAGTAGGAAGTTGTGTGTGATAATCAGATTAAGCTTTATCCAGACCTTTTTGCCTTCTGAGGCGTATTGCATGTGATGGCAAACAAATGTCATCCTTCTTTGGAGCAGTTCAAATCTGTGTAAGCCATGCCAAAGCTAACTACATGGTACATCTCTCACTGTGTAATGCTAGTGAAGCATGGGGAAATGAGAAGGAATTCTAGTAACTTAGAATTTTTTTTTTTAGCAAAGTGTAGTGTGCTTGTCTTGGAAATGCCAATGACAGATTTCCTCAGCCTTCCCCTTCATTTCCTGTTGGTTGATGAGAAGTGTTCTCTTAGATGGAGGTCCTCTTTTCTTGATTGTGTAGAGCAGTTTTGCAGTTTTACATCTCCACTCTTTTCCTCAGCATCNCCCCTACCATTATCTGAATTTTGCTTAGAATATTTATAATTAGAATCTTTCCCCTTGCCCCATTTGAACCAATCATAGAAATATATTGATGGATAATAAACAATTCCAGTTTAAAATGAAGCTCTCATCTTTATCTTATCATTTTAGCTTGCCTAAGTAATCTCCATGATGGATTTCATGTGCAGTTCACTATCAACTGAAATTAGTTGTAATTAAAGGTTGTCAAATCTGCAATTTAAGCCCTTGAAATTTGTTGCTGTCACTCATTTCCTGTAATACTTTTTTTTTTTTTTTTTTAATGGATTTTATCCAAAGTCCACATAAGCCAATAGGAGAATTTCTACCAGCTTTAGTGAGGTTTGAATAAATTCTCGTATTCCCTGGTAGAATCATAGAATCATTTCAGTTTGAAAAGACCTTTAAGATCTTTTAAATGCTTCCATAGATAGTGATTCCACCACCTCCCTGGACAGCCTGCTCCAGTGCTTGACTTTGGTCAAGTCTTTTTTTGGTGAAGAAATTTTTCCTAAAACTCAATCTAAATCTCCTCTAGCACGACTGGAGGTCACTTCCTCTAGACTTATCGTTTTTTAACTGGGAGAAGAGACCAACTTCCACCTGGCTACACCCTCCTGTCAGGGAGCTGTAGAGAACAATAGGATCTCTCCCAAGCCTCCTTTTCTCCACGATAAACACCTCTACTTCCCTCAACTGACTTGTGCTCCAGACTCTTCCCCAGTTCCATTGCCCTTCTTTGGACACCACTTCTCCAGCACCTCAGTGTCCTTCTTGCAGTGAGGAGCCCAGAACTGTACACAGGACTCGAGGTGGCCCCAGCAGTGCCCAGAACAGGGGACAATCCCTGCCCTGGTCCCGCTGCCACACCACTGAGGGTACAGGCCAGGTGCCACTGGCCCTCTTGGCCACCTGGGCACTGCTGGTCAGCTCAGCACCCTCAGGTCCTTTCCTGTGAGGAAAATTTCCAGCTACTCTTCCCTGAGCCTGTAGCACTGCCTGTGACTCAAGTACAGGACCCAGCACTTGGCCTTGCTGAACTTCATACAATTTGTCTTAATTCACTGATCCCGTCTGTTGCAGTAGAAATACCAGAAAAAAAACCCAAAAAACTTGCTACAATATCTACTTTTAATTAAACTCACCAATATAATGTATGAACCCAAGGGCATCTGGTCTGGGGGAAGGTACTGTGAGCAAGTTATGGTAATAAAATTCCCATAGGAGCATTGATTTCCATGTCAAGTCCAAATCACAAGATCAGCTGAGAAAATTGTCACTGGAAAAAAATGTTGCTAGTACTTGATATGGGATCAATGTACTTTTTTGCTATGAATTCACATTTTTATGTATTAAATTTCCCCTCCCCTTCTGAGTCCTCTGCCACATTTCTTATCAGATGACCAGAGTTCACCTACAAGGGATGAACTCTCTGTCTCAGTCAAGCTTCTCTGCATTAACAGCTTTATCAGCTCCTGTTGACTCAGTGTAACCTTTAGTATTCAGCAGCAGTACTAAGAAGAAATGCATTAGATCCATCCTATCAGATTAGAGATTCTGCTAACTATTAAGATTGGAGTAGAACTGAAAAATCCCTTTGAAATCATATGCAGCTTTTTTTTTTTTTTGTATTTTTTAAAAAGCTTTTTAACACTGGAGCAGGGGCTACCTTCATAGACATTTTTTAACAGCATAAGACATACATTCAGTCATGTATAAACCACCAACATCCTGTGAGAGTGGAACAGAATGCACTCTTCCCATTTTGAACAACATAACCAATGCTCACTACTGCTCATGCTTTCCTATCTCCATTTTAATTCCTGCAGTCGAATACTGTTCTGTGCTGTAAAAACAGTTCTGAACATGATGTGATTAACCTTAGGGTCCCCCCATCCCCTCATCTCAAAGCCCCCTCGTACATGGCCTGCGCTTTCTATTCATGTTCAACCATCTGATTTCCATATCATCTATTAGCATAACAGAGCTCTAGTGTGACATTGATTGAAGCCAGTGCTTGCTGAATGCAGTATCAAAGCATAATTTGACAAAAATCAAATCTAATTTACTGTGTACTATTTAAATTTCCCAAAAAAAAGAAAAAAAAAGAAGAAAAGAAGTTCCAATAGAAGTATATTGGGTCTGTAATCTTAAATTATTTTTTCCCCCATATTTCTGGCTAGTCTGGTGCAATCCAAGCAATATATTTCATTTTAGAGCCGCTGTCTTTGACTTTCAGATGTCAGTTAAGCAAGAGGCTTTCCACTCTGCTTCTTCCAATCCAGTTTATGTTACATCTGAAATAGTAAAAAGTAATAGTCTGGTAGGCACAACACAGTTTGCTGCTTCATAAGGTTTTTCAACAGATCCTTCAAATGATTTTAATGTTTAGCTTGAATTAAGCATTAAAGTACCCCATAACTTTAACAGCTGAAGCATATCAAGCCTGCTGTTACTTCTCTAACTGCACATTTTCAGAATGTTTTAGAAATTCACCTACTTTGAGAGCAGCAATAATGGCTTGAATAAATTTTGCCCAATGTTCCACTGAAGCCACGCTTTGAGCAAGTCATGATCTCACTTAACCCTTCTGCAGAATGGAAGTAATAATATTTGTCTGTCTTTATAAACAGCATCCATATGTGAACATAATGAGCTCTCTTTTTTAAGAAAATTGAAGAACCTAAGTGCTTGTTCTGTCAAAGAAGCCTTGCTGTCTCTGAGCAGGGTCATGCTGCAGTCTCTGGGGATAATGACAGTCACAGTGTTTGGGTAGTTGCATTTGACCAAGAATTACTCCTGCAATTATTAACTGTTACTTTCAGTTTTCAAGTTCAACTAGAAATTGACAGATAAAACTGATATGGTGAAAACATTAAGTGCTGTAAACAATGGTATTTTTATCAGAGGCTGTCTGTAAACAGAGCTATAGCTGAATATGACAACAAACTATGGCAAAATGAAGATTTCCTTCATTATATAACTCCATATTTGAATAACTTTTAAAAAGTGCATGCAAGGTTTTATTTTTCAAAAATTATAGTTTTCATGCCCTTTCAAATTACAATGCTAAGTAGTTTGGCTGAAGAAACTGGTTTTGTGATCAATTTAATGTGAGTAAAAGCTCTGATTCATTTATTTTTATAGCTAATTTCTAGTAATTAAGGCTGCAGAGCAAAGCTAGAAAAGATATTGTTGCATAACTAATACAGGATTGTTTGCTGGAGTCTTTAGAAAGCCTGACCTAGTAACTGGGAGGCCAAATACCTGCTCATGTAGTCTGGTCAGATGATGGAGAGGACTTGGAGAGGACTCCCCTTGGCAGGGAGATAGAATAGAGAATAGGGTCAGTCCAGGTCAGAGCTACAGATTTCTTTTTCCTGTCTCATTGGGGAAGGAAAGAAAAAAAAAAAAAAAAAGAAAAAAAGAACATTTTTCTGCTCTTAGGAGAGTGAGAGATGTTGAAAATTAGGAACAGGTCAAGAAACAGCATGTGTATTTCTCATTGTTCCTTGACTGCCAAATTACCTTAATTTGATCCTTGAAAGATCTGCTACAGCAACACATCCAGTTGTGTTATATCTGTTTGGAGCTCTGAATTATTGATTTACAATAGAGAGCTGTGTGTGTGAGAGTGTTTCAGATGAACCTTTTGACTTGCCTTCCTTGCATATTTACTCAGTTACATGATTTGAAGGACAGGCTCATGGAAATGCCATGCTCTTCTAGCTACTGTTGAGCTGTCTGTGCACCCCCAGGGCAGCAAGCAAGTCTAAGGAGAATTTGGCCATCCATCCTGCTTAGGGTAGGTCTATGGGATGGTCTCCTGACACCAGGCTTTAGGCACCATGGAAAGATTGTGGTCTTGAGGACACCCACAACTTTGCATAGACACGAGTCAGGTGTGCACAGCTCCTGTCAAAAGCAGGTATAGCACCTGAAGAGATTAGGGGGTTTCTTCTCTCTGCTGAGCCCAAGGTCACTGTTGATTCTATATTTATACCCTGGGCAATAAACTTCTATAGCTGAGCAGCAAACACTGGGCTAATTCAGTGACCTTTATTAAGCAGGTGGTCAGAGCAGCAGAGATGCCTTAGTGTAAAGTGTGTCTATAGAAAGGGAGGTTTCTGCTTCACAGCTTACAGGTCTTTCCCCCTTCCTGTAGGGCTGAACAGTCACACGCACTGATTAGCACACTGCAGTTTTCTGGCACCTGTGGGGGTTGCACGTGGATGTGCTGGGTGAAACAAGGTGAGGGAAACCCAAGAAGCTGGCTGCAGCTCAGCACTTGAGGAGTGCTATAGCATGAGTTCAGTTCCTAGAGCATGTTTAGCAACACCTTCTAGAAACCACAAAACCTCACATGGCTGTAAACAGGCAGCAAGAGGGCACCTCACCCTTAGTCCTGCCTGCTCATAAGATTAACACCTCCTAAGGTGGAGGAAGAGGTGGACACTTCTCTCAAGAGAGGCCCAAACCTCTCTTAAGGAGCATGAGGCAGAAGAAAATACCCTCTGCCTTCTAAACTGATTTTGATTTGTGGTTAAGTGCTTTACAATTCTTATTTAAAGAGTGCCAGCTCTACTCATTGATGCTCTTGAGGCTCTTGCTGATCTGTAAAGCCTTGGGAAATACCTCATGAGATATGTGCAAAGTGTGTTTCAAGAGAATCAGGTCTGCTCAGGTTTCTATGCAGTTAGCAGGTTTGTGTCTGTGCTGTCAGCAGGTGTAATCGGAAGCTGGGTCTTGATTGCTCTTCGTGCCTAATTAAATAGTTCGTAATTATAATGCTGAAAATACGGTTTTCTAAAACACTTAAATTCTGTTTACCTGCACACCCACAAAACCAATAGTGGAATAGAAGAAAACAAGGGTGGGGTGAGGGGGTTGAGTTTCTTTTTTTACTTTTTTTCCCTTCTTCAGCCTGCCCCAAAAGTTAGCTAGTCCTTTGATATGCTGTTTACATTTTTAAAATACACAAAGGAGTTCAAATCCGCTTTCAGTGAATTTCAGTGATGAACCAAGAGTGGAGAGTTTTCATGTCCCGTATAGAAAAACCATTTACTTTACTTCTACGTCATGCTTAACATATTTACTGATTTCAAGTTATTTATCTCAAGTCCTCTAACACTTCTTCCCCACCCTCTTTCTACTCATTAGCACCTTTTTTCTAACTTCACATTCCTAGGCTTTGTCTCTCTGTTCTCCACCATTATCCTCCAGAAAAATACACTCCTCTCTTAGAAATTGTTCACTTCTGACTGCGCTTTCTGGTCCCCTCTGACTGAACACCATTACTGCCAGATACTTGAAAACACAACCAGTCCTGCTTCTTCTTTCTTGTTTCAACTCCAGTCCCCTTTTTTTCTTTTCCTTCTGTCTTCCTTGCTTCCTGAAATACTTCTTCCTTCTTACTCACCACTCACCTCTCCCCATCAACTCTTCAATTTTCACTTCTCTCTCTACTAGCTGAAACCTGGATTTACCGAGTTTGTGTTCTTTTAGCAAAGACTCTTTTTACAGCAAGTCCTCCCCACACAATTCTTGACTAAGCTGCTTCCAAGAGGAGTGCAGGAGCTCTTGAACTTGGGTTCTTTTGCTGTCATCCAGACCTTTCTCTCCTTTCTCAATCATTTTTAAAAGTCCAGTGGGGCAGATTGAGAAAGGCAGTCTGTTTATCCTAATTCATACCTTGCAATGCACAATAGCTCCAGCAAGCTCTGTGAAGTGTGAGAGGATCTGAGGGTGCTGATACCTTTCCAGAACAAAGGTAGAATACATCCAGTCAGCAATATAAGCATCTGACTTCTGCTCTTTAGCATTTAATGTCATCAGAATTGACTCTAGCATGAATGGCTGTAATGTTTCTTTCCTTTTTTAATTTTTTTTTTTTTTTTTTAATAATGGGGATGTCACATACATATATTGCTGCTCTCTTTGTCGCTGTTGTTGTTTCTGTTTATATATTAATTCTGTCTATACTAATGAATGTTTCTGGTGTCATGTCCTCCTGACATAAAACAAATCTCCATAATGTTGTCTTTTTCCTTCAATATTCCCTTTCTCTCCCTTGCAAAATATCCTAAACTTATACCATGGTTTTTCTTACCTTTTAGCTCCCCCACAGTTTGTGGTGAGACCACGAGACCAGATTGTAGCCCAGGGTCGAACTGTGACTTTTCCTTGTGAAACTAAAGGAAATCCTCAGCCAGCTGTTTTCTGGCAAAAAGAAGGAAGTCAGGTAAGTTGCAAGCACTCTGTAAGTCTTTTAAGTCTTTCTAAATAGTTATATTGTTAAATTTCAAAGAGAATTATTTACATTATCTTTCACAGTTCTTTTCATCTTTCATAGAAATTTGTCTTTTTAAACTATCACTATTCCCTACTGAAATTTGTGTCCCTTTTTTTAATATTTTGAAGAACACAAAGGCCATTTAAGTTGCTGAAAACTGTGCTAGGCACTGTCTAAATGAGTAGAAAGGAACAGTATGTATGTTAAAGGCTTTGTGTTCTGAAGCCCCTAACAAACAGGTGGGTGAGACAAGCACAGTAGATAAAAAAAGGTATGACTCAATTTTGAACTAATCAGAGCCAGTAATTACAGTTCACAACCTGTCTAGACATGATCAAGCAGAATGTATCCAGCAAGCTGATTTGCATTGGCATTTTCTCATAGAGCATACAGATACAGGTTTTGAGCACACAGATGCTTGCTTCAGTAAAATTGTCTCAAGAAATTTCCAGATCTGCTTTTGGAAATATTTTTCTGATCATCTTTGAAGGCAAAATTTGTGAGGCAGCAATTGGCGCTGCCATCAGCCCACAGTAAATTCTATAGATTAGTATTTGTATGTGAGGCCACGACATTTCTTTACTGGAGGCTTTGTGTATACCAGCTCAGGTAAAATGTGAAATAAGAGCTGAACCACAGATCTCCTGCTCTGCCACACTTGCTTCTGCTTCACCTTCTCAGGAGATCAGAAAACTGGTCCAGAATGACAGGACCAGGCTGACAGCATTTTGTGCTCTGCTGTCTTGGTGGCTTACAAAAACACAACACAATTACTTTATGGGTGTGATTATTTTATTGTCTGAGTGCAAGCTTACCCTTCAGTATGCATTAACCTTCATTGTAATATTTAGAGAAATTTAGATGTGGCCTCCAAGGATCACATCCTGGAAAAACACAGTGCTGTGAGTCTCGCTAAGGTGACAGTTTTTCCAAGGGGAAGGTAGAATAGCATATCGAAATTAAAGTAGGAAGTACTGATGTGCTAGCAAACATTTCAAACCCCTTCCTTGTAGAGCATTTTAATAACATGGTAATGTTTATGTAAAGTGAGCTTATAGTGTCACACTTGAATCTAATAAAGTGGACATCCATCATGCTGTAATAAAGAGAAGAGCTTCTAATTAAAGTAGGACATCATTTTCAGGATTAAAGTCATTTAGCGTAATTGAAAAGTGTTAATACTCTATTTTATCCTCTTCCATTGGTATCACTTCAAGGGTAAAAACATTTTAAGGTGAAAATGCATCTTGTGTCTTTAATTGAATGTTATTACCTACTGATTGTACTATGTTGAAGCTGCTTAATTGCAAACCTGGAAAATTAATTACCATATTGAGAACCAGATCCCTAAGGGTTAGAATAGTCTTTTTTGGCAAATAAATACAACATAAAAATTGATACTTGCATGGTTTATAATCAAACCTTGAAACATGGCTCAATGTGGTTTACAACATTCTCATGTTGTCTTAATTGATCATCAGTGAAGTAACACAGGTTGGGATTGCCATCTCAGTGTATAAGTTGCCAGATTTTGCAGTGAGATGCCACAGAGTGTGTTAGTTTCCACACAGTGTATATCATCATAGCAATGGAGAGTGGAATTTTGCCAAATTACAGGACTTTTCACCTTTGCCTCTCAGCTATAAATTGTTGCTTGTCCCTACAATGCTCTTTCTGTTTTTAGGGGAACTGTTTGCAGCGCCACTTTCAGTGTTCAAGGCAATGTTATATAGTCATGTTATCCCACCCCAGTAATTGTAGGGCATTTTTGGTTCTGAGTCCATTTCTCAATGCTGCATTTTAGAGCACAACCAGCTGGAAGGGAGGGGAGCTGTTCCCTCCTGAGTAATTTTTTGTGCCAGCTTGTGTATAAACAGCTGGTCCTTTGTGCTTAGTAGCCTTTTCCCTGGAGCCCAACAGCCGCTCGCCGATGACATGCGAGGGCAGGGCGTGTGTAACCTTCAGCCTCCGTGGATTAAATTCTTCCTTCAGATAAATTCAGTGGTACTATATCAGGGATTGGGCTGGTCCCTCTGTTTGCAGCCCAGCATGCCACCATTGTGCCCAGATAAGCAACTCGACAGCAAATTAAAACCAGTGAAATGCTGAAAAGCATTAAAAGGGGGTTGTACTGTAATTTAGGACAAGTTATAGTTCACAGTTATCTGGTCTTTGAAGGGAGGAGTTATGAGATTGGTGAACTCCTCCTGACATGTGAAATATTCACTGGGACACAATACCTTTCCAGAATAGAGAAGCTTATACTGAAGACAAAAACAAGGATTGATTCCCCTTTCTAGTGAAGTGATAAACAGGGTTCTGGACTGTCTTTCTCTTAAAAATTAGGAGCTTAATCCTTGCACTGTCTTTTATATTCAGCTTCTTTTTATACTTTACATAATGAATAAGTCAGACACATCAAATTCCTCGTCTTTCTCATATTTACTGAAATTTTCATAATATCCTTATCCAGTAGGTATCTTGTCCCAGGCAAATATAATTCTGGAAGTTTCAAGGCAGTTCAGAAAACAGGGCCTCAAATTGTTTCAGAATTTTAACATTTTTTTTCCTATTATCTGGCATGTTTATTGGGTGAATATTGATTTTTGAGAAAAAAAGTTGCTATTATAAATTTCTTAAATATTGCTATTGAAAGGCAGTGAAAGAAAAACCTAGTGTGATGAGTAATCCAGTAAGTTAATACAATTAAAAAGATACTTGGAACATGGGATATTATTTAAAGCATATCTCTTTCCTTTTGCTTTCAAAACCATAGAGATAAAGGCATGAGTTTCACTTAAAAATAGAATTTGTTTCCTATTTAAATTCTTAGTTGTTTCTTAAGCAGTTTGTTGCTTATCAGTTCCAAATAATTTCTGTAAACCATCAAGGGCTGCTTCAGAAGAAACAGATCTGCAGAAAATTCATTTGATACTGTACTCTGCACTTCTAGATTTCATTTTTAGTCAATACAGATGAGCTGAAAAGTTAGTAGGAATCATCTAAGAAAGCACAGCAGAGCTAAAGAGAGCTGCAGTAATGACTGAAAACTTTTCATGCCATGGTAACAGTGTTTTGGAGTATTCCTGATGCAAACAACTGTATTTTTCATAGAGCCTTGTTGAGTTGACATAAAATCCAGACCCTATTTTACTGCAATTACTGTTGTTTAATTATTGTTTAAGCTGTTCTCCTTCCTGTCTTATTATGCAATGCTACTGACCTTTCTCTTCACATTGCCTTCCTTCTCCTGTTCTTATTTATTCACAAGAGCTGGGCCAGAGGGTATAACTTTTTCCTTGAAAACACAGCTCTCACTACTAAAACCTTTTCTGGTCTGTAGTATTGATTCATTCAGTCCTTCATCATATGCAATGACTACTAGAGCCATTCCAGTTATTATTATTGACGTCTCTCTTTTCTCCAATCCAGCCCAAAGGCAAAAACTAATCTCCCTGTTTTGTGCTAACTGATATCTTATCCTACATGAAATAATTTTTTTCTCTCTGATGATTTCCACATCAGATTAATACCCTTTCTCTTCACCCTCCAGGCTCTATGCTGAATTTCTCCTTTAGTGTATCACAGTTTTGATTTCCTTTTACTTCTCCTTTAAACTCTCATGATCTGCCAGCTTCTCCTACTTTATGTCATGCTCCCGTCTTTCTTCCAGACTTTACTTTTGTGCCATGCTCTTACTTTCTCCTTTCCTCTGAACATTTGTGCTCTGCTCCCTCAAGTCTCCAGGATTCAATGCTTGCTGCTATTTTCCTAGTGTTTGCTGTAGTGCTATGTCCTTGTGGTTTGATAGCTGAGTATATTATTACAATTGCATTCAGAATGAAGACGAATGTGTCACAAATATAAATCACTCAAGTGTGATTGTTGGAAAATGTCTCCTCGCCTAAACCCCAGTCAGAACACAGTACTGTGAGCTGTCAAAAGGCTGTTTCTAATTTAAACTGTGAGTTGCCCAAGGCAGGGAAAGCAGCTCTCTGTGTTCATAAAGTCAGAACCACACTTGCTTTTTCTCCCTGATTATTTATAGTACTTTTAAGGGAAAACCATTGTCTCGGTGGCTGAAGGAAAAGCGGTGCTTTTGTGTTTTGAATTGATGTGAGATGAATTGTCTTTGCAGAACCTACTCTTCCCCAACCAGCCTCTGCAGCCCAACAGCAGATATTCCGTGTCACCGACCGGGGACCTCACCATTACCAACATCCAGAGGTCTGATGCAGGCTACTACATTTGTCAAGCACTGACGGTTGCTGGAAGCATTTTAGCAAAGGCTCAGCTGGAGGTTACTGATGGTGAGCTGTTAGAAATTCCTATTGTTTTTTTTTTCCTGTCAAAAGTGCTCTAAAGGCAGTGTAAATAAAGGCGTATGAGATCACATAAATCATACAAGTAAATGGAAAATTTTCTATAGGAAATAAAGTGAGAAAAGACCTCTGTATTTGTCTATGGAGTAAAAAAGTCATCAAAGACTAGTTTGCCTGTTGCTTGCTTTCTGGAGGTTTGTTAATAATGGAAAAAGAGGAAAAACAGCTTAGAATAGGTTTGGTGAGAAATGAAGCTGCTTGGTTTGCTAGAGCTAAGGTAGGACTGCAAAAAAGAAAAATACAGAGAATGAATAGGTTTGTGATTAAAGCGGTGAACTGGGGTGCAAAAAAAGTATCTCCATTCCCACCAGTCTTCAGTCCTATCTTAGACAAGTAGGGGATGTGTCCTTAGCTCAGTTAAATCAACACCATTGCTCTGAAGTTGGTGGAGTACTGTAGCTTTTAGAATGCCTACAACATGAAGCCCTTTAGTGGGCTTTATGTGTTCTAGGAATGCCTCAGTAGGGGTAGGTGTGAAAAAAGTCATGAAAATCCATAGGTGGAGAAGAGTTTTCAGGACAGGAAAAGAATTACATGGCCTGTCTTGATGCTTTTCATTTCAAATTTTTGGGTTTGAGATTCATCCTACCTTGAGGTTTCCCATCTACAAAGATGAATCCTTTTCATATGTCAGGAATCCTGTTGATATCCCTCTTCAGCCTATTGTAGAGAGAAGGAAGTTTGCATCCTTTAATGTTAGTGAAGAAAACAAGAGAATCCCTCTAAGAGACAGTGGCATTCCCCAGCATCATTATTCCTTATCTTAACTGACACATTAAATATCTCCTGACAGACTTTGATGAATTTTTGCCATTAAAACTGTTGTTATATGCAGAGGTCTACTTTTACTGTTCCCTTAGAGACCTGCCTGCACCATGAAAGTTTGAAAAGATGTCTAATTTTGAATAATCTGCCTTTTCACAAGAGCATATTCATCACAAGTGACAGGTAGAGAGGTTCAGGCTCGTGTTATAGAGGTTTGAGCATTAATTTGATGCCTTTTCTTTGTTTTCCAAAAGCTGCCTATATTTTTATGACAAGGGGAAATAGTTTCTGCCTTATTCTTGCATCTCTTATAGCACATTGCTTTTCTGTAGTTTCTGGAGATTAAAGACTTGGCTTTGCTCTGCAATCTCTTTGAGTCCTTTCTCTCACGGTCTATGACAAAATGATGCATTTTCATTCAATTCAAATTTAAATGTAGATTAAAAGGTCATTTAAAAGGAATGGAAAGGCAATATTTTTCAATATCTGTCCATAGTGCTGCCTGATTCAGGGCCATGGCTGTGATTGGAATAAATAGAACACACAAACATTGGCTGGAAGGACATTGAGCCTTGTTTAATGGTCACACCTGCTGATGCTGCACAGATTTACAGCAACAGGCACTGAGTGGATCAAATCAGGTTCAAGGATGCTAGTGATGAGAAATTCCTCCTTTTGACAGCCAAGGGCTTTGGTCCACCTTTATCTATTTCTTGTGTAGGGAAAAAAATAAATCCTAATTGATCTCTTCAGAATTTTCATTAGTTTGTTTAGCAAGCTGAGGGGAAGTGTCCCTGCTGAAATGCAAGCTCATCTCCGGTTAATTCTGATTAAAGGCAGTGTGCATTCCACATAGCTTGAGAGAGCATTAGCTGGTGGCTCTGCTGCTCAAGGAGTGCAGGGCTTGCCTTCCTCAAATGCTTTCCAGAACCCACTGTCAGCATGATCATTATGAAATAATACAAGATTGCTTTATAGAAATAGCATTTCATCCCGGAGTCAAAGGGCGGGTGAGGTCAGAAGAAAAGTGCCAAAACAACATTGTGGAGCTGAGATTACATGAATAAATCTACCATTAGATCACAGATATTTTTTTAATTGCTTTTAGTTAGGAAGTTAACCATAAATGTCGAAATAATCTGTTTTGGTTGATGCTGAGCAGAAGTTATGGGAGCTAATGACTTTTATCAGTAGGGAAATCTAATTTAATAGTTTTAAGGATATAATAAAAGACAAACACTGTGCATGCTAGCTATATGCTTAAGCATTAGTGCTCTAGTTTTTGGCTGGTGATTTCAGTTTTACTTCCTAGCCCAGAATTTTTCTGTTTGGTTAATGATTTAATAACAGTGGCGAGCCATCTTGTTCATTTTGAACACATTTTTGTTTGATCCAGAGTAATTTAGATCCAATTGAAGTTCCAATACAGAATGAAAACATGTCATGTGCAGAAAAACAAGTGCTTAATTATACCATATATAGCAGTGTTTCAGTTGTTACATTTTTGCACTTACAAGTCTTTACTGGAAATATTTTTAACTCAAGTGTTCACATGAGAAGAGATTACTAGCTGTGATGAAATGTGCTGAGCTGAGTGATAATTTTGCTGATTATGGACTGTGCTAAGAGCCTTCAGCATATTTGAAATTCAAATCTTGTATTTTCTTGAAAGGCTATCATGTAATTCACTGTCTAACGCACATCTGGAAAAGCAAAATCACTTTAAAAATTGAAGAATCTTAGCAATCCTTTCAAACCCAAGAAATGAATATGCAGCTCACAATCTTAAAATGACAGAACATGCAAAAAAACCAAGTGCTTCCATCTCTTTCTATGCTCAACATAAAAGGAATAGTTTCCAATTAGTACTGTTAGTATTTGTCAATCATGCACAGAATAATTTGGAGAAGATCTTAATTTCACCTCAATAATAATTAAAATTTATTAATAAATGTTTCACAGTTTACTTGTTTACAAATCTGACCACCACGACTCTTAGCCCTCAGCCAAAGTATATTACATGTTTTATAGCAAGAGTTTTATTTCAAGGAGGAGAAACTCAGAACAACTTCACAGCTTCCTGTGAAGCTCTTCTGCAAAAAAATAAAAGACAGATAAGGGATTGCTCTCTGCTTTTCCACCTTTCAGAGAGAACCCTCCTCATCATGTTAATTTCCTTACTTTTTTGTCTGATTCTACCCATTATTTGTCCAGGATTTTTTTTATTTTTTTTTTTAAATTTTGATTTTGGATGTGTCAAGTAAACACTTCATTTTGTCTTTCTCTTTTTTTAATTTCCATTGTAATTTGACCACATATCACCCAAATTTAAAAATGGCTTCAGTTGATCCAAACTGCATTTTTAGTGAATAAACTGTTCATGAACAAATACAATTTGTTGTTTTCCTATAATCTATTCAAAAATTATGATGCATTTTAACACGAAAGGAATCTGTTATTTTTTCAGTTACCAGAATATGCAGATGTATGGATATTGGCAGATAGTTTCAAAACCATTTTTAAAATTAATTTTGAAATCAACTTCTGTTTTGCCATGCAAATATGTTTTTGCCGTGCAAATATGTTTGCCAAAAATGTTTTTGTGGAAAAGATACAGAAGTTTTCAGCTAGGAGAAAACTATGAAAATAAACAAAGTAATTAAAATGTTTTAAAAACAACTAACAATCTCCACACCATTTTGTGGCTATTTTTCACTGTGTTCTTCATAATACTTCTTATATATATAAGTAATTTTAAACTGTAACCAAGTTTTGGATCCTTACTCATGAGGACCTGAGTAGTAGGAATGCAAGCACACACATGTTTTAGAGAAGATTTACAAGTCATAGTTGTGAAGACAATACAGCCGTTCACAGATCAGTGGAAACTCTAAGTGTTCATTTAACCTTTAGCCTTAGTGTCATGGAAACCTGTAGTGGTCTTTCACCCATAACACCCTTGAAAATGAAGATTCCTTCTGGCCAGGAGGCTTTCAATTACACTATTGATCAGGGCTATTTAAAGGATTATGAGCTCCTCATTTGGGCTGTAAAAAAAATCTAATTACATGCCAAAGAACAATATCTGTAATGCAGTAGGTTTTGAAAATACCTACATTGCTACACATATGAAAGATATTTCGATGAAGCAAATAACTGCAACGGAATAGCTTGCAACTTAAATAGATATTCTTCCTTAATTTTTAGCTACTTAGGATACCAAGATTTGCTGGTTTACATTTAATCTAAAGGATAACTTGCACAGCTAAGTTTTAATTTGAATATACTCATGGTGCAGCTGCCCTGATAGTACATGTGAGCTGAGATCAATTTTTATTTCATCAAATGGCTGAATTATGTAGTCATAAGGAACCTTAATGAGATCAAACATTTTGTATCAAAGTAAAAATGCATTACATTTTTCTTGTTATGTAGTGTTTCCTGTCCCATCTCTTAAGTTCAGTGGGTGATATTTCAGAATTTCCAAAACAGCTTTCACATTCTGGTGTTAAGAAATAATCTGCATTGGCTTTATATTTTCAGTTCAAAATATGTATTGGCTTTCTATTTTCAGTTTCAATTTCAATGAATGTGATGAGCTCACACTCCAAGGTGTGATTCTGACAATAGTAATTATTCTGATCTTTATGAATCTTGTTAACCAAAGAAGGTATTTTTGCAACATTAAAATTTCAAAAACAATTATTTTAGGCATAAAATATACCAATAACATATCCCTGACATGTTTTATTTAGGAAATAGCATGATGACAGCACTTTGGATCTGTTGAAGGTTCCAGAAGTTTGCATCTCAAACAGCTCAAATGCAACAGAAGACATATTGCTTCAAAATAATTTGTTTTTACTTCATTGAATCAGGTGTTGTGTATGGACTAAAATAAACAGATTCTCAGATAGGATAAATGATTCAAACTCGAATGGCATCACCAGAGGCAGGCTAATTTGCACCAGTTTAGAAGTTAATCCTCCCTGCTACAATATTTAATACCAGTCACACAATTGTTCAGTTGTTCAAAATTTAAAACAGCAGCAGTATGGCTGGTAAATACATAAAAGTACATTAAAAGGAAAAAGAATTCTCAGTTCTTATACTCATTTTTGCAGCAGTCCTAACCTTATGTATATTCAAGTATTTCACATTCAGTTTGTATAAAGACATTATTTAGAAACAAAGGTTATATTTTGTAGCTTAACAGATGGCTCAGAGAAAATGTTCAACAACATAATTATTTGGTATAAAATAATCTTTCAAGAAAAATGAACATGAGCATTTTATCTCATCTTCAAGGTATCCTACTGGTCATGAAATGAGGCTCATGGGCAACCATGCACTCTCTTCACTCATTGCAGGGTCCTTTATTCAATACAGCAAGCATGCAGATGTAAATTATCAGGGAAAAAAAATAGGAGTTCATGGCTTTAATAGGTGATGAAATTATTTGATAAGTAAGCTGTTAAATGGTGTGATTGAGTTTGAGCTTTTCTCTGCTGGAAAGAGAGGCACCGTCATTTAGATCACTCAGATTATGAAAATGTTTTGTGTAACTATTAGATATTCTTTCAATTCTTCTCTGAATCAAGGTCTTAGTTTTCATCCTGTGTTAACCAAATGAGCCTGACGAGCTTTGCTAACAGATATTTTTCTATCTACCTGTTATCTTTCAGTGGTGAAGTAAAATGCTTACTGAAACACTTTTCAAATACGCCAGCTAATTGATAACCTCTATCTATGGCTCCTCCAAAAATAATGTTTTTAGCTTCTTAGAGGCTGACTTCAAGCAGCTTCTTAAAACTTGTCCTGCATGGTGGAACAGGGCTTACAGCAGCAGCAGAGGATGGTTAAAGGTGTGGATGCCAACGCCTGTGCCACTGTTTTAGTCTTGACAGATCGGCCTCCGCCCATCATCCTCCAGGGCCCCGTCAACCAGACCCTGGCAGTGGATGGCACAGCTCTGCTCAAGTGCAAGGCCACTGGCGACCCCCTCCCTGTCATCAGCTGGCTGAAGGAAGGGTTCACCTTCCTGGGCCGGGACCCTCGGACATCCATACAGGACCAGGGGACGCTGCAGATCAAAGCTCTGCGGGTGAGTAGTGGCAGCACAACGAGCGTGGTGGGTTCTGCGTGGCCAGCTTGGAACTCTTGGTGGGTGCCTCAGGCAGCTCTGTCACCTTCCTGTTCTCTTCAAAATTAACTTGTCTTTTTTGCTATGCAGTTCTCACCAAGGCATTATCCATGCTTTGACATTGTGTAGGACGGAAAAGCAAAACTGACTTCAGATACTTCTATGAGAATTCCCTGAAAACAGAACTGGTGTTTATAATATTATGTATGTTGCAATAGGACACATGAGTTAGGGGTAGATAGAAATATAAATGAACAGTCCTTCATTATCTTTTCAGTTGGTCTTACCCTGAAGCCATTGGCCTCTCTGTCAAAACTTAGAGCAGTTCCTTGGCGACACCTGACCGTAATTTTCCAAGTACTTGTGCTAGCACGTGATCTGGAGCTCATCAGGGTTTGACCATGCGCTTTCTCCATCAACAACTCGTCAGTCCTGAGCTGGCTGATTTATTCCAGTGTTATGCTTCCTGGAAATGTTCCACCAGGCTGCAAATGGGAAAAGACAACTAATACTGTAGCATACATGCAGTCAGAGCAGAGGGATTTCTATTAAAATTAAATACCTACTGTAATATTTACATTTTTTCACGAGATAATACAGTATTCTATAATACTTCAAATAGGATAATGTCCTATGTTTTTGATAAATATTGCATCACTAATCTCTTTTTTGGCTTTTAATTTTTCCCTGTTCAAAGATAAATGTGTATTTGTGTGCATTTGGACAAGTATGCACATGGAAAAATAGTAAGTTAAATGTACTTATTTGTCAAGAACTTGAAGATCATTTCAGAAACCATTTAATTTAGTCAGCAGAAATGTCTGCACTTAATTTTGCCATCCAAAAAGATGTCAGTAAACATAGTACTAATGAGAAGAAACAAAGAGCAGTTTTATTTTCTGATACCATCTCATCCGTGATCGTAGATGAATTGTGAACTTCCTTGGAACAAAATAGAATTTATTAAAAAATTTATGCTAGCTTGCCTTGAGTAAACAATTTGTCGTTCCTCCCTGGGCTGAAGGCAGGTTTAGGCCATGAAGGTTAATGCATTTTTCCTGTAGAGCTGGATTAAAGAGTGCGCTTGAATAGTCAAGATTCCCCAGTAGTGTTAGAAAGCAGCAATTAAAGGTGGAAGCTTAGTGATTTCAAACAAACTTTCAGGCACTGATGATGGGCTTCTGTGGAGTGTCCACGAGGCAGAAGCTCTTGGGATACCTGTCTGCATGCTGCTATGCAAACAATGAAATTGGTTCTGAATCGTGCCAGCACATTAATCTCCCTGTTAGAGGCTGTGTCTGTAAACGAAAGGAAAATGAAATTACTTGCAGGAGGAGAAGAAAACAGTATTAGTAGTGAGTGTGGTTCTGAAAGACATGAGGCTTTTATTGATCCTTAAGTGGCTCATTCACTAGTAACCAATTTAAAGGCTCAGAAAGGTATTTTTTAGGAACGCCTCCATAGCAGTAATGTGCACTGTTTGTTTGACTCAGATTTAAGAAAAAAAAACTATACAGAACCATAAACACAGTTTTTCTCCTGTACCTTGCAAATTTTATGAATTAAACACAGGAAATTAAAATTAGAAAATTAACTTTTCTCTCAGGTCTGCCTAAACAAGGACTAGCATGACTTCTAAAGAAAAAAAAAGGGCCAGAAAAATGTCCAAGTATGTTTACATCCCCAAGTTCAAAATAAATTAATACCTGCCACTCACATGTCCTCAGCCTTCTGACTGAGAATAGATTTAGATTCAATATCAGGAAGAAAACTTCTCTGTGAAGGTGGTGAGGTGCTGGAACAGGCTTCCCAGAGAATTTGTGGATTCCCCATCCCAGTTCAAGGCCAGTTTGGATGGGACTTTGAGAAACCTGGTTTGGGTGCAGGAAGTTTAGGAACTCTGAGCAACCATGGCAGGGGGGTTGGAATGAGAGGATCCTTAAGGTCCCTTCCAACACAAAACATTCTCTGATCTTTTTCTGCTATTTCTGGTACAGCACAATCAAATGATTCATGAGCCTTCAACAGTCACATGGGCCACAGTTGTAACATAAACATAGAGATTTTTCTGTTAAGCCAATCTCTTGGTTGCCCTGAGGAAGACAACTAAAATCTCACATATGTCACTCATTCAATACTCCTTCAGACAGGTCAACACTGATGGAAAACTCCCTTCTGCTGCATAAATGTGCCACACCAGGATTAGACACCTGCATTAACTAAGGAGCAAAACCTTTTTTTTATTGAATAGTAAAGATTTTTCTATTCACCTCCCCTGTTTTTTGGTATTTCTTTTCCATAGCACAAAAAAAAAGTATAAATAATTGAATTATCAACACTCTAAATCTGTATCTAATCCATCCACAACCTGAAAGTTAGATAATTTGCCATAGCTTGCAAGAAGCAGTGTACTTCCAGCTTGCTTTGTGTGTTATGTGCCTTCTGCAAGTTACTCTGTTGTGTACACCATGTACCTCATTGAGTATGCCGTGTACCATCTGTCACAGTAGTACACAAATGAAGTTGAGAACCATAGCCTTGAGAAATATTCCCCATTATCACATAATGAAGAATTATATATTTAATAAAATCTCAAAGGAAGCAAAATAAAACACTGTTTCAGAATGCTATAAGGCTCTCTCCTCTGGAAAATCTCTTCTTTCAAGAGTCTCTCATTTCAGTAGCAGCACTGCTATATTTTGAGTCTTTGAGCCGTTGTCAGAGGGGTTTTCATTATTGCTTGTTTTTCACACAAATAACCATCTCCTGAAATGCAAGTTATGCTCATTCAGAAAATTGAGTTGGCATTAATGAGTTGCTTCCTCCCCTAAGAATGGTACACTGCAGTCTCAGTGTATCTGAAGGAAAATAGCAACACAATTCGTACATGACAAAGCTAAAAACCAATTAAAGTACATATCTACAAGTAATCTAAGGAACATCTTGCTTTTTTGCCTTGACATTCTTCTTGAAGAGTGACATATAAGGACATATGCTGCAGTGCCAATCTGCATTTAACAGAAAACCCATTACAATTCCTTAAAGTCCAATAAAACTTCTTGGATGCTGTTCTCTTTCCATCAGGTCATGTGATGGTGAATAAAATTCTTCTTAATCGCTAGAGTCAGCACTTTTCCTTTTCTGCTTCCACCTCCAGATTACCATGCTTTAATCACTGTGGAAGGAGAGCTCTGTTTTGTGCTTTGTAAAGTTACCATTTTCCATCCATCCCTCTAGTCTTCACTTCTTCCTGAATCAGAAATCTTTATTTTAAATTTAAGTAGAAAATAGGAAAACCCTTGGCAAATTTGCTCATTTGGCAGTTTATACGGAGATGAGATTAATATTGGCAATCTAATTCAAAGCAGTTTCCCCAAATAAATTTAAAATATTTGAACTGACAAGGGAATCACAATAATTTTATACAAATGCATTTTTTTTTGCTACCAAAGGGCCTTGCAAGCCTGAAATAAAATCCCACGTGAAATGGAAGGGAGATAAGCATGGTGTAGGATCTAATTTAATGCTTCTGTTTGAAAATTGCGTGAAGGACTGTCTGTATAGAGAGAACCACTGTTAAGTTTCAGCAGCATTTGTATGTGGGGTATATAGAAATGACTTCATCACTTCATAAGACTCTAAGGTGATATAACATCCTTCCTGGCACTGGAAACGGGACCTCTGAGTCCTCATGGGATAAAGAATGCTGTGATTTTACCCTCTAAGAGATTAATTATTGTTATCTTGTTACCTGATTTCACCTGCATTTGTTTTAACCAATGCGAATATGGACTCTGTCAAAAGCATCCATTCTGGAGCATTTATAGTACTGGTTCCATTAACAATATGAAAATTAGAATTAGTAAAGTATTATAAGCAAATAATCTTATTAAAGTTCTCTAAAGGGAAGCCACCATTAAATGATTGATTGAAAATATTTGCTGCCTTGTACTCTGGTGTAAAATGTAGGCTAAGTCCTTCTTAGCAAGGAACATTTAGAAAAAGAAAATAAGAGTAAACTCAGCTGATTCTAAAAGGTTATTAAAGCTACCCTTATGCCCCTTTTATGTCCAGCTGTCTGATACAGGGACGTACACTTGCGTTGCTACGAGTTCCAGTGGGGAGACTTCCTGGAGTGCTGTGCTGGAGGTGACAGGTAAGCAATGCCAAGGATGTGGGCACATGAGGAAGGTGTAACCCACAGGACAGCACTCTGAGTCAAATTATCTGTTCTACAACTTCTGGGCTTGACAGGGAAAACTTTTGAGTGAGAAGTCTGTGTTCTTTCACACAGCTAGAATTTAATTGCTATTGTCTTATAATTCCCAATTATAATTTATATATATATATATAATTATAATCGCAACAATTTTCATGTGTGTGTCCAGTGACTGCAGTATGCTTTAATTCTTCTAACAGTAATATTAATAAAATGTAGATTTATCCAGCAATTGACTCTAGGCAAAAAAAGTCCAAGGTGCTCTCTGTGAGTACTGCAGTCAATTTGGATACAGGAACTTTCTCAGCAATGGAATTTTTAGCATTTTATGTACATTTCAGCAAGCTGGGCTTTTTGTTATTCTTTCTTTAATATATTTATATACACCCCTTTGAGTTTTGCATTTTTTTTTCTTTCATGATATACTTAAAGAAGCTCTTCATCCAAAAACACATGGTAGTAATGCAGTTGTTGACTTCTTTATAGATTAAGAACATCCGCTGTGCTGATTTTGCAGATGTTTGCCATGTTTTTCATTTTAATCTTCTGCTTTGATCAAATTATATAACAAAGGATAAAAAGTAATCGTTTTGTATTTGCCCTTCACAGAATCTGGTGGAGCAACAGTCAGTAAAAATTATGATATAAATGACCTCCCTGGGCCACCATCCAAACCTCAGGTCACTGATGTTACTAAGAACAGTGTCACCCTGTCCTGGCAGCCAGGGACCCCTGGAAGCCTACCAGCTAGTGCATATATCATTGAGGCTTTTAGGTATGTGAATTATACCACTTTTAAGCTCCTTTCTCTCTAATTTTGCTTAAACCCTGGTACCAGGGTTTTGTGGTGTTCTTTTGGATTCTGCACGTATTATTAGAAGCTCATTAAATGACTCATCTCCATAGAAGGAATTGATTCATATTCTTTACATTGATTTTTTGTAATTTATCACTTTTTTCTAAGTGATTAATTGGAGGACATCTAACTATTTCTTCAGGTCAACAGGAATATAACAGAACAATGAGGTAATTATTTGTCACTTTTCCCTTAACATTGATGATCAGTGAGAGTCTACTGTGGGAATGCTGCAGGTTCTTGGCTATCATAGTACATATAATTTGGAAATAAATTGGTAATCCTGAAAACCTCTGTGCAAAATTTAATTCTTGCTCTTGTTAAAGAAGTATCAATTAAGGAGTCAAAGTGCTTAAAATTTCTATTTTTTAATGTTTTAGATAGGTGAAAACTTCTAACTGAAAAGACTAGTATTGATAATTTAGGATTCTGTCCTTCAGCCTGAGGCTGCAAAGAATCCAGGTGCCCTCCTCCACACAGCAGCAGTTCTGTGTGGTACAAAAGAACTCCTGGGCTCCAATTCAGCAAGTTTGTTTGAGCATGCACCGTGCTCTGATGTGTATCTCTACATTTCAGCTTAAAAGTCTGCACCTTCTTAAATGTGTTCCTTGATCCAGATATTAAAAAAATTACAAATACTCTAAGTTCATCTCTAAGTTATAATTCATGCAAGAATTTTTCGTAATCATATGCATGCAAATTTTAGCTCAAATGTTACGTATGTAAAGAACAGTACAGTATTTGCAGTTTGTTGGTTTTGTTCTGGAACTTACTCTGTATGCATTGTGTGAATGAAGTGATTCAAACAGCATAAACATTGTAGCTTTCCATTTACTTTTTGCTTTTGATATATTTAAAGTTTTGGGGTTTTTTTTATGAATGCTGTACAACAAAGCATAGTAAAATAAAATTTTCTCTTTAAACTTTTCTGATGTTTCAACCTAGCTAAGCTTTAATGGCATCCCATCAATAACTTTTTAAAAAGCCATTTTCATTAAAAGCTGTTTTAGCAATCATATTTGAAATCTCTTCGTATGGTGGATTGCAATCTAATTATAATAATGTTGAATTGAAAATGTAGTGACAGAAAAAATATTCATATACTTTCCTCCATTTCAAAGCATGTTTTCAAAATTTATTTTTTAAACTTTGTGTGTGAATTTAGTTCAAGGAGAATGCTTTTCTTCCAATGAAAGTTTATTGACATAGTTTACTTAGCAGTATAGAAAATTATTCTTTCAAGAGAACTTTCCTTTCTAAGACTTTTGTTCAAGAGTAGCCTGTTTATCATTCAAATTTACTTTACAGCTTTCTCCACTTTCCTTTTGCAGGTATTTTAGAGAAATAGCAAAAATTTTTACTTTTATTGGAAAGAGAAATACTTTTGACAGCTGCATTATGATTTTTTAGCCTGTCTCAATGAACTAACGGAAACAAATATTTTTAATTTCATCCTGCTTTTAATACTTTTTGATGCCCTTAGAGTCGATCCAGGGTTACGAAATAGGTCCTTTCACATCTTTTTTTTTCTCTTGTCTTAGTTTATAATCTTCCACTCTGTTCTGGTTGCAGTCAGTCTGTGAGCAACAGCTGGCAGACGGTGGCCAACCACGTGAAGAGCACCCTGTACACTGTGAGAGGCCTGCGCCCCAACACCATCTACCTGTTCATGGTCAGAGCCATCAACTCCCAGGGCCTGAGCGACCCCAGCCCCATGTCAGACCCTGTCCGAACACAAGGTAAGGGGCGGTTTCCAGGCTGCTGGGCTTGAGCTAAAACAGAGAGAAGGAACTGTGGGCTGACCGATAGGCCAGTCCGGCCGCTTGGCTTTAGCACACTCGCTGAAGGAATCACGTCTTGAGCTTAACCAATGAGGCTGAAAGTAGCCCAGGTTTGCTGCATCAGTCTGGAGCTTAGGAGAGAAAGGTTAAGTCCTTAATCCTTTGTACAGTGTCGACCTTTTGGTTTGCAGTTCACTTAGACTCGATTTGCCCCTAGCTTCTATTGAAAGCAATGTGAGTTACCCAAGCACTCTGAACACCCTCCTCTCTGTATCCTTCCTCTCTGTGTCTTCTTCCTCTCCATTAGCAGGGATACTGTGATAGCAAGTGTTTATAACAGGCAAGACACTGTGTTTAGAATTAGTTTTAATCAAAAGAAATGCACAGCACGTGTTGATTAATCTGAGCCAACATTTAGGCAGAAAATTAAGGCATCTGCATGCTAAGAATATATAGAAGTTTTTCTGAGAAAGGTATGGGTATTCTATTTATATAACTTAATTTCTGATTTCTTTGTATTAATCCATTGCATAAACCAAGAGAGAAGGCTGAAGTGTTATCCCTCATTTGTAGGGTGGTGATAGGATTGGTAGCTGTGATCCTACTTCTCTACTGAATCAGCTACTGAAGTCTGTTCACTTCACATCGAGTTCTAACTGAATATAAGTGCTACAAATTTCCCTTCACATCAGGATTTTGGTTTTTTTTTGTTTTGACCAGACATTGCTTGAGTACTTTATTCAAGAGTGTAGTTCTATGTTAAACATGTAATACAGAAATTTATAATTCTTTGGAATCATGATTTTTCAAATCCAAAGTAATAGCTCCTGTCACAGTTAATCTATAATTAAGTCCTCTGTCTCTGTTTATTGTTATTCAGAGACTTCTATCTATGAAGATCTGAAGGTGCCCATGGAGAGCACATCCCAAATCAGTCTCCAGCATGTGCGTTTTAAGTTGTTTGGGTCCTTTGCTGGATGGGAAGAGATAGACAAGAGTAGGGTGGTATTTCTTTATCACACAACCATCCAGCTTCCCTCATCCCAGCCTAGTCCTGAATAAATCTGTCTGAATACTTATACCCTCAAAATAGTAATTATGTCTGGAAGAGGAAAACCAGAGCTGCCTTCTCAAAACCTGGAGGAGTGAGTTGTGCAGGGATTTCAAGGCCTGACTATCCATGGAGTATCACAAGTTTCCTTCTTTCTTATTTTCCCATTATTATAGGGTGACTCATGATTTCCTTGAAACAGCCTTTTAGTCTGCATAACTTATCACCTAGCTAAAAAAAAAAAAACAACTTTGTTTGGCATTTGAGTGTCAAGTATAGTCTTTTTATCTGACATACTGACAAGCAATTTGATTTCAGTAAAAACATGTCCTTTAATTAGCTACAGCATGTGTTGCAGCTTCCATTTCCAGAAGCTGTTTAGCAGTCAAGCACACTGAGACACGTACAGGATTTATAGCTTCTTTGCAAGCCTGCAGTTTAATAGAATTAAATCATAAAATCAATTGAAAATTAACATAATGTTTTGATGTGATTTCTAATTATGCCTGAATTCAATTCAGGCTCACAGAAGAAGCTGACACACAGTGGAAAGCCTATTCACAGTGGCCATGGAGAAATAACAAAGCAGCTATAGCAGTGCTATATTATAATAATTTGCAACAGGTGTCTGTGCTAGCTTTAATAGCTGAACATTTAATGTCCTAGTATTCAGTATAGCAAATACAAATAATAAGATTTCATGTAAATTTTCACCAGTGAACTTCAAGTAGATTAATTAGGTACTTTCAAAAGGTTTATCTTATACGACTTATGTGAAATTAGGACAGAGAAATCAGTAACTACTCCAATGAAGGAGTTGATTTCTTTCTGGATTATTAGTAGATGAAACCATATACTAAAAAAACTCTTCCAAAAAATTATATATATTCCTACCCCTGAAATCTAAATAATAACAAATGATAGTATATTCACTGAAAGCTGATAAAAGAGGTGTTAGAGAAAATATCTAACCAATTTAATTGTGATCAGGATTTAGCTTCTTGCAGCAGTTTTGCTTGAGTCATGATTCTATTATTCCAATACTTAATCATACCCTTAGAGATAGAGCAGCTGCTTTTCCACCAGGAGCCTCCCAGACATGTGTAAGTGACATTTCACTGGGAGCATCACACATGTTTTCAAGTGTACATACCAAAAAACTGAATTCCACGTGTACATCTTGGCATTCACTTTTTACTGTTATCAGTCCATGTTATGCTGTTACTTCTGGACATATGTGCCATTAAAATGATGGAATGCTGTTCATACAAACTACTTTGTGGAAATGTCTTTTCCTCAGAGGGAATACACAGGTACTTTGTTGGCTGGATACCACAGCATAAGTTAACCTAAAATGTAGTTATGGATAACTCTAGGTTTATTTTTTGTACCAAGAATCATAGCTTTTTGTGGATAGATGGATAAATGATCATCCTCTAGACCAGTCTGAGTCGCAGTTTTATTTTACAATATCTCTGTTTCTTGACTGCTTTGAATAAATGTAATTTGCAAGATGACCACCTTCACTGACACTCATGTTTGGATTATATTCCCTTTGGAAACCCATGGAACCATTTCATTTTGGATATCAATAGAGGCCTGTGGCAATATTGTTTATTGGTGACTCAACCATAACAATATGGAATTATGAATGTGAATTATTGAACATTAAAAACTTCCAATATCTGGAGATATATGATTAATGTTATATTTGAAGGTTTCATTCTTAAGAAAACTATTATTTCTTTTAAATAGCATTTAGAAGATAAAAAGAAATCATATGATTCCTATTCCCATATCTAAGTCCATCAGAAAGGGAAGAAACTCTTATGTATATATATTTTTCACAAGGACATGATGTTGATCCTAAAAATGAGGAACTGTCTTTGACTATTGAATCCTAAGGGAAGATCAAGCAGAATTCAGAGATGCCTAGACAGGCATGACCATAATTTATCAGTCCTGTTTTGAATATCTCTATAATCAGATTTTGACTAGAAGAAACAATTCCCTCACACACTTTGAAGGGCACATAATCTTGAAAAGAAAATTTTTGTGGTAGATTGTTTTTGTTGGCCTTTTACTAGATGAGAATTAGTTTGGCTTCCTAAATTAAATCTTTTTATTTTCATGTTTGCACTAGATTTCATTAGCTATGTCTGTTAAGGGAAAATGTGCTTTGCAGGGGAAAATGCTATTTTTAGTATTTGGTTTCTTGTGTGCATGGCATGTGGGCAGAGGAAGCTTAGTGGAAGTTTGGAAACATATAATGACTTAATGTCATGTGTGCTCTAGCAAAATAAAAAAAACACTGTTCATTTTCTTCAATTATGCTAACCAATTTGGTTCCAGACATCTGTGCAGCATTATTATTATCTGAATACTTTGGAACTAGTGAGCATTGCATCTCTCTCATTCTTTACCAGAGCTGAGAAAACTTTGCTATTTTGTCAGATTACTCCTTTAAACATATTAATATTTCATGATTTCTTAAGTGGCTAGAGGTGGATGGTTTGTTTGCATTATTTGATATTTGTTTGTGTTTCAACCTTAGTGTTGTATGCTTTTTTTAAACAGTGCTATAAAAGATGTTCAAGTCAGGCCATTAGGCTACTCAGCAAATTTTATTGATGCCATATATAGCTCTACTCATTAATGTGATGCTTTCATATGTGTGCCTGGCAGATATCAGCCCCCCAGCACAAGGTGTGGATCACAGGCAAGTCCAGAAAGAGCTGGGAGATGTCATTGTACGGCTGCATAATCCTGTTGTGCTGACACCCACGACAGTGCAAGTCACCTGGACGGTAAAGCTTCTGCTGTTGTTACCCTAACAGTACTTTCAGTCTGCTTATTTTGCCTATTTATTATCTAGAAAAGATTCCAAAGAAATGTGAGTGCTCTGACAATCTAACATACAGCAGTGTGTGTGTGTATGTATATGGTCATTTTCTTTTCAGGTCAGGCAGGTTCAATATCTTCAGTCTTCTGCTTGAAGCAAGTTAGCTGTCTGACTAGGAAAAAGTTATAAAAATGTGTATGCTCAAAGGATAATTGATCTGTGGATTCATTATGCTGCATGTCAAAAAATAATCAAAGTGAAATATCAACAAGAAATTGCTGTATGAAAAAGTACTTTCTGCTTCAAGTCTTAGTGACCTCTGACAATACCCTATTATTTAGTGACCCAGAAATCAAAAATATCTCTCCTACAGAGCACTTGCAGTGAAGTCAGAAGCATGTGGTGCTAGTGCCTGACACACTGTGTATCATCTGGTTTTGCAGCACAAGCCTTACCCACAATGAGTGGCTATCCTTTCATTAGAGAACACCAGAGTTTTTTGGGCAGTGCTTAACATTTCTATTTGAGGGGTCAAACTACTGGGTAGAATTTCTAATATAGTGTTTGGCTTTCAAATTGCTCTGTTTCCCTTCCTGAGCCTTGATGGAAAGGATTTGTAAGAGTAGGAGAGAATTCCCAGGGCTCTGCACACCAGAAAAGAGTGCTGTGCTCTTGGGACATCTGCCCAGAGGAAGAAGAACCACGAGTGGAAGAGAGAGAAAAACTGCCCTGCACAACATCAAAACAGTTGTATTCTATAGGATGAATTCTGCTAAGAGGGCATTCACAATACTCAGGGATTTTCTTCTACATGTCGTATTGCAAAGAGCTTAATGTGTGCAGGGGATTATACAAGAGGAGATAAGAAGTGTGATGATAGATTGTGTATTATAAGGATTACTGTTGTTTCTGCACAACTCAGCCATTATTACGGAGGCTTATGCACCATCCTTGTTCTGACAGATTTCAGTGGTCAGGGTACAGATTAGAATAAATAGAGAAACCCACAAATTTGTCTTTCATGGAAGATTATTTAGAGCATATGTCACTGCATTTTGCCATCAATGATGTCAACATGCAGCTGGGCTTTCTTAAAATGCTGAACGTTTCAGCAACAATTCCTCCAGAACAAGCTGACTAACCTTTGTGGCTAACCCTTTTGCCCAAGCAGATGGATCAATAGTAGAAACTTGGGATGTTAGCAGAGAGTAATTGTAAACCTGGATCACATCCATGTGGTGCTCCTTCAAGTCCTCTTTTGGGTGTGACATCTATCAGAAACACAGATTCATAGGCTGGGCCTTGCTTTAGCATGTAGTACAAAAGGAAGCTCCAATATAAACAGAATTCAGTTTTATAGCGTGTAACCAATGTAATTATATTTTAAGTATTTATATTATATTATATAATATTATATATATATTAATTTTATATATATGTGTGTGTATGTATATGCATTTGTGCATGCATGTGTGTGTGCTATATATATTCCTCTAAAAGAATTTCCTGGTGCCCCTACTGAACAATGAGTGAAGAAATGGTACTGTAAAGACAAATTGTTGAAAAAGCTATGGATACCAGCTCACTGGGAAGATCCCTCTAAGCAGTGACCCTGTGCCACCTGACAAGCACAGAGACCTCTGTAGAGGCATTTTGGAATTGCCCAGGGGAAGAAAGACACAAAGAAGGATCTCTGAAGCAGCTAATTGGAAACTATCCAGCAACCAGAACAAAACCAATTAATTAACCATAGTCTCTAGGAAAAAAACCCACTCTATCCAGAGAATAAAGTCCACACTATTAACATAAAATGGATAGATAGTGTAGCTATCATACAAAAGGACAGAAGTGCCATGAGAGTCATAAGTCCCTTTGTGTTGGCTTTATGCAGTTCAAAGGGTGAATGCCAAGGAATGTCCTTGGTTACTGACATTCTGGCATCCTGACTCACAGCAAATTAACACCACTTTTCTTCTACCCTTTATGAGATTGTTTTGGTTTTGCTTTCTCTTTATTTTTTTTCTAATTTGAGTTTAAATTTTTGGAAATCTTTTCCTGTGGCTGTGTTGCAATTTTAAAATATGCACATACATAGACACACATACTTTAAAAAGAAGGTCAGGTTTACAATGTCAGTGTTAAAAAATAAGAAGAGGAATGTCAAAAGTTTGGTTTTTATTGCCACTTAAATTTATTCCTCTTGTGTATAGATATTAAAATATAGCTGTAATTATCTGGTCACATAGAGGATCTCTTCTTCATGGAGCTATTAAACATTTCTTTTTATCTTCTTTATTCTCTGTGTGGTGCCAGGTCTTATTAAATTCATACCATTGAAACCTTGCATTGAATAAAAAATTATTATTTTGTCTCACATGCTTGCTTATCTGTCATGCTCTCAACTGTAACATTTGTGTGCTTCTCAAATAATACTGAATTTAACATCACAATGATAAAAATGTGTCATTATCCTAACTTTACACATAGAGAGGTGAGGTGCAGAGATAGTTATTGCTGATGAGACTTGTGGAGACAGATATGCCCACTGTTATCAAATGGCTAATTTTAAGCCCTGGACATGATTTATTTTTACTTTCATTAAAACATTTCATATTGCAAGAGCATATTCTGTTCTCCAAGAGCTTTTTTAGCTGACCTCAACTCTGGGTCAGCACTTCTAGCCTCAGTGGGCATTAAACTGAAAGTTTCATTAGTGACCAAATATGAAATGTTCCCCGGCACTATAAAGAAGCCCTGTGGCACAAGCAGGAATAAAAAAATCAATTCTTCAACATGCCAAAATTATTGCTGCTTGGAAGGAAATCCTGACTGCCTTCTAGGAAGCTACCAGGCAGAAGGGTCATTTATTTACCTCTGGTTTTTAATTTGATGTAGATTTTAAATGAATGTACTTCACTGGAAGCTTCAGGAGTCAAGTCCTTCAGACAGTCTTCCAGATTATCATCCCCATTTGCCTTGTTCCTGTAGGATACAGAAATGCTAGTGTAGTTTGAATTTCCAGAGACTCCTGTGAGCCCATGCTAGGGAGCTCAGCACAGCATGCAAGCTACTCTGCCCAGCTGGAGAATTGCAGTGAGAGCAGAGGATTTCTTAGGATATTTTTGGATAGAAATTTGCATGCTACAGAGCATATTGCAAAATGTATTTAGGGTGAAGATTAGCAGGTTTGTCTGAAAGGAGCTTATATCTGCAGCATAAGCTGCATTATGAGTTTCTTGCCATCGTTTTAACAACCTAATAGCCATTGAACCAGTCTTGTATTCAGCTGTGGCATGTGCAGGGAAAATGAGCTTCCTCTTCTGCAGAAATGGCTTTGTAGGTGCCTCCTGCACCTTGGACTCATCGTGAGAGGGGGTGAGAAGGAGCACACAGGACCAAATCTGCTTGTAGATCTCATTAGGCCAGTGCTGATCACCACCTACCCAGGAACTGCTCTCTCCTGCCTTTTAGAGAAGCATCTGCATGTTCTGCCATGTCCTTTGAGAGAGCAAATGTGTGGGGCTTTTTTTGCATCTGTTGCAGATCTTTTGAGTTGATATCACGGACTAGAAATATTCTCTTATCCCAGAGAATATATAACAGAGAATTCCTGCAATTGCTGAAATAATGCTGTGTAATTTGTGTAAGGAAGTAGCAACCATTTACATTCTTTATCCTTTCATCAAGCCAGAGTGCATGTTTCTGCAGCTCTGCCTATGTGTGAATGGGTGCCAAACTTGGAGCTGCATAGCTGAATAAATGTCTTTAATGCTAAGCAAATAAGGATATTTTTAGTAATCTGCTCATGGCTTGACACATCATTACCCCAGAAATGGAGAAAATTGTGAAGTCACAGTCACTTTGTATTATATTTGGGCAACTGTAGATAGACATACACACGTGTGCACATGTGCATGTGTGTATATGTGAAATACACCTGTCCTACCCCTCACAAATATTTTCTGTTAATCCATGTAATTATCCAAGGGTAATCTTTTTATTAGTTTGAAAACTCTGAACAAAGCAAAAAAATCCACCTTTCTCTGTAGGTGTCCTCTGAGTAGTTTCCCAAAATTCTGACCTTACAGAAAGCCCTGTTCATTCAAACTAGCTTTAATTGGGTATGAGGGACAGCTTCATATCCTCTCCTTGATACTCAGTGTGACTGAATGTTTATAGAAAACATTAAAAATGCTCTTGATATTTTCTTTTGTCAGTACCCTCCCAGATTCTGAATGATGAAATCCCTGTCAATAATCTGATATTTGGGCACATCATTCTGCCCTGCTGTAATCAAGCTACTAATTGAAAGCTGTGTGAAACTCAAGTGAGCCCCAAATCAAGCTAGTTTATAGCACCTGTAAATGTGACAGCCTTGTGGTACTATTGCATTCTGCTTTCATATTCTTTCTATTGTTTAGTCTTTCAAGTGAAGATCTTAGAGGTCTTGGAAGAAAATTTGTATGGAAGCAGATACAAAATTTGAGGGACTGAAAATTTGGATTTTTTTATATTGTCTTGAGGTCCCACTCTTCACAGTGATTTGGGGGCTAGGTTTGTGTTTGTACCGTTCAGTACAAAACTGTGTTGTAACAACACAATGCTGCTGTTCAATCAAGTCAATTCTGAATTTTCAGTTTTCTCCACTAGGCAGCAGTCAGTAGAGCTTAAAAATAGAGCAAAGACAAAATGGAAAGTTCTAACAAAGTTATGCCATCTTTCAGTGTGGCTTCTAACTCAGAAGTAAAACAAGAATCAAAATCAGTGTTTGATTATTAAATATCATAAGCTTGTATTGTAATTTAGGTTTACAATCTGTGTTACAAAGTGGATGAAAGCATTATTTTTGCTGAATTTTGTAGTAAACGTGAGGTTCATAAAGTCTTTATATCCATAAAACATTTAGTTAATCAAAGTCAAACATGGATAAAAACAGTTTACTCTGATTTACAGACTCCCTTCATCTGGAAACAGCTGCTTAATGTTCTTCTTAAAAACACAGCTTGATTCTTTCGGTATTAACAAGCTATTATTGTGAGTTATATCCCTCTTTCAGTGCATAAATTCAGTTAAAGTGAATGCAGAGAAGTTTATAAAATGCAGGCTTAATGTTGTTGTAACATATGTTGCAAGGTTTTTAACAGTGACAGTTTTGATGAAAGACATTTCTGCCTTGCTTTCATAAATAAAGCTTTCTTCTTGCTTGCCTTGCTTTTTAATGTCTAAGAATCTGTGTCCTTTCTGAATGCCTCAATAAGAGTAACAAGATTATAGGAGGAGCATAATGGACCATGGTTTGTGTTTGCAGCCTTTAATTCATTTATTCTTAAGAGAAGTCAAACAAATGTTTCTCTAATTCTGGAATATCTTTGAGCAGGCAAATTGACAAGAACATAAGAAATATTCTACTTGTTGAGTCTTAGTTATAACACAGAATTACCAAACAGCCAGCTGTATAGTCTTGTTATTTGTGCTACACTTTCCTTGCTCCTGATTTAGCAGCTACAGAAGCAGCTGGGTTTGGTTTACTTTTAGCAATTAGATCAGTTTTGGTTTTTTGGGTTGTTGTTTTTTTTTTTTTCCCCAAGAAAAATTTGTACAAGAATCATAATGACTTGTTTTTCAGGTATTTTTTTTGAAGATAAATAGATGCACGCAACCTCTCCTAGATAAAATACATATAAAGGTTTTCTTCAAATAAAAATACTATTTATAGGATAAAATTGTTAAACTTCCATGGTGCAATCTTGAATTCTGCTTGCCTAGCAACAAATAAAACATAAACCAAAACCAACATTCCATCTCCATCTGATGGCCTGAGAGCATCACAGCCCCAGGATGCAAAGGGGCTGCTCAGGCTGTGAACAGAAGAAACAGCATATGTCTTTGGAAATTGTTTTTTCTGCATCTGTCTTATGTTTATTTTAATTTGCTGTGCATTTCATGAGCTGTGAGCCAAGTAATGGACTAATTGTAAGCATGCAGGCTATCTTCAAAGACTTGACCTTTTCTGAAAAGAATTTGTTTTTCTTTTCTTCTCCTGTTTCGGCACATCAGTAGCCAAGATGTGCTTAGTAAGTTTACATGCAGCAAGCCTTATGCCAAAGTTTGCTTTTCATGATTTATTGCAGGGGTGGGGGCCTTGTTTTATGATTTAAGGTGGTATTTGTCATGATACATAGAGCTGAAGGAAGCAAAACAGAAAGAAATATTCTGCAACCAGTAATGTGAGACAAATGCTCCTTCTAGACAATTAATCAACAGTGATTTACAAGAAGGTAGTTAGATTATTAAATTCAGCATCATAACTGTGAATTTTCTCTTTTTGATGAGAGCAAAATTTTTCTAGGCAACTGTTTTGTTTTCTTTTTACACAATGGGGTTTTTTTTGTTGCTTTTTTTTGTTTATTTGAATATGTTTACTGATGTATTGTTTATTGTCATTTCTAGGTGGACCGGCAGTCCCAGTTTATCCAGGGCTACCGGGTCCTGTATCGCCAAACCTCCGGCCTGCCTGCTCCAGCTGTGTGGCAGAACCTGGAGGTCAAAGTCCCCACCGAGCGCAGCGCCGTCCTCGTCAGCCTGAAAAAGGGGGTCACTTACGAGATTAAGGTCCGCCCTTACTTCAATGAGTTCCAAGGGATGGACAGTGAATCCAAGTCTGCTCGTACCACAGAGGAAGGTTGGTAAAAGGGGCAGGAAAGCAAAGAGATTTCATAGCTGACTCTGGAGGTTATTCTGTGTGTGCATGTGTTCATCTCTTTCTTCCACGTGATTTCTGTTTGTTACACACCAAGGTGACATTAAAATTTGATATGATATTCAGCTTTGTGCTGTAAATATCCCCTGAGAAAGCACTGTACTGGTCTTATATTCTTCTAGCTGATACATCCTTCTAAGGTACAGGTGGCTTTTGGTCTTCCAAAAAGTGTGCACTGCAGCCCTTCTTTTGTAACCACTGCTGCTGCAATAAAAGACTTTGGTCTGCACTTTGAAAATAAAATAAATGCAAGCTCTCACAAATGAGTGTTTGATACTAAGCACATCTTTCTGAATGGGTAATAATGTAGATGAGCAGTTGGCTGGGAAACGAGGAGTAGTGAAGGACATATATTTAACTAGTCTGGAGAAACTCCAGTCTCAAGGGCACACCACTTCACAGTTTCTGTTAGCTCAGTGTTCATAAAACTGCCCTGTTCCGTGCTGCAGAGGATTCCCCTGAGCACCTTTCAAGCCTCACTGAAACAGTCAGGATTCAGAGTGAACAGTTTATACTTCTGAAATGCTCGAGCTTTTATATCCATAGCATATAGCCTCGTATATAGCTGTGCTAAAGCATGTGCACTCCAGGGCTGCTGGGTTTTTTTGTTGAAAAGTAAAGACACTGGGGTGAGATGTCAGTAATTTTAATCACTTGCTTTTAGAAAACCACCTTTTTTTTACCTATCTAATGCAGTCTTTGCATGGAGAATCTCTCCTGTAAAAGTAGGATGGTCCTAACAGTAAAGGTTCATCTCCTCTCTGTGTCACTGATTTTTTTTAATTTTATTTTTTTTTAAGCAAGAAAAAGAAATATTGGTGAAGTTTTAAAATGTTCATATGGTTTCAATGGGTTTTGAGTGCACTCTTTCTTTCCTACTGAAAGTGCATCTTAATCATTTACAGTAGTCTCCTGAGGTTTAATTTAGTGCTGATTGCCAAGTACTCTTTAATTCTAGAACAGACTTGCTTATTACTCACTTTCCTCTTTGATTTGTTATGATTATTACCCAACATGTAAGTAAAACTGAAGATAACTCAGTTGCACTTTGCATTTCATGGAGGAGGAAATTCAGTGTCCTGCAACATGTAGAAGAGTGTGCAGGAAGGCAGTTTTCAAGTGGAATTTGGAATTTGGGATTTTATGGTCCCCAGATTTTTGTTCAAACTATAAAACCTAAATGAGTCGGTGAAGAATATGTTTGCAGCACTCTGAACAAAGTTTTTTTTTTTTTTTTTTTAATAAAAAAGAAAATTTTAAAAAGATTTCTACAGGTGAATTTTCTTCTCTGGGATTAAAATGTGGGATTTTGTCCTCTCACTAGCATATTTTCCTCTAGTCAAATTTCAGCTGTTTTTTGGTGTTTATTTAGTTAATCTAACTGCCTCTTCCTAAAGGTAAAATAAGAACTAGAGAAAAAAAAGGTCTTATACCTCCTGTCTATTTCTATTAAATACTTGAGGAATGACATTCTCGTTTATAAGCCTTAGCTCCCAGCAGAGCCTGTCAGGTAATTTCCTACCTTAAAGGACACTTTGTTCATGTGGAATAGCTTTCCACATAGTGAAGATTTAAAAAAATATTCCTGCCTGCAGATATGTATAAGTCACAGCCTAGGATCTGCTTTGTAGATTAATATAACCTTAAAAGAGTCTGTTTACAAGTATCTCCTCTCAAAAAAAATATTGTAATATTATCACCAGAAAAATGTCAGCTCCTGTAAAAAATTCTTCCTCTTCCTTGGGTGATAAAATTAGGTACTTCCATGAGAAAATTAAGACATTCAGTAGATGCAGTTCTACAGATATTTCCTTTAATTCCTCCTATTATCTTTGTAGTTATATTGGTGTTCATGTATTTCAAAAATAGTATCAACTAAGTGTCTAATGACGGTGGTTTGCTCCTCTTCCACTGAAGGGAGATGACAGTCTATTTAAGTCTGTGTTGACTGTGATTCCATTTCGAAAATGAGCTTTTTTTAGCCTTGACTTTTAAAAAATGTCAGCAATACTAATTTTAGAAAATAATTTGCAAAAGTGATACGAGTGTTGGAAGTTTTTTTTGCAACATCAAAGCAAATATCCCTGGTAAAGGCAAAGTACAACTAAAAGGTAGTGGCAACTTTCTGCTGGATTGGATTTTACATGCAATGTTACTTCTGAGGCCTACCTTTAAAAATCAATTTTGCTGCAGTTAGACTTTTCCTCTAGATCAGACATTTGTCACAGTTCAGTATCCATCCATCTCCTGCCTCTTTGGCCTTGTGAAAGTAACAAATGGAATTCTGTTTGGCTGCGTCTGGAAAAGATGAGCAGCGATTTGGGTTCTTTCATATCTGTAAGAAGAAGCTGAGCACTGGAATAATTGACCTGTCAAGAAGCAGGCAAGGTGTTCTCCACAAGCCAGCAGCAAGGGAAATGAGAAAAGGGTTTTAAAAATGTTATTTTTCAATGTGATCTATTTAATAACTGCAGTAGTGTCAGACAAGTGGCTTAATTTATATCACAGTGCCAGCTTACAGAGTGATATTATCAGAGAGAGGAAGCTGAACTGCTACATAGAAACATGTGTACATGCCTACAGTGGGAGCTAAATCAAAGATTTTATTTTATAATTTTCACTATTTCTTTCATACTTTCTCTAGAGACAGATGATTTTTATTTTATTTTATTTTATTTTATTTTTAGTTGCATCCACTGTTAAATCTCCTTTGGAATAACATTGTGGAGTAGTACTTGACCTGCATCTTGTTTGTCACCACAAAAATATGACAGGAAGGGAGGTCTCCTTAGCTTTTATCAGCTGCTTTTGTCAGTTTCTCCTCACCTTAGAGCAGTGCCTAAAATGATATTTCCACAGCTGCATTCATTATCTGCAATTTTAATTTTGCTTCAAATTCATCCTATGTCCTCAAAAAACCTCAAAGAACACTAACACACATTGGTAGAATATTAACTAGAATGTTCATGCAGTTTAAATGAAAAAAACAAATGAATACAGTATGGTTTTAAAAAAAAATTTAGAGTATGGTATTTATTTTACATTTCTTTTGCATTCACACTTCCTTCTCCCCCCCAGGTATGTGCATATAAGACATATTTCTGAATGCCTTTTTTGTTTCAGTAATGAAAGTAAATATATTTGAGCAAGTTGTTCCATTGTACTTAAAACCAAAAATGAGTTGTGCAGTGTTAAGCTTTGCCATTTTTATGATTATTATTTTCACATAAAATATTCTAATTAATATCACACACGTACGTTTATTCACAGTTCTGTTGTTACTGAATAACTTGAAGACTTTTAAAATGCTAATTTTTTTAACTGTGTGGCAAATTATTTCACTTGCCATAAAATATACAATACATCTATTTATTTCACCAATTTTAAGCTTTGCACGATTGCAAGGAGTAGCCCAAGGCCATTTTCCCATGCTTCATTCAAGCTGGCTAAGAGTCAAATTTCCCACAATACAGCTCCATTTCTCCCCTCCAGTTCACTGTTTCTCTGCATCAAGCAAGGTCACAAGGACTCTACTAAGCACTATTAGCTCTGCAGCTGAACCTGCATCTGAAAATGCAGTTGTCGAAATGTGAAGCCTCCCAGGACTGTAATATGTGTTTCATTTTTCATCTAAAATATTTTTTTTTTTCCTGCTGTAGTCTTGTATGGTTCCTTGTCCTCACCTCTGATACCCGAGTTTGAAGTTGTGTGATCCTTGCAGCAGAGCACTCCAAGTTTTCAGGGTTATCAGGATAAAGATTTGAGCTCTTCTCCATGAGGCTGTGCCAGGTCAAGTGCTGAGGAGCTTCTGACGTGGGAGCACAGCCAGCCTCAAAGAGGCTGTGGAGAACAATAGGAATGTCTGAATTGACTCAGGAGACTCAAACACTCCTGATATCTGTAGCTGTGTTTATTTGTGTTAAACCTGCCAGACCTCAATACAAAGATGCCAGGGGCTCTTGGCTTTTCTGGGAAGCATGGTCCAAGGATAGGCATGGGCTCAGGGGTATCTGTAAAGGATAAGATTAGAGTTATATTGCCATAAAGTTTAGCAGTGAAGAAGTCACTCTGACCAGGGGTCTGGAGTCAGGGAGCCTTGACATATTATTGAAATGCCCCAGAGCACATTGTCATCGAGGCTTGAATTTGGGGCAGGAGAGTGATAAATATTTTAGGTTCTGATATGATGTCTATTATAAGTTTTCAAAATCAGCTTTCATATTTCATATGAAATGTTTTAAGATCAGATTAAAAGCAATGAAAAATATGTGGAAGACAAATTCCAGAAGTATTTATTAAACACAAAGACACCTCTCTAGAACAGAAGGTGTCCAAGCAATAGAACAGGCTCCTGTGAACTGGAAAATTGTCCTGGAGAGGTATCACTCTATGCTTGCTGTATTAGTTCACACTTTTCCGGCCTCTTTCTATTAGTTTTGTTCAAGACTGGCTAGATGGACTGGGAGAGATGGAATAAATAAATTCTAGGACCAGTTCCAAGCAGCTGCTATCCATCAGCTTTTCCCCCCAGGGACTATACCTTAATATAATACAGTCGACCTCGGTGGCCTAGCTCACCACCGTGGTGGAGTTTCAGCACTTGCCTGGCAGCAAGGGAAGGATGAGGGGGGGCTGCAAGAAGTTTCAGGTGGCTGAGCAGGGCCATATTGACATTCCTTTGCCATGGCAGCCACAGCCATGCTGAGAGAGCCCTGTATGGATGCAGCAGATGCTCACAGAGGAGACTTTTCCATAGCAGAGCTCCTGCACCACTTCCCAGGCAGCGTGTCCTGAGCCAACAGAAGCACGCTGCTGCTGGTGAAGCTGCAAGAGGGGCTTTGCCAGCAGAGCTCTGGTCACTAATAACTATGATTTTCTTTCATTTTTCCACGCTTCTAGACAACATGCAGGGCTGGCAAGCAGTTGTCTTGTAGAATTGGCCTTAGTGTGCAGTGACCAGCCAAACAGCTGTGAATGGTTGAACTGAGCAGGACTCTGAAGAGAATGCAATTTACCTAGGGGCAGAAAAGGACATAAGTATATATGTGACCTAACTGAGCACCTGCTCTATTCACTGGTATTTGATGTAAAGCCATGAACATTTTAACCCTTTTCCAGTTCAGAGTTGCAAGTTCTATGTTTAAACCCGGTATTGTCTTCCTGGAGAGCAAACAAAAAGGGACATTAAATGCTGGCTGCTCACATCATTATTAGATCATGTAAAAATAGAAGAACCAAAACAGTTTTCAGGCCAGGTGAAGCAGCCACACATGTGACTTATTTGATATATCCATAGTTATTCATGCATATTATGGAAAACAAGGGCAAACACGAGAACAATACCAGTGCAAGCTTAAGAATTGCCAAATATAAATAAATGAGGAGTGATTTGTATTGATTCTCCACTGCCACAAATTCCACATTGTCATTCAGCCCTATGCTTCTCTTCAGAGGGGCATTTTTCAACATTGTCAGTGTCTGACAAGTGCACATCCCTAGGCCTGCAGAAGAGTGAGAGTTTTCTATACTTTCTGCTTGCTCTTGCACTGCTTCAGCAAAATCCGTGCCCTAGCAAACGAATTAATGCCTTGCTTCTGTTTGCTCCCTCTCCTTGGTGTAGCCCCAAGTGCTCCTCCTCAGTCTGTCACTGTCCTGACAGTTGGAAATCACAACAGCACGAGCATCAGCATCTCCTGGGATCCTCCCCCTCCAGGGAAACAGCCTGCTTGAATTACAGAACAGTACCACTGTTTATGGATTTACATTCTCACAGCATTTACAGTTGCCCATATAATTATATGGAGAAAGAGGACTGACTGCTTATGGATTTCTTTATTACTATTATTATTATTATTATTATTATTATTATTATTACTACTATTACTATTATTACTATTATTATTACTATTATTATTACTATTGTCACTACTATACTGTTACATTAAGAAGCAAAAACACCATGAGATTGATATGAAAGGAGCTGTAATTTCTAGCCAGTTTGCAGTTCTTATCTTTCTAGCTTTTCCCTGCTGTGGAACAAGAGGAGTGGGTATTTTTGGAAAGGGGCTTCTGTACTCTAAGGACAGGCAGTGAAGTCCCTCTCTTGGAATGCCTTCAATCTGGCAGCAAAGCTGGCAGGAAAGTTTCTTCTCATTTCCTCTGCAAAAATGCTAATCCTAACACTTCCAGGTCAAAGTCAAGGACTGTGACTTTGGGATAATTCAAGACTTTTTCCAAGTACTATCACTGTCAAGTTTCACAATTTAAAGTGCCAGGTTGCTTGCTCTGAGAAACAGGTTGAACACAAGCAGTATATCCAAAGTTTGCTGCATGAGAATTGCTTGCGTTGGTTGTATTTTCTTCCTTTATGTTACTATGATGGCTCAAAATATCCACTCCTTATACATTAAATGTTGTTGTAGCCTGTAATTTCATACTAAGATCACTTTTGCACAAGGATATTTTCCCAACATTTAGAAAAAATGCACTCTGTTATGCAGGTGGAGAAAATAATTGGGTGAGGTTCAGCCTTGTCACAGCATGGAGCTCAGTTTGGTAAATTAACCTTACTGTGGCTTGCTTATATACACCAAGTGTGAAATGTTTAATTGAAATGGATCAGGGCAGCTTTCTTGACAGTCCCACAAAGGGTGGAAGTGGTGACTGCAGCTTATTTCACATAAAAAGATTTTTTTTTCCCCCTTTTGTGTCATGAGGGAACACAGCATGAAGAAGGGAGAAAGTGCTTGGCTTCTAAATCAGATAGTGGTTCAACCTATTCCAGCTTTTCACTTGGTCAGGGGGATGCAGTAAATGCTCACAATGTTTATGTTTAGCATAGCAATTCTTTTGTTTTCCTTTTAGTCAATATCAAGATTTATTAATCCCAGTATTTTATTGATCTATTTTTCATATGAATTAATAATTATCCTTTGGCTTAATTAATCTTGATCCTGACTCAAGTACAAGTCAATATAAACCATCCAGGGCTTATAGGGAAATGAGTAAAGCACACTCCTAAACCACTAAACATGTAGATATGAAGCAAGTGGGCTGATGGCTCATGAAAGCCATGTTCCAGGTGAGTGCTCAGCCTTTGGGCTGTGTATAAAACCAGCTGGAGTCACTACCTATTACAGCCCTCCTGTGTTAGGTTAGGTGGCTGCCTCAGTAGTGAACTGGCTACAGTGAATGGTGCAGAGAGTCTAATATTTACCTGAGTATAAAATAATTGTTGAAATTCCACAGTGCATTTTCTAGCAAATTGGAAATAGATCTGTTGATTCCAATTCAAGCATCGGAATGCCTGTAAATTCATTCATGAATTAAATGCTTTTAAGTAGGGACATCTCACAGCTGTTGTAACCTAAGACCAGGACAGACAAGGAGTGAAGGAATGAATGCAATTGTTACTCACCTTAATGCATTCTGGCTGGCAAATAGGATCACTTTAGGTTTAGGAAAACAAGAGAATTTTTTTCCTTTTCAAATCTTTCTCAGCACTTCACAGAAGAAAGAGCTAAAGTGTGGTAAAACACTGAACAGGGTCAAAAGTAAGTGCAAAGATATTATTGCTGTTGTTTAGATGCATTAGTTTCTCCCTGATAGTGGTTCCACCAATAGTGTTTTCTTCTGCTGTTATTTTTATGTTCGTGTACATGTGATATATTTATGCATTGATTTTCCTGTGTGGTGGTAAAAGCTTTCTTTAGTAATACAGGAGCAAGATTTGCAGATAGCCTTAACTGAAGAAACATGCCTAGAAGTTAGTTCTGAAACCTCTTTGGAGAATCCTATAAAAAAATGCAAGAGGGAGACATGACATTCTGAACTCATAGACTGTTCTCATCACAAAATGCCAGTTGTGATTTTAGGGTGGATTTTCTGTTTAAGTAGGTAATATTTAAGCGGGAAACTGATGTCTGGATTCCTAAACAATGTAAATAATCACAGAGGCAGCAGTAAATGTGAGCCTGTGTTTATTCAGAAATTCCAAATATGCCTCTTGCGCATGAAAGGAAGTTGAAATGAATTTTGAAAATTGTTTGTTCTTTAGTGCTTTAAGAAGTGTTCCAACGTGTGGTCATATATTTGGTATCCTTTTGCTGTTCAGCAGGAAATTTAGAAGGAAAAATTGTTGGTTTTTTTAACAAATAGTTTGATAAATAAGATTCTGATTAATGAATAACACCTCTTTTCTATTTGGATGATCTGATCTGTGCTTCTAAGAAGTATAAGCACAGAATTTTCACTCCATGGAGAGCCAGAGTCCAGAAAGGTATTTGCAAGCAGTCTTTGCAGCAGGCTTGGTCCTGTGCTAGTCTGGGATACCTTGCTGAGCTAAATCATCCCAATTTCAGCTATCCTGGACAGTAAGACTGTCAAGAAGTCCCAAATAAGTGACTGCCATGAAATACCTTGATATGTCATATCTATGTGCGATTGTGTGAGTGTGAAGAATTTTATCTATTTTAACACATCAACTTTTGTCCCAGATCTGGTGCCTAGGTAATGAGACTCGATTTCATATCAACAAAACAGTAGATGCAGCCATTCGGTCTGTAGTAATAGGTGGCCTATATCCAGGTATCCAGTACCGTGTGGAAGTTGCTGCAAGCACCAGTGCAGGTGTGGGAGTAAAAAGTGACCCACAACCCATAATAATTGGTAAGTTATTGTCTGTTCTGTTGTTCTGCTTTGCCTGTTTGTTGTTGTTTGTTTTTTTTTTTCTCTCAGAAATGCTTTCATACATCACATCTAGAAGCATAAAAATTTGTGGAGCAAAAGACAAGATTTGACTAGAGCTGGTTAGTTAGCTTTTTCATCCCCCTGCCTGATGATGGCTTGCTCTTCTCTTCCTGCAAAGTTCTTGCAAACAAAGGGAAGCATGTTCCCAAGACATATGAGAAAATGCAGATTGCCTAATGAAACTGATTTAATGTTTTTGTTTGGTTTTTTTTAAATGCATTTACCACTTCTGCAGGTTGGTAGATGTGTGGAACAAGCAGCCCAAGCTCCCTTTTCCCTCTGTTAAGATGGCTGGAATATTGCCTTACTCATTCCACTGGTGCCTAAGGCAGTATTTAACATTGTTTTCTGAATGTCTAAAGTCAGTGTTTCTCACGTAATCCAAGGACACAAGCCTCCTCTGTCAAAGAAATAGTGATCTCTAGACCAATTAGAGAGCAAAGGTAGCATTATCATCCCAGCCTTTGAAATAGTTGTTTCTTGATAGTAGTCTCCATGTAGAACTAATTTCCTGACCTGAGGGAAACACAAGTTTTGTTTCTTTTGAAATTTTCCCCTGAGTATAAATATAAAGGTAGTAACAATATGGAAGATTAGAAGAAATTATGTTTAACAAACTTGAAATGAGCTGTGCAAAGCAGCACCTCAGGAATTTTGTTGCCTTTTTTCTATGTGATCTAACTTGGTTATTACTTAAAGGGACTTTTGTTTGTTTGTTTATTTGGGGAACTTCTGTTGTTACTAAGTATTTTCTTTCTAGAAAATGTTGTCAGTACACTGTCCCAAACATGGACTAGTCTATTATGTGCAGACCCGTAGAAAAGACTGTCCCATAAGCATTGCTTAAATGTTTATTAATATTCAAGTTCCTCATTCATCAAAACAGAAGCTAGGATACTTCAGCTGTGAAGTCTCACAGGAGACAGAAATACAAGAGTGGCAGTGAAGATAGCACTTGGTTTAGATAAGGGAGCCACAGAAACACTAAAGATGGAAAAAAGATATGTAGAAGTGAAAACAAAAAATTGATATTTGAAAATGCAAGAAACCCAGGACTTTTTTTTTTTTTTTAATTTCATTAAGGGGTCCATCTAACTAGGCATGAAATATACTGCACTTATTCCAGCAAAGGACAATAAGTGCGTTGCATTTTAAGTACCTGGGTAACCTTGTGCCGCTTATTGTGCTGTGAGTTCTACTTGCACCAAAAGTCTTTTCTGGATGATTCCCAGAGTTTTTAGTGGCACTTATTTGTTCCTTAAATGATCCCACAATTTCTGCTTCAACAAGTTTGTCTGGTGACATCTTTGCACATTTGAGAGTCATTTGCATGGAAAGTAATGGAAAGTAGTTTCTGTTTTGGTTATGTTTCTGTTTTCATTTCTGTTTCTCTTTTGGGAGCCTGAAGCTGGATGTGTTTATTACATATATGGTTTGTATCTCCCTTTTCTTTAGGCCCAATTTTGCTATTGATTATGAATTGCTAGCAGTTATTTCTCAGACTATAAGTTTGCTTGATAAATGTAAGACTGTTCAAGTGATACCATTTCTGAAAAACTTGAGTTGGCACCATTCAACATTTGAATGGGAATCAGAATCATAAAATATGAAAATTATTTTTGAAGTAAATTTAAAGAAACCTAGTTACATGGATTTAAAATTAGCTAGTGAGCAAACCTCAAAACATCATAATGAATGGGAAAGCATTATTGGGTTATTATAATACAGTTCTATATTGTCTGGTGCTTATCTATACCATTTAACAACTGGCAAACAGAATGAACAGCTCTAGAAATGCTGAATTATGGTAAGAACAGGTCAATGGTGCAGGAGAGCTAAGCTGTGTTTCTAAGCAGTAAAAATTTTAATAGTCATGAGATACAGTGTGCAGAAAGAGATGTTATTTTTAAATACAGGATTCATTCTTCCAAAAGATGTTTCAGGGTGTTTTTTTCTGAAAATAACTAGTTTTCATGGTGGATAATCAACTACTGGCCTCCCAGAGTAATTTTAGATAACAGACCTGTGACAATCCAGAAAGCAAAAACAGGAGAATAGGAACTAGTAGGAAGTATATTATTCCTTTAGTAAGAAATTGTCTTACTGTTACAGGAATCTTGAAGCAGGAGGTTGAAAAATTTTATGGAAAACTCAAAGAGAATCAAGTATAAAACTTTTATGATCATTAATGATATGCTAAAAAACACTCACTTGGAAAACCAGAAGTAAAATTTGAGATAAGGGCAGCGCTGGTTAATGCTGTAGCTATTCTTTCTCTTCATCAGTTGGCCTGGTCCCTCTTACATTCCATCATTGGCATAATAATATGAGGAACAGCTGCAAACTTTCACAGTAATAGGTACAATCGAATCTGATGTGTCTAATTAATTTTTGGTCCGACAAATTAGTTTTGTTCTTCATTACTCTCCAATGGGAGGAAGACATTATATTTCATTATGTTTTTGTCTTCAGGAACAATGGAGCGTTACAGGTCGCACACTTCCCTTGTCTGTGTTCTAATTAGTTGAACTGACAGCATTGTTACAGAACCACCTGCAGTGTATGAAATAATACACTGGTACCTTGGATGACATATTTATTTCTTCTGCTTAAATATTATATAAAGAAGTACAAGACTAATGCTGTTTGTTTCCCCAACCCCCAACAATTATATTAATTTTATCAAAAGTCAGTGGGTAACATTCATCTGTCTCCATTTATTTTTCCATCATCTAATTCACAAAGCATATGTTATTTTGACATTTAAATGAATTATTACTTTTGCAGTTGTAATTGCTAGGCACAGAAGGGTGAGAACAAACAGCCAGACTGCAAACTTTAGAAGGTAATTTGGAGACAGATACTATGTTCCCCTAGAAGACAGGCAGAGCATACAGTCACTGAAATACAGAGCATACAGGCTCGTGACAATTTGCTCTCACATCCTCCATTCTCAAAAGACTGTTTTCTGGTCTTAGAGAAGACAGGATTCTCAGATGTTTTTGGGGGCTTTAGTGAAAAGAACTCATTCTTGAATCCAGGAGCATCCACTCCCAAAGCTTGTGTCTCCAAAACACTTCCCTGCCTGCTCTTCTCCTTGGTTGCACAACTGTGTGTCTGAAGCAGTGCCAAAACTACCTGTTTCCTCACTGTCCCACTGCTTTGGCCTCTCCTCCAAAGGGCACAGAAATTAACTGCAAGTTAATGGTGATTAGAGCAACTCCAACTCCCATGCTGATTTCTACTAGAAAATTGATTTTGTGTCTGGAAGAGCATGCCATAGAGAGTCCCTCTCTATTTGTTTTACTCTCAACCCTTCCTCTTTCAGCACTGGGGTGCACCTATGGATTGGTTCCATGGGCAGAAAAAAACATGGAAAATCAGATAGAGCAGCTTCTGCTGCCTGATTTCTTCCCTTGCTGCTCACTCAGTTTCATTCTCAGATACTGAATCAGGCTTGGAAGCCATTGGGCCTTTGGCAGTGGCAAGACAAAAATGCAATGAGGCAAAGGACAGCTGCAGCTCCCGGATGCTGATGCTAGTAAAGCTCCCCAGCATGGCCAGTATGGACTGGTGCATGACACCAGTACTGGGACACTTTTTGTACATCTGGCAGCATCTTTCTGTGGGACCCATTCTGCTTGCAGGGAGCCTGTTTTGTTCCTTGCCCAGAAAGACTGAAAGCAAGCCAAGCTCTAGCACAGCTTCCACAGCCTGATTGCAAAAGCAGACAGTCATCAGTACTAAATATTGACGTGGTGCTGAAAGAGAGGAAGCTAAATAAACTCACCAGGGTCATCAGCAGTGTGATAGCAATGGCACACAGGGCACTGCACTTCTTCCCAATTAACCCAGCCCAGCTCTGAACAAGCTGCCTCTTGGCAGGGGCAGTGCTGGGCAGAGGCAGTCCCAGAGGGACCTTCTCAAAGCATCCCCTTTTATAAAACATGGCTGTGTGACCTCCAGCTCACCTGCAAAGAGGTGTCTGTGGAAAAGGGACTGGAAGTGTCAGACTTCTCAGTTCTGCTTCTGCCAGAGACCCTGAGTGCTGGCTTTAGGCTGAAGCCAGCAAGTGCTCTGTTGGAAGACATAAATCTAACCATTGCTGAATTATGGAAAAGGAATATGTACATTTTCACAGCATGGCATAATGATACAATACTTCTAATAATTTCCTCTGAGTGACCATTTCAGTGTTTTACTGCAGTGTTCAACTACCTTTATGTGTGTGATAGACTCTCATAATTGAGAATCATATTGTTTGCATCTTCTTTGTCTCAATAGAGTAGCTGCTCTTGCAGCTTTTCAGAGTGCATACAGGCATCTGGTAATATTGCATAAACATTTCAAGGACTGAGCTACATAAATGCTTCTACTGGAAATTTTGGATAATCTTTCATGAATTTCAAAACTGCAGATGTGGACAGTTTATATAAAATATACATAGAATAAAATTTCAGGGTTTTTTTTTAGAAAAATATGTTCTGCATTTCCTAATTTTAAAACTAACTATTTTTGACAATTTGAAAGTGCTGGCCCTAGAATTACATGCTTTAGCATTTCCTGGATTTTCATGCTGATTTTTATGAGCATTTGTTCTCAAGCCAAATGCCAAGATTTTTCTTTTAGAAAAGTTCCCTTTTAGAGAAAGATGGGTAAAAAACCAGTGGGAGCATCTACTGGAATTTACAGTTTTCTACTGTAATATACAATTTAAGATCCTATATAGCAATTTTTTAATTCATGTCACTTTAATTAGTATTCCAGGTAATAATTATTCCTTACAGGTTGATGTTAAGAATTTGTATGCATATTATAGGTGAAAAAAATACCATCTGTTGCTGTGATTGTTTAGTGCTTACAGTTAACTGTGCGATTTTCAGCTTTGTGTCAAAGATGGTACACACAATTTGTGTGAATTGTTTTCCCCTTGAAATAATTGCTGCATCTTTGCCCTAGTGGAAAGTGCATTCATTTTATTGTCTGTTTCAAATTTGGAAGCTAGCATTCAGGGAAAATAAATGAGTTGAGTAAGAATTTTTGGTTTTCTTCTGATGTTGTAGCATATTTTGTATTTGGATTACTCATTTGGAAAAAGCTATTTATTGATTGCTTGATTTATTTTTTTTTATTAGTTTCCTGTGATCCATTTTCTCATTGTTGTCTTCTGTCTACAACTGTGGAAAAATAAACTAACAAATATATATACTGTTTAAAAAAAGCTCTGGATTGATATCTGTTAGATTACTTGGGAGCATGCTATAGGTCTGCCTCTGCAAATATATCTGCAAATGGCTGTGAATTTACTCTAGAAACACTAAGATTGTGAGAAGAACTCCTTAAAGTTCTTCTACTATTGATAATTCTTTTGAGATCCACTATTAGTTTTTAAAAACTTTCAGTTTGTAGAACACTGGTTCCCCTGTGTGTTACAGAGTCCAGAACAACCACATTCTGTTCAATTTCTCTTGTGCAGGAGGTCGTAACGAAGTTGTCATCACTGAAAATAACAACAGCATAACTGAGCAAATCACTGATGTGGTCAAGCAGCCTGCCTTTATAGCTGGCATTGGTGGTGCATGTTGGGTCATTCTCATGGGCTTCAGCATCTGGCTGTACTGGAGAAGAAAGAAGAGGAAGGGGCTCAGCAATTATGCTGGTAAGAGCAGTGACTTTACTGCCATCTCTGCAGGTGCTATCATAAAAAGAACCGGGGCTACTAAACCTACCTAAAAACCACATTGAACTTACAGCCAAAGCATCCTGGGTGACTTCTGTGTGCTTGTTTTAAATGTATGCTCTGGAATTGCTGGTGTATGAGAAGCTTTAAATGCATTGCTCGGTACCACATTTCATCATTATCATAAGGCAGTGTTTTTACATCTCCAGCCCATCTAGCATTAAAAAAGTACAAAGAGGATTAACTGCTCCTCTTGCCCCTCGCTCAGAAGGCACTCTATTGGCAGTGCAACATCATTTATATGTTCAAATAGGAGTTAGACTTGACCCTTACAAGGAAAGAGTTTTTTCCATCTTCTACTTCTTCATTCCTGTGCATTTCCATGTCTCTGAAGCCATGTGTATGGCAAATAAATGATTAATCAGTGACTTCATACCTGTAGCTGGAATGGTGTATTAGACAGAGAAGTGTGGTCAAAATTTACCCAAGGCAGAAGCCATAAACAGTTTTGTCTTGAAGGCAGAACATCTTGGAATGTTCTCTTTCATTAAATGTTTACTTCAGTTTTAAATTAGTTTTTGAAAACTACATTTGGAAAATTAAATACGCTTGCCAAATGAAAATATTTCCATCTATCCTCAACCTTTGGTTTGTGTGTTATTCTGTTTTCAGGATTCTTATGAATTTTTGGGAAGTCATGTGAACTGTCATAAAATGGGTTACTCTGAGGACTAATTTAACACACAAAAAAAACCCAATTCTTCAAATACTGCAGTAGGCTCTCTTGTAGTTTTTATTAATACTTAAAAAGAGAATAACATTTGCCCAGCTGAGGACTGAACATATTTAGTGTTGACATTATATCACACTAAAGTTATACAAGTGCCCTTCTATTTACAAGTTATCAAATCCAAAACCAAGGACTCAGGTTCCCTAAATGGTGAGCAACAACTTGTCAAAACCCCACAGTCACAGGCAAACTGTTCCCAGTTCAACTCAGCCATAGTCAGACTCCTCAGTGTCCTGACAGGGCTCCCTAAACCAGCAGGAAACTGTTCTGTGCTGGTTTTCAATCCTTCCTGCTGTGTTTGTTTTCTACTGGCTTAGTGAAAGAACAAGATATCAGATGAGCAGTGGAAAGAGAGGAAGGGGAGGGATCAGTGGCTTTTGGACCTCCTTGGTTTTCGTGGAACCTCACTTTGTGTCACCACATGATCTCTGTCGTTCATGGGTTGTGCTTTGTCCTACGGTGGTTTTTTTCTTTCCTTTAATAGCAGTAACTTTTATTCTCTGAGAGGTGGGGTGGTTCTAACTGAGAAACTTATATATATATATTATATATATATATATCACACACTTATTCATGTGCTGACATAAAATATCATCCTAGATCCCCAAAATTTTTCCATACTAGAGACTACTGTGCTGTTATTTCTCTTAGGAAGTAGTCCGACCTAAAGCTTTGGACCCAAGCTGAGACTAGATTTTTCATAAAAAGTGAGATTATTTGTCCTGTATGTGAGCTGGCATATTGGGGTGAGGGAGAATTGAGAGCAGTCTAAATTGAAGAGCATAGCTGTAAATAATTATAAACAACGTGTCTCATGCAACTCATTCCTTCTCATGGCATTTGCTGCACCTAAGTGTGATGTGAGCATTGATTGCATCATGAAATTGTGTGTGCTTTCAGCAAGGAAAGTGGATAACAGGTCATGCCTCAAAGTTCATCCTAATGTTTACAACTTGGAGAACAGCATGTCTGCACTGAGAGTCCTCAAATGTGACTGTCCAAATTCACTGCTCATCTTTCCAACCATCATTTCTCATTGGCTGCTGGCTGGTTGGTGCTTTAAGCTCAGCTGTTGTGTCCTGCTTATGATATTCAACCCCAACCGAGTAATTTCCAGAGGAAACTCGTGCCCTGCAATGAGCTCTCTGTCAGGGTGTGTAACTCACAATGTGTTTGCTTTCTTGTTTTGCAGTTCAGTCCTTCACCTTCACCCCTGCAGGTACTGTCCATTAGTCTGTCTCTTACCAACACATCATTTCACGCGTTAGCTATCGAATTTGTTTATGAGCATGTGAGACATGAAGAATCAAAACTACATACAAGGAGAAATACTCTGGCTGCCTATCTGTGATAAAAATGTAGCATTCATTCCTCTCCTGATTCCAGAGAAAAGTAAAATCTACCACCATTAATGTCTCTGTCGCTATAAATCTGCATACTTAACTCGTATAACTCTCTGAAATGCAGTTTTGAAAGTAATTTTCAGGACCAGATGCTTGAACTAACTTAACATAAATAAGCATTATTCATATATAACTGAATTTTGATTTTAAAGCTCAAACAATTTAGCAGACCCAAGTGGAGAACTGGAACTTTCTTCTGCTTTAGCTCTCAGTTAAGTATACCTTTGCCTTACTGTGAGGTATTCAGCAGTCTAGTCACTGATGCATACATTGACTTTACAGGGTTTTTGAAATTAAAACATTGGGTTTTTTTCTCACTACCCAGCAATTCATAGTAATAATTAATACAAACAATTAGCTTCTGCTCTCATACTTAGTCTTGAGATTTAGAAACTCAAAATTAACTGTACCTCATCATTACAGTGTTAAAGGCTGATAAATCTCATCATTCTCCAGAAGTCTGTCAAGTTTTTTGGTTGCCTTTACCAGAGCTGTCTCCTCATGCTCAGTAGCTGCTTTCTCACTTTTCCTTGTGTTCAGCCACAGCTTGTGTTCAGATTAGCAGGAAAGAGGAGATGACCAAAGGTGGGGATGTGTGCCCCAGGAGCCCATGACATTCTGAGGGAGAAATGTCCTTGTGGAAAATCTCTGGGGGCTCAGGATAGCTCCCCTAGCTTCCAGGCAGGTTTGGCCAGGTTACTGTAATCTATGGTGCAATGTATCACACCTTAAACACTTTACTGCCTTTTCTTTGAGACACAACATAGGGGCTTTTTTCCAAAATTAAATAATGCATCTTTGCATTTGGTTCCTCTGACCATGCCACTGTCAGCTGTCTTGAACTGTGGTGCATTTTCACCACAGTGTTTGTAGCACACGTTGGCATGACACAGGGTTGTGCTGGAGCCACTGGGTCTGAGCATGATTTCATGCTGTTGGTCCACATGTGCTGGGCAACTGGGATATGTCAGAGGTACTGCCAAAAATTTTCCTTTTTAAAAGCAGTTTCAACATCTTGTGGACTTTTTAGAGCTATTCTATTTCCTGGCTTTTAATAACTTTTGGAGGAATTGAGAACCAAAGTCCTCCAGTAGTCAAGTCCAAAAAGTGTTTTTTAATTTAAAAAAGTATTTTTCTTATGAGGGAACATAGTGTATGTTTCATATCTTTAGACCCAGAGTTCCATAACAAACTTTGTTAATTCTCTAATATTTTGATTTGCCCATGATAATATCATTTAGAAAGACATACCTATACTTGTGGAGGTTTGACACTCATAACTGTATGTTGTTCCCTTCAAAGTTATGATTCATAAACAGTTTGGGTTTAGATACAATTATTTAGACAGTGCTATGCAGCTTTCAGAATCTCCTCAGAGACAGCTGTCAGTGAGTTTTTACTAAAGATGAATTTATCCTAATATACTCAGATTTTAGAAGGTACACACGTTTTGTTCTGACATCTGCTTTAAATTCTTCCTTCAGAGAGTTTCAGAACATACAGATTTAACTGTGTGGTAGAGAATTGAATCTATTAGTGTAACAATCACATGCTTACTTTATTTCACACTCGGAGAAAATCCCGTTATTTCTGATGTGAATATTTTTTGTTTTCTTTTTCTTCATCTGTATTTGCCTGTGTATAGAACAGAGAAAACTAAAAATACTTGTTTAAAAGACCAAATCCATGCTGTTTTATAATTACTTGCTAAAAATGTTCTTTTGGGTCATTTGCAGATTATGGGTCATTCACTAGGACCACTTGTTATTTGTATTCCATTAGGCTCCCAAGATGTACAGTTTCTGCTTTGTGACTAAACCACTGTAACGTGGGGGAGAAAACAGCAAATGTCAGGCAGTTTGTAATGATTTGTGTCAGGGAAGAGTAACTGACTGAGTTAAATACTTTTAGCTTTCTGTCTTTGTGAACATTTTCATAAGGCCTGATCAATGGCTCAGATGGTCACAAATAAAGTGACATTGATAATCACAGCTAAATCTATTCAGTTATTATCAGTTGAACTGACTCCAGCAGATGCTGAGCCACAATTCTGTATGTCATTGCTCTTCCACTTCCCTTTCCACCATGACTCACCAGGCCTTGAGTCTCAGTAATATCATATATATTAATAAGATATATAATAAGATATAATTATATATAAATACAAACCATAAAATTTAGCTAATATGTTTGTTAGATTACAGTTGGTAAGTAGTAGTGTCATCATCTGCAGCTGTACAAGGACTATGCATTTTTGTGACCATGACATACTCTCAGCAAAACCAAATCTGGCACAGGGACACTAAACACAGCTGTTGTCCCTTTTCAACCATCTCTCCTCTAATATACAGGATGGATTGGTCTCACTTTTGTGAGTTTGTGTGGAAGCTGAAGTACTGCTGCACTGTTTGATTGGAGGACTTTTTGATTGTTTTGGTTGGTTGGTTTGGGGTTTTTTTGTATTTTTGATTTTTGGTTTGGTTTGGCTTGGGTTTTTTTGGCTTGGTGATGGGGTTTTTTTTGTACTCTTGGGCTTACCCTTTACTGAGATTGTCTGGATATAAACATGCACCATAGGCTTCATACAAAGATAGAGGGCACAGAAGAGATATCTGACCACTTATTGTATAGCAGATAGATTATTTCAATATTGAATTGCAGTAACAGAACAGAATCAATTTATTTTATACTGAAAGTTGCAATTATTTTTTCAGATTTCTGTGAAAAGGCATGGAAACCATTTGTAGGGAAAGAAAAGTTTATCTGTTTATCTTTCCTGTGGCCTCAAACTTGTTGTGCCAGTACCCACTTGCCAGAATATTCAGGTGTTTTCAAGTGTCTACACCATCAGTCATGCAAAAAAAGTAAATATGTATTTTAACTTATGAGTAGGTTAAGCTTATTTAGTGACTAGTGCTCCTTGGGATTATAAAGATTTTATGAAACCCAGTAAACAGAAAACAAATTAAAAATAGATAGAGAATAATGGAACATTACACATTTTATGTTCAACTTCTGAAACTGTTAAATGAGGATAAACTATGTGACAGAATCATCCAAAGGTAGACAGAAGATTTGATGGAATTTTTATGTGCTGATTATCTGTTCTGAGTTAATGCTTATTAAAAGAGGATTAATCTACATTCATATTTGAGGAACAGCTTATCAGTAAAAGGAATGAGACTTGGCTGGCAACATTAAAGTTTTCATTTGCAGTAGGAAAATGTGGCCTACTAGAGATAGGCATACAGAAATCTTTCTAAAGCTTTCTAAAGCTTCCTTGCCTCAGAATGTCGACTTACTATACATTCATATTTTTCCAGTTCTAGCAGGCATGAAGATTAAGTTTAACCTTGTCAGATAATATTAGTAAATGGTTTTGGTACCTCCTTATATATTTAATAAAAAGCATGTGAAAAGCTCCTTAAAATATGCTGGTTTTCATACAAATATACACAATATAATTTCCTGAAATATTTATGCATTTAAAATGCACTTTGGATTATATTTCTGCATTTTTGCAGTCCTTGAAGTATAAGCTGGTGGGGATTCCTTCAAAATCTCTCTATGCAGAGGTTATTTTTTCATCTTCTTTTGAAAACCAATCTCATCCCTGCAGGTCTTCAGCCTTTCTAAGAACATGTATCAGATGCAAAGACTGCTGAAAGAGCTTTTTTGCTTCCTTGGTGATAAAAAGCAAGGAAGATGGGTGGGTCAGTGATACGGACATCCTTCCCTTCCTCCTCTTATATTGCCCCTTGAAATTGCTCTGCTGCTTTTTGAAGTGGAGACAGGATGAATAAAGCCAGCTGTCTGTGTGTTTTATTTTTACAGTGACATCTACAAGCTTGGATTGCATTAAGTATGCTCCCATTCAGGCGTTTAGACTTGTTTTGTAATTGCAGAAATCAAACTGCAGGGAAAAACGCTGACAAAATGTATGGCAGGAATGATAAACATAGTGCTTTTTTTGGCAGCCTGACCATATCTTCTGTTGTTAACTGTCTTGCCTTTCACAACATTAAAGCTGAAAGAAAGGCACCTTCTCTCTCCAGCCTCAGGTAGCCAATTTGTGGATGGCATCAGGAATATGGGGAGTTTTTGCAGCATCCCAGTGACATGGCCACACTTCAAGAGGAATTTTGGCGAGCTCAGTTGATATTCCAAAGCCTTTTACACAAACACATTAAATAAATAAAATGCTTTCTGGTTTATTTTCTCATTGAGACTATAACCATGCATACTTTTGTGTACAGGGTGAAGGGTAAACAAAAAAAACCTGTTTTCCTTCCTAGCTCCATGAAAATCACATAAACTAGACTCAGTCTTCCCTAGGAAAAACAATGTCACTGTAAGCTGAACCTTTCTTCTTAAGGTGATGTGTATATTGGGAGGGTGTAAGATGATTTAACACAGGAAATAAAATAAACCAAAACAGGAAACAGTTCCTACCATGAAGAAACATGGAAGAAAAAGGAGCAAATTCTGTGATCCTTGTTTTTTTTTACTATCTCCTATGCCTCAGCCAACCTGCAGCAATTATGGCTCTAGTAAAGAGGTTTCTTCTTGATGGAGTTCTCATGGCATGCCTGGGACTTTTTCCATACCTGCCTACACAGAAAATAAAATGTGTCATAAAATGTGAAATCTCCTGCTAGCTACTTGATTTTATAAAGCAAATAAGGGATATAAATATTTTGTAGACCACAAATATTGTTGGGTTGTTTGTTTTTTTTTTCCCTTTGTGTGACATGAACATTTAAAAGCTCACACACCTGTACATGCTATACAAATGGCAACAAAATTACCTCAAAATAATTTCTAGTAGATGACAATCTAAACAAGAGCATTAATCCAAGCAGTTTTCAGAAAATGTTTTACTGCAATTTCCTTAGATCTGTAAACCTTATTTATAAAGGTTCTTATCAAACAAGCCTTTGTTTCTCGTTTTCTTTATTTCTTGTCACTTTGACAAATGCAGAAAGTTGAAGAAATCAAGTACTAAATTTGGAGGAGATGAGGAGAAAGGAAACAGCATCTAATGTTCCAAGATACTTGGAAACAAAACCAGGCAGTACCCACAGTTTTGTGTAATCACGTATGATATGCACAGCACTTCTGATAATTCACTTTTAAGCAGCGAGTGGTAGTCATTTGACAGCCTGTTAGATACCACGTGAATGAAAGTAGCATTTCCTCTAAAATTAATTATCCACAATGTTTTACCATGTCTTGTTTTTCAAAGGAGACCTTTATTTAGTACTTTCCATACTTGCATTTTGATTTTCTTTTCATTAATTGGTTTGATTACACCCTTTCAAAATTCAGCTATTAACCATTTTGATGTGACATATGACTGCAGTGATTTTCTGATATTGGTATTAGTCTGCTGTGCAGTGAAGGGTAATTAATCACCCTACTATTCTTCCAGCAGAGCTTCCAGAGGGGCCAGCTTTGTCCCCTTTGCTGAATCTACACTGTGAAATTAATAGGAGTTAATAAAGTAACAAGGATTCTATAAGGTATCAGAAGAGTTGTACCAGTGGCTTTATGTCATTGATTATTTTTTTTAATGAATACAGAATTTCTATTGGCTGTAGTGATTTTGTCTGATTAGAATAGTGTATAATAGAACATCTAATCCTGACTTAGTGTAGTTTGGACTAATACTTGGAAAATCTTGCAAATACTCTGGGAGCTATAATTTAATGATAGGAGCTGCCTTATCTATGCCTGACAATAAATAATGGGATATTGCCGCTGAGAACCAGAGTGGTCTGTTGGCCTTGATTCAAAATATTTTTTCAGTGTTTCTGAAAAGATCATCAAATGTTGTCAATTAGCATCTCACCAGTAATGTGGTTTTACCTATATTGCCCTGAAATGTAATCCTGTTAATGAGATGGATAAGGGAGAAGCTGATTTTTGTCAAACACCCATGAATGGAGACATAAAAACAATTGTCTCCCTCTGATTATGTCCATGGATGTATCCATCCATCCCCCATGGATGGAAGACTGGAAACACTTTTTCTTCTGGGTGACACTGGCATGTATGCATTTATGTATGCATAATAGTTCTTAAACTGTACATCTAATGGAAGAGGTGCAGCTGGATGTTTTTTCCATCCCTTCAGCTGTAATAGAGCTGCCACCTCTTTGTGTTTGTCCTGGGAAATGACATATCTGTGTGGTGACATTATATTACTGCATTACGACATGATGTCACTAACTCACTGGTGCAATGTCATTATGTACTGAAGCGGAAGCATGCCAAGAAAACAATTTCATCACATGGCTCAGACTTGCAATGCAAAGTCATATGAAGGGGCCTGTGGTGAATTCAGGCCTTTTGCCCAGGTGGCTGCTTTGCCTTGCAAGGTGCAGAGCAATCAGTAACGTGGTGTCAATCAGTAATGTGCAGTGAAATCCTAAATGAACTGTATCCCCGATGTGTTTGAGCCTCTTCTTGTCATTTCTCTACTTTATTATGGGGTGATGCCAAGAGACCTCCAACCTCAGACACCGAGCACTTTGAATTGTTACTTTTAATTATTACTAATTGATTTTTTCCTGTCTTATATGTGTGTGCCTGTGTGTGTACGTTTGTTTGTTTTGTTCTTTCCAACCAAAACACAGTCACCTTCCAAAGAGGAGATGGAGGACTAATGAGCAATGGAAGGTATGTTTCTTTGTATAAAGGTCTCTCCACTGTTTTTATTTTTAAAATAAGGGATCTGAAAAAATTCTATAGGTGATGCACTCGGGTTATGTCCCATCATTGGGAAGACTGATAGCGCTAGGAGGAGTTAAGTAGCTTACCACAAGGTTTAATGACCTATCTGTTGTGCACTTTGGAAGAATCAAGCCCAGATGTTTCATATCTCCCAGATGTCCTGGAAGAAATGAGTAGTAAATATCACAAAGAATGTGTTCATTTGTTACTGGGATGTTTATTGCATTAATTAGACATTAGCAAATGAAGTTGCTGTTGTTTAAGACTCCTTATTGGCTCTCCCTAAATTGCTGTGAGTGAACAATTACACTTAATCGATCACAAAATAAATGATTCATGGATGATGAATAGGCTGTAGATTGATAGGACTGGATTCCACAACTTTGGCTACTCAATTGAAATTGATAAAAGCTGATAACGGGCCCATATATCCTCATCTATTTTCCCTTTGCCAATATGGAGATTGTAATTAGGCCCTGGTAATAACTTCCAATCTCCTGTTTAATCAATATTTTAGCAAAAAGAGATTAGGCCTAATGAGAGCGAGTAGATGTGGCAAGAATGCGGCTGGGTCGTCTTATTGCCGTTTCCATAGAAACCGATGTTTCTCTTAGGGATTGTTCCAGGCAGGGGTCTATAATGTTCAATGATCGGAGATGTTGCTCCAACTTCACGAGTGCTTTAATAAGCCAGGAAAACTGCAGAACTGCGGATGGCTTTTTGTTTTCGCTGGGGAGAAAAGGGTGTCTGCAACAAATGATTTGTTTCCTCTGCTGAACACAAATACAAACAATCCACCTGCCTTACTAAATTTCTGTTTATCCTGGGGTGAGAGGGACGTGGTGCCTTATGGCCCGAGTGTGCCTTCTCTTTCACCATGCTCCCTGTTTAAGACTGCTCTCACAGCTGGGAATTACAGGGATATAAAAGCCATGCAGTAGTGGCACACAGCGATAGCTGTGGACTTTCCATTAATCCTCCTCAAACCTGTTTGCCTCTAAACCATCCAAGAGTGCTCAAAGAAAGAGTTACCAGCCTGTAGATGACAGGCATGCATTTGGGATGCAAGGGAAGGAAGAAATAGTAGCCCAAAGTCCTGGAAATGGCTGATAGGGAGCAATCAGTTTGAGTGATGGCTCCCTTGAGGTGGTAATTTATCATTCAGCCCTGGCGTAGGATCCCGTGATGGTGCTGCCTAACTCCTGTTTCACACAGACAACGGAGTTCATTTGGATTCTGGCAGAGTCACCATGGATGCCTAGTCCCACTTCTACTGACAAAGTTGATTTCTATATAACCTTAATTAACTGTTCAAGGTCTTTAAATCATCGAAGGCTCTACAATTGTAATTTGAAAGAAATTAAAGGCTCCTAAACTGTTAGCTACCTATGGTGTTAGAAGAACAGTAATATGCCCTCTTCCCTCACTACTTATATATATATATATATATTTGTGTGTATATCTCTTTCTCTTATTCTGCTTCAGTCGACCAGGTCTGTTGAATGCCAGTGACCCCAGTTATCCTTGGCTTGCAGACTCTTGGCCTGCCACAAGTCTGCCAGTGAATAACAGCACTAGTGGACCCAATGATCTTGGGAATTTTGGTCGTGGAGGTAGGTTTCCTTTTATTAAGCCACCCAATATTATAAACTAGGCTTCCATTAGTTAACATCTATGATGAATACTGTATTATATTTTTATGATTATAGTTCCTTCTATGTGTTTCTTTCTTTCTAGATTGGATTGAAAATTGACTTCAAAATGTTCCTTTGCTTTATCTCTTCTTCTTTAAAATGTGGGTCTAGTTTGTAATTTGCCCTGCAGTGGTGAGACAGGGTCTGCTTATGATATCAAGAGAAATGTATTTGTGTCTCAACCTCATTCCCTTTTGTGTGGAGATGAGCAATGTGCCATGCAGGGCAGTATAGCCAGGGATGGAGGATGTCCATAAGAGCAGAGAGCTCTGCAGATGCAGGAAAGATGTTCCTTCAGCAGAAGACCACAGGAACTTTGTTGCTGTCATTTTACCCCTCCTCTTCCTGCTGAGGGCCTGCTCTCAATCTCAGCCATAATCTGTAAAGAAAGCCTCAAAGGTCTTAAGAAATTTTCTTTTTCATTGGAGGAAACAATACATAAAAGGGAATTATTTAGATCTTTCAGGGGTTTGTTTACATTTTGATTTGAGAGAGCACCTTTGAGGGAATGAGGTAAAGATGTATTGTTACAATGATGAATCTTTAGAGGGGTTATTTCCTTCCAAACATTTAATTCAAATGGGAATTTTAAGATGTAGGACTGAGATTTTTAAATAGTAATAGTCACATAACCCTGTTACTTCCTTGGTACACAGGTAATTCTGCATGCTGGTCAGGAGAAGACTTCCTCACATAAATGAGTATATAAATGTTTTTAAGACATAAACAGATAAACAAAAATGAAGACAACCTATACATCAAAAATGCATTAAAATGCAAGAAAAATCTATAAAACCATCAAACTGATAAATACAAAAAGAATTCAGTGTTGGACTGTACCAGAATCTGCTTCTGAAGACCATCCCTCATACTGGTTGTACATTCCCATGAAAAGCCTCTTGCCTGTGGTTTGACTACTGTGACTTAAAATTACAACAAAACACACTAGATTTATATCCTGTATAAAAATGTTATAAAGTTCTTGTCAAAAATATTTAAAAGTAAGCAAAACTTTTGATAATATTTACAAGGCAACTGAATTTCTGCCAGCTTCTTTGTTATGAATATATTGCAAATAAAACCCTTCAGTACATTTCCATCTTTTCTTAAGCCCACATAATACAGAAAAATTACCATTTTCTGTTAGCATATGGCTCTACACGACTAGAACTGGAAGCATTTTTCAAAAATTTTTGGCCTCAATATGCATGAGGCATAGGTCCAAATTCATGCAAAAGAGAGAGAAAAGTTACATTTTGAAATTCAGCAGCTTAATTCCCCTCATGATCTTTACAGTTGAGCTAAAACTTTTATGCTGGGTGGTTTTGGATCACTTATCCCAATCTTTTTCAGAAGCTGAGATCAGATGATTCTGCATTAAAGATGGATTAGAAGTATTTTAACATGTAGACATGGAATATTAACTATAAACACAGAACTTGGGCCTCTTTCACTGGTTAAAAGGTCTGTGATAATATAAAAGTTCTGTAAGAATTTTAAAAGGAATGGGGTGGCATCAGCCACCCTGGAAACTCAGAAGCTGAGGCAGGCAGTCCTAAAATTTCCATTGAGAGTGAGATCCACTGTCCTAGATAGGCATTTGAGAGCAAAGCTGTGAGTGGGAAGCAGAGGTCAAGCTTGGAGTCATGTAAGGCCACAAAATAGTATTGCTTCTCCAAGGCAGCAAGAAAGAGCTTCCCTGCTGAAGTATTTCAGCACTATTTCATTTATCTCAAGAGTTACAAACAAAAGTTGGATTTTGGAGAGTTTTGGGGAAAGTTTCCAGTAGGAAATGCATCTTCATCTTTGGTCTGAAATGTACAATGTGGTGGTTTTGCTATGACAACTTGCTGGGAAAATCACACTTGACTTCTACTGCATGACTATGGCACTTTGTAAAATCTCCACTTAATAGCTCTTTGAGTGCTTAAATATATGCATCTCACTGAGGTCAAAAAAGTAATCTGTGCTTGTACTGAAAATTCCCAGAATGTCTGGAGAACCTCAGCTTATCAGTAAGAATGACTGAAAGTGCTTTGCTTGGCTGGTGGGCAGCTATGCAACTTCCCTTTCAAGTGTGTGCACATGAATAGTTCTCCATTTTAATCTGACTGTATGGAGATGATACCTCTTCAGTTGCCAGAAATATGTTCTAAAAGACAGATGTATGTCTGAGTGCTTCAGAGATGAGCATTTTGCTAGTTTTTACTTCCTTGAGTCTTCAAATCCAACACAGACAGGTTGAGCTGGATTTGCTTCACTTTATACATCAACAACAGAATTTATTTACTAAACTCCAAGCCATTATACTTCGACGGAACGGATTGTGGGAAGGAGAAATGTTCGTATTGTGGATGAAATGCAAGAAAGATAGGGCTGCACTTGTCTCTCACATCTCATGCTGTATTTGCACATAGATGCATTTTTGTTTGTGTACTGCCCCTGGAAAGTACATTGCATATGTGCAGATAGTAACAACATGATTTTGAAATATGGGCTGTAGTTTGCATTAACTGTAATTTTTTTGCACTTGCAATTTATCTGCAGATTTGAGTTAATACAATTAAGATCTTTTAAATACTTGATTGTGCCCGTTTCCCTGTTGTATGCAAAACCAGATCATGCTGATAGACCCAAATTTAATCTCTCTTTCTGCAGTGTCTCTGCTGAGCATTTGCTATTGCTATATTTATTGTTAATATTATGTTGCTGCCCTGAGACTGAAGATGTTATTAGGGCCCATGTTGAAATGCTCACCGTAGCACACCTGACTGCAAAAGAAAATAGTTCTGTGATCTAAATGTTCATCCCAGGGAAAAAAAAAACAAAAACCACAAAACTAAACCACATAAAAACCAACAAAAGCAAACAAAAAATACTAAAGCAGTGTGAGGAGACCATGGTGTTACATCTCATTGCTGGATAAGTCTTTGAGACAGTGAGAGAAAAAAATATATTCCCTGAGGTTGTACAAAAACCCACATCTGAGTTTGGAACTGAACTTAAACCCTTGACTAGGTGCAAGAATCATCTTTTCTTTCTGGGGTTTAAGGTACATAAAAATGGCTGTGATCCCTAGAATGGCATCTGAATGTCCTCACTATAGGAGCATGCATTATCTCAAGTATTATCTAACAGTTGGAACCTGTATCTGCCATCTGGCTGTAGAAAGAAAATGGCATATAAATTAGGGATTTTTCTGAAGAAGTGCATTCTGGAATTGATTCAACTTTTCAGAGTCTAAATAAATTGTAAAAATAGTACCATTTGATATATTGACCTCTGAGAGAGCAGGAAGGAGAGTTATCTGCTGAGCTGCCGTTCTCCTTGAGACATCATGTCAGTCATCATTAGTTTCTTCACACTTCACTAGTCTCAGTTTCTAGATCTAGTATTCCACCACCAAAGGTCGCTTCAGTGTTTAGTAAGGAGAGAGACTGCCAATCTAACTGATTAAAGATACAAATTGCAGTGTGGGATAAGAGTCAAAATATGGAGAAAATTCAGCAGATATTTAGTTAAATATGCTGTAATGATTTTCAGGTAAATGTACTAGAGGTTTTGAACAAGTTGTTCTGCATTATCAACATCGCTTCACCATTTTGAGGGACTGATCACCTAAATCCCTTCAGAATATTGGATTTTCTTTCACGTATCAGGAACAACTTTTTTTTTTTCAGGTTTCTCTTTTGTTGAAAAGAAGAAATGTACTGGGTAATGTCAAAAGGAAAATTAGATAAGCTGATGCAAAAAGCTTTAAGGAAATCAGGGTGATACCCTTAAAAAATTATTTTGAGAGTTTTTCTACATACTTGTTGGTCAGGTTCCCTCTGTGATTTATAAATTCCCTCCTTTCATCATTTCCGTGAAGCCCAGACAGTTTCATTGGTTCTGACACAGAGTGAACAATTGAAAACATTCTTCAGTCGAGAAATATTCCAAACTTCACTTTCACAGTTGAAGGTACGAGTAAAAAAAAAAAAAAGAAAAGATGGTTTTAGGCAGTGAGACGTGAAGGACAAGCGGTAGGCCTGTCACAGCTGCTGATAGCTTGGTGATGGTTGTACATCATCTTCCCTTCGTTGGCTCATGGACCTGTCTCCGCCGAAATGCAAACGTGCGAAATGACACGTTTATTTCTCAGCTTAAACCTTGGTACTTCCAGGCTTCCTGTGCATCAATGATTTGTTTCATTCCACAGATGTGCTGCCACCGGTGCCAGGGCAAGGAGATAAAACTGCTACCATGCTTTCTGATGGGGCCATTTACAGCAGCATCGACTTCACCACCAAAACCAGCTACAACAGCTCCAGCCAAATAACGCAGGCTACGCCATATGCCACCACCCAGATCCTGCATTCCAACAGCATCCACGAGCTGGCTGTCGATTTACCAGATCCGCAGTGGAAAAGCTCAATTCAGCAAAAAAATGACCTCATGGGATTTGGTTACTCTCTCCCAGACCAAGGCAAAGGCAACAATGGTAATTACAGCTCTTATTTTCCAGAGCCCTTGGCTTTGTGTACTGTATCATCTGTGCATGAATTAGAAAATTCGTTTTAGCTCTGTGAGACACTGTTCATGTTGACCTGAACTAATGCTTGTGCACTATGCATGCATGCTGAGCCTCACCTGATCACAAAATACATTGCACTGTGCTTTTAATCCTCTTTGTCCTGTGCTAATCACCAAGCCACCTGCCTTCCATTAGGCTAGGGTAGGTGTACACCATTTTAAAGGCGTACCTTTAAAAATTACCAAGTTAAAACCTGCCACCCCATCTGCCCCTGACTTGCTAACTGCATGTGTCGCCTGTGCTTGTGCTGTCGACTAATCCCACGATGCCACTGTGACCTCTGCCGTTTAACCCTTAGCCTTGCTTTACATCCCTGACTACCGGGTGGCTGAGGGACTGGCTAATAGATTGCCACACAACCAGTCACAGGATTTCAGCACCACCAGCTCCCACAACAGCTCCGAAAGGAGTGGCAGCCTCTCAGGTTGGTTCCATCGCCGTGCGCAGGGGAGCGAGGGACGGAGGGGTGTTAGCGAGCAGCTCGCCAGGGAGGCAGAAGAGCTCCCAGGCACCAGTTGAGGATAACCATGAGAGCTCCTGCCCATCAGCAAACAATGCCACATGGGACTCTACTGAAACAAAAAAGCCTTTGGCAGCACCTGCTTGGAGATAACTAGAGAGTCCTTCCAAGTGGCGCTTGTCGGCTCAGCTGCCAGCCTCGCCTTGTCACATCCTTTCCCTGACACCATCTATGGAGCAAATTTATTTCTGTATCCATCCTCAGTTTATAGGTCTCCCCACACTGATCTTCATGAGGAGATTATTATTTTGTTAGTTGTTAACAGGTCCCCCACTCCCACGAGCTGTTTCTAAATGCTGTTCCTCAGTGAAGCAGCTTGCAAACAGTTGTAGGGCCCTGAAAGGTGACTGGGGTTTCAACAAATTGTGCCAAGCCTGCATAAAAACAGGATGTAAATTTTATGTGTGTGCTGCATGTTCTATTGGAAACATGATGCATTTTCATCAGATGAAAATGATCATAGTACATGTGGTTGTGTATTATATCTGAACACACCTTTTTTCTTGATTTCTTTAATTTTGCTTACTTGTTGCTTATGTCATGTATAGCTGTCTATTTTTTTTTCTTGTCAAGACAAAAACTGAAAAGGCAGGAATTAAGATGAAAATCTGCGATTTCACCTAGCTAAAGTATGAGAGCAGTGAAAGGACTTACTTTTGATATTCAGAATATAGCCACAGCCTTTTGAATTTCCACTTTAAGATGGAGCTGCCCTACCAGTAACAGACCAAACCTAGAAATGGCTTCTTTATGTCAATTTAAATGACTATTCAAACTGAATCCTGAGATAAGAAGCCTATAATCATTGGCCCATGATTCAAATAGCCAAATGTGTTTGCAAGTCTTGTGTTCTCAAGGGGGAGCATTAGCTGATTTGACTGAGACCCATAGGCTTATGGCATTGTCAGAGAGGTATCTGGAAGCTGAGTTCATGAAGTACTTCAAGAAAGCCTCTTGCTCCTTGCATGTGAGATATATTGACAAGTAGCTTAGGAAATCAGCTTGCTCCCCAGGCTGCAAGAAAATGCAAAAATTGATGTGCTGAGGTACATATATGTCAGGTATCAGAGGGCTGTATCACACTTTAGATATGTTGACAGCTAAGGCTGCCTAAGAATTTTCTCAGAAAATAAAAAGTGTCACTAGAAAATGCCCATTGATCGAAGGCTGGACTTGGATCAAATGTTTCAAATGCAGCATATTCTGTGTAGTGTTTCTCAGTCAGAATCTTCTGATGACACTAGGAAACTTTGGGTCTTTCTATGGCCAGGGCACTCTTGTGACCAAGGCAGCTCACAACTGGATGCCCCTGTGCTCAGATGAGTGTCAGATTATTGGACAGGAGAGTCAGTATTTTGCTCTCCCTTGCCCACTAATTATGCCTTTGATACAGGATAATTATGTCTGTAATACATGAGAAACTGGGGGAGACCTTCAAATAGTCTGATAATTAGAGCATCACTGGAGTCAGAGACCAGCTTTGATTATGGAGTCCCCATCAGGGTGAGCAGGGATTTGTTCTCTCACTTCCTTGGTTAGTACTTTAAGTACTACTTATTATTCTGACTAAGTTTCTGTCTCTCTTACATGAATATCATGAGAATTCCTATCCCACTGTGGAATGGAAAATAGCTAAAACCTCAACTGCTTTATGAGGCAGAGAAATTTTGTAGCTATAGTTTGCACAGATTATGTCTGTACTAGGATCAGCAGCCCAATTGGCAAATTCTTCAGCACCCTATTCACCTAGAGATTTAAACAATATAATTGAATTTCAGTGTGAGGAGACATTGAAGCATCAAGCATGGTTGCCATGGGGAAACAAGGCTTTGGTGCATCAGTTTCCAAACACTAATCAGGCTTTATGTGTTCAGTGTCTGTCCCACCAGTCTGACAGTGGAGTACCTGCCCAAGGTACAGAAATCTCCTGCCCAGCTGTGCAGTGTAGGCTGCTCTCCCTACCAGCAATGACCTTGGAGTTCTCTTTTTTCATTTCCTCATTTAACAAGTCCCTTTTCTCTCTGCTTCACTCCTTCTAATATCTCCATTATCTCTAATTTCTCTCCTTGAAACTTGAAACTCCCAAAATTCAAGTGACTCCCATACTAGCACTCCACACATCCAACCTACATTTTACCAGTCTACTAAGATTACCAAGATGCTACACTTCCAAACTCTTCCTCTCCAACTAATCTGTAAGATGAAGTTCTTTGCATTTCCCTTCTCTGTGTATCCCTTGTTTAAATCCTCCTGCAACATGAATACACATGCATGTGCTTTTCTCCTAAAGTAGCCCCTCCTGCTTTAGCTCTTGTTGGCTCCTACTGCTGACTTAAAAAATTTCCTCATGTCCCACAATTAAAATTAACCTATTTCCTTTGCACTGTTCAGTGACCCTATTTTTAACTCCACTTTTTTTGCCTTAGCTGTGCTTTGAGAGTTTCATTTTTCCTCCAGAAGGTTCATGGATTTGCTCCCCTATCTCCACTGTCACTGAAGTTTCTTTTCACTGGTCAAAATGTTCTTTCACTTTTCAAGAAAGCTGCCCTCTCTGCGAGGCTACAAATGGAAGGAAGAGCCTGTTTTCCATCCTAATAGAAGTAATACCAGCTCAGTTCACACATAGTGAATGACAGGATCTTGGCTGGACTTACTGTAAATGCTCCAAAACCAGGAAGGAAGAGCCCTGGTCTGGAACTGAGTAGTGGAAAGCAAAGTCTCACTTGCAGTGTGCTGCCCGCCAGGTCGATTAGAGACATTGCTGGGCTTGTTGCCTGTCTCTAGCAGGCACATCAGGAGGTGAAAAGAGAAGTCTTGGCTACCTCTGAGTTACAGAATCAGCTTTTTCTTCCCTCTCTATTTGTTCCTGCCTTCATCTAGCTGACGTTTGGAGGTAACAGAAGAAAGCCACCATCTCACAGACCGAAAGTCCCATGATAGGGGCTTGTCTCTATTGCTAGAATTGCATCTCCTTCTGTGCTTCTTTGTGCCTAAAGTTAGAGCCATGACAAAGAGGGTGGTGCCTGCCAGTGCACATGATGCCACCCTCCTTGACCAGTCAGTTGTGGCTTTCTTTATCCACTGATTCATCTTTACATGAGGGTTTTTTGGCTGATTCTTATAAATCATCAAGAGATATCAGTGGGTGAGATGGATTAGACTGTGCTTTCTGCAGCAGGCCAGGGATGGGTGAGAGCAGCTGGGTACCCCACTGAAAAGGCACCTGACAAACAAACCATTCCTCCCCCCAACAAAGAGTTTGAAAGCCACAACGAAACCTCAAAAAATAGATGGGTCCCCAAGCAGTCAAGGGATGCAAAATGTTCCATTCTTCCTCTTAATGAACTTCGGACAAGAAAAAGAAGTTAGGGCAAAATAAAAGAAGCAAAGCAAGTGAGATGAGAGCTTTCTCTGTAAGATCACTTTCCCACTGATGGAAGTGTCTCATCTGGAGAAGTAGATGCAAGGACAATAAGAGAAGAGCAGAGGGTTTAACCAAAGTGCATTTCTCACTTCATTTCTACTTCATCCATTAGAGCTGTACGTCAGAAATAGAACCTCTTCTCTATAGTGGCTCAAGATATTTGAATCCTGTGAAACAGTCAGTCCTAAAATGTTCCACATGGCATCCCACCCTTTTAAAAAAACAGAAATTAGGCAATTCCTATCAACAAACTCCTGTTTCTTTTGTTTTGACAATTTATTCTTGTCTTGAATGTTCCTGACTCCAATGACAACTTTTTGGGATGGTGTCCTTAACCTCTGTAGTTTTCTACAGAAAGTGATTATGCAAAACTGCTATAATCACACTGGATTCTGACATTTGAAATAATTTGCTATGTTGTGTTATAATTTTATCTAAGAGTGAATTCAAGAGGATATAAACTGCACATGAATAAATCAGGAAATATATCTCTTATACAGGAAAACCTGTCTTTCTTTGTTTCTGCACTACTGTGGTGCAAGTGTACAGAGGTTTAAAATGAAGTGATTTTCAGTAAATATTTGGAATATTTTCCCATTCCATTCTATTATTACTTGTGACAGCATTAGCAATTTGATGCTGATTCTGCTGAGATATAAATACGTCTTCTTTTTCGGGGCATGTGTTCTGGAATCAGAATTCTGTCAAAGAAATGTAAATAGCTGGCTTTTTTTCCCACTTTATAGCTCTAACATTTTCTTTTTCTTTTTTGAATTTGCAGGTGGCAAAGGAGGGAAAAAGAAGAAAAACAAAAATACTGCCAAGCCCCAGAAAAATAATGGTTCAGCCTGGGCCAGTGTTCCCCTCCCACCCCCTCCTGTGCAGCCACTTCCAGGCACGGAGCTGGAGCACTATGGGGTGGACCAGCAAGAAGCAGGGTAAATTTTTTTTTTTTTCTTTTCCTTTTGAAGAAAAACCTGTGATTTGCAGAAATGAGTCCTTTTCTATATATTTTTTTTTTATTATTTTGCTAAATGACAATATTATTCTGTTTTGTCTAAAAAAAAAAAAAAAAAAAGAGAGAGAACACCTTATCCTGTAGACTTATTCAAGGCTGTGAAGGAGGAATGTTTGAATAGCTCCCCTGGATAGTGACTGAAGATGGAAACAAAAGTGACCTTGCTTCATCATCACGTAGGGCTTCAGTGCTTTCTCATGCTGAGAAGTACCTCACTTCACAGGTAGCTTAATTGAATTCTGGGATTGCATGCAGCTGATGGGACTCAGAGTGAGTAAGGATGACATAATCTGGCTCTCTGTATTTTTTCACTGCTGTGATGTTTAAAAAATATTAGAGCCAACAGAACAAAAAAAAAAACAAAACAAACAACAAAACACCAAATTGGATTAATTTTTGAAGATCAACCAATGGATAATAATCTTCTCGTCGGCTTTTAGAAGAAATTTCACAGCTGAGGAAGGCATGCTAATTATAGGCTTTTTTTTTATTATTATTATTATTATTATTCAAACAACTTTCAAGTTTCTGAAAGCTTCCACATAATTTTGCATAGCTCAAACTTGTTTTCAAGGACACAAAATCACACAAGAAGTGCTAAGTGAGATGAAAGAGACATTTCTTATGCAGACAACAATTATGAAATGCTTTTTATAAAGTGTAATTGTGTGATATACCAGGTTATCAAACTGGAGGTAAATCAGAGTATATAAAAACATAGTTTACTGTGGGTAGCTCTATTGGAGCCTTTGAGAATAATTGTTCTGTCAGAGACAAATTTCTGTCTGTTTCAATACATGGATTAATCAATATTTCCTACAGATGAAACATTTTTAAGAATACATTGTAATAGCTTTACCGAATAAAAATATTTCAAGTGTTATCTCAATTGTAAGTGTGAATTGATCATTACTACTTTCATAATTAAAGTTAGAAAAATCCCATATTGTTTTGGTTTATAACAACTCCTTTAACTCTTAAAATGAGCAATAAATGACTGTTAGTCAGTGAAGTTCTTTTTTAAAATTAAGGCCCATTCAGGCTGTATATAGACTTAGAATTTCAAAGTAATGGAAAATGAATAACCTTACTGATTGTGAGTGCTGTTTAAATCTCAAGGCAAAAATTTCATATAATCATTGTCTTCTGTATTCTGTTATAAGAGGCTAAAATAAATTTTACATTGTTTCACCGTATAATAATTTTGTCTTTATCGGTTTATATCCTTAAAGCACATGTGCAGCCATTTCACTAAAACAATTATGCAGTAGAAGTCAAACCACTTGGATTTTCTTCAGAGCAAGGAAATAGCATTAAAGATAAATGGAAATACCTTATAGAGAAATCCTTTGTGACACAGGGCTTGACTTCTCAGTTGCATAAAGCATCTGTAATTTAGCTGGAAGGAATGATGTTGGTCACCGAGACAGCATTGGTTATTTAAGGAGAAGGTAATCACCAGCCTCCAGGTTCACAACCATTCAGACTTAGTTTTTCCTCTGATTATGTTTTGAATTATTCGTCTCTGTTTTTTATAATGTCTCAATAATGGTGGTAGCAAGACCTTGTAACAGGCATTTTGCCAAACACAGAAAAAATCTGAAGGCTGGACTTAGAGTCTTAGTCTGGAGCTACAGTAATTTGCAACCACTTTTGATGAAGACTGAATCTGCAATGCCCATACTTCCTCAGGAGGCTTCAGTACTAATGGTCCTTTTGTATTTAGGAGTTGATCTTGTTTCTGTGGTTTTCAACATGCTAAAAGGGAAAGAATCATAGACTGCATTCCTTATGTTGCCTTTAACATGGACATACTGGGTTAAAAAACCCCATATTTTTTAAACTCTTTTTTTTCTTCTTGGTTTTTTTTGATTTACTTTATCTATGACAAGTTCAAAGTGTTTTTATTTTAGAATTAGTTTCACGCAGATGTAATTATATTTTGAATTACAACTGAAAAATGAACTTCCAGAAAAACCAAGCACTTTAATGAAATTCTCACAATGTGATACAAAATATGAATATTTAGAGCAATAAAACAAGGAGGGTGGCATCTAAACAGAAACTTGTTTTTCTGTGTGTCTCCCTATAACAATTAAATTCAAATGTGAGTTTCATTGGCATGATTATCACCAAAAAACTCCAAAAATTTGATACCTAGTTTTGCTTACTAGAGATGAACACTAGTGGCCTTATATGCTCTAGTGGATTCCTAAATTGCAAAAGATAATCTACAATAGCAAGTGATATAAAACAAAGCAGACACCTAATTTAACCAATCACAGAAAAAATACACTTAGTTTTCTGTACCATTAAGTTTCTCTTTTCCTATAGTAGTTCCCAAAATGACATGCTCCCTTTCCCACCCTTTTCAGAGATGATTTTGCTTGATATTACGTAAACTTGACAGTAAAGAAATGCTCGTTTCTTACTTATTATCTTTTACTTTGGTTTTTCACCAATAATATGCATGATCTTGAGCCAACCCATTAAAGGCAGGCAGCATATTGTTATGTGGTTATTTCTATTTCTTGCTATTCATTACACCTCAAAATGGAATATTAGCTGCTGAATGTCAATAATGAATTGTCTGTACTTACTGTCTGTTTTTAGGAAAAGTTAAGGACTTTTGCTTTAGTACCTTTTGCTTTAAAGTCTTTTCTGCTGAGTTCCAGGGAGTGGAGCTTCGTTTGTTGCAACAATATTTGTAATGAAACACAGTTTTTACAGAATGTGGCCTATATCTATCACCTTTATTTTATATTTTGAAGGAACAAATCTATTAGTATAATGAATTGGGCTTTTTAATAGTGAAAGATTACTATAGAAGTGCTGACAATATAATAAAACTTACTAGAAAAATATAGACTCATGTTTGTTAACCATAACTTAGTAGGGTCTTAATTATAATGAAATTACAATCAGAGGTTGCTAATGGAGTTAAGCCACTTAGATTTCAATAGTGTACTTGGAAAGAGTTGCAATTTCATCACATTGGATCTATTCAGAAGATGAAAAAGAACATGGATGTGGCAAATAATCACTATGGTTGTACCAAATGTTTCTATAACTGGATCACTTATGTGACATGTAGTTACTATGTAATCTGTTAGGGGTTTTTGGGGGGTTTTTGGGTTTTTTTTTGGTGGGGGATAGCTTGTTTTATTTTGTTTTTCTCTAAAATGAAGGTTAGGTCTTATGGCTTTTCAGACACTTTACATTAAGAAGACAAAGGCTCTTGTATCTGAAATCTTGAATTTCAATGTCCTGAACTTCAGGCTTAGGCTGCTTTCCATTTCAAACTAAATTTGGCTAAAGATAGGGTACTTGTGCAGAAACTTTTCACTAAGAAACCTCTGTACTAAAAACCTTTGCCATCAAGCTGAACATTTGGGGATTTGAAGCGAGTAAGGTCAGAAGGCGAGCACATCCAAAGCTCGTTTATTCACCACTGGAAAGTCACCAGGGAGTGTCTTTTTCCCCATCCCTTTTAAAGAAGAAGCCATTATAGCAAAGCATGAGGTTGAGAGAGCAAAAGTGAAAGAACTGTTGCACTGCACATTTTTAGCACCATGATTTAGGATGGTAACTTCAGCCTTGGTTGCAAATGTCCTCTGTAAATATTGTTTGGAAAGACAATTTACAGCTGATCATATCTTAATTGTTTGCTAAGGATAAATGTGTATCATGTAATATTTTCTTAAATCCATGTGTTATGAAAATGGTAATGATCAATCACTCAACCTCTCCTAGAGGCCAGATGTTAAAAAGCAGCCTTTATCTTCACTTTTGTGCTCATATGTGTTTGTGTATCTATTTATGGTTATATTTATGTATATAGAGATTTAAATTTATATAAGTGTGAATTACCAAATGTATCTTCCATAGACTTTTGGTCAGGTTACTTTTGCTGTCCTGAATCTGTGCATTCAAATAGACTACAGACTTCTGAATAAGGAAAAAGTAGTTTAAGAAAGATTTCATTTAAGAAATCTTTGGGGTTTGCTAAAAGTAAATGTTCTGTTCATAATACAGGTTTTGCAACTTCTCCATCTCAGTGTTCCCAGCCTTTTTATAACCTGGCTTCACACTTGAGAAAATTGACAGTAATTCATTTTTCTCTGGGAAATTGGTAAATCCTTCCTTCCAAATCATAAGCTTTAAAGGAGTATTTTTAAGCTGGTTTGAGAAATTAACTGTAGAGTGAAATGCATTGCCTGCCTGCTTTGCAGGAAAAAAGGACCTTGTCAGCAGTTCTTGAAGGTGGAAAGAAGATAAAGTGACTTAGATGATGCTTGGGAAATGGCCTATAGAGTGTGTGATGGTTTGACAGCGAGGGAGCTGTGAGAGCTTGTGGTTGTCTGGTTGCTTGTTGGGAAAGAAAAAAATAAAGCAAAAAAAAAAAACAATAAAAAAGAGCAACTGTATATCCTGAGTTATTTTGGAATGCACCAGGAGTTAAGAAGAAAAGTGTGCTGATGCTCAAGGGACTGATGCCTGACTGGATGTTTTGAAGATGGGAAAAGTAGACAGTTGAGATTTGAGATTTGAGTGGTGTGATTGTCAGCAAAGCTGTGTACAACTGAAGTTGTGTTCAGATTAGGGAATTACTCTGGGGAGGTAATGCACAGGGAATGACCACAGTCACTTAGGCCTATCCACCTGGAATGATGCCAGAGTCTCTAAGGGACAGCATCCCTGGATGATGCTCTAATACCACACTGAGTTGAAAGATCCTCTGATGAGTACAGAGACTGAAAAGAATTGACTTGCTGGCAAAACTTGCATAAGAAGTGGTAATAAAATATAAAGCTTTTGTTTCTGGCCCTGATCAGATACAGCACCCCCCCTTACGCCTTTTGTATAAGGCAACAAAAACCACAGACTCCAATAGGATGCTCTTTATGTCTGAAGAGAGAAGAATTTGGTATTCAAGAATACTCCTAGTGGTTAATTTTTCTTTGTGCAGGGGTGCTGAAAGTGTTCAGAAATGTAGCACTGTCTAGGTAAGTCCCAGTACAGATTGGCTAGGAGGTGGGGTGCTGGCAGAGCTGTCAGCATGTGTGCTAATGTACCTTATCAGCTGGTGCTGTGACACAGCATATGCCTGGGGTCAGTGCTGCTGTGACATGGATGTATTGCACATCATAGCAGATACCCATCTGCAGGGTGGGAAGACCAGAATATATGAGGAAAGTGTAGCTTTTTATTTAAACTCCAAGCAGAAACAAATGGTAAATTTATAGACAGATAAAAAGGAGGATGGAAGTAAATGGATAATGCTCTTGGGCTCATGGTGTGACTCTTGGGGGTGGTGCTGTGCAGGGCCAGGAGTTGGACTTGGTGATCTTTGTGGGTCCCTTTCAACTCAGCTTTTTCTGGGATTCTGTGAGATAAGTGCATGAATGCTACTACATAAAGCTTGCTCTGCCTTTTAAGAATGCTGCTCTTTTCATGCCCAGGTCAATATTCATTCTCCTACGTTAATGATCCTGGAAGTGAGTTAGTTCATTTTTGTTGTTGATTGTGGTGTAACATTATCTAATCACCATTAACAAATGTGATAATGGGGCAGTAATTTTTCTGTTGCATATCTTGCTCAAGTTGCTTAGCTGTTATGGGAAAAATTAAACTGACTCAGTAAGGACAATCTAAGCAATTATGACCCTATTTTCATGAAATTTTAGAACGCACACTGTGTGCAAGGTTTCCAGCTGTAGCAAGAATCCTGCATACCCTCTACACCCTCTACTGTGCGGCAGAGATGAGTTTTGATATGCCCTAAGTTTATTTGGTTTTTATTTTAGATATGACAGTGATGGTTGGTGTCCGCCTTTGCCAGTTCAGACCTACCTGCATCAGGGCATGGAGGATGAGCTTGAAGAAGATGATGATCGTGTCCCCACACCTCCTGTCCGGGGAGTAGCTTCATCTCCTGCCATCTCCTTTGGGCAACAGTCGACTGCAACCCTCACGCCTTCCCCACGAGAGGAGATGCAGCCAATGCTTCAAGCTCACCTTGATGAGTTAACAAGGGCTTACCAGTTTGATATAGCAAAGCAGACATGGTAAATGTTTGAAGGGGTCACCTGTGATCAGGGGAAATGAAATAATAATAATAATAATAATAATAATAATAATAATAATAATAATAACACATTCCTTTTTGACATAAATAATGACTCTGTTCAACAGAGTTTTGATTACGTTTCCAAAGAAATAAAATGGAAGAAGATAGAGCCAAATTCTACCCATTGTTGGAAGGCTTTACATGTCTTTATGTGTTTTTTAAATCATAATACTTGGTAATATGCTAAATTTTGTCTAAAATGTGTAAAAACCATATTCCTCCAAAATTTTGCACATGCTCAGCTAAGCAGTAATGCCTACCTCCTAACATCTTTTATAAAGTTGAGAGTACTCTCTTTTCAGGCTAGCAAAAGACAGAAATTTTTTTAGAATTTTCAAGAACTTAAAGATTCTAAATTCCTGATTAAAAATAATGATAGTCTCTTGAAATAGCATTGTGGCAGCTTTTACACTGTGTCACATGAGAATGAAGTATTTGCATCTCTGTACTTTGAACTACCATGAGAATTTCTGATTCATAGGAAAAACCCAGAAACAGCAGAAAGCAAGTTTGTAGTATTCACAGGATGCATCTAGTGTTTCAGAGTGCTTTATGCCTGTTTAAAGGAAGAGCAAGCAAATACCACAGTAACATTTCCCCTACAAAACAAGCAGAAGCAATCTCTTCAGGGACTGAAAAAGAACTTGTCAACTGCACCAGGCTGGGAATATGGTGAAGGTCATTTGCTTCCTGGATGCTCCCTGAGCAGCAGTTGTCCTTTTACAACTCTTCCACCCAGACAAAGCCCGTGACTCTCGGTGGAGCGGAGCAGAGCTAGTTACTGAATGGCGCTCTGCCAGCAGAGGAGCAGCCTTTCTTCCCTGGTAAATAAAGGCACCACGTTATTCAGCTTGAGCTCCCATAAATACATCAGGCAGGTAGGCAGGCGGTGCCAAACCAAAGCCAGCTGTTTTCCCTGGACACCGTGGAAGCCTCGGGGCTTGTCTGCAATCTGCACTCAATCAACAGGGTACCTCGGTCCTGCTGCAGCGCTGTGCTGCCAAGCACCGAGCCCAGCCTGCCGGTGGGACAGACCCAAATCCCAGGCAGCAGCTAGACCTGGCCTGTTGAAGGTACTGGCTTCTGAGCCAGCACACAGATGCACACCCTGCCAGCACAGGCAGGCGCTGCTGCATTGTGCAGCTGTTCCCCTTCCTACGCCCTCCAAACCTCCAAACCACTTCAGGCATGGAGAATGGAGCAGGACGCTGCACCAAAGCCTCGTGCAGCTGGCAGGAAAGGTCTTGCTCCCTTTTTGGAGAGATGAAAATTCATTGGGAAGTTTTGTAGTGTGCTTAGGATTATACAGATTTTAATGTTACTCTTGTGTAAAGTCACAGTAATTGAGCCTGAAACTCCAAAATCAAAAAAATAAAAATTAACAAGAACATAACCTTTTTTTCATACCTTTTGGGTATTGGGCCGAGTGCTGAAAGTGATTTTTATGACATAGATCTTTTGGGTTTGTTTTTTTGTTTTTGTTTTTGTTTGTTTGTTTGTTTGTTTTTGTTTGGCTGGATATGTATCATGCTAGTCAAAGTTAGTAGAAAGTTCTCCATTGTTTTGACTGGGAAGGAATATTTTTTAGTCTTCTTTTCACAAAGTTAACCTGTCCATTGTAGAGGCAGGGAAAACTAAACAGCAAAATGAGACCTGTCAGATAGGTTACTGTGGGAGAAGCAACTGAGAAATACAGAGATCAGCCAGCTAGGAATTTAAGAAAGAGCCTATTAGAGATTACTGGAAAAGTACATAATCATTATGGCCTTGATCCAGCAAATCACTTAAGTGTATGCTTAACTATGAGTACATGAGAAATTGACTTCAATTGTTCTATCACAAGCTTAACATTAAACATATACTTAAGCATTTTGCTTGATTAGGAGCTAATCACACTGTTTATTGAGGGTTAGTTAGATGGTAGTGCCCTTCAGTGCCCCAGTGTTTTGAACACTGTGTAGAACACTAAAAACCTGGTGTCCAGGCAGAAAAGTGTTCAATAACTGTTAATCAGAAGGGGATTGTATGTCAGAAAGGAAGCACTTGTTCTGGAAATTAGATTCAGAATAAGCAATAAGTTAAAACCTACACTGAGGTGGAGAAAGTTACCAGTACTACACAACATTTACCATGCCATTCTCATATCTGATAGATTTACATTACGGAAAGAAAAAAAAGGCTCATTGGATAACGAGAATTCATTCATGTAGGCAATAATTCAGCACAAAGTTTCCACTGAAAATGTGTTATAGCTAGGAGCCAAACAGGTGACAATTGTAATTTCTTCAGTTTTACTGATGTCCAAGCAAGAGACCAGCAGAATCCTGGATCCCATCCAGAGTGCTGCCGATTCAAATCAGGTCATGGCACCTCATGCAGAGCCACCCAAGGATTCCCACGTGCCTAAGTTAGCAATTTCAAGCGTGGTACATGCTTTTGTGCCAAGGCCAGTCATGCCTGGCTCCCCTGGCACAGCTTTGCTGTGTACCTGTTGTGCTGTGGGGAATGCTGGTCTGAAGGCTGATGGTGTTCTTTTCTCTCAGACTCTGAATCCCATGCTTGCCTTTGGCCATTTAGCTATCCTGTGGGTGCTCTTTTTGTCTTCTTTTTTTCTTTTTTTTTTTGTTTTATGTGATTGCTGAATGCAGTAATTTCACACATGCATGCCCTAATACTGCTGCAATTAAATCAATTAAACTTCCTGGAATAAAGCAAAATGAAAAGGCCTCACTGATGATGCGTTCATTGGACTTGAAAATTTCTTCTGTCCTGCTGGCCATTTCCTCCTCTTTAGGGTGACTTTTGCTTCAGGCACTGCATCTGTTTAAGCGTAAGGAGTGAGATTTAACTTTGGTTCAATGTGTGATTTGCAAGGGGAAATATTGGGTGAGACACTTATGTGCTAGGCTGGGATTCAGAATTGTGCTTTTCCATGGATTTCCTACCTGATTTTTGTAGCCTCTGTGTCTATCGCTCTTCATTGTGGGAAGACAATCCTGACCTTCCCCATCATAAAGGATTTAATCTTTATTCTTTTTATTTAAGACTGGAAAGTGTGCAGGCACTCTGGTATTAGAAGCTGTGGTGAATAACTGAACTGACTTTTCTTGAGTTTGGCCTAACCAAGCACATTTTGTAAATCTATTTCAGGACTTGTTGAAAGGCTTGTGTTTTATTGACTATGGGCTGCAAAGCCTCACCCATTCTGATAACTTTTCCTGTTTGTTTGTGTAGGCACATCCAAAGCAATACACAACCTCCTCAGGCTCCAGTCCCTCCCCTAGGATACGTATCTGGAAACCTTATTTCAGATTTGGAAACAGATGTTCCAGATGATGATGATGATGAGGACGATATTGAAGAAGAAACTGTAGAAATCAGTAGGCCACTAAGAGGTCTAGAGCATACTCCAGGCTCCAGTATGGACAATCTAGACAGCTCTGTGACAGGTAACCAAATACAGTGACACCAGCTTGTTACTACCAGTAAAATGCATCACCATTTGGACTCTTTCTAAGTGAAAATTTATTCCACTTGATTTCTGTAACATTTAAAATGTTAATACTAAAGAAGGATTTTTAAATACTTTGCTTTGCTGCAAAATGATAAGAAAATTCATGAATTTTAAAAAAGCTTTAAAGACTTGAAAGAAAATTCAGTTATATCCTAGCTTTCATGAAAGGTTCATTCTACTAGAGAAGCAAGGCAGTTACATAAAAAGGAGGGGGAAGACCTCAGCTTAGCAATATATATTTCATAAATCAGGAGCACCATAAAAATGTTATCTTAAAGCACTTTTAGATATTCTGCTGGGCAAATGCTTTCCCAGTTGAACACAAGGAAGTTAAAGACTTCAGACTAAGTGTAGCTAGATCAGCACAATATTTATTTCTAGAGTAAATACAACATTTTTATAGGAAAGTGTGGATTTTGAACATAGTTAGTATTGTTGAATTCAGTAATTATTCCATTTTAGAAAATCTGTTTAATAATTCTGACTCTCCTTCCTTCACTTCTTTCTGTCCTTTGCATGCCTTGGAAAGCTACATCATCATCAAAGGGGACCTAGAAAGGTCTGCTACAATAAACTAATGCATGGAATCTGAATTAATGAAATTGCTGTTGGTGGTGCTGTAGGCAATGAAAGACACTGTTTTTCAAAAACACAGATTTTATATGGACTTCATGTACTTTTTGTAAGCAGCAGTGCAGTTCTCTTCAGGTTGAACTAGGGCCTCTATGTAACGTACTGTGTCCATAATGTGAAGGTGTGCTGGAGACCCAAATATCCCCAGTGGCACAGCGTTAGTGGGTGCTGCTTCAGTTTGTGATCTCAGCAGCTCTGATTGTTGGCTTTCCATTAAGGGAGACTTGTTCAGAACAACTTCCTAACACAGCAGCACTGAATTCCATCTTTGTCTGGACCTCTGAAATTCCAAGGCTTTTGCACTCGTACTTAAAGATTGATTTCTGAAAACACTGCAGGAAGATGACAGTGATGGAGCATCAATAATTTTCTTCCTTTGCCTTGTTGAGTGAAATAGTGTGTACCTTAAAAACCTTCCAGGTTTTCCTTCACCCTAGAGCCAGACTGCTTGCCAATCTAATTAAGATTTAAGAATTGTATCTGTGCTGCTGCGATTTGAAATCCAGATGCAACTGAAGGCCATAGAGTTAAAGTTAAAATCCCTGAATTGAGAAGGTTAACTTTTTAGTGCTTGAGTATGTTAACTCACTTTGCTTGAACTTTTAGTGTAATCTCCCTCAGGCTATAATTCTGCATAGTTTTTCATCTCTCACTAGTGGCTTAGAAGCCTTTCTGTTAGCAATTCACTAAGAATTTTGCACTGGTAGAACAGCAATAAATAAATAAATAAAGGTTGGTATACATTTTCCATTTGGTATATATTACTATGGCAATGCTTATGTATCTGTAAATCAGAAAATGAATGTTTCCATCCACATTTCTATCTTCACCTAATAGTTTGGGCCACCCTCCCAAGAGTAAATAAGGAAGAGTTGTATTCCTGCTCCAGTCTGAAACTTTAGTGCTTATTAAAATCTATCATTTTACAGATAACCTTCAAACTTGTTATAATATTTTAAAACCTTGTTTAATTTTTGAAGTGTTAAATGTCTAATCACTGGACTGTTAAAGACTTCTTGGTATTTTGGGAGAAATTGGGCAGAATTTGATAATGTAGACTGCGAGTATACTTAAGGTGATCTAAATACACTTCTAGTCATCACCATCACTAACTTCATGTGGCCTCATCCAGCTGAAAATTAAGGTTTTGCTTTTGCTTTTTCTTTTACTTGTTTAATTACTAGCTGGATCTGTTCCTTGCTCTGGTTCACTGCATGGCAAGGTGTGTGCTGGCACTGCAGGAAGGGAAGCAAAATTATAGACTGCCCCTAAAGCACTTAGGCAACATTTAGACTGACTCAATTAAAGAATGATAGCCTTACAGAAGTACACCCAGAGTGTTAGCATAAAGGGTCTGTAAGATGGCAAAATATCCATATAACAAAATTACTTCTGTTTTCCTCAATTACTATATTTTAGAATTTTATATTTTAGAAGAGTTTGTATTGGATTTGTTTTATTCCAATGGTGGAAAGATATTACCTATTATAGTTGAGCAAATTTTGTTTTTCAAAAGACGATTTTAATTTTTGTTTATCTGTTTCTGTTAACTCTTCTAGGCTGTGTTTGATGGTGTTAAGGAGTGTATAGAAAATTGCTTCAGTTGCTCCCAAGCTGTTTCTCATTCTTCAATTTGATTGCTTTTAAAATACTGTAGAACAACTAAATTGTTCCTTCTTGTGCTGAGAATACCTAAGCTGCTTCTTCTCAGAGCCCTTGGTGACTTCAGCCAGCATTTTTCTAAGAATTTATAGATCATGTTTTCTCTTCTCTAAATGTATTTGAAAATGGAGGCAAATGAGAACAGCTGACCCAGATGAAGCAGTATTTCTGTTCATTCTGAAGTGCCCTAGGAGTTCAGTGTTTGTGAGAAATCTAAATTGACATCCCTTGGCCCAGACTTCCTCCAGAGTTGCTGTGGAGGGAGCGGGGTGAGGTTCCTCAGCCTGCAGTGTTAGCAAGCCTCAGCAATGCCTCAAAGATACCCACTCTTGGGCTGGAATGGGGCTTTGTTCTTCATGGCTGAGCTGAGAACAAGGATTTCCCGCAGCACCAAATGTGGGATTCTCCGAGGGGAAGCACTGGCACTGCGTGAGCCAAAGCACAAACTACTGAATCCCTCTGACACCACAGTGCTGCTCCTTTAAACTGTTTAAAAGTCGAGTTGTCTTCCAGGCCCTTGAGTTTTAGTCACAGCTAACTGAAGATTCAGACAAGGGTTTAATCTGCACTATTAAGCTTTTCTCTTTGCAGGTGGCAGAGACATAATGTTGACATGTATAATAAAGTGAAAAGAAAGGAGGAGTGCACAGGAACTGTATCTTAACATTCTCCAGATATCACAAAGAGAACTCAAGGAGGGAGGTTTAGATTTGCACGTTTGTGAGATGCAATATGAAATTGAAGCCAAGGTTTTGCTCCATTCCCAGTGTAGTTTGTTAGGATTTTGAGTCACTGAATCTGCTTAAAAAGAAAATACAAAGAACCAAAAAACACTGGTAAAATTTCTGCTCCCTTGACTTTTAATTCATAATTATTTAGAATTATTTTTTGCTTTCAGAGACACAATGAAATAGGTTTTTTTTCCCTCTTGCTTAATGTTTGTCTTTATAATGAATTGCTGTGCAGAGTTATGGCACAAATGGCCACAAAAAGTCTGTTGCCCTATTCCACTTTAATAGACTTAATTAATTGCATATGATGACTGTAGAAGAAATAAATTTGCTTCTCACTGAAATCACTAAGAGAAAGCCTAGGTTTTTTTTAGGTCAAAGTGTTATGGTTTGGGGGGTTTCTTTGCCCTCTCCTTATCTCCTCTTCCTCCTGCAGCACCAGTGAAGCTGGTAGTGAGAGCTGCTGTATCTTCAGTCCTGGTGTGTTTTGACTGAGGGAAGAGTTTGACTCATTAACTAGAATGGAAATTATTGCAGGACCTCTTATATCTAACTGATACAAACTGATATAGACAGAGAGACATTCTTTTAAACAGTGCCTCAAAAAATAGGTAACAATTTTTTTTTTTTCAATAGAATTATATAGATCTAAATTATGAAAATCTCTGTAGATTGTGTAGCTCAGCAAGGAAGAATATCCCTTATTTGACATGTTTTGGTCTTGATTAAAAGACTCATTGATCACTGTCTGTATGGAAAAAGTTGTTCATACACTGTGAGCACAAAAGGAATAATTCTCGAAAACTGCACAATATCATTTTCATGAGCCATATTTTACCATGGCAGAGCTCAATATTTGTATTGATTTGCTTAGGGATACCTATTGCAAAAGATTCTATTTTATAAGCAGTTAGACAGATTGCATTTAATAGGAAGAATGTGCTTCATGGATTAAATATGTGCTCAGAAAATAGGAAACTGATACTTTTTGTATCTCATAAAAATGGTAATGCAACAATTAGCAGGGTCATATTATAAAGCACAGACTTTACTCCAGCTTAATGGATCTAGGGATATGCATTCATCAGCAACGATAGATTTAGCATAAAATGACATGTAAATGAATTGATGACTGATCATAAATTAATTTTAGTGCTGAAGAAGTAATAGAGACACAGCAAGTTGCCACTTTATCATAGTATTTTACTGCTCAGCAACATTTGAGCAACTACTTAATGTTCTGTGTGCATTTCTTTTCTAACAGCTTGAATAAATTTGAGATTTTTTTGTGCCTTTCAGCAATATGGAAACCAAAAAATCTAGAAGGATGGAATGCAAACAGAAATAAATTTGGCTAAGTGACATAAATTCATTTTTCATTAGATGTTTATGAAGGTCATTAATTATCGTTTGACCTGTGAAGTGCTGAATATCTATGAATTTATATTATAAATTATATATATTTAATGTTTGTATATATAAATAATATATATTTATGGGCTTTTTTAGTTTTTTCTGCCCAAAAATAAAACATTTAAAACTTAGAGGTTTATTCAGGTGTATACATTTAAATAGATGGGCATTTATGTTGGAGGAAAGTAAAAAACAAAGTCTACTTTTTGGAAGTGTGTTCATATTTAGATTCTGAATTCAAACACTTCTATTATTCTTCCTTACTCTGATGGTACACTGCCTATGTCCCCTTCTATTCCCTCACTTCCACCAAAATCAGGGCATTCTTGCTGTGTAATCATGACAGTGGTCAGACATATCCAAGAGAGGATGATACCTTCCTCCTTTACAAAGGCTAAAAGAATTCTGGAACTGATTTCAGCTGAAATAGCATCAGTACCCAGGGATGTCACCCACACTTCAGAAACATGAGCAGTCTATCCCTGTTCCATTTAAAAGCTGCAGAGGAACAGGGGCTTAAAATTAATATGTGCTGGATGTTCTTGTAAAGGAGAACACATGAAGTAAGCACATGGAGGTTGGTAGATGCAGAAAAGTATCTAATGGAACTCTCAGAAGTGCCAGATTAGTTGTGAGCAGCTTTTATTTCACAGGTGCATTAGACTTTTTTATTATTATTTTTTAAGTAAAGCAACAGTACACTTTACAAAGAAAAATAGCATTTTTATTGCCAGCAAATACCACTAAAAGCAGTAGCATGCAGTCTACTGGAAGCTGGCACCTCTGTTTCCCTCACCTTTCCCTGAGAGCAAAGAAGCTTTCTATTTGCATTAGCACCAAGAGATATTTTATGGAGCAAGAAAACAGAGTTCAACTTTTCACAGAGCTGATTTTGTTCTGCATAAAGCATTTACTGCTGCTGTCAGCAAGAGTAAAATTTACAGTTGCCAGAAAGCGTAAAAACTCAAATGTGCTCTTGGAAAACACACAGTGAGCTGCATGTAAAGGAGACACTAAAAGCCTGTTTCATCCCATTTCAAAATGCACAGTTGATCTGAAAGGAACGTCAGCATCTCTTATTCTGCCTTTATTCAGAGAAAAAACAAATGTGCATCTGATTTGGAAAGCAAGAGGCCAGTGGATGCCTTTAAACAAGCAGTCACCACGTGTGCTGTGTTAACACAGCTGTGTGGTGGCCTGAGGTGCCCGGGCTGGGCTCCAGCACTGCCTTCTGGGCAATGTCTGCACCTCTGCAGGTCAGAGCAAAACGGGATTTACTGCTGCAGGTTTTGCTGGGTGGGGAAAAGAAATGGTTTATGCAGGAAAACTGAATAGCTCAGGAAGCAGTAGAAATAATACAGAGATTTAGCCTTTAGCTCCCTGGTGACACAGAGCTGTGGGTGCTGTGCATTTCTCAGGATGTTTTGCTGACTTCAGCAGTTAGAAAAAGTCTCTATATAAAAAGTTGCTTCTGGCAACAAGAAGGAACGTAGAATGGTTTGGACTAGGATGGACTTTTAAAGGTCATCTTGTTCCAATCCCCCTACCATGGACAGGGACACTTTCTACTAGCCCAGATTGCTCAGAGTCCCATCCAGTTTGACTTTGAACACTTCCAGGACTGGAACATCCACAGCTTCTCTGGGAAGCCTGTTCCAGTGCCTTACTGTCCTGATGGTAAAGAATTTCTTCCTTGTATGTAATCTAAACCTTCTCTCAGTTTGAAAATTTTGCTTCTTGTCCTGTCACTACAGGCCTTATCAGAAAGCCTCTTTCTGTCATTGGAATGACCCCACTTTATGTATTCAAATGCTGCAGGAAGATCTGCCCAGAGCCCTCTCTTCTCCAGGCTGAGCAACCCCAGTTGTTCCAGCCTGCCTTCACAGAAGAGGGGTTCCAACACTCTAATCACTGTTGTGGCTCCTCTCTGGACACACTTGAGCACAGGTCCATGTCTGTCTCATGCCAGGGACCCCAGAAATGGATGCAGAAATCCAGGTGGGGTCATGACATCTCAGTAAAACTCATGTCCCTGCAAGAACATGCTTCCAGCATGACAGGTCCCTCCTAGAACAGCTGCTGGAGGAGAGGGAAAGGGGGAGTGATCTATAATCCCAGCCTTGCTCATACTCGCTGTCCATGGGAATGTGGAGGAGTTGAGGATCAGAGCTTTTTTATAGGGTTAGGCTAGAAAACTGGCAATCCAATAATAAAAATGTAGATAATTTTAGAAAAACTGCCATGTCTATGAGTGTGTAGAACATTAGCTGTATTCACACACTATGCCCCTTTGCAGATTTTCAGTATATTTCATACCTAAAATGAGATTATTTTGTTTTACTGATTAACAAAGCAAACAAAAAACAGCTACTACACACAGCTTGAAAGTGTCACATCCAAATTACCATGTGCATTGTGTGTTTTTAACAGCTGTGGTTAGCAAATGGACAAAGCAATGTGAAAAATAGAAATTAAAAGTTCTCTTAAAACATCCATAGTCTCACGGACCATAACACTGAAAACAAAAAGTGCTCTTTATATGTTATATATGTCTCTACATAGACAATAGAATATATGACACAAAACCCTTGGTCCCTGAAATTAATGGCACACATGTTAAATTTTTAGCATCTAAGTATCATCCATCCTTTGATATGTGCAGCTCTAGTTACGTTTTTATGTTTCAGCTTGTTCTCACGTATTTTGTGGAAAGTGTCTATAAGCGATTGTTTGAAAATGTCCTCAGTTATAGAATTTCATTTTCTTACATCTTCATTAAGTGTTTTATCTGTAGTATCTCTTTTCATACATCACCAATAACTGTTGCTGATCATCTTTGCTCTCCATTCTCTATGATGTCCTATCGCACTTTGCTCGTTCAGAAAATGCCTTCTCAGAGGAAATTCAGTTCTAGCCTTCCCTTGCTGTTATCTGGGCTCCCTCACATCTGTCTGCATCAGGTCGAGTCTGTTTGGAAAATAACAATTTTATGTGTGCTTTTGGCAAGCAGAATCAAACTCTGTCACTCTCTGTTGCACTTAACACACTTTCTGCCTGTCAGACCTCCGCAGACCTCTTTGGTTTCTTTTCTTGTATCTGAGGAGTGCAAGGGTTTTTGTTATTATAGCCTGCCACTTCTCTGACATTAAAAGGTTTGGTAACTGCAGCATCACAAAATAATCCATTGTTCTTGGGCTTTGTGGTGCAGCATGCTGCTGAATTCCAGGATTCATTCATTGTACTCATGACCTGTTTTTGCAGGACATTTTTAATATTTGACACCACCATTAGTTAATTAGCCTATCAATTAACCAATAAGCAGGTCATTATTGATTTACTACTTATCAATTTTAAACACAGAAATGTTTTCTTGGACACAGATTTTTAAAAGGCTACTGTACTGCTACACATTTCATGTGCATTTACAGAAATTCAGCTCTGCTGAGTAAAGTCAGGGCCATGAAGCATCCCTCCACACGTGTCTTCATGTCTTTGAAAATCAGTTCTCTGCAGATTCTCACAAGTTCACTGGGCTTGTTTTTTTTTTTTTTCTTTTGTTCCCAACATATAGCTTTTACTAAAAAGCACATTTCAGGTATTTTGAGATGGGGGTGGTGCCTGTACTATCTCAGAACAACACACTGTGTCCACACAGCACCATGCAATGCCATGCAGCAGCCCAGGTCCCAAAAGCTCTCTGGTAGCTCTGCACCTCACCCAGGTTTGGTGCTCATTTAACAATGCCCTGTTCCTGGAGCAAAGTATCTGCTGCTGGCTCTTCCCTTTGCCTCCTGCTTCACTGCATGGTGCAGAATGACCCTGGGACATGTTAGAAGTATTCTAGAACACCACCATCTCCATCTGAAACCCTGAAAGAAACAGAATTACAGTACGCAGAAAAAAAATAAATATTAAGCTTTTGAAAGTGATGGGCTTTGATTGATGCTTGATTCATGCTTCAGAAAAAATAAAACATAAGCGAAGAGCAAATAAGATCAACCCTTTCTTATCTATTTTGCTCTTTATATTTCAGTTATGTCAAGATTTCTGTGTTTCTTCCATGTGGTTTTTCTGGTATCTGGTTTTCTGACTGCATTTTTATGGTGTTGTTATCACCTTCCTCTCCTGCAGTGGTGGTAACTTCCATAGTTAGAAGGTACCATGGGGCCAACACTGGTCTAGCAACTGACTCGGTGCTAAATCTAAGCATATATTTGCTCTGCTCCTGAATCTTCATTATTTCCAACCTTTTTAAAAAGGTACTTTAATCCACTAGAGTGAACTATTTTTGATCAGCTATTTTCAGGCCATTAAAACTGCTCATTTATTTTAAGGTTATGATTGACAAAATCACATGGTGCCAGTCTTGTCCAGAACTGCTCTTGAAGCTCTTGAAGGTCTGACTTTAGCCATGTCTACTGAGACTTACATATATGTAGTCCAAAAGTAAGACTTGGTTTGGCAAACATCAAACTAGATATTGATTTGTAGCAAGACAAGTAAAACAAAAATAACAAAACCAGCCATGCTCAATTTGATCACAGGAAAAAAGAATGCATTAATTTTCAAAAGAATTTACTGTGGATCTTTTGCATTTGTGGAGAATATGTATTGTTCTGTTTACTGGAGCAAAGCTACATGGAGCAATCTATGGATGAGATTCCACCAAGCTCTGATAGTGCTCTGTTGTACCAAACTCTGTCAGATAATCTTTGGGGTTTGTATTGTGAAAGGACACAGTAAGTGGGTCTTTAAGATTTAGATGAATATTGCTCTTCTGTACCAAGCTCTATCAAGTGAATTTTGGGTTTCCTGTTGAGAAAGGACGGATTAAGTGGGTCTTTAAGCTTTAGATGAACGAAGAATATCAAATGTGCACCACTCACTGGCGCCCTACATTTGTTTTTAGGTTCAATGGTAAATGGCTGGGGTTCTGCGTCTGATGAGGACCGTAACTTTTCTAGTCATAGATCTAGTGTAGGTAGCTCCTCAGATGACTCCATCTTTACCAGCGGCACTTTTGCACAAGCACTGGTTGCAGCAGCAGATAAAGCTGGGTTTAGGCTGGATGGAACCAGCCTGACAAGAACAGGTTTGTAGACTCAAAGTTGATGCTTTTTGCATGAAGGGTGTCTCTGCCTATCCTTCTCTCAGTGAAACCGAGTCTCACACTTGTCTAACATGCATGGGATAAGGTGGATGGAGATACTTTTATCGGTATATTTTCAGTGAAACCTTGCGTTATGTTTCACTTTTAGTGATTTGAAGTAGTGAATAACACAAGCTTTTAATCTGCACCTTTGGTCTGCTGCAGTTCCCCTCAGTGCTGACTCTGCTCTACATTTATTGACATATGCTCATTTAATATTTCGGTGAAGAGGTTACTAATTCTGCCTTGCAGCCTTTGATAATTTCACTTTCTGAAAAATCTCCTCACAATCATTCACATTTCCAGTGATGAACATCGCATTTAAACTGTTATCTCCATCCCTGCTCTTCTCTTGCATTTCATCTTGCAAAAGTGTGTTTTTCTGTGAAGTTTTTCTGAGCATGGGGTGAATTGATGTGCTCTGATTGTTAACAATACAAACTGTTTAAAGCTTAATTAATAGCTGATTTTAAAAATCCTTAATTAAATAAGTTAATATATTTTGATAACATTTAATTTTGGTTATGTCAACTGAATCAGCCAAGTAAAATGTAACACAGGTAAAGTGGATATTACATTTGAAAACAGCCAATCTTCTGAAACTAATTAATGAAAACTAAATTTATTATAGTTCCTTTTTTTAAAGCTCCATATGTTTCATTTCTGTTTAAAAATATAAAGAAATATTATCTTTATTCTGGTAATAAAAGAATACATTTGCATTTTCTTAGTCTTGTCAAAATAGCAACAATAACTAATTATTTAAATCCACAAATCTAATAGCAGAGTGTGAACTTGTGTCATATTTTTTGTTATGCTTCCTCAGCTAATTCTGGATGACAGATCCCATAGTATTCCTATCATTTAAACTTTTTAGACTATTTCTCCATGAGGTCTATGAAGTTTGTCCTTCAGTAAAATGTGACCATTTAAGGGAAAATCTCACATGTTGGGGCTGAAAACTGTAGGCTTTCTGCGTGCAATAACTTCATGGCAAGGACTGCCTTTTAGGAACATTAGGAACAAAGGAAAGAGTTGGTGGCAAAGCCTTAAGCCCAGCTTTTTTCAAATCACTGGGACTTTTACCACTGGCTTTGGTCAGACATAGTCATCCTTAAAAGATTATTTCACCATAGCTGAAGCCCTCAGTTGTTTCCTTCTATTAATGGAAAATTGAGCAAATCTGACATATGACTTAAAAAAACAAAAAAACAAAACCACAGACAAAAAAAAAACAAAACAAGAAAACTCATGTAGACCTTAACTTACCTAGTATGGACACATCTGGCCAAACTATAACTTAAAATATACTGTTTTCCTTGAGGAGTCTCCCAGATTCTGAATGAAAAGAGCAAATCTTTTCCAACCTTTTTTTTTTTTGGTAGTGTTTGCTGTAATAAAAGAATGCAAAGATTCACCAAAATTACTGTCACTTGTATTGAACCTCTGAGAAGTGCAGTTTCCACCACAAACACGCTCGTAACACAAGTAAATGGACACACAAACACAGACACTTTAGAATAAATGTTTTTTTTTTATTGTTGTTATGTGAATGTAAACTAGAAGGAAAGGATGAGAGCCCCCTTGTCAGCTGCATTTTTCTAGCTTGATTAGGTCACACATGCACTTAGAGTGAGTGTGTGTGTAATTCCTCAGACAGATCATTAGAACGTAGGGGTACAAAAAAGGATCCAGTGGCTGTGGTACTCGATGATTATTACTCTCTTAATGATCCAGCAGGCAAAATGGAAATAAAATAAAAACCCACATGTGAACAAAAAGCCTGCTTTTCCTCTTTTTCCTTTTGCTCAGGAAATGGAAGTGCTCCCCCTGCTCACTGCGGTGTCATTCGGATGTGTCACCTGGCAGGGCAGGGTGGCTGGGTCAGACACCCCAGAGTGCTGCACGGTGTCTGGCAGTGCAGAAGCAGCAGTGTTATCCTGCTTAATGCTCTGGAGGGAGCCTGAAGGTCCTGACTCTTTATTCCTCTGCAGTCTGGACAGTTACTTCCACCCATTTAGAACAGCTGTGAAATACTCTCAGAGAAAGATAGTAAAGGAGATGTCCACCTTGATAGCCTCACGTGGGAATGTTTGATTGCCGAGCATGGAGGCACTGGTGAATCCAGATGCAATGTGTCTCTCCTGCCAGACACTTTGATTCCAGTTTCCAGAAGCCATCATGTGATTTGCCATGAAGTTCAAACAGCTTTCCTTTTTAACACCCTTGGGAAATTAAATCAAGAATTAGTGGATTCATCCTTGTCTCCACTTAAACACACTAAATCTGCTGCAGAAAGTCTGACACTGGCTCAGCAGTCCTTACTGGAAGGGCTGCATACAAATATAAGATGCTGTAACCAGTTATTAAGTGCACTGAAAAATGTGATAGGGGCACATCATTTGTGTTTGCCCCATGTATGATTTAGGTGCTATTTACTTTGCCTCATTTTTGTGAAGGGATAAAGGAGAATGTGTCTATTTATTTTTAAAACCAACATTCTGAATGAACAATCACATCTCTTTAGTTAAAAGAATAAGTGTGAAGAATCTGTGTCCTGCACTCACTAGTTACACTTGCATGTTGTGAGTTTATTTTTGCAAAACATCTGTGCAGCATGCTGTGAGTTGGGATGAAATTTCAGGCTCACATCTGAATTTCTTTGCATTAGGAGTCTTTTTTTATTTTTATTTTTAAATGAAATTTTAATATTTTGTCTGTGTTCATCTGCTGTGTTATCCTTATCCATGGAACAAGGGCTTGATCACTTGTCTTTGTCTGGCTGCAGCTGTGCCAGCTATAGAGAGGTTAATGTTCCCAAATGCTTATTCCTTGCTTTCTCCCAGCTCCAGAATTAGCTGCTCATGTGGGTGTTCTGTAACCCAATTTTGGTTAAAATGAGCTAGGTTAGCAAAGGCATTGTTTTCAGACTGTATAAATTCAATTGGGCTTTTTTTTTTTAGCTTTTTTTTTTGCTTTTTTTTTTTTTTATGTAGAAGAGGTTTAGAGAACATCCAAATGAGGGTTCAAACGTGGTAACCTCCAATTGCTGGCAGAGGTGTGCAGCTGGGGACAAACCTGTCTGAGAGCAGTGCCCTCCTCAGGCTGCACAACAGTCAGGAGGTAGACAGCCAAGCTATGAAATCTCTGAAGTCCAACAGTGAAATATTGTCCTAACATGTGTGCTTTAATGTGAAACAACATGTTAGAGAGAATATGGCTACTTTTTCACTTTGCCTTCTTGGTGCTGAGAGCATTTCAAATCAGATGCTGAGCTGCATATTACTCCCTGTTAGGCTTTCCTAGATCAGATTGTATGTGACAGCATGTTGGAAGTAAGCACATCTGCTGGAAGGTTTTACTAGAAAATGTAGCCCACTGCGAGGTAAACCATGGTCTAAGTTAACCAGAGGATAAAAAGTCCTCCTTTTTACCATGGGCCCAGTTGACCAGAAAAAAAACCAATCACCCATTTTGCCCATTTCTGTCATCTCTTACACCATTTGGGGCCTAAAGCAGCATTGAAAGAGCAGAAGTTCAGACTGGCTTAAGCATTTTCCACTGCAGATAGCATTAAAATATGTAATTACCAATTCTAAATGAATTGAGATGTTAACATCTCCAAAATTTTGCAGGAATAACATACACATGAACAAAAGAAAGTCAAAAATGGTGATTTTTAGTTTTCATCCATTATCATTAAATATTAAGTCTAAATATTAAGTCTAATCTAAATGTTAAGTCTAGTTAACAGAATAAAAATATCAGAATAAGAGGAAGTTAATGTAGTAAATGAGCTGTGCTCTTTAAATTCCGAAGCTTTTAATCATCTGCTCCATAGAACAGCATCAAAGATATTTCTTTAACAGAAACCATATAGCTTTAATAGTGTGTGTATATATACAGAACAGATATAAAAAGATATATATATAAATCTGAGGTCACAGTATATATTTTTAACAAATAGAACTACTAAAAATTAACTGGAAAATTTTATCTTTTAAATATACCCCCATTTTTATTTCTTGAGAAAAAAGACCCCTTAAGTATACAGTGCTGCAATGCTACATAGCTTGCAAAATCAGATATGTTTATCTTGCTGGAGTTACTCCAGATATACAGTGCATATGGGAGCCCCTAAAATGAGAATCTGGCTCAGAAAACATGAAAGTTGGAAGGCAGGAGGAGATAAATTTGATATGATTGCAGAACTGTTTTCCCTCCCTGCTCAAGGCTGAGGAGTTGTTATGACACATCTGTTCAGCACACAGAGCAGGTAGGAGTTATGTGGCATACAGTAGTTTTATCGCAACAGATGGAATAATTTTAATTATAAAAGTTAAAGACAAAAGAATGCCAAGTTCCTCTACTTCACTTGTTGTGGTGTGTCTTAAAGCAGTTGTTATCAGTGGGAACCTTGAGGGGACACTTGCCTGCCTCTGAGAATTAGACCTGATTTAATGTTTTGGAGCAGACATTAATAGAACAGCCCATTTCAAGGCAATAACATTTTTTCATCTGGTTCCTCTCTTCTTTTTTTTTTTTTTTTTTTTTTTTTTCCCTTCTTTAGGCAAAGCATATTCTTCCTCTCAGAGACCTCGGCCAGGCAGTCCTTTTTCTACTGACAGCAACACCAGTGCAGCTGTCAATCAGGGTCAGAGGCCAAGACCCACGAAAAAACACAAGGGCGGACGTTTGGAGCAGCCCTCTTTGCCTCATCGCCGGGAGGGAATCACGGACGGTGAGTGCTGGGGGAGGAAAACCTGCAACAGGCAGCTGTGCATGGCAGGGGAAGGCAGAGCCATCTCTTCAGGAATGTAGGTTACAGTCAATTACTGCTTTGCTGGAGCTGGTCCCCAGGTTGCCACCTGAGCAGTGTTGTAGCTCCAGCAGTGTGGGGCTTGGGTGAGTGTTCAGGGAGCCTTTCCCCATTTCTGCTCTGAATATGTCCTCATCTCCTAGGATTTCTCAGATCTTGATAAAAATCTTACCGCAAAATGACTGCATTGCACGAGTTGACATTGAAAAATGGCCTGTGGATAATTGTAGATTTTATGAAAGTAGCCACCAATGGCAGTAGCTGAATGAATTCCTAAGGAGAAGCAGAGAGCTGCTCCCACAGGACTTGTTCGGTTTGTGCTGGTTTTGACAGACACCCAACAGCTACAGAAATATGTGCCATGTTTTCCCATGATTCTGCCTCACCTCTTGTCTGTGCTGCTTCAGTCCTGACATCCACTGACCTCAGTGACTGTGTCTCCCTCTTTTACATCTCCACTTTCTCTTACGACTACTTCCCATCTGGAAATTTCAGGCGTGTCTGTTCTGCTCTTCTAAAAGATAAGATCAGCTGTCTTTCATTTTCTTTGTCTACCCTTCTTGAGTCTGGCAAAAGACACAGTTAGTGCCTGTTAGTTTTTGAGGAAGACTGGATAGGAAGGTGGCCAGCTGGCTACCTTCCCCTCATTTCTTCTGATCCCTGGCCTTGCACCTGTAGGTGTTGAAATGATCAGTGTTCACCAAAGGTGTTATTGTTACATCTCCTGCTCTATGGCTCATTCTCACTGTGATATTATTTGTGGAAAGGCTTAAAGTGGCTTAGATTCTGCTCCTATGGATCCAAGTTCCTTTAAACACTAATTCCCTGCCCAGTAACTGGAAAATGATGGATGTCACTTCTATGCTGGCCATACTCTTTCTGTACATGTTTTGTTAACCCTTCTGAGTGCCATATCCTGTCACCCTGAACTGTGAGCATCATAGGGGACAAATTCTGTGTACATGTGAGTTTGTAGTGCACTAATCCTTCTGCTTCTGAATGCTATTGCTACAGAAGTGACTTACAGTCGTGTGGGTACCAGAAAATTAATGAGGATCCAGTTCAGGTCATGAGGCAGATGGAAGTGGGGCTCCTCAGGGAGTGACTCCATCATATAATTTCACATTGTTTTAAATTAGTGAAAGAGATCCAATTTTAAGATTTGTTTTAAAAGAGGAAACTCGTATTGCCTTTTCTTTATCCTATATAAAATACTAATCTTACTGGAGTTTCTTTCATACATTTCAATCAGAATATCAATGATATACTATCTCCTTCAACCTCTCAGGCATGGGCAGTAACCATAAAAGCTTTCGGATGCCATTAGATTAATATTTGTCTTTTATAAACCTAGTTAAAGTCCTTGCTATATGTTGCAAAAATTTATAGTGTCCTGGAGCAATAGAAAAACAGTTCCCTTCCTGTATTAACACAGGAACAAACAAACAAACACAAATGGTACAGTTTTCCGCTTCAACTCCTACTGAATATGAGTCATTAAAGCGTAATGTCAAATCTGAGTCATAGTTAAATTTGAAAAAGATCATTTGTCAATTAAGGAAGCTAAAAGTTGCTGCTCCCACCTGCATGTATGTAAACAATTGAATTTGGGAATCTCTGGTCTGTAAAATTAAAAATGGTAACTGGGTGATTTCTGTGGAATATTGCAATGAACTTTGCAAAGACAGACAATGCCACTGGGCTTAAGCTGTAGCTAGAAGGAGCAAGTAAGAGAGCCTCAGATAGGTCCAGCAATTCCAAGCCCTAATCCAAGCCAGTCCATTCAGCCCTGGGCCATCCTGATTTCTGTGAAAAGCATCACTATACATTTTCTCTGTTTTTTCAGATGTCTCAAATCCATTCTCTTATAGCTGCTTCCTCTTGGATTTGTCTTGTGAGAATATACTTGGTTTGCCAGTTGTTTTCAAATTCCCCAGTTGGATGAGTCCTGGTATCCTGTATTTAAGTCTCATCACATACCGGATGTCTGTCATTTTCAATTCTCATTGACCAAGAAAGCTCCAGCTTTCTCTGCCCATTCCCATACACGTCCTAAGTGCTTCCTCCTTGTTAACTGTAACCATGTGGGACAGTGGAAAAGACCTAAGAAACTGTAATATTTAACACATAGCACACACATCACAGACCATGTAAGCATTTGAGGGTTCAACTTCATGCTTAGTTTTGACAGCAATCCACACAAATCCCCTAAAATCCTGCTTCCTCATTTCCTTCAGCTGCAGATCAGAATCCTCTAGAGACTGACTCTAGATGGAGTCTTCATATTTCTCTTGCTGTACAACTTGTTTTTTCACTTCCACATCCTGGAAGACTATGGAGACAACAGCAAATCTACTGAGGAATAATATGTTATGAATCCCTCAGATGATCAAAACCTTCATTCTAAGCTCACAGTCCACCATAAAAAACAGAACAAACAAACAAACAAAAAAATACAAGAAATGTTTTAGTGTTAATGCTCAAGGAATAATTTGTTTTCCAAGAAACACGTAGTCATTAATTGTAAAACAGTGGAATCTGTCATACAGTTTGCAGCATCATAACTGTCTGACTGAAGTTGAAAGCCTTTCCTTAACTGAGCACAATATGCAAAAAAAATCAAAGAGGAGGCAGAAGGGAAATATGCTTAGAGTTTGAAAAGGCAAACTGGAACATAAGACTTATATTACCATGCCTTGCTACTACCTTCCTACTGCGTATTAAAAATAACTTTTAATGTCAAGAAAATACTTACCTTCTGATGCTAGAAAGTGTTTCAGAGGCTTATTAAATGTCACAGTAATTATCACTCCTAGGAGAAGAAATCACTGACACAGATAGAAAGGTGTGTCCTTATAGTTGTAGGTTCTTGCTGCTTTTTCTAGTTAATGATGAGAGGCTGTGCCAAACCTTGACTGGTGCCTGAATCATTTAGCCAATGCTCTGCCTTCCAAAGGAGGGCTCAAGTAATCCCAGACTGAATATCCCTCTCCCCCTTACCAGGTACTCTGATGTCCTACAGCTCCTCAATCACAATCCCTCCATTACTAAATCAATAAGACCATCATCTCCTCACCAATGCACTTAAGAATTGCCTTACAGGTTTGATAATCCAGCCATTAGAGGCTTCAAAATGAAAGTCTGGATGACTTCCTACTGACCTAGAAAGCTACTAGCTCAGTGCAGGCTTTCATGTATTTTCCTTACCACCCGAATGATAAATGGGATTCGGATGGAAGTAGGGTGAATCAGTGTTACCACTCTGGGTATCCTCACTGAAAATCCCACTGAAGTCCCTACATTTCTAAATTCAGAACTTCTCTGAAGGGGTTGACATGATGGAATGATTGATATGATTGCCTTCATGTGGTAATAAGTCTTCCTGTAAGGATGTGAGACTTCTAACTCAGCTGACATTTGTTACCCCTTTAACCGGGGTAGGAAAGCCAAGGCAGGGCAAGACTATTCTCAGTGGTGTTGGAGGAAGACATTCATAATTCCAGATGCATGGGATCTTCCTATCAACCCAGGCAAGAGAGCAGGAAATACTTAGTTATTTACTAAGGCACAGGATTTACAGTATAGAGCAAATTAAAAGCAACATTTTCAAATGAAGCTCTCTTCCAGCTTCTTTTATTAAAAAGGACAGGTAGGTGTTACTGCAGCTGCCAACCTGAGTAAGGAGGTGAAGAAACAGTAAGTTTGTATTCAGGCCAGAGTCAGTTTATGTTAATTCCAAAGTACCTGTGGCTCTTCTAGAATTCTGTGAAGCTTCGTTACAAGATAAATTTTATTTTCTTCTTCACATCTTCCATAGGTTTTGAGCACCCAAGGAAATTTACAAACATGGTGTTTCATTTCACTTCTATGCATAAGTCAGTCTTTATGATTATTTTGTGGATGGATAAAAGCAATAATCAGGTTAACAGAAGATCAGCACTATAACTCTACAGTAATTCCAGGAGTTGCAGCCAGCTCTAGAGAATGCAGTATAGTTTAAGCACGGGCCTTCTTTCCTTTTAAGTATCTAATTAATAACAACTATTAGACACCAATTTCTGAAGTAGGATAGTCTGTTTAAAGTTTAATACTACTTGAAAATTTTGCTTATATCGAACAGTAAATATTTTATCCGGGAAAATTGTATAGTTGCATGTCATGTTATGGCTGTGTTTATTGGATTCAATGCATCTCCACAAAGTGCTTATAAATCACAACTTCAGTAATCTCTATTTCAGGTTGCATAAGCAGATGCCAGTGTTGTGGTTCTGTACATTAACTGGTTATGATGGCAATAAAATCAATTATAAGAAATGCCATTTTGGAAGCCAGCACTATAAAGCAATTTTAACATTGGCAAGCTCCCATACCCTCCTGCTTCCACCTACAGTAACTCAAGTGTAGTCATTGTCATGAAAGGTCGCATCTGTATTCATAACGAAAAATTTCTCAAATAAATTAGTGCTGAACATAAAGCATGCACCAAGCTCACTGACAGATTATTAAAAGGCTGCTCTCGCCAGAGGGTGCTTATCTTAATCTGGGACACAGCACTTCAGCTGTGAGCAAGGGGCAGGAGCATCACTGGATACAACTTTTTTCTCTTGCAAACACAAATAACCTGCACATGCTCATTTCTCTGCAAGAGACAGTGTTGGCTGGAATGACATCTCAGCAACTGTGGAAGCATTTCTGCTCCATGTGTGAGGTATAAGTATCACCTCTAACAGTAAAGACATGAAAAAAAATTCTGTGTAGCATTATATAAAGCAATATATAAAGCTGGATTAGAGACTTTGAAATAAACTCCCTCCAAAGGCCTCCTGACCAATTTATAAAATGAATTTCAGTTACAAACATCAGACTTCCCTGCAGGCAAAACAGAGGTTTACTTTTCCATGCCTGTTACTGAGCCAAGTTCAATTCCTTGATAAACCTTCACAATACAATAAGATAGAAAGGACTAGAAAACAGATCAGACACAAATTTACTCTAAGGTAACACAGGTTTTTGTTAAGTTGGCTGCAGAGATTTATTTGGGCTATCCATTGCCCTGAAACAGAATTATCAAAAAGTGTTCCTTGTATAAAATGTGTATATGATATAGAAGAATTTTCATTATGATACCAAAGGTGCTTCCATTTTCTGATTTTTTTTTTCTTTTAAATAATCTAGGCTATTGTGAGTCTATCATAGAGTTTACATGAAAAAGTTGCATTTAGAATTAGAATTATACTGAGTCTATAATTACCTTGGGTCGTGGACTAATAAAAAAGTTCACTTTTGCCCCCACAAATGTGTTTGGAATGTTGACCTTCAATTCTACAAGCATCTTAATAGTCCAAGTCACAAACTTGAAAAGGACAGAAGTTGTTAGAGACCAGGCAGGTGCCTTTCTGTCAGCTGAAATTGTATTTTTATGCTTTTTCAATGGCAGTAGGTTTCACAATTATTTTTTCCCAATATTTGTGGCATTTTATTAATTTTGATGAAGTTCTGTATTAGATTTTGGGTTTACACCTTGAGCTGAAAGTGTAGCCCAAAAACAGGATGGAGCAAGCCCCAGTATGGTGGAGGGAAATTGTCAGGTGGCACAGGTCAGTCTTCCACAGCCTTTCTTAATTCCTTGCTGTTACTGTGCTAAACAGCTGGAGTACACCCCACAGAAAATAAATCCCATGCTTGGAAGTGTAAGTCAGGGCTCAGATTTATATGGAAGTTAGAAAGAGGTAGAAACACAGCAACCAGAATAAAGAGCTAGCAGAAGTCAAAATCCTTTTCAGATTAAAATGAAATTTCCTCCTTTTAAAACCAACCAACTTAGCGGCTCGTACCTTTTGCAAGGCACTTTCCTTTTCAGCATCGAAAACAGACCTTCTGTTTCAATTAAAAAAAATCAGTTCATCTGAATCTTATTCACATTTTTTAGATCTTCCACCACCACCCGACCCGCCCCCCGGTCAGGGTTTAAGGCAGCCCATAGTGCCGGGCCAGCGCGGAGGCTCAGCCGAGAGGAAGGGGAGCTCTCTGGAGAGGCAGCACGCAGCAGCCAACGTAGATGACACAAAGAGCTCCCTGGACCGGCCCGCTAGGACATCACTAGAGTGGCAGCGACAAGCCCAGGAGTGGATAAGCCCTACAGACCGCCAAGAGGATTTCAGGAAAGCCCAACACAAACAAGCCTTCGGATCAGGTGTGTGCGCGCTGCACCGGCCGAGGCGAGGCAGGCGGCTGCTCCCCACCTCTGCCGAGGGGTTCTGGGCCTGGCAGGGCTCCAGGATCACCTCACACCTCTCTGGGAGAGCGCTGGCCAGGGTCAGGCTGGAAAATAAGGAAAGGCAAAGTGAAACGAGAGCTTGTGATCCAACTACCTTCCCTCCTGCAACAATGAAATTCCATGAGCACCTGACTTGGTGCGCTCTTCGCAGTGTTTTGGATATTAGTAATGTTCTCAAGCGTAGGGATGGAGAAAACAGCTTCAGGTCAGCAAGAAAGGAGAGAGATTTTTAGAGTATCTTTCATTAGATGTATTTATTTCTACATATAGGGCCATATTTTCCAGTTCTTTCAACCTGCTTCCAGGTTGGCAGCAGTTTTTACATGTCTGCAAGAAGGCTGATCCTTCTGAGCTGCTGACATTCCTGTATTAAAAACCCTCACTTCTCTTTATTCAAGGATATGACAAAGTAGCACTCATCTCTTAAGCCCAGCAAGATGACAGCACAGGTTTTCACCTTCATACAGGACCTGCACCTTGCCCCAAGCTGACTTCAGCACCTAAATGGATTTCAAGTCTGCACAAATGTGCACAGGAGGTGATGCTGGGCTGGAGTTGTATTTCTACAATATTCACAGTTTCCCTCTCTCAGCCTGACCTGAAGTAAAAGCTGCTGTTTCATCCTAGGGTGTTTTCTTTAACCCATTAATCACCTCATCCCAATGCAGTGCTGATTAGAGGGATACAAGAAGACAGATAAGATTTAAATAAAGAAATTATACTGTGTGTGGAGGTTTTTGTAGGGTTACACTGTTTCTCCACTTATGCATGTAGCTCCCACAGTCATACTAGTGGTACTCTTACCATCCATACTTTTCTTGATTTGATTCACTCTTAAAGCTCCTTGTTAATCTAACATATTAATAACATTGACATACTAAAAAAAGAATAGTAGTGTGCAGACAAATCTGTTATGGGGACAGGAACTACTGGATAAAGTCCTCCTAGGGAAAATACTGCTACCTGTATTTTAAATGTAAACATTTTAAATACAATCCATATTTTAATATATAACAATAATGATACTCTTAAAACCCCCTAATATGTTGGCTGCATAAAGAAATGAGTGGCTGTTCATGTTCTGAAATCATGATGTGAAGTCACAGTTTAAAAATAGCATGTGAAATTCATACTGCTTGGTGAAATGGCAATTTTAATTGCAATTTAGAAGATGTACATACACATAGAAAATAGCCCAAATATATGCCTTGCACTTCTCATTTCCTTGGAAATCATTAAGGATGCTTCTCTGACCTGCTCAGAAGAAAGGCCCTTCTTTTTCCTCTGCCTCATAAGTGTACAAATAGAATTTGTCATTTTTTCTGTGATGCAGAGCTTATACAGTAGTAAAATTCCCATCCTGCAGGGCACGCATTTTTCTGTCCATAAATAAAGAGAACTTGATCTTGACACTTCCAGTGCCCTGCACTGAAGTGGTTATAGGTACTCTGTTCTTGTCAAATTCAGAATGCCAAGAGCAAGTGAATATCCTTTATGCATAAAGAAGGATGCCTCTAGGAGATGTTACGAGTTTATCCTGGTGTGAGGAGTTCATAAAGTTTGTGCACAAGATGGGCCAGGGCTTCATATCTCTCTGTCTGCATTCTCATTCCAGCCCCTTGCACTACATTCTTGTCTCTGGTAGATTTTAAAAAGACTACTCCTGTGCACGATGCTGGTTTAGATCACTAAATGTGGGTGTTTTAATAATATTAATTGCGCTTCTTCCCTTTTCCGTTATTAATGGAACAGTTCTTTGGAAATCCATTCTGTCACAGTTTTCAGTACATTTCCAAAAAAGACTTATTATTAGTTATCTGTTTCCAGAAAATAGATAACTTGCAACTTAGGGGGTTTCATTCAGATGTTAGCAAGCTGTGGTCCAAACTTTGAAAGCAAGACCTTTAGTTTGAAGTTGAATAGAATAAAAATACCTTGGTCTGGGATATGTTTCCACTGGCTGCTTTCAGTATAAACAAGATCACTGAGTTCCTGGCAATGGCTTCATTGTAGAACTGGAGTTAAAGCACATCAAATATGACATTCTCAGCTCTGATGAAAGTGGTGCTAGATCAGGTTACAATTCTTTTGATAAGAGGAAAAGCCTTTTGGTTATTTTCTGAGGTATAGAAGCATTGTTACGCACACATATCCTGATTTCACAGGGGCTAGAATTATATCTTCAAATTAATGGCTCAGCCTTTCAAAGAGAAAGGCACCAGCAAAGCCTCCCCATATTCTTTGCAGGCCTGGACTCTGTTTGGAGAATTTAACAAATGTGAGCCCATTCTCAGAACTGGAGACAACTACTTCTCGTGTGCTAGAATGTTGTGTAAAACCTAGCCTTAGTTTATGTCACAATTCCTTATTTTATGGATTATGTTTATTTCTGAGGCCACAACAGATAATTGAACATACCATATGCTGTATAATGATAATGCACTTTATATTTATTCATGGTTGTTTTTCCTCAATATTTCATTGAACCCGAAGGAGGCCTTATCCTGAGTCCACAAGCTAGAAAGACAAATCAATTGACTATATATGTCATCTTCCAACTCTTTTGCAATGCTAGTGACTTTTGTTTTCATCCTTTAAAAATGTATCCAGCTTTCTGCTAAACTGAGTTATGCTGCTTGCTTTATTTCTGCTTTAATGCAAACTGCTCTATATTTTACCCAGCTTTTGGAAACCAGATTTGCATCTGACTCTCTTGTTAGGTCTTGATATATAAAAAAAACAAAACAAGTAACATAATTTAGGAGAGACCGTGGCTGTTAATGCCATTTTACAGTGTCTTTCAAGCATTTCTTTTTATTTTAGCAAGGATAGCACACGGTCATAGCACAAAACACTGATAATGCCCTGAAGTCCTGCAGCACAAATACTCTGGTCCCTTGGGCAGGACCAGAGTGAGATACTCTGGCAGGGAAAGAAGTCAGCTGCCTGCCCTCTTCTGCAACAAATTTAGCTTAAAAACAGGCTCAGTTCAACAGCAGCTCATGTGGGGAATCCCCACATCCTACTCTTTTGTGGCAAATAATGAAATCCTGAGTTTCTCCCACAAATTTGTTCTCATTTAGCACTTCTGCAAGTTAATTATGTCTCTGCTGAAGTCTTTGAAAGGGCTTCAAGCTTGTGAATAAAAGCGTTTTTATCTCCTCTTTCTTTCCAACCATCCCCACCTACTTTTCCTTCTGTGTTCCTTGCCCTCTGTCAAAGAAAGTCCATTTCTCCTCAAAAGGTTGTTTAAGAGTGAAGACAATTGGAAAACCAAAATAAAGAAAACCCTTTTGGCCTAAATTCACTTTGAAAAAGGGCAAGATTCAAGCAGTAGAAATCCCACTGATTTCAGAAGGGACAAAGCTGTGTTTGAGGTTAGGCATATATATACTCATATTCTTTCTTCAATCAAACTATATTTAGCAAGATCTCTTTCTCCAGCTTCTGAGATGGCAAAAGTGGATCAGACGCAGCAAAGAAATAAAATAGTGCTTCCATTTCAATGTTAAATCAGTGCTGCTGTTTTGCTTCTTAGATTTGGACTATTCCAACAGTATCTCCAGGAAATGCTAATCAGAAGTGATGTCTTGTTTTACTTGATGCTATGTGAAGACATAAAGTCTTATGCCTTATTGCCATTAATCCTGCTCTTGAAAGCAGTTCATTATTACAGGTCTTCACGAAAAAAGAATCCAAGTGAGCAAAAGTAGGTCTTTTGCTCATAATGGAACATGAAACAGGCTGCAGGATTATTTATCCACTCCAACTGCAATGTATAATATAATATTTTCCAATGTAATTCAACACCAGTTAAAACAAAAATGTTGGTGTACTTTGCATCATTATAAATTACTGAGTACCTTGTAGATAATTAAATTAGCTGATATTGTAGTTCTTTGTCTAAACTGATTGAGTTAATGTTGCCATAATTAAAGCTAAAGAAAAGGAAAAAGCATGTTTATGTAGGCTGGAAGCAAAAGCCCAATCATAGCTTCATTGTGTCGGAAATTGCATGTTCACCTATTTTTATTAAAGTATCTATGATTCATGATCTCTTATTCATAATGAATGTAGACTTTTTATAATTAATACAAACTGACTTAGGAGTTCATAGGGAAGCAAGATTTAAATTCATACTGGCTTCCCTGTCCTTGGGATACAAACAACTCTTAGTTGTGTATTTTCTTAAGTAAAATTGTTATGCCATAAAGCAAGACAGATATGAATGAATATGATGTGCATAAATGAATAGCTTGTTTATTCCTACTTCTAGGATTATTTATTGGTATTTACTTTGCTTTGTCTTGCTTTTCTAGAAGAGGCACTCGTACCATATAGTAAACCCAATTTCCCATCCCCTGGTGGCCACAGCTCTTCAGGAACATCTTCTTCTAAAGGATCAACTGGACCTAGAAAAGGTGAAGTCTTGCGAGGAGGTCACCAACGCAATGCCAGTGACCTTCTCGATATAGGCTATGTGGGATCAAACAGTCAAGGACAGTTTACTGGTGAATTATGTAAGTTTACCTCTAGCTCCAGTTAAAACTATCAAATAGATAAAAGAAAAGAATTATAAATCTGTTGTGAAGGGAGTAGGAAGTTGTGTGTGATAATCAGATTAAGCTTTATCCAGACCTTTTTGCCTTCTGAGGCGTATTGCATGTGATGGCAAACAAATGTCATCCTTCTTTGGAGCAGTTCAAATCTGTGTAAGGGATGCCAAAGCTAACTACATGGTACATCTCTCACTGTGTAATGCTAGTGAAGCATGGGGAAATGAGAAGGAATTCTAGTAACTTAGAAATTTTTTTTTTTTTAGCAAAGTGTAGTGTGCTTGTCTTGGAAATGCCAATGACAGATTTCCTCAGCCTTCCCCTTCATTTCCTGTTGGTTGATGAGAAGTGTTCTCTTAGATGGAGGTCCTCTTTTCTTGATTGTGTAGAGCAGTTTTGCAGTTTTACATCTCCACTCTTTTCCTCAGCATCCCTGGACAGGGAAATTGTTTTCCAAATTTGTTTTCTGTTATCACTCAATATCTGTTAAACTTTGTGTGAAACCATGTTGATGCTGCCTGCGTGCTGGCAGTACCAGCTGCCCAAAGGCTTGACTGTGTTGTTTGAAAAAGTACATCAAAACCCTAGCATGCTCAGGCATACTGGTGCGTTTAACAAACTTATTAATGGTAAAAAAAGCAGTGGAGCTATTGGCATGTCTGCATCCTCCTGCTGCAGTCAAACCCTCAGCACCTCCTGGCAGTTACTGCCCCATAGCTGTAAGAGAGCTAATGGTGACCCATGAGCCCTGAGGAGTGCAGTCTCACACATGGTGTTGGTAAGTGCTAAATTTTAGCATCCCTGGCTTTTCATCTTAGAAGCAATTAACCCTGTTCTCACAACCTATTGAATATTCATCCTGTGCTGCAGTAATATTGCCATAGGCTTTATTTGTGTGGGTTTTTTTCCCCTTATTACAACCTCTTTCTCTCTCTTTTGTTTCTCTCTATAGAGTAGTTGAGAAGACACATTGCAAGCTGCTCTGATGGACCATCAGGTCTGAACTCATGGAAGTGATGACACTAAACAGTGCAATGAACATTTTCTTTATTTATGTACTATTAAAAGAACTGTAAATGCAATGTAAAGACACACAGCCACACATATCCCACAGATACTTTACTTGTGTTCTTCTCTTTAATACACCATCCACCTTAAACTATTCCTTGTCAGGAGTATATAAAAAAAAAGAAAGAAAAAAAAAATCACCCTCCAGGATTAAAAGGATTTCCTTCTGTATATAATTTCTTTTGTTGCATTGCTATGCAAGCTCACCTTCTTTTTAGCTATGTTCATATTCATGTCTGTTTTTACTGGTCTGTTGTACTATATGTGAATTAATAGGCTGTGGTGCCATATATTAACTTTTAATTGTGTAACTTTTATGTTTAAAGTTTGCACTGCAATTTTATTTGGTGATAAGCACAAAACTCTACTCCTCATGACATGAAGAAAAAAGAGACTGAATGTGTGAAGAAGGTTTACGTCCTGTAAGCTACTTTGGATAACTCTGGATGTAAAGGAGTATGTTAGGTGGTTTTCCATTGGGGTGTAGAAATGAGAAAGTGACAGGCAAAACTGATGTCAGTGAAGACATTAGAGACAGATTTAAACCTTTCAAAAGCAAGCAACATAGTTGCTCTTCCTATTTAAGAAGGGGTCAGAAGTTGGAAGTGTGAGATTAAAGAGTGAAAATGAAAACTAAAGGGAGCATGAGATGGCCTAGACCCTTTCACTAGAATGATACCTTTAGTATCTGCTTTTAGCCATCCCATGCCACTAAGTAAAGGGGAAGAAAAACAAACCTTGCTACAAATAAAAGAACTTAAGGTGTTTCACTAAAGCTGTTTTTATTTTGCAGTTTTAAAAGAATTATTACCGTTAATTTCTCCAGCCCAAAATATAGGACAGAGATTTTCCAGGAGAGACAAACCATATAAACACAAGGGATACCTAGTAAGAAGATAAGAATGCAATTTATTATTAAGACATATTCAGGCTGCTTCCAAAAAATTGAAATGTCATAGTATCTTATTTCATCTTTCCAATACATGTACAGTACGATAGAGGATAAAGCTGCACCACTGAAATTCATGACATTAATTGTTTTGATGCAGTCTACACAACCCTTTCTGTTCCATACCTGAAGTCTGCAAGAGCTGAAGTTGGATCCACTAAATTTGTAGTAAAATGTTTAGTGTTTGGATGGAAAGAAATGGTCAAATTATTTTTGGCTTGCATTAAGAATGTTTCAGGCAATACAATTCATCCAAAAAGTTGGATATAAGCAAAGGAAGTCTTTGACCTGTGTTTTAGTGAGTGGCTTCAAACTCTACTATGGTGAGGAAATAACGCATGTTTATACACTTTTTGAATAAATCAGACTCTGTAAGTGGACATTAATGACAGCATCCTGTCTCTTCATTAATTTTCATTATTTTGTCCAAGTCTTCTTTACCTGTCAAATCTCAAAGAGTAAATTGTCAAGCTTTTCTTAGAATATTGTGTGTGGCTAACCCACCCATTATTTCGATGCTTAATTTAAATATTGCATCTTAGAGCTTATTTCTGTTAGTTATCTGACCATGAACACAAGTTTCCATTGAATACTCTTTTTATATAACCAGTCTATGTTGTTTTATATTTTGCCTTGGAGCTCACCAGTATTAAGAACACTTTTTGTCATGGCAGAATTTTAGAAAAGTAAATTCCGATGCTAAGTATGTGTTGCTTTTCATTTCATTAACTTGTTCCATGATAAGATAAAACACTACAGCCATCAACTATTACTCAGCACTATTGAATATTGAAAAATGCTAGTTAACTCCCTTAAGGTCAAGATGAGTTATTTAGCAAGCTACAAAGAAAAAGTTGAGGAAAAAAGTATGAATTTATTTACATATGTGACCAATGAGTATATGCCATTTTCCTGCTTATTAAAACACTGTAGTTAAAAACAGAACTTAAAATTGTGCAAAAATGTTCAAGTAAGATAAAAAATGCAGTGTAATTACATATACATGTTTTTTATTTTGGTATTACCATATGGAGAGAAGACTAATCAGAATACAATTCAATCTTAATTCTCTGGAAAATGTTTAACTCAGTCACCGATAGTTGGTTTTTCCCCATTTAATTCAAAAGCTTGTGCTGAGCTTTGGTGGAACACCTTACTCACTCTCTTCTATTCAAAATTCAGTATCATTAGAGGTTGATAAAGCCATTCAAATTACTTTCAAATATGTGTTTTATCTCTTCCACTGGAAAGTAAATGTGTGTCAGTATTAAAGCTGTTCAGTACCATGATATTCACTAACTTGTCCATCTGCTTCTGTACATTTTTGTTCATTAATAATTTGCTTACAATATTACATAAGGTGTTGTTGTGTATGGCAAAGTGTTTCCATTATCTTACAGGTGATGTCTCTTCTTTTTTTTTCTCTCTCTTTTCTATACAGTGTACTTCCAATGAACCACAGTACATATTTTTTAAAATGCCATTTGATTTACTATTTTAAAAGAAGTATTCTTCTTTTTTTAAAAAAAAATTAAAACATTTATTGTGAATAATGTGTTTAAAGAAAAGGGATGTTGTGGCAGCACTTAGAATTGTTTTTTAATTTGTTTTTTTTTAAAAAAAAAACTGTTTATTGGCTACAGTTTGTTCACAAAAAAGTATGACCTCTTAATGTGTTTCATTGGTATTGTTAGTGCAGCAAAGTTTAATTGGCATAAGAAGTTGGTTAATAGTACTGTTGAAGTGTGTATTGTATATTTACTGGGGAAAAAATAAAACATATTCACATTTCAAATCTATGTTAAAAGACCTTGAGTAAGGAGTCGATATGTGAAAACCCAAACAGGAATAACCAGGCAGTAATAACATAGACTGAGCTATAATCATCACTGTCCACTTACAGGTGACAAGGAACATTTTATATGCTGTTTTTTGAGCTAAGCAGTAAACACTGCCTGTCCTAGGGGTTTGTGTTTAATGTCCTGTCTGTACTGGAACAGTTGTAGCGCTGTAATTACACTGATACAGCTATTCCAGTGAATATTCTGCTTTATGTGAATATTCTCAGAGTGTGGGGGCTCTGCCTAGAGCCCACAGAGCAGTGGATGTGTAAAACCTGGGCTGAACCCTCACACCTGGGGTTTGGTACTGCTGGAGCTACTGCCAACCCAGTAGAGAATACCCTAAAATGTATGGACAGGTGCTAGGTCAATTTTTCTCAATCTTTGCACTGAATAACTGCTCAATTTTAAATGCAGGTGGGCTGAGGGACCAAATAATGAATTGTTCCATGTGCTTCAGTGGTGTATTGCTGTATGGGCAGCCAGTTCAGTGATGCAAGGAACAGACATTTCCTATTTTTATATTTCTTTTTTAATTTTCTTTTTTTTTTTCCTCAAGTACACATCTAAGTCAGTAAATCTTTAGAGTACCTTTTGATTGTCACCTGAAATGCAACAGAAACACCATTCCTTGGGAAAAGATAAGGTGCATGGAATGTTTTTGAGGATGTTAATTTAACTACACACCAGTGCAAAAGGAAGGCATGACTGTTTGAAATAATTGTGTGCTGGTTTATGCTTGCCTCTCAGCCCATGCATTGCCAGCCACAAGAGGTGTGTACTGGGGCTGAGAAAGAGTCCTCACAACTGAAAGAGGAAAGGGAATAGGGTAGGGGGAGATTTTGGCAGGAACTTTTATTTTAAAAAGAAAAATTACAGGCAGCTACTTTGGCTAGTCTACAATATATGCAGTCTGGGTTTTTCTTATGGTTAATGACCTTGTGGAGTTTTAGCAGGGGAACTAGAAAGAAAAAAGTTGACCTCCTTATGTAAAGATTTTGGGGTACTTGTTTGCTGAGGGAAGACTTTAATTTCATTTTTATATTTTTAACTTGTTTTGTGTTCCATCTATCTGGAACACATTAGCTAAAAAAAATAAATTGTTTTTGAAAACCATGCAGGCGGCGAAAAATTCATTTAGGAGGCACATTCAAATAGCAGGAAAAAGGGAAAAAATAATACTAAAATAAGGAACACATAATGATTTCGAGACAGCCAAGTCCTCCACAGTTTCACATGCAATTTTGAACAGTACAACAATATGTATAAACCTCATTACTTTTGGTTTCCATACCAAAACAAAGTACCCAAAGTCCATAGGAGGCCTAGATCCTTGGGACACTAAATCTGGTGCTTTGTTTTAAATATGTGGTTAATCCAGGCTGGTGAGAGAGGAGAATTCTCAGGGTTGTACGAGGCCCCAGCCCTGGCTGCTCAGACCCCAGCAAGCCTCCAGCCCTCCTGGCTTTAGGCTCAGTGGGTTCCAGTGGATCCCAGACAGGTCAGCATGTAGAGGAAGGTCACTTCTCTGAGGATGGAGTTTTCAGGGCTGGGAAGGTTTCCAATGCCTGTGGCACCATGGTGGTCTGCATGAGCTCACTTAGTCAGGCACTTAGTCTCACATTTTGGGACTGGCCTCCCCAGCTCTTAGTGCTCTCCTGCTGCGGTCTGTGCCCTCAGTGCTGATGCTGTTCCCTGGATCTGGGGTGTCTGCCATGGGGGCTGCAAGAGCAGAAGGGCCATGGAGGTGCTCTGCATACATTGATGTCTGGGTGTATGGATAAATGCTTTATCAATTCAGGGGGAATGGGGACACAGAAGAGCAGTGGCACCAAACACCTGCTCTGCTGTGTCTAGCTTGTTTCCCGCTTCTCTTGAGGACTGAGCTCTTTCCTGCCAACACTCCTCCACCCAAATTAACAGGTACAACTCACATGGGACCCACAGGAGATGTAGGGCCATGCCCACATGCACAGTGGACTGGTTATTTGGGGAGAAGTAGCTCTGAGTTCCACAGCTGGCATGAGAACTAGATTCCTCTTCAGCCTGACTTTATTTTACTGTGTAGCTATGTCCAGGAAGAGCTAAGCATAAAACCAGTTCCTAGAGCAGAGCTCAGCTGTTCACTGCTGAATTCTCATCACATCCTGAGGACTCAGGTGGCTTATGCTGACATCTTGACATGTGGGATTGTTCCTCTTGCTTTAGCACAATGAAAACAAAATCAACCAAACAAAAACAAACAAAAAAAAAGCCAAAACTTAAACCTTTCTCTTTAACAAAAAAACTTTTGAAACAATGTTCAAAAATCAAAAAACTTTTGAAACAATGTTCAAAAATCCTAGAAAACAGCATTTCAGATGTATGTTTGACTTTTTTTTTTCCTTTTTCTTGGTATTTTACTTTGGCTACCATTTAAATGATCAATTTGGTTTTTTTTCAGAGCTGTAACACTGTCCCTGTAACACCCCCTGCATTTTCCAGTACTTATCTTTCATCTGTAAAGAAGTTATGGTAGAGAATAATGACATTTGTGTACTTACATTGTTCTAACTTTAAGCAACAAGGTGCACAGTTGCATTCAGTTCAATTGATCAAAGCCAGATGGGTGCAAAATGTTTGTGGGGATTTTTTTCTAAAAAGGCCTGCTACTATTTGTGCTGATATTTGTTCCCCATTTATGCTGATCAGTGCATCTTTTGCCTTCAAGGATGCCATTAGTAATTCTCCTTTGTGTTTAAAAGCAGGAATCCATTGTGCAGCACTTGGAGAGCCACTCGGATGCAGGTAAAGAATATAACAGCTTGAGCAAGTGCTAATTAGAACCAATTAAAGTTAATTGACCTCCTTTGGCAGTAAAATGCATAATAGAACTTTTGCTCTGTCCTTGCAAAATGGAGATCTTGCCTCTAAGCATAAGAGTGAAGCAGGGTTTCATGTAGCAGCCCGTAGTAATTATGTGGGTATAACAACCAGGAAGCTGCTTGCTACAATTTGTTTTAATAACTGAGCTCTACTGTATCAGGGCAGCGCAATAAAAGTGAGATTTCTGCTCCAGTCTATTTAAAAACCTAATTTTTACAGAGCAAATGAGCATCCCAAGATACCGATACTAATCTCTAGGAATGAGTTGGCAGAAAAATAGAGTCCCTTTTATAGGTAAGTAATGGTGTGAGCATAAAAAAAAAGGCAGTTTTACGCCTGCTGGTTGGAAATAGCCCTGATGCTCAGAGTTTGCATCCATCCTGGGCAGTGGTGGAAGCTCTGGCAGGCCTGCACTGATGATTTGTCTGGGTGAAAGGTCTGCCCACAGTTCAGTGGGGCTCCCCGCTGAACCTTGCCATGAGGTTTCCTTCTGCAGACTTCTGTTGGAAAAGGGGCACTGGCATCCATCCAGCTGAGGTTTGTGGTGCTGCAGGACTACACCACTGCCAGGGGCAGCACTGTGGACATGGTCAGAGGTAGCCAAATAAAAGAGAGAGAAAGAGCAGAGGAAAGAATGAGCGGTAGGAAATGCAAAATTGTCTGAATTCAAAAGCATCAGT